CTATTATAACTACTATAAATTTTAAATTTATTATTAAGGTTATTTTAAAGGTAATCTAATAGATTATATAGGTAGAGGGTATTAATTTAATGGGGTTTAAGAAGGTATATGTAAATACCTTCTCCACTATAATCGAAGTTAAGAAAATAACCTTCTCAGTAACCCTTTATCACTACTTCAGCTAAGGATTAGCGGTATCTCATCCACTAAAGTAAGAAGGATGAGAACTTATTAGAGGCCTCCAACTAGAAACTAAACTCTTTAAAGAATTATTAAAGAAGATACTAATATATATATAGGCTATATAACTAAGGCAACTTCTAGGTAAAGGCAGACTCACTTAATTCGTTGCTAAATACTCTTATTTAGACCCGAATAATAAATCTAAAGGATAGCTAGAACTGATTCTTAGGGAGCTTCTCTAAGATTAGGCTCGGTTATATTTAAGAAGCTCCTTTAAGCCTTATAACATTACCACTTTACTATATAGGGCTCTAGGGATCTGTTCTATAATATATAAAAACTATTAAATGCTAATAAAAAGGTTAACTTCCTTCAATATTATACCTAAAGATACTCTACTAAATTTATTTAACTAAATATATTATTACTATTATTATAATAATTGTTATTAGCATTATAGCAGCTTATCTATTTAATATAGAGTATACTAGCTATATATTATTAATATATTTAGCTAATCTAAGGTTAATCCTATTATAAGATAGTAAGGAAGAAGGTAAATATTATATTAACTATTACTAGTATAGTATTCTTAATTCTACTATCCTCCTTCTCTATAGGAAGGTAATTATTCTAGATATATTATCTATCTACTAATTAAAGAAATCTCTTTAAAAGTAACTAATATATTTATTTTCCTTTTAAACCTAATATATTAAATTAATAACTTTTAATCTTTTACTAAAAGCTATTATTATAATTTTTCATTCTTTAAGCTCCAGATTATAGACCGTTCTAGGATGAAATATATTATACTAAGAACCTATCGTTCTAGATAATATATCTATCTATCTTTAAACCAATAAAAGTATCTCTATACAGCTAAAACGCTAGTATAGAGCTATATACAATGTAAAATCGCAAACTAATAATAGAATTGTTTTTATAAGGGCTGATTATCGCTGAAAACAATGCTATATAACAGTATAGGCAGCTATACTAGAGCGGAACCGATAGTAGTTAATAGAGGTATAGATAGGCTTATAACAAGCTATTACAATGCCCTTACTAGCCTTAGTAATAAGCTACTAGCTATCCTATATAGTAATGATAATATTGTAATAACTTAATTATAAGTTAGAAAAGATATTTATAAAGAGAAAATTAGATAGTTTATAGTTAAAGTAATAAAAACAAATAACTTTATAGAGCTTATTAAGGACTAGAATAGGTAGGTATATATAGTAATAGTAGTTATAGTTAGACTATTGAAAGTCTCTAATATTAAATTAGTATATATATTAAGAAATACCTTTAAGGAGGTTAAATAGATATTTTAATTTATTTTAAAGGGTAGAAAGGTTTAGATAAAACTATAAATATAATAGTTCTATATAGATATTATAGATAGTTATTATATTAAGAAGATAAACTATAGTTACTAATAAGCTATAAACTATTAATAATTTAAAAGGATATATTAGTAAAACTTACTAAAATAAAATAAATTATATATTATACTTAGAATACCTCTATTAATCTTAATAAGTAAATAGTTATAGAGATATATTAAATAGGTAATATAGCTATATCTAAGAAGATTATAAGAGTAATATAGAGGTTTTCTAATGGTAACTTTATAGTTATATTTGAAAAGAAAGAGTAGGATTAATAGAACTAGCAATAGATTATAAAGGTATTTAGACCAAAAGTAATAATTAGTTTCAGTATAACTTTAATTATTATATATAGGATTATAGAGGAGACTATTAATAAGCTTAATATATAAATATTAGAGATATAGATATATATATAGTAAATATAAGTATAAAGATTATAAAGGTTAAATTATATAAGGAGGTAAGTAGAGGATACTGAGTTTAGAAGATTATTATATAAAGTTATTTTCCTAGATTAAATAAAGTATATTATTAATATACCTCTTATTTAAAAAGTAGGGGTATACTACTATAAGCTCTATAAATCTAAAGTAAATATACTATAATATTTTATATACTATTAGCTTAATTATTTTATAGAGATCTATAAGAATAGAAAGATCTATAAAAGATATAATAGTAATTCAAAGTTTAGAGAGGATATATATCTAATAAATATAAACCTAGATCTTATCTACTATATATCCTATAGGGACTAGGGAAGCGATTACCTTACCTTCTTAAATAATTAACTGAAAGTATAAAGATAATAAGAAAGAACTTTGAAAGCTTTCTGTAAGAGACTTTAATCTTTTATACCTATATAAAGGATAGAGGCTAAAGAGATAATAGAGTAAGATATTAAAGATAAAGCCTCGCCTCCTCTCTCTCTAATAGTAATAACTAATATATTACTATAATATAAGGGGATTAGTTAGAAGATAAACTTTAAAGAGTTTATAAAGGTTTAACTAAAGAGGAGTAGCTAGAATAGAAGGGATATTACTTTAAATATATAAGGGAGATTATTTAAATATATTTATAAATAGAGACCTTAATATAGAGACTTCTCTATTATACTAATATTTAATAGAATCCCAGAGCTCTATAGGCCTACTACAATTAATAGAGATATAGATATTATTAAAGTAATAGCTATAGGTATTATTCTCTACTATTATATTATAAAGTTATATAAAAGGGTAAGATATTATTAACATTTAGGTAGGTGAGGGCCTGTAGTGTACGCACTAACAGGGTTTACAATGCACTTTGGGGAAGCAATGTACAGTACTATTGCTTAGCTACTAGCAGTAATTACAGGGCCTAGGCCCTATAATAGTGGATAATTTAGTAGGTAGACTACTATTGTTTTGGGAATGCCTCTGTATTTGCTATCTTAACCACTAGAGATGGATTTACTACTTCCTTCTTATATACCTACCGACCGGGGTATAGTGCCGAATTCGGCTTAGCAGTCTTAGTAGTAAAAAGCTGAATCCTATAAAACTTATTTTAGTATAAAAAGCTAAAAATGGGCTTACAAGCTCACAACTATACCTAGAAGTGCCTAGGTCCACTTATACTACTACTTTAAAAACCTAGTATAGGGTAGGCCGGTTGGGAGCGAACTAGGTACAGGGTAGGTTGCTTGGGATGCTAAGCGGTGTAGGGTAGGCCATTTAGAGGTCTAGGTGTGAGGGTAGGCCGATTCGGGAACAACTAGCACCTCGACTCAAGAAGAACTAACCTTCTTCAAATTAAGATAACTAGCCACCCAGTACTCGTACCGCCACAAACAAAATACCAGTATATAGCTACAGGCTATACGAATTCGATTATAGTATTGTAGAGCCCCCCAGATAGCCACAGCACTAGTAATCTGAACTCCAGGGTTTAATATCATTATATACATAGCTAGAAGCTGGTATATATAATACCCCTCGAATATAGCAGAGGAGGAGGGTATATTAAGGGCTAGGCTATACTTAGCTAAAGGGAGGTTAGGAGCTTTATCCTAACTATCTCGTATCTGGTATAGCTCCGGAGCGGAATCGTACCGAATTAACCTTAGTTATGTGCTAGAGGTTATATAAGAAGGAAATCCTATACTAGGGCTATATAAATTACCTTTTCCCTCTTTAAGCTTTTAGCATATAATATTATATACCTATCTGCAGTTGCTATAGAGCTAGCACCTTACAGTTTATTATATATCCCTTAGGAGAATATACTATATATATAACTCTTAATATCTATTATATCTTTTATTTCTAACACTTTATATATATATAGACAATACTACTTATTAAGATTTAGGTAGGTGAGGCCCTATAGTACACACACTAATAGAGCTTATAATGTACTTTGGGAAAGTAATATATAGTACTATTGCTTAGCTACTAGCAGTAATTACAGGGCCTAGGCCCTATAATAGTGGTTAATTTAGTGGGTAGACTACTATTATTTTAGGAATGTCTCTGTATTTGCTATCTTAACTACTAGAGTTGGATTTACTACTTCCTTCTCATATACCCACCGACCAGGGCGCAGTGCCGAATTCGGCCTAGCGGTCTTGGTGGTAAAAAACTAAATCCCGCAAAACTCATTTGTATAGGTTTGACTAAAAATGGGCTCACCTGCTCGCAGCCGCACCCAGAAGTGCCTGGGCCTACTTGTACTACTACCTTAAAAACCGGTATAGGGTAGGCCGGTTGGGGCCAAGTGGTATAGGGTAGGCCGCTTGGGAGCTAACTACAGTATAGGGTAGGTCGCTTGGGATGCCAAGCGGTGCAGGGTAGGCTAGTTGGGAACAACCGGGTGCAGGGTAGCTCGCTTGGGAAACCCAGGTGCAGGGTAGGTGCAGGGTAGCTCGATTCGGGAGAAACCAACACTTAGTAAAAAGAAGAACCAACCTTCTTCAAACTAAGATAGCTAGCCACCCAGTAATCGTACCGCCACAACCAAGATACCAGTATATAGCTACAGGCTATACGAATTCAATTACAGTACTGTAGAGCCCCCCAGATAGCTACAGCACTAGTAATCTAAACTCTAGGGTTTAATACTACTTACTATCCTTCCTTTATATATTCTTACTTTCGGCTTACACTGTATATAATACTATTATTATAGTATAATCTTAGCCTCGTTTATTGTTTCTATCTATTATAATAGTTATAATTCACTTTTCTTTAACTTCTCACCTCTTACTCTTTTCTCTATATTCCTTTAATATAATATTATATTCTAATATTACTAGTACACTTTATACTTTGGGCTCAAGCATGTATGAACCTCGTTGCTTGATTTCAGGTAGGTATTATCTATACCACTAGTGTGATTTAACGAAGTATAAAATGGCTAGATGAATAGGGGTGAAAGCAGGCTGTGTAGTATTTTCCCCTCGCTATGTATACAACTTAAACTCCCTTACGAAGAATATTCACAACCTTGCTATTCCCATAACGTTCGGCCTCAGATAGTGGCGTGGAACCCCGCTCGTTCTTCGTCTCTACATTGGCACCACTACAGAGCAACAGCCTCACAACACCAGCATGGCCTTTCCCCGCAGCCCAGATCAATGGGGAACAACCAGAATCATCTTTCGATTCCAAATCGGCACCTGCCTCCAGAAGCAGTCTCACCGTTTCCAAGTGCCCGCACATCGATGCTTGCGAGAGAGGAGTCTGGCCAAACCGGTCCCTCGCCTCTACCCCTGCTCCATAGCTCAGGAGTAGTTTTACAACCTCCGCGTGTCCCCGTGCAGCCGCAAGCGCTAGCGCCGTGCTTTCCCCGTTGTCCCGCACCTCTAGGTCCGCCTTATCATCGAGCAGGACCTTCACCGCCTCACAGTGGCCGTTCGCCACCGCTTGATATACCGCCGTCCGACCTTGGAAATCTCGGGCCTGACTGTCTGCACCCTTGTCGAGAAGCAGCCTTATCATCTGGGGCCGCCCACTCGCCGCGGCGCGCATTAGTGGCGTCAAGCCGGACGGCCCACGAGATTCTAGCCGGGCTCCGTGCTCTAAAAGAAATTGGAAGGTATCCTCGTTATTATATTCCACGGCCCACCACAACGGTGTCCGACCGGTCTCATCTCTGTCGTCGACGCTGAAGCCGCTCTGGGACAAGAGCAGGCCCATTGTTATCCCTCGCCCGAACGCGCTGACGTTCCATAGCGGTGACCGGCTTTGGTTCGGAGGGCGGGTCTGCCGGACGCACACCCGTCTCTCCTCTCTGCGCACCTCGTCGGCGATTGGCTCCCCTTGTTTGAGGGAAACGAAGTTGCCAGCGGTCCTCCTCTCAAAGTAGTCACCCGTTTCTGTCAGTGCGCTCAACCACACACCCACGTCCATCCCATCTTCCCCCGAGTGGATGATGGCAAAAGGGGACTCCCTGCGTTTGACAGTGATGAGGGGGATGGACAAGTGGATGCCCTTGTTATCCATAATGAAAGAGGGGCCGTTGGTGGGCTTGGAGCGTCTAACGGCACCCGAGTAGCGAAACGCGCCCGGGGAGGGTGCCAGGAGGCCGCTGGACCTGTCCGCTCCTTCTTCTTTCCAAACGAACAAGCTGAGATCGTCCGTCGTCTTCAATATCTCCTCTTGAAGCCGGGCAAAGGCTTTCACACCCTCCCCGTACAACATAGGCATGTTGACGTCGAATATGCCCAATAAGCAATAGGCGAGGTCTTCTATAACGGTTGTCTCCCTCTTCGCTGCCCACGACATTCTTTGGGCGACACTAGTATGCCCGACGTTTCCGCCGAGCAGCACTTCAGCCGGAATGCCCGTAGCCTTTGATACGGCGGGCTGGAGACTCGACTTCGATCCGATCTCCTGCCAATCGCTGTCGAAGAATATGACAACCGAGGGGGCGATGAGCTCCTGGAGCGTCCACCCCCGTCGAAACCACTCACTCTGCGTAAACTTCTTGTTGGGGACGTCGGCGAGGTAGGCATAGCATACAATTGCCTCTCGGTACCAGCGGTACATGGAGTTGATAGCCTCGGAGAGCTCGGCGCTGCTCGTCTTATCGATGCAGCACGTGTCTATCCACACGTAGTCGATACCCCCGGCGGCAGCGACGGAACAGGTATTTATGATCTTGGAGTATGCAGTCTCTTTGAGCTCTGCACTGCCGTCTTGGATATCTTGGAAAGTAACTTCTTCGGCGCCCCACCTGTGGGAAAGAACGGCGTAAAGGGGAGGAGTGCTGAAGGTCTCGAGTCTCCGCGTGGTAGTATTGAGCAACCTCATGGTGCGTGTGCTTAATAAGCGTGGTGACAACGTTACTGGCGAGAAGGAGTATTTAGGAAACTGGTGGTTACACAGTGGATGGGCTGAGTCGAAGAGAGGGGATGTTATTCGAGTGTAGGTAGGCCAGAGTGCCGCTACAAACCGTGATGATCAGAGGTGATCAGAGAGGATAAACGGGGTATTGGTTTCTTCACCCCATGCCATGCCCCATATTTATGCTGGTGCCGAGGGATATGTTGGGCGACCAACACCAAGTAGCTCATGCAAGGGCATGCATGGGGCGCTATATTTGGTAATTTAGCCCCTTTGAAAATCACACTGGCGCGAAGATCGGTACCGGAACACCACCGCTTGCCTTTCACCCTCTTTTTCGACTGGACGTGACTAACCTTCATGCCGCCACCACGACAAGGAACCTACCTCCAACCCCAACTTAGATTTGATTGACCAGGCTGTTACGATCACTCGTGCCTCCACTTCCACAAGCAAGCCTTTACGGCGGCACTGCGACCCCGTATGCTCGATTTAACACTGTTCGCAACAAGGAGGTAAGCGGCCCTCTGCCAGTCAGTCGCCCGCCTCGCTTCAGTTTCTAAACTCATGAGCATCTTTCGCACCGCACAGGTACCGACTCACTCTGCCATGGGTATCCCCCTAATCCCGTGTGGGGAGGACGGGGAACTCAAATGTCGCCGACTCGCGCCTGGAACCGTCACTCGTTTCTCATTCACTCGTAGCATGTCACTAGAAAACAACGAGTTCAAGTCTTTAGTCCACCCAGCGAAAATTAAAACAGCAAATACGCGGCCGAACTTACTACCCCGGTCAGCGGGAAACGAGCCGTGGGCTACCGTGGGGGTGGGTTATCGGCCTGGGCTATATCACCCTTATCCCATATTACGCTGACAATGTCCTATAGGCTAGCCGCTTTGCTGTGATTCATATAATACCCCGGGTTCATGTGCTCACTCGGTCCATTCCGGTCAACTGTCGGCTACCATTTGCTTTTTGGTCTGGAAACATTGATGATAATTACGGCGGTGACCAACGAATATATTGACGGCCGACTCGGTCGATAGTAACCTCGCTAGTTGGTCGCATTTGGTCTGCTTCTGTTTCCGAGAGGAGGGAGGTTCAAGTCATATGCGATGGTGTTTGTTCAAGTATGCTCACGCGCCCAACAGCGTGTAATGATATCTCGAGCAATATTATTGTTTGATACAATAAGCACTGTACCACACTCGACAACGTCCCATATATCCATCCCCAACACTGCCGGTGTACGCATTTCCACTTCATTATTCCATACGCAGTGAAGGGACATCCAGGGCTTTTTCAACAAAGTGTCGTAAATTGCACTTGTGCGCACGCTCGAGCTTTAACGTGAGAGTGTTACCGCTTCCGTCATGGACAAGACCGAGGCATCTTGTGATATTCGGGTGGCTGCCGAGAGCCAACTGATTTCGCGCTCCCGGGAGAAGTCGTAACCTGTCTCCTTCACTTGCTTGGGCGGGCCGTACGGTTCGCCGTCCATGCATCTGACTTCCGCTTTCACAATGACATCCCGGATATTGTCAGCGTAAATGACACAGTGATCTGTCTGTATAAGCACTTCAACGCGACTCCTGATAAACTGTGCTGTGGTCGATAATTATATACTGGGACGGGGAATCTGTGTATTCAGGTATGTAGGTATGTAGTTGAGGGAGGTTGAGGTTGGTTGTATGAGGTCACTTAGGGTGGGTGTGTGGTTGCACAAAAGGCCTCGGAATGCCGGTGGTGGGGGGTTAGATTATTCGTGACTGTTACGGGTGGACTGCGAGTCTCGAGGCGAATGGTCGAGTTACGTTGTGGCTTTCTCATACACGTCCCTGATGCTATAATTATTCGACACAGTACGTACGTTCTGTACAAACAGGAACGCCCGTGAACTGGCGGGTCTCCTCCGGTTGGTTGCGTAATGTACACCAACCACACCCCTGGTTTGGCTCCCAACGTCAGTTGTCCATTTCTCGGAGGGTTGGTGATGGCCGATCCTTGTGTGGACCATTCGTGCACATTGCATCAATGGCTCGAGACGCATTGTGTTGCAGCCACTCCGGCAGTGCCACCTTGCAGCGTCGATCGTGTGCCGCACCCCTGCAGGTATGGGGAACCGGGGGTCAGCTGCATCGGGCCCGTTCCAGGCACATGGGAGAGCTGAGGAAGGTACGGAGGAGGCAAGTGGAGGAGCAGTGATGAGTGGGCAAGAGCACCTGAAAGCCGGATTTAGGGGCAGGCAGCCAAGATGTTTCCTTCTTGGCGAATTGGGTCACCGAGTGACCACAATGGGTGCTAGTCCAGCCCACCTCCTAGCATGCCCAGCCCCCAATGGTCATGCGGAGTCGACGGTCAGCCGCCCAGTTGCCTTGCTGCTTCCTTCCTAATATGCAAGGGCGTCAATCATTCATCATAAGTATCGAGTTGACGCAGTGTGAGGTTGTGCCGTTATTGTTGTTGGCCACCGGAACTCCTTGTGTTGCTCGAACCACCAAACCTCGGCCGTGAAACTTCAAACGACTACCTTATTATATACACCACACACCAAAAGGAAGATAAAAAATTGTTTGAAATCCGAAGCGAAAAACTCGCCCACCATGTCCTTCCGGCGCGCCACATCCTCCTTAATGGAGGAACGAACACGAACGCATGGCCACTTCAGCGACACAGAGTCGTCTCTGGCGAGCGTCTCCACCAACCAAGCGCAAGCGTCGCGCAAAGAGCACAAGCTGACCCACCTGCTCTCGTACCTCGGCTCCAACAACCCGCTGCCGGCGTCCATCGCGGCCGACGACGTGGTCTGGCTGATGGACAACGTCGCGTTTCGGGGCCGCGGGGGCGAGTGGGAGGCCGAGTTCGTCGCGGCCGCCTTCGACCAGAAGGCGTCGACCAAGGTCGTCGACATTGTGGGCGACATCGCCAGCAAGGTGGGGCTGTCGCGCGGCGGCGAGGAGGAGAAGACCATCGAGCGGCGCATCTCCCCCTTTGTCATGGAGATTTTGCCCGGCCGGCAGATCAAGGTCAACTTCGACGGCGCCACCCCCGTTAAGCTCGGCCCGGGAGGCAGGAACGGCATCAGCAGCAATGTGATCAGGATTCCGAAGGCCGCGGCCGGGGGAGTGGCGAGATCGACGGCGGACGTGCCGATGGGGGTGCTGGGCGTGCTCGACATGAAGACGGTGTACGTGGAGCCGGAGGGGTGGGCGGTGATCTCAGGTATTTATGGCCGTTTTATACGGAAACTGACCCTCGTGTGGTTAGCGGCTTGTTTCTGACCGGTATTTCCCGCAGATGTGGACGACACAATCAAGATCACCCAGACGAGTGATCCCGTCGGGATCCTCAAATCCACATTCGTGGTGAGTCGTAACCCCCTTACTCGTGCGGCGAGGCACGTACGGTCATGACTGACATTCCCCCTCCCATGGTAAAGTCCGAACCTACGCCAGTTCCAGGCATGCCAGAGCTCTATGCACGTATCCAGGAGCTCCTGACACCGTCCGCGCCCTTCTTCTACCTCTCAGCCTCCCCCTACAACCTGTATCCGTTCCTTCGTAACTTCCGGGACGCCCACTTCCCACACGGGCAGTTGATCCTCCGGGATTCCAGCTGGATGACGCTCTCCGGGCTCCTCTCCAGCCTGACCCTGGGAACCGAGAAGTACAAAATCGAGAGAATTAAGAAGGTCCACCGGTGGCTGCCGCGGCGGAACATGATCTGCATCGGAGATTCGACGCAAAGCGATCCCGAGGCTTACGGTAAAACCACACCTCCCTTTCCCTTCGGCAATGGTGCAAGCCTTGGCTGACAAGAACACCAAACGCAGGCGACGCCTGCAGGGCCTTTCCGGGCTGGATCAAGCTGGTCCTGATCCGAAAGGTGAAGGACATTGCCGCGATCGGCATCGAGGAGAAGAACGAGCCGCAGCGATTCGAGAAGGCTTTCGAAGGCGTTCCCAAGTAAGCTTATTCGAGATTGATCATGGAGAAGCTGCGCTAACTTGAGGAATAGGGAAACGTGGCATGTTTTTGAAGAGGCCGAGGAGTGCTGGAGTTTGATCCAGAAGGCCGTGGCGAAGAAGTGAGCGTGGTGTTTATCGCTGAAGTTCCAGTTGGGTCCGGGATGCATCTGGCGAGGCTTGTCGTTGTCATGATGACACTAAAAAGCCGAACATTTGCCAGCTCTGTCCGAAACTGGAGATAAGCTGCGAAGGTACCCTGTCTTACCGGCAGGGTTCCATATACGCAAAACCACAGGAGATCATGAGGTTATGAGGTTCTCCGCGAATATGAACGAGGCGGAGTGCGTTGAACTAGGACGGACAGTATAAGTACGGGAACACACTATGGGGAGGTCGGAGTGTTTTTGATACCAGGGCGTTAATCTAGTACAACCAACGGGAGGTATGAGTTGTGGGAGAGTGAGGCGTGGGGGGCTCGGAGTTTGGGCATGAGCGAGGGAAGTAATGTATGGGGTAAGAATGCTTCTTCTTGTGCGGCTCGATTCGGCGGCTTGTTGTCCTAGCTTAGCTACCTATTTACATTGGTCTGCGGGGTTCCTCTTACCTGCATCGATGGATATTGTTTGAATGCGAGCAGGTAAGCCCCGGTCGGCAGCCCCCTGCTTGTGCTACCTATGTTTGGTGTGTATTGAATCCACATAGCCATTTCCCGGCACCAACTAGGGCCCCGTGACATGGCTACATGTAATGGCCTTGGGTCTATGATGAAATAGGTACCTACCTAATACGGGAGGCCTTGCGGTGTGGTACCAGTGTCTTTGAATCGAACATGCTTCCGAGTAGTAACTAGCTCGCTCTCTGCCCTTGTTTAGATAAGATTTCCTAATAGGGTACCGGCAAAATGCCCTCTTCCCAATCCGAGTCAGCCGATATTTTGTCTCAGCATATACCAGTTTTCTTCCGACCGCGGTCTGCTGAGTCTCTCACGAGACCGAACGGTAACCGCGGGGAACTCCCAGACGTAGCTAGAACCATAAATTTTTTTGGGTAAAAGAAGGATATCCCTCGAATATCACTGGACTGGAACTAGGAAGGTCAAATGATTTCCCTGTTCCCGAGAGTTTTTGTGTGTTTTTGTGGATGTTGCCATCCATTCTCTGCGCGATGCACGAGCCACCTGCCAGGCTGGGCCGGCTCCGGGAAGTAAAATTTTCAAACTTTGTAAACCAAAAATCACCTCTTCATATTATTGCTTGTCGAGGTTAGGTTGTGTGCTCGAACCTCTTTCTTTTTCAAAATGGAGGTCGACAGCGATGCGAATTCGAGGTTCGCCGACGGGACTCGCAATTTTGTGGCCTGGTTCCAAACGCTCCCTGGAGCCACTTTCCGCTCAGATCTGATCGCGGTGGAGGACTTGAGGGGACGGAATGCTGGTCGAGGAATTAGTGAGGTGGTCCGATTAAAGCATCTATGCTCTCTTTGAACTGGATAACTAACCCGTTTCATAGTTGCCAAACAAGACATCCCAGCAGACACGGTGCTGTTCACCATCCCCCGAACCGCCATCATCTGCACCGCAACCTCAGCCCTTAAAGACAAGATCCCCGGTATATTCGACCTCGACAATGACGACGCCGGGAAATCCGACTCCGGGGACGGCGGCGACGGCGAGGCAACCTCCTCATCACAGGACTCCTGGACACTCCTAATCCTCGCCATGATCTACGAGCACCAACAGGGCGACGCCTCACCGTGGAAGCCCTACCTGGACGTGCTCCCCGCCGCCTTCGACACGCCCATGTTCTGGTCGCCCGCCGAGCTGTCACAGCTCCAGGCCAGCGCGCTGGTCGCCAAGGTCGGCAAGGCCGAGGCCGACCGCATGATCCAGGCCAAGATCGTCTCGGTCGTGCGCGCCCACAACGACGTCTTCTTCCCCCCCGGCAGCGCCCACCTCGACGACGCCCAGCTGCTGCAGCTCGCGCACCGCATGGGCAGCACCATCATGGCGTATGCCTTCGACCTGGAGAAGGACGAGGCGGACGATGGCGGGGAAGGGGAGGAGGACGAGGGGTGGGTGGAGGACCGGGAGGGCAAGACGATGCTGGGGATGGTGCCGATGGCGGACATATTGAACGCGGACGCGTCCTTCAACGCGCACATCAACCACGGCGGAGATGCGCTCACGGCCACGGCGCTGCGGCCGATCCGCGCGGGCGAGGAGGTGCTCAACTACTACGGCCCGCTGGCCAACGGCGAGCTGCTGCGGCGGTACGGCTACGTGACGCCCGCGCATGCCCGCTATGATGTGGTTGAGCTGCCGTGGGCGCTGGTCGAGAGTGAGTTGAGGGATAGGGTTGGTGGTCGCATGGGCAAGGAGGGGTGGGAGGAGGTGAGACAGCTCGCGGAGAAGGATGAGGAGTTCGAGGAGAGTTTTGTGTTGGAGCGGTCGAGCGAGGACCCGGACTCGACGGGGGAGTTGGGTAGCGACGCAGTCTTCACTGGTCTGCCGGACGAGCTGGGGGAGCAGTTCAAGACGTTCCTTAAGGCCATGAAGAAGGTTGGCAACGTCGAGCTTGCTGTGCAGGCCCTGTCGGACAAGGATACGCGCAAGGACTTGTACTTGCGGACCGTCCTCCGCGCTCTTCATGCTAGGGAGCAACAGTACGCCACGTCGCTCGAAGAAGACGAGCGACTTGCGGGTGCGAGTCAGCCGTCTGGGCGGGAGAGAATGGCCTTGTGGGTGAGGAGAGGCGAAAAACAGGTCTTGCGGGAGGCTCAGGCATGGGTACAGCAGGCTATTAATGAGCTGCAGGCTCAGGCTTCGACGAGGACGCGTGAGGACGACGGCCCAGCTGCGAAGAGGCGGCGGATGTGAAGACTTAATTGTATTGTCAAAAGGCTGGACTGATTTGTAACTACTTAGGTAGGTGCGGTGCCTGTTCTCCAAATGCTGTATGGCGGCTAGGACTCAGGAAAACCCAGCTTGTTCCGCCCTCTGTCTCCAACTCTAGCGGCGTCGACTTTCCAAGGCTTATACAATGTCGGTGGCGGTATGTCGACGGCTGCATGGAGCAGTGATCCTGAAAGATGTCCAATGGGCGGCGCCTTTGTCACGCAATTACACCACCCACCGTACGGGCGCAGACCTCGACGTTGCATACCGATGCCCAATTTCCCCTTGACGGTCATGAAAGTGGCACTTGGGTGGATGGTGACCGACAACCCCCACCTTGGAGGATCAAGTGTTTTCGGCCGCCTTCTTCCTCTTTCGTACTAGGTTGGCGTTGAGGACATTTACCTTTGCTGCGGGCTCGGCCGATTCCTTGGTCGTCGGGCCTGGTTGTCGACTGCTATCGGTTTCTGACGATACTGGCGCGTTTTTCCTTCTGATCAGCCCAGTTAGGTTCGTCACGTTTCCACTGGTGCCCCCCAAGGCGGTTCCATTCGTTCGTAGCGAGTCGGGGATGGCTGCCTTGCCTATAACATCCCCCTCCCCGCCATCGCCTATGCCGACCTCGTTGAGCCATCGCCTGGAGCTGCCCACGGTCTTGTCGAGGGTTGAGAAGTCCAGGTGAAGCAACAAATCGACGATGCGTTTGTATTCTGCTTCCTCCACCATCTTATCGCCGCGGCCTTCAGGCGGCCAGTAGTAGTAGGCGGTTACTGTCGGGCGGTTGGCCAGGTAACTGCGCGCATGTGTCTTGATCTTGGGTGCACGCGGCACGATTCGACCGGACGGTTTCTTTTTAGCTTTCTTCTTGGGGATTTTGGTTGATGCGGATGGGGGCGCGGTGGGAGAAGTTGGCGCTTTGAGTGGGCTTGATCGCGGGGTGGAAGAGGAGATGTCGAGCCGTCGTCGAGGTGGTGTCGCAGGCATGGTTGGAGGCAAAGACGAACCGGAGGAGGCGTTAGGGGCTGCATGCTTCGTTTCCGGAGGACCTGCTGAGGGGGGGTTCGTGGACGGTTGGTTTGGGTCGAAAACCAACCAGACAAATCCGGTTAAACGCCCGCTGGAGCACTCCTGGCGGAATGCCATCATCTCCCAAAACTGCTCTAATGACCTGACGCTCTTCCACGCCCCAATGCCTTGTTTCTGCTTGGATACCTCCTCGTCCAGCTCGTCGCGGAATCGAGATTTAGGGTCGTCTGGGTAGCCAGGGATAAGGCATCGCGGTGGGACATTGTCGAAATCGCGGGTGTAATGGGATGTTCGTTCGAGGGGGTGGCCGATCACCCAATTCGCTATGCTCGCCGTGGTTCGCGGTATGAAAGCTCGCATTTCCATCTCCTCCAACCCGGGAACAAGCAGGTAGCCCTTGGTGCTGGCCCATGGTTCCTTGCTGAGCCCCTCCATAAGCGGGCTCAGGACCCTGCACCACCATCGAACGAGCCCCCGATCGTCCAGGACATGCTTTCCCTTGTTGCGGACACTTCCCGGGAACAGATATTGTGCTTGCGCGCGAGCGAATAGATTGACGACGGATTGGACATGGTTGCGCCGTCGATGGTCAAGAAGGTAGGCGAGGAAGGTGGCGGATACTTGGCGAATTGGAGACGGAGCGCCTTTCGGGATGTTGAGAAGATGGAGATAGCCGGTCGAGTCGGCTTTGGATACGAAGAGCGTGGTCTGGTAAGCGGTGGTGAAGATCAAGACCTCGATGGCGAAGACCAATGCCTGCTTCTTCGAGACCGGCTCCTTGGCCCGATCGGCGCCCGGTGAAGCGCGCTTGGGAGCCGCGACACTCCCGTCCTGGGGGTGGATTGAGACAGCAAGGAAGTGGTTTTCCCTGTATGTCTTGTCTGGCCGGTGACCTGGTGGGGCTACGCAAAGGGGCTCCGTTGGCGTTGGCGGCGTCGAGATGTGGTGAATGCCAAAGTTGTGCCCCTGGGGAAGGACTGCTGCAAGCCTGTCGCGGAGGGAACTGCTGATTGACGGGGCGGTGGTACCTGTGCCACGTTTGGGACCTATCGGTGTGGAAGACGGCATCGCGGCGAAACCCGGCGTGGTTCACGAAGTCCTGCGGCCGATAGTGATGAAGACGCGCTTGCGACGCGAAAGGCCGAGGGAGTGGACCTCGAGCTGCGAGAATGGTGGGGACCTGAGCTGCGTGCAATTGCAACTTGCAAGCGGATGGTCCGCCAAGCCGAGAACGCAGTTCGAGGGGTAAGTTACGCAGCGTAATGAATTACACTGCCCCGCCGATAGCAGACAGGGGTGTGTGACCTTGGCAGCTGGCAAGCCAGCCGCGAAAAAAATACGCCGGCGCACCGATCTTTGGAGGAGGAACCTTTATCGCTGAGAGCTTCAACAGTCGCCAACTTCCAGGGATTCCGGATTTCTGTGCACCCCGTTTGTCAATGGCTCTCAACCCCTCTCGGTCGGCCGTCTCGGCAACATGCAAGGTATTACGGCGATGTGGCAGCTCATCGCAGTCGGTCGTGCAGCGGCTTGGGCAACCGGTGCGGCAACTGTCGACCTCTGCATCGCGCAGGAACGAGGCCGTTGAAACGACACCCGAACAAGAGAAAAGGCCCCGGTGGTCCTATACACCGGAGCGGATGAAGGGTCCCGGCTTTTCTATCAACGTCGTCAAGGATCCGAGCCGGACGATCTGGCACAACAACGAGGACCCGGCGAAACTCGACGCTATGTACATGCGATTACTGGGGTCGAAGGGGGATAGGATGTTGCCGGACGAGATCAAATGGCTTGCTGTCACACACAAGAGTTTCGATCAGGGGAGACGAGGGTTCAACACAAGGCTGGCCTATTTTGGTGTGTCTCCAACATGGGTCCTCTCCGAGGCGTCCGGCCATGGCGCACGCGAGCAGCAAGCTAACCGGGTCTCCCACAGGACGGTTGATCGTTTCGCTCGAAACCACAAGGCACATCTTGGTCACTCCAGCCGCTGCCGAGGACTCGCCAATCCAGGACCCGTTCAACCGCGAGCCCTTCCAGCACAGCGCGCTCGCGAACGTTGACAAGCTCAACATAAAGCAGCCCATGGACGTGGCTTCAAAAGAGAAGATTGCCAAGCTGGCGATCGACGTTGGGCTGCCAGAGGTCACCAGGTGGAAGCCTAGGATGGTATGTGATGCTACGAACTGAGTGGTGTGCCCGCCCGAACACGTCCCGAACTGACTTTGGTTTGCTCTGCATTAGCCCGAACACCTCGAGGGTTCAGGTTTCATCGCCGTACTCAACACGTCCCTCTTCGCCATCGTCGGTGCCATTTCTTTACAACACGGCGCCGAAACCGCCCAGCAGGTTGTCCGGGAGAAGATCCTAAGGAGGTTGGGAGCATGAGCACGGCCGGGGTGTAATCATAGAACTGTATATCTCTGTACCATATCACGGGGCAATATAGAGGCTGGCCCGGTTTGTTGGTTGCACACGTCCGCTTTTGCATTGAAGCTTCCAGAGAAGACCGACCTCCCGGGGTCACGCTAGGCGGTCGTGGGTACTATCGACGGGTTGATTCGCACGCTAACACACAATTCTCAAAAGGCTCCAGGGGATACGCACTCACGCTATGCTACCGACGGGAGCGGAACGCCGACAAGAACAAATACAAGCAAAGAAAACGGCGACCCATCACCACCCTTCTGCGAAACAAATCTCGGCCAGCTTCATCGGCTGTTTCCCGACGACCATCCAGCCATCGCCCATGCGGAACTGCCTCCCCCTCCCGATGACGAAGCGCCGGTAGTAGTCGGTATCGGCGGCGGCCTCCTCGAGCACACAACGTCCGCCCGCCCACCCCTCCGGCGGCTGGCGCTCCGAGAACATAAACAGGGTGAACCGCTCGATCTCGGCCAGGACGGTGCGCGAGAAGGCGCTCAGCGTCGCGGCGCCGCCCTCGTGCGTCCAGAGCGCCACGCTGATCCCCAGCCTCCGGAGGCCCTTTCCGGCATCGCCGCGACCGCGGGCGGGCTTGTCCATGCGGCGGAACCAGGCGAGCAGGGCGGTCAGGCGCGTGTAGGCCAGGTCCCCTAGCAACACGACGGTGTCGTACTCCAGGTTCAGGTACAGCACGCGGTCGCTGTGCTGGAGGAGGTCGCCGGGCCGCTCGGAGGTCTGGGTGCGCGAGGGCAGGGTGAAGAGCGGGAGGGCGACGGTGTAGCGCTCGAGGGCGGCGGCGCGGGCCTCGGCGCTGACGGAGAGCGCGGCCGGGTTGCGCGACTGCGACTGCCACTTGGGCGTGCCGCCGTGCGGGTCCTTGTCGGCGTAGTGCGCCCGCCGCGTGTGCAGCTCCACCGTCCGGGGGAGGAACGACATGTGCCTGCGCGGTGCGGTGGTGGTCGCACCCACCCCCCTGTCAGCCCAGCCAGCCCACTTGGCCGTCCCGTCCCGTCCAACCCGGGAAACCCGAGCGGGTCCGGACCCGGGGCGTCTTCTCCAATGGAAAGCAACTCACCAGATCTTGAGCCGCAGCTCGGCGGGAAGCAAAGGGAATAAGGGGAACGTCGTGCATGGTTCTATTTCCCTCGCGGGGAGTTCCGGTTTGGGGGGTGGTGCTTCGATAGTCGCTGGCCTCCCCAGCGGCGACACCGGCGGAGATGGCAGCTCGGCCACCGTCACCGAGACGGCGGGTGCGGAAGCATCGGCACTCGTCGTTTTGCGTTTATGCGGGCTCGGTCGAGACGCAACATCGAGTTGGGACTGGTTGAAGCGTGATAGAACGGCCGTGCTCTCTTTCTCGTCCGGCGCCATAGCTTGCCCTCTCTCTTTCCTTAAAAGGGCCGGAAGGCGGGATGGGGTGCGCTACTTTTCTTTTCTTTTCCTTTTCCTTTTTGAGAACACGATAGTCCGCAACAGTGCCTTTGACGCAACCTGGGACCGGGCTTGTAATTTTAATATTCAACTAGAACTGGTAAGGGAGTTCACTGCGCGCTTCCCCGTCCGGCGCCGGGAGTGGGGCCTTCCGGCCGTCAGTCAAGGAGGAGGACGGCCGCGATCCTGGGTGGAAAGAACTGCTGGGGAATCCCAAGTCGACCGAAAATTCTGGTGGCAGATCGTGGGGCGGGGGGTGTTAACCGATGTGCAGGTGGGGTTAATATTACTTGGTAGCGCCCACTGTTTGCGCCCTTGCATCTGCAAGAGGTTCATCCCACTTTACCCACTTCACCCACTTCAGCTCACTGCACTTCAGCCCACTTCAACCCCCCATCCTCAATCCCGGTCTTAATCCCCGGGATTCCGTCCGCAAGGCCGCGTCTGACCACCGGGTATTGTCCGAAAGTGACGCCGAAAAGTCAAGGGAAGGATGGGCTTGGGCGGGCTGGGAGCCCCGTTTTGACTAATGATGGCCCGACTAGGGAGAAGGAAGGGCTGATGAACCCTGATCCTGCATTGCACTCCTCAACACAATGTCAGATGCGCGAGATTATTGTATGGGGGTACACATGTGATGTGTCCTGTGCTGGCACTGTACTCGATGTTGTACACGTACTACATGTACATAGTGAGAGCCTTGAGCCATCCAACAGTCCCCTTGCCCATCCCAACCCGGGCAACCCACCCCAAATCCTTCCTCGTCCCCCCACTCCCCCTCCGTCCCAACCACCAAGCACTCAAGCCCGCCGTACCACCTTCATACGCATCGCATCGACCGGTTTGGCCGTCACCTGCGCCGTCTGGATGCTGTCAGTATCTGCCTCACTCAACACGACTCTCACCGGACTCCCCGAGTTACTCACATTGTACATCTCCGACTTGGTCCTGTACTGCCCCTTGTCGTTCAGGACCGGCTTCCCCTTCTCATCGAGATCAAGCTCGCCGAGCCCAACCTTCACAAAGTCGTACCGCCTCGCCACAGCCGCCACGATCACGCGAGCCTCAATAGTAGCAAGATCCTGCCCGATGCAGTTACGCGGGCCGCGCTCGAACGGCCGCCACGCGCCCGGCGGGTACTTGCGGCCGGCCTCGTCCCGCTTCTCCGACTCCTCATCCGCCCCGGCGCTCATAATCTCCACCCTATCCCCCAGCCACCGCTCCGGCACAAAGTCATCCGCCGTATCCCCAAACACAGTCCGGTCGCGCTGAATGATGGTCGCACAATTATAGATAATCGCCCCATCCAGACAATAACTCTGCCCATCCTGCGTGCGCACCGTGAACCCCGACCCGGGCGGCGCCATGCGCGCCGTCCCCGCAGGCGGATACACACGCAGCACCTCCTTGACCACCGCCGTGGCATACCGCATGCGGTTGATGAGCTCCTCGCCGCCGGGGGCCAGCAGGCGGGCGCGGACGGCGGCCGGGTCGGCGTCGGGCCCGAACAGCTCGTCCAGCTCGTCGCGCACGGCCTGCAGCACGCGCGGCGAGCGCGAGAACTCGTAGAAAATCCAGGCGAGGAGGATGCCGGTGGTGTCGTGGCCCGCGAAGAGGAAGGACTTGATCTGGTCGCGCGTTTCGGTGAGGAGCGCCGGGCTGAGCGTGTCGCTGCCCTGCAGGCTGAGGCTGAGCACGTCGCGGGGCTTGCGCTTGGTGTGGCCGTTGCCGTTGCCGTTGCCGTTGATGGCGGTTTGGTGGTTGTTGTGCTCGGCGTGCTTGGTGCGGATCATGGCTTCGAGGAGGCGGTCGATCCGCTCGCTGAGCGTGTGGCGGCGCCACTCGCGCATGGGCGACATCCACCGGCGGAAGCGGCTGTACTCGACGCCGTACTTGTTGAGTAGCTGGTCGTACAGCTTGATGAACTCGCCCTGGCCGGACGACTCGGCCCGCTGGGCGTCGAACTCGACGTCCATGGTGACGGCGCCGATGATGTCGAACGTGAGGTTGATGGTGTTGCGCAGCATTGGGAACTCGTCGCCCGAGAGGGCGTAGCGGTCCAGGTGCTCCATGAAGATGTCCGTCTTGTCGAGGATGCAGGGCAGCAGCGTCATCAGGTGCTGCGGCGCGAAGCCCGGGTTGAAGCGCTTGCGGAGCTGCTTCCATTCCTCTTTCTGGGGTGGGCGGTTAGCGGTCACGAGACAGCTACTGAACCAGCAGCACCTAGTGGGACGAGCGAGGCGGCAGATGAACACCCAGGTCACTTACCCCTTTCATGAAGACGGACTCGGGCCCGACCAAGCGCACCAGAGCGCCCATTGTGGGAGACTTGGGCGTGCTCCAGGCGAACATGCTGCTCACCCGCGTGATCTGCTCGGCGATATCGTGGCTATTCACCAACACCATGGGATAGGTGGCAGGGCGCAAGTCGAGGAGCATGAGGGGTGGGTTCCCCGCGTCCTTCGCCATTGCCGCAAAGACGTGATCTAGCGGGCCAGTGGTCAATTATTCGCTTCAACCACACTCGAGCCGCAGTCAAGCTTTGTGCTTCTCGGGAGGCCCGGGACATACCATGATGAATTCCTGGAGGCCCCTTCAGCGTGTATTCATGAATCGTTTTCAAGTGACCCCAGATAAAGGAGGTCTTGAACTGGGGGAAGTTGGCAAACTGCTTAAATCGGCGGTGCCATGTTGCCGCGACCAAGTACGTGACCACCAGCGGGAGGGCCAGTAGCACGAGGTTCGCAATCATGATGCTCAAGATAATTAACCCCTTAATGGAGAAGGCGAACGGGGAGAATTCAGAAGTTAGGCCATCAAGTGAGGTGTACCAGGTAAGACGACAGCTCGACAATCACTCCTACGCGTCGCTTAACAAGCGTCAACACAACCCGGAACTGGCAGGATCGGATGTCAGTCGGGATGGAAGGATGGAACTTTGAAATGCTGGGGGGTCTTTTCTTGATCAAGGGGGGCAAGGTTGGACTGAAAGTGGAGTCTAAGTTGCCAAACAGGGGGGGGATTTCCATGGCAAACGGCCCCATCTACAGAAAAGGAGTGGTTGGCAGCTCACATCAGCCAACTTGGCGTACTGTTAAAAATACTCGCAACAGGGTTCTTGGGGTTGACTTGATTGATTAGGGCTAGCGCCTTGGAGGGACTCATCATGGCCAAGACGGAAAGAATCTTGGGTTTAGGAAATTATATAGTTATCAGAAAACATTCAGAGAGTACGAAGTAAGGTAGTTGGCTTTGTAGCCCTCAAGCCCGCCTGTGCTTTTTTGTAGCGGTCCTGGTCCAAAGTTCCATCCTGGGGGTGCATCTAGGCGCGTCGTCCCGGCTATTTACACCCTGTTCCACCCGGAACAGAGGGGATCCGGAGCCCAAGCCTGACACCATCATTGATTGATACTTCCATGTTGTGTTTGTGGGTTGTGCTCGTCGGGTTGGAGGCAGAGTCTGGCATGCCCTTGGGAGTTGTGAATTGACACGGCATACCTCCCCGACGGTCTGCCCTTTGGCAGCGTTGCGCTTCAGAGTAGGAATCGTCGGAATCGTCGGAATCGGGGGAATCATACTTAATCGGAGCCCAGGTGTAAACCATGCAGAGTGACGCAAGACATTTCAGAAGTTGTGCTTGGGGGGGGGGGGTGGGGGGGGGGGGGTTGGAAAGTACCTCGGAGCTACCTCCTGTGTATGGACAGAGATGTGCCAGGCGCCGATTGGCTTCACATTTTCAATGACGACCTACCACTGCGGACAAGACTGGAAGAAACGCCGAGAAAAAGCGAGAAAATATAGAAGGAATGTTATAAAAAGCAGTCCACTGAATCAGAAGTTGGGAATTGAGAGTGCAAGTAAACAGACTTTATTCCGAGTTGAATAACCTAATAGATGCAAACCAATTTGTTTGTTCCACAATCTGTGGTCTATCATAATGATGATGATGATGATGATGATGATGCCAGTGAAATATGATGCCCAAACCCCCAAGAGTCATTATGAAAATCATGCCCATGCGTAACCCGAACCAATGCCCAAATCCAAATGCTGTTCCCAAGTAAAAACCGAAATCTCAAACTCCAACCGTCTAATGCTGACTCCATGATGCGTTGTTGCCACTAGGGAGGGGGACAGAAGGGGAGAACCAGCGAGCGCCAGCTTGCTTTCACAGCCGTCTTGAAATCTGTCGGCTCAATCCTGGTAGGACCCCGGATCTCAAGACGGTGCGAAAGCGCGCCAGAGTGTGCCCCTTTCTCAGGGGCCTCGCTCGGTTCCCGATCACTCCTCACCCACCGGTCGCACTCTCCCCGCGGAAAGCGAAGACGCGATCAGAAGTTGTGGGTGGCGCGGCGGCTGAACTGTTGGCCGCGGCTGCCGACGGAGCTGATGCTCTCGCTGGGGGCGATGCTGCAGTCGTCGCGGGCGCGGTCCTGGAAGCCGTCGAGCTCGCCGACGACCTCCCACTCGCTGGAGCTGGCGCCGGCGTTGCTGCGGCCGGCGGTGCTGCGGGGCAGGGGGATGTCGGCGGCCGACATGTAGGAGCTGGCGGCGGGGGGCCCGCGCATGAAGGCGGCGGCGTCGCGCGGCGGGCTCATGCGGTAGCTGTCGACCGTGTTGCCGCGGACCGAGCCGCTATAGCCAGAGTCGGCCGAGGAGGGGGCATAGCCCGCGGCGAGGGTCGGGGGCGGGGCGCGCGCGCCGGGGCCGACGATGCTGGCGCCGTCGCGGCTCGGGGAGTTGCACTTGACGAAGCCGGACTGCACCAGCACCTGGACGCCGGCGGGCAGGGCCATGTGGCCGGTGCCTTGGGTGAGCAGGATCACGTCCTCCTCGCGGCCGGTGCGCACACCGTTGAGGAAGACGATGCTCTGGCAGCCCTTGAAGTCGAACTCGCGCTCGAAGCTCTCGGCCGCAAAGGTGTGCGAGTCCTGGCGGTCGCCGGCGCTGAAGACGGCGTTGGTCTTGTCCGACCAGCGTCTTCTCTGTTGGCCATGTGTGAGCAGCTGCTAGTGGTTTGCGGGGGAGGGGGAGGGGGAGGGGGAGGGGGAGTGGCAAGGGTAAAGGGAGGGTCTCGCTTACAAGCTCAGCGGCGTCGATCATATTGGCGGTGGTGGGGTGAGTCTTTGAGATGAACTCGAAAGTCTTGTTAAGTGTTTGAATGGTGGTGGTGGTGGTGGTGGTAGTGCTGTTGGCTGCTGTGTTGCTTTGATGCGATGAGGAATGAAAACGAGGGCATCATCTTGGGAGAAGAGTCTTCTATTTAAGCTTGTCTGTCGGCCGGGATTCAACGAGAGGGGTCAGTTTCAACGCGAGTTGTTCATGCCCAAGTCCATGGCTCGATGGCATCGCGTCACTAACGCAGCGTCTACCCACAGTGGGATGTTCAGGGGTCGCGTCTTGGAGGGGAACCCAACCAAGCGCTACAGAATATGCGTCAAATCCAATCAAACCATGGCCACGTCCCGAGGATTAGTTTGGAGCCTGACGACAATGCCCGAGGCGGGTCCGGGTTCCCCTCCAGACCCCTCCAGACCCATGGCCACTTGGCAGGGGAGTTGTCTCCTGGGCGTGACGTGGCGGTCTTCACCGACAATTCTACTGGCGCCTCACATCACGGTGGAGCCGGACAATGGCCGAGTCACCTTTGCAACGGGGCGGAAATCGCGGCGCTCTCCTATTGGGCGCTTCAGTTCAGCCGTGATCTCGGGGCATCGTGGCGGTCAGCTGTGAGGACGAGGGGCTCTGGGGCGAACAAGCTAGGGCCTGAAACGACTCAGGGCGCTTGCTGTTGTTGTCTGTGCGTGCGTGCATGCGTGCGTGAGAGACACGATCGACTAAGACACTGGAGATGGCTAGGGTTTGATGGACACACATCATGTTGGCCCAATCCTGGGCGCGTCTTGGGCTCATTTGGGTTGCCTCAGAGGGGCTTCTGGAACCAACACGAACACTGGCGTGAAATGAACTGCATGCGAAGTGGAGAGGATGATTCTTCTCTTTCTGGAGAGAGCGCTGGAAGCGCGCCCCAGTCATGAGTTCGGAGATAGAACACTTAATTATGACATGTTGATATTAAGTAACTTCTCAAATTGTTAGGGAACAACAGCTCCAAGCCCGAGCGAAACTGTTGCCGTACTTCCCGCGACCCGTTGACTACCTGGTAGGTACCAAAGTATTACACTACCTCCGACTCAAGGAAAACCCGAAGCCCGAGTTAGCAAGACTTGCAGCTCAGATGCGACTCAGCTGTCCCTTTGCTGCATCACCACCTCTGGTCCTATCGGCTGTGTTTCTCTCGCTTCCGAGAATCAAATTGACGTGGTTGCTGAGCGCAACCAAGTCTCCGTCTTGGTCGAGCAGCAGCACCTCAAGATCGAACCGGCCGTCTTTGATTTGCTTTGAGTGAACCCGCATCTGCAACCACTCCAGCCCCCCCTCCGGTAGCGCCTTTTTGATTTCGAGGTTGAGCACCACGGTTGGATACCAGAAGGTGGCGCCGGGGGCGAACGGGACGGTCTCGCCTCGACTTTGCAGCTCGGCGGCCTCCTTTTTGGTCGGCCGCTGGGCCTCGACCACGTACGGCCAGCAGTCGGCGACGTACCCCAACGAGGCGGCCGTGAAGTTCTCGCCAGACGCTAGCCGTACCCACTTATCGAGGACGGACTTCGTTGTCCGTCCGCCCCGGGGGTCGTAGTAGATGCAATTCCGCAGGCATCGCGCGTAGCTCAGCGGGCTTCCGCCGGGGAACTCATACCGAGACCAATGGGCATCACGGTCTTCCCTTAGCGCGGCAAAGTCCGGCCGCGGAGGCGCCGGAACCGGGTGTTGCAAAGTGAATCCCGTGGGCAACGAGATGCCTCTCTCCTTCTTCAAGTTCGTCATGGTGAAGTACCCGGCAACCTCCTTGCGTGTCGACCCCTGTGTGATCCATGGAGCCGTGGGCAAGAGTGCATGTTGGTAGAGGGTTATATGGAGGGTTGAGAGCTGGCGGCCGAGTTTGACGTCCTCGATGATGATAATCGCTGGCCCTATTTCGGTACGATTCAGGAACTGGAAGTGGGCGTTCAAAACATCCCTTTGTCCCGCTTTTTCAAGATGGAGGCTCGCTGCCTTCAGGATACACGACGCCACATAGCCCCCATTGGGTACTGTTATTTTTGTCAGAACTCATTATCTTGGACCATACGATGAAGGACAGCGAAGCGGGTAAGCTTACCAGTTCCAATGCAGAAGGAGTCGACAAGATTGGCTCTGTACGTGTGTGAGCCGACCCGCTCGATTTCCGTTGCTTTCGAGAAATGGATGAGACCGTCTGTATTAGATTTGCCCATGATGAAGAGGTTTATCTCAATGTGAGTTCCCTTGATACTATCAGTTATGTCACCGTCGAGATCTCGTCTCTTGTGTATCCGTTCGGTTTAACTGGCTGACTGGGAATTTGATTAACCGCCCGGTTGATGGCCCGGGTTGGGCGCGTCAAACACCGGGACCCAATGGACTCGGCCTCTCCGTCGGAGCTAAGACATTGGACCTCGGCTGTTTGAAGGGCAAAAGACAGGGATGGGTATCCGTCCTGTCTCCCCCAACAAATGCCTTCAAGAGGTACGGCGGGCCAAAAATATGTCAGAATGAAGGAACCGGTGACCTTTCACAAGAGCGTACAGAGTGCGAAGCGAAAATCATACCCCTAGACCAATTGCCCGATGATTTGATGAGGGCTTCGCCAGGGACCTTCGTGAGACGGCGGAGTCTCCTCCTGGAAGCCTCGGCTTTGCCCTGTGGGTCATGGAAGCATGGAAGGGCCGTGAGTTGAAATATTCATACTATTATTGGTTGTTGAAGGTGCGATACTAGTATCTGAGGGACTGGCTGCGAATGGTTAGAGTTTGGTTGGGGATCCAGGAGGATTCAGGGGCAATAGGGCGGGATGGACCGTCAGCGAAGTCTCGGCAAGCACATGTCAGAAAAATGTCACAAGACGTTGCCCACAGGGCTGGTGGTGTGGATTCTCATCCGCCCAGGACGGCGGGAAGCCAGGGGTACAGGGCTGAGCTTATTCAACAAAATTCTGCATGTAACCCTTCGGTGGGGGTTCTTCGGTGTTGGTTCTTCGGTGTTGGTTCTTCGATGTTGCGATGAAAACGGCCCCCACGTTAGCTGGTATATCTCAACACAGGACCTCGAAAACAAACGAGCAAACCTGGACCCTCTGTTCTCGACCGTTTACCTCCCAAGCTGTAACCTCACCAGCAGCTAGCCGATCCCCTCACCACCCACCATGTCCAAAGCAGTCACCGAAAGCGATTCCTCCGCCATGCTCGGCTTCAAGAAGCTCAGCAACCAAGTCTACGTGCAAGACGGCCCCCAACCCAGCCCAACCAACCCAACCAACCCCTCGGACCCCAGCACGGTAATAATCTACGGCTGGGGCGACGCCCGACCACGGCACGTATCCAAGTACATCGCCGGCTACCGGGCGCTGTTCCCGCACGCCCAGATCGTGCTCATCTTCTCGCCCATCCTCAAGGCCCTCTCGCAGAGCCTCGAGGCGCGCACGCAGAACATGGTCCCCGTGCTCGAGGCCGTCTACCCTTCGGTGCTCGCTCCCCACGCGTCCGACGCCAGCAAAGCGGACGGGCGGGTGCTGCTGCACGTCATGTCCAACGCGGGGGGCATCAACTGCGCGGCAACCATGAACGCATTCTCCGAACGGACCGGCGGGGCTGCGGTGATGCCGCACGGGCTGATGGTGTGCGACTCGACGCCCGGCAGCACGGATTTCGGGCGCAACGTCGGGCCGTGGTCGCGGGCGCTGACGGTCGGGATGGCGCGGTGGTTCCCGTGGCCGGCGCGGGTGACGCAGGGGCTGGCGGCGGTGTTGCTGGCGTTTCTGTACGGCGCCGGCTGGGTGCTCGGGGCGACCAGCGCGGGCGAGTACAGCAAGCTGGCCGTCAATGATGCGCGGCTGTCGGATACGAGCGCGAAGCGGCTGTATTTGTATTCTAAGGAGGACGAGATCATTCGTTGGGATGATATTGAGCTGCACGCGGCCGACGCCCGCCAGAAGGGGTGGAGCGTGACGGCCGAGATGTTTGAGGGCACGTCCCATGTCGGCCACATGCGCGCCCATGCCGAGCAGTACTGGGCGGCTATTGCTGCTGCGTGGAAGGAGGCGGTAGCGGGAGCAGATGGGAGGAATGGGGGACCTGGCAACGGGGGCTCAAAATTATGAGCCTGCTCGAGGGGTATCTATCGATTAGTAACTGGAATATTCAGTCCTAAAACCTTGTTACCGCCTGCTACTCTGAAAGGAAGCTGGGCACCCGAAATTTCCGTTTTCGTCCGCCGTCCTGAGCTGGGGTGACCTGGTTTGTACTGAGCTTCCCCTGATTCTACCCCGAGACAACGCAAGCTACCTGCCTACCCCAAGGTACTGAACCGGACTCGCTTTTTAATAATACGGCCCTCCCTGGTAACCCAAAGAACCATACGCGAGGTCATTCTGAGCCGGCCTCCTTTGCTGTTTCCCACCCTCCCCACCGTCCGAGCTCCATAGCGACTTCCACTTAGCCGTCTTCGCCATGAATTTGCTCAAGCCTTTCGCCATACTCTCCAAATCACTATGTCCGCGACCCCCTTGACGCTCGGAGCTGCTATACCCTGCCTCGTGACGATGATTGGGGTCTCGCCCAGGGGTTGGGTGCTCCAACTCCCTCTTGAGACTGCGACCGTCTTCCTCTGCCTTGCGGAGAAGGAGCTGGAGACTCTCTTGTTCGCATCGTTGTTTGCATTCTGGCACGCAGTGATGTTGCGCTCCATGGAGCGGAAGTGTGGGCCCAGAGCTCATCATCGCCCGCGGAGGGTAGGGGATTACGGCTTGTTGGAAGCCTGTTGCGGTGTAAGGGTTGCGACCTAGGGAGGTGTAGTCAAAGGTGGCTGTTGGAACCGAGGCGGCGAAATTATGCTTCTGCATTGGGATAGACGCATATGAGTTCTGTGCAGGATGATGGGACAAGGAGTTGAAGTCATGCGAAGGAACGCCCAGCTGGCTTGACTGTCTGCCGTTGCTCGGAGGCAGGAGTTTACGAGCTCTGTGATGTTCTTCTTGGGTCATAAGCTGATCGAGTGTTATGTTCAGTTGGTGAGTTTCCAAGACAGTGGCGCGAACTTTGGCATCGGCTGCGTCTCGTTCCTCACGCAAAACACGGAGGAGGTTGACGTCCTTCTCGCGGACGGCGTCATCCATGATCGATTTCAGGTACGACATGTCTTGTTGGTGCTTTTCCTTTGCTTCGAGCAGTTCTTTCTGAACGTATTGGCCTGCTGCCGTGGTATCAAGTGTCTTGCCCTCCACAGCCAACTCGTGTTGGATGGAGAGAACAAGTCGCGGCTTGGCATTGACGGCGAGATCCCGGACGATCTGCAGCGCGGATTCCCGTGTCCCAGCGTGCGATGTCATTTTGCTGTTACCTTGCAGCATGGGGGCCCAGAACGTTTGCCGGAGTTCGGATGCCCGTTGAGTAGCGGTGTCGATGTCGATGCTGTCCCACATGTTCATGACCAAGGCAACGCTGTCAAAGTTGGAAGGACCACATAATCTCTGCAGGATCTCCAGGTTCTTGACGGCGGTGCCCGAGAACCGGGGATCTGTAATGCGGTGAAGATAGACAATGCCCGCGAGACGTACGTTGCTGTCGTGCAGAGCCAGCAAGAAATGGACCATCTCCTTGAGTATTTCAGCATCGGGGCGAGTCGTGTCGTCGAAGCCCGGTGTGTCAACCAAGATTATCTCTTTTTGGTTGTCAATAAAGGTGTAGGAAGCTGCCTCGGTTGTGTCTGACGGTCGGGAAGAATGTCAGCCGACAGGGCGACCAAGCTTGGGTGATGGCTGGAAAAGGGGTTACTCACGAGACTCTAGGCCGTGGCCGACTTCCACGTTCTGGTCGGTCAGAAGAGAGATGAAGGTGCTTTTCCCTGACCCCGTCACGCCCATGAGGACTATCGCCAGCTTCTCAACGCGATCTTCGGTCATGGCCGGCGGGGGCTGCACCTTGAGTATCATTTCATCAGTTGGTGGAGCAGCCTTCGAGAGGTGGCAGCTTGCTGGCCGTGATTTGGACGAAACAAGAAAATGAGTTGGAGGAGCGGAGATCGGTCGAAGTCCAGGACGCATGGATGTGCAAACCATTCCGCCTTGTGTTCGCAAGATCAAGAGATACTCAGCTCCCCTCTGTGACTCGGCATCGGGATATTGCGGACTGGAAGATTAGCAAAGTTGTGGTTGGGTTGATGTGGGAAAGACTCTCGCTGTCCCCTGATTTGGAAGACACAACTCGGCCTGATACCCCACGTCGTGCCCCAGGGACTGAAGAACACGTCAATAACTATTGGGCATAATTTCAGTCATGCTGTAGTTGGTTGTTGAACACCAAGTTACTTGAGGGAATCGGGATGGAAGGCCTCACTGCTTTTGAGGGGGGAGTAATGACAAGGGCTTGAATGGCTGTCATTCATGGCGATCCGGGTAACAGTGCCTGAATCGGGATGGAAGGCCTCACTACAGTGAGGGGGAAGCAATGACAAGGATTTGAATGGCTGTCATGGCGAGCTGGAACGGGTGCCCCGCCCCCTTCTTTCCACTCAACACCCTGTGTAACACTCCTTCATGCATGCACAAGGGAACGCAGTTGGGCCTCAATGTGCAGACATGAAGGTGCCGCAACGAGATTTACACTCGCGCTCATGTTTGGGAGGGCAATGTCATCGCCGCCTCACACTTTGTTCATATTCGGCAAAGCCCGCTCTCATCGAAAGTTTGTTTTACATGATTTCCCATGAAGGATCTTTCCCATATTTCTCGTGGTGAACCCTGGAAGCTCACTCATGCTTAAGCTGGAAGTGCCACCAGACCACCTTTACCCCCTTTTGCCCTTGAGACTGCAACGTCACCACCATGACCGCTTGGGAGGCCATGGACACGAACGAGGTGAAACCTCCGCAAAAGTCGACAGGCCCCGACGGAGTCATGCCGGATGAAATGGAAAAGCTCCCTGACGAGGCGCAGGGATTCCATGTTGGGTCAGTGTGCTTCTGTCCCCTGTCATTTTTTCACGTGAAACTGAGGCTGATCTGGTAGACCTGATGACACCGTGATTGCGGTAATGGGAATGACGGGTGCCGGCAAGAGCACCTTCATTTCGCACTTCTCGAAGGATGCAGTGGTTGGTGATTCGTTGATGTCTTGTATGTGCAAAATCTCTCCCTTTGTTGTTTCTGTCCCGCGATCCCGTCCGAGGCCCTCAAAGTTCGCCCCTAACCCACGGGTCTCTCCGAGAGACAGGCACCTCCAAGCTTAGCATTCACCCTGTTCGCACCGCTGGAAAGGACATCTTCCTAGTCGATACACCTGGCTTCGACGATACAAGCCGATCTGATGCCCTTGTCCTCGGAGATGTGGCCGACTGGCTCAGCAGATCCTTCAAAGCAGGCATCAATATCTCCGGTATCATCTACCTGCACCGCATCACTGACAACAGAGTCGGGGGTTCCGCCGCCAAGAATCTCATCATTTTCAAGAAGCTTCTTGGTCAAGCGGGGTACTCCTGCGTCGCCATCGCCACAACACACTGGGATGCCGTCAATCCAGCGATCGGCGAGCGCCGTGAGCGGGAGCTTCGAGAGAACACGCGGTTCTGGAAGGAACTTGTCCGCGGCGGAAGCCAGGTATGCCGCCAGGATAACGGTATCACCTCGGCAACGGCCATCATCAACCACATTCTCAGCAAGCAAAAGAAAGTGACGTTGAAGATCCAAGTTGAGATGGCGGAGGGTGCGGCTCTGGGAGATACAGAGGCTGGTCGCGAGGTTAATTCAGAGCTGAAGAGATTGGAGGAAAAGCACAAGAAGGACTTGGCGATGCTTCAAGCGGACATGGCAAAAGCCCTCCAAGAAAAGGACGAAGAGAGTCGGGTTTTGCTGGAAGAGATAAGGGCCGAGCTTACCGCCGAGATGAGGGGGGTTAAGGAAGACAGGACGAAGTTACAGATGGATATACATAAACTTCGGCGACAATGGGCGGAGGAGGTTGCTAGGGAGCGAGAGGAGGCGCACAAGCGCGAGCTTGAGTACCAGAAGGCCCATGAGGCTTGGCGTCAGAGGGTTGAAGAGGAGATGACGAGGGCGCATGAGCAGGAACTGGCTCACCAACGGGCTATGGCCGATGGAAATGTCAAGTTGCAGCTACAACTTGCTGAGAACAAACGCCAGGAGGAGTTGATCAAGGCACGCCTCAGGGAAGAGAAGCTTGAAAGAGAGGCCGCTGAATTGCGACGGAAGAAGGGTATTTTCTGTCTCGTCATGTAGATTAACTCACCCGACTCAAGTCTGCGAGCATATATCATCCCCGACGACCCTTTTAGCGAAAACCTCCGAGTAGGAATCTGTTAATATGCTGTTATGCCAGTGGAAGACAACTGGCATCGAATACCCCGGCGATGCTATAGCTGCTCCTATTATCTCTTGTGAATATGTGATTCCAACTTTGTGAGGTCGAAATCAACGACATGCTTGACAGGGAATTTTGCAATTTTGCTCGCCTCGAACTATTTAGGCCATAAACTCAAACGCCCCCTCATCACCAGTTTCCTCGGCCCCTGTCATCGAATTCGGGAGGCTATTGCTATGCTGGGCCTGGTGGTTCCAGTAAAGCCCGGTATTATCGGCGCCGTGCGCGGTTATATCTCAACGTCTGTTCCCCTTTTTTACAAGGAGCCAGCGGCGTTGAAGTCCTTGAGGGCCTCCGTCACGCGGGTAGACATGGTCTTCTCACCCTCACGAACCCAGACCTGTAGAAATTAACATTTGCGTATTGAAGATGGCTGATATGGGAGACACATACTCTCGGGTCGTACTTCTTCTTGTTGGGCTTGTTGGGACCCTCGGGGTTGCCGACCTGGGTCTTGAGGTAGTCGATGTTCTTGGTGACGTAGTCACTAGGGTCATGTTAGCATGTAAATATCGGAATAATGAGCTTGGAAAAACTAACCGGATACCGGTCAGGTACGCCCACTGCAAGTCAGTGTCGACGTTGACCTTGATGACGCCGTGCTTTGAAATGTTAGCCTCCTGCTTTGCTTCGTGGGTTGCTGCTGGCTTACGCCAATGGCATCAAGGTACTCCTGCTTGCTCGAGCCAGAGCCGCCGTGGAACACGAAGAAGACTGACCCCGTTAGCGAGACATTCTTGGGATAAGGCGGGCACTCATGGTCCTACCAGGCTTCTTGTCGTTGCCGCCGAGCTTCTCAGAGACGTAGGCCTGGTGCTTGCCGAGCAGCTCGGGGTGCAGACGGACGTTGCCAGGGGCATAAACGCCGTGGACGTTGCTATTAACCCATTAACGACTGGGGGGTTTCAACGACGGTAGCGGGGTCTGTTACCCAAAACCGGCAGCGATCGAGAAGTACTTCGAGAGCGGGCGGAAAGCTTGCTCGCTGCGAGGGGGGTTAGTACGCTGTCGGTTACTCGCGCGGGGGGTTAACAAACATCTGCCAAATATCCTCGGGCCTATCCAATGCGTTAGTATTTTCCCTTTCTTGATGCGTAAGGACTGGTACTCACTGCGTGTAAAGAGAAGCGTTGTCAACCTGAGGGGATGTTAGCAGGGGCCATCACTGAGCCCATTGGTCCGAACTTACGCCGGTGTTGTCAACACCATCTTCCTCACCACCCTGTGATGTCGTTAGCGTCCAGTATGTCGAGCCGAGGAAACGGAAAGGGGTGCTAGTCATACGGTGATACCGATCTCCATCTCCAGCCACTGCTTCATGGGAGCCATGCGCTTCAGGTACGAGACGCATGTGCTGATGTTCTCATCGACGGGCTCCTCTATAACACGGTGTAAGCGTTGTTCGAGTAAGTAGTGGTGCGGCAACCACAGGGGTAGCCCGCTGAGGTTGGGTTGCCGACGCGATCGGGATTCTTGGATGACATACCGGACTACGATTTTATGAATGAGCATGAGGTTCGTGGAACAAGAGGAATAGGCTGAGCAGAACATACCAGATCGATCATGTGCGAAGAGAAGAGGGGGACGCCGTTCTGCTTGAAGAACTTCTCATCCTCGTCGAGCATGCCATCGAGCCAGGGGAGGAGCTTCTTGGCGCAGTGGTCGGTGTGGACTGATCACGGTATGTTAGTACCAGTTCACCGCAAAACGCAGTCGGCGCACTTACGGACGACGGGGATGCCGTAGAGGGGAGCGACGGCACGGATGTAGTGGGCAGCGGCGATGGCACCACCAACAGCGGCCTCCTGCTTCTCGGCGCTGTTCTTCACGCCCTTGCCGGCGAAGTAGGCAGCACCACCCTGGCTTGTCTGCAGGCTAACCACCAACTGTTAACATCATATTCTTCCGGACACGACCACGGGCACGGCCGGGACTCGGTGTTTGCTCGTACATGATGGGGGCCTTGGCATCGCGAGCGGCCTCGAGAGTGGCAACAACGGTGCTGGACGAGGTGACGTTGACGGCGGGGATGGCGAATCCCTTCTCACGGGCGTAGGTGAAGAGCTTCAGCACATCGTCGCCTGTTCCAGGGGTCAGTATCAATTTCAGATTCTCCGATCTCGGCGAGAGGGGTGCGCACCATAGATGACGCCGACGGGCAGGTTGAGATCCTGTGCACGGTTGACGTAGTTAGAAATTGTCATCTGATGCGGGCAAGGGAAGGAAGCGGCCCGAGCCGAATATTTGCGTTGTTGCATACCTCAAGAAGGCCCATTTTGGTGGTTGTATTTGTTGTTTGATGGTAAGTCCGGGTATTCTGCTTCTCAGGTTGCAATGGCGGGGCAATTCGGATCAGGTCGTCGCGATTGAGCTAGGGAAAATACTGAGCCAGAGAGCTTTCACACAAACAATGTCAGAAGGAGGAGGGAAAACAGAGATTCAGGTTTCGCACTAACGATCCGCCGCAGCCGATGAGGGATTTGTATGACGCAGTTTTGATGGGGATTATGGGTGGAGGGGCAGCTCGAGATGGAAGTGGGATGCCGTGAAAGTGGGATGATGTGAAGGTGCGGGGTCGTTCGGAGCTGAGCTCAACAGAATGGAAGCTGCTTCCGGGCGTCGCGGGGCACAAGTGGGGTGACACTGCCAGCTTCGGGCGCTGAGAGATCGAGGAATTTACGTCACAGTCAGCGCAATCTCCACCGTTGGCGATTGACAGTTGTTTCTATTCCGATAGCGCTCAATTACGTTTCGACCTTACGAGCTGTCAGGAATGGGATGTTTTAAGATCGCATTATACTCCGGGCCAATTGTGATGACAATCTATCAAACCGCTTCGGGGAGCAAAACATCGGAAAGCTTTTCGTGCCCAACTCCCCGGTGGCTTCTGGACTCGTCGGAATCGCGTCTTGGCCCAGCAGTTTGAACGGTTGGTGTCACGACCGGCGCAAGCCGGAGAGTCGTTCAATTGGTCGCATGGTGACTCGGCCCAATCAACCAATGTGAGGCAAGAAGACGCCCCGACAGCAACCGGTGTGATCAGGTGAACGCGATGTTTAGTGTTGACCTCGGCCCGAGTCGGCGAGTATTGTCGACTCTTCGGGATGACGAATGGCAACAACGAAGTCGGGTATATTTTGCACTGCGGAGTTGAGTTCAAGAAATGGTGTGTGATAGATTGTAAACTACCTAGCCTGGCAGGTATTAATGCCCATCTCATTCGTCTCGATCATGCGGATAACCCCCAACTTCACGACATCTTCCACAGCTTAGCAGCCTTGTCAGTTCGAGGATCCTTGTGTTGATGAGCATTCGTCGTCTGCTAACTAGAGGGCTAGAGGCAGCCTTATTTGCATTGGACCACGAGAGACTCTGCTAGAGCTGTTGCTAGACCTGTAGAAATCTGTGAACGCTCCCTTCTCCAACCAACCCCCCCTATTCTACGCCGTGCATGTTGATGTGTGGTGTGGTTTTGGGTTGTGTTTTGAGGTGCTGATACACCTGTTTGACATAGACGAGAGTGCGTTGGTGATCCGATTTGCCTCGTCCAGGGACTGGTTGGAATGGGATAAGCAGGTTGTGTCAGCAGTGATAGGCAACTGGTAGAATGGGCTGACACGACCGCCCCTGCTTGTGTTCCTGCCGGGGCTGATGCAGGATGGGGGAAAGGGGTTTGGTACGGGTTTGGTTGGGGCCGAGGCTTTGATGAGACAGAGGCGAGGTACTACTAGTATCATTAAACGGGCTGCCAAAGGATACCTTAGCGGGAATACCTACCAGGTAGATGACTGACTAGACCAAAATGTCAGTGATGAATTCCAAATGGCCCATCACAACGCCCACTGCATCTCATCACGGGGCACAACCCCATAATACCCCTCCGTCCGAACAACGTGCGTATCTCTGCCCTGCATCGCCCTCACGACCCTGTTAAAAGAGTAGACGACAGCAGCGCTCTCCGCAACCCCCCGCCAATCTTTATCGTATCCCCCGGCATTGAAGGTTTCCCACTCTACGGGGATTCCTAGCGGCGAAGCTGTACAGCCTCCGATAGACTTCGGGATCCGTGATCTGTCGCAACCCATAGACGATGGCGTGAATCCGAAGCAGACGACCAGTTTCAGATTCCAGATTGGCTGCCTCGGTTACACCTTTCGGTTCGTTGCCCCGGCCGCCGTGAACCTCCCGCCGACGTGGTATACAACAACTACAAAGCGTTCGTGGGCGACGAGCGAACGCTCTTATTTGAGTACAGCCTGCACGATCTCTCCATCATCTGCGACGGAGACTACTACAACCCCCAGCGAAGCTTTTCCACACAACAAACGCCGTTGACGGACTGGGAGATTTCCCTTGCCCCGGGCGGTTTGAAAGTGGAAGACTTGGATCTTGAGGGCCTCACGGGGCTGCGGATGGAGCTGTGGTGCGATATGACGCTGTTGGACCCTTGAAGCTCTGCAGGCAGGTATTGAGTACAATTTTTTGGGGAGCAGAATAGAATGTTGGACGGGATTCCAGTTGTTGACTGTGTTTGGATACAATAATGCACCGCGTTGGATATTCATTTCGCTGTCATAGTTCCCGCAGCCCATCCCTCGATCTCCAAGACAACTAGGCTAATTCAGCTATGATCGATCGAAAGTAGGTTGAGTAACCCGGGCTAGTCCCGTCTTAAAGCTATCCTGAGGATGCTTTTGGTAACCACGATATGCAGTTGGGTCCTGCAGTTCCCCGTGCAACACAGTTTCACTAACACCACTAGTTGACTCTTCCAGTCTGTTACGAATAGTGATGACCTCGGAACGCCAGTGCTCATTAACATAAACAACTTGGGGGATATCCTACTAGGCTTCGTAACTGAGAGAAAAGCATGTGCTCCCAACCTCGTAAACGACCTCCAACAATCTATTAGCACCCTGATTGAAACGTCAAAAAGCCTATGCAAATGCCGTACACGCTCCCAAAACATATCACGAGGTCCTGTAGACCTCAGCTTCTCAGCTCATGTCACATAAAATACTCTTTTCTCAACCGTCCCCGTTTCCTTCCAACCACACCTCATGCCTTCACCCTCTTCTTAATGCGAATAGTAGCCTGAAGAGGCGGTACCCTATTCAACCCAAACCACGAGTTCCGCGGGCGCTCCCCGCCAAGATCAATATCATAACTCAGCACAAGATGAGCCAGCATAAGCTTGAGCTCATTCGCAGCAAAGAACCTCCCCGGACAGGCATTACGGCCGTGGCCGAAAGCGAGGTAGTCGGTGCTGGTCGTGGCAAAAGCCTTAGCGGCGCGCTTGACATATTCGACACTCTCGTCGGAGCGCTGCTCGGCGAAGCGGAAGGGCTTGAACTCGGCGGCGTCCGGGTAGATGGCGGTGTCCTGGAAGACCGGGTAGCTGGGCACGTTGACGGTGACGCCGCGCGGGATGCGCACGCCCGAGGGCGTGACGATGCCCTCCTTGGCTACGACGGCGCGGCTGAGGCCGATGGTCACGAACGAGTTGAGCCTGGCAGACTCGCGCATGACGCTGTCGAGCTTTTGCATCTTGGCTAGCGCCCGCTTGTCCCACTGCCCGCCGTGCTCGGCGAGCACGCCCTCGATCTCGGCCCGGAGCTCGTCGATGTACTCCTGCTTGGAGGCGGCGAGTTCGAGGATGGCGCTGGTGATGGTGAAGGAGGATGTGTGGATGGCGGCGAAGTTGAGCAGGAGGATTCGGTCGGCGAGCGTCGTGGGCTTCCAGAGGTAGGGGTCGCCCATCTCCTTGGCCTGCTTAATCGTCCACTGGAGGAAGTCGTTGGGCTCGGGGCCGTGGGATTTGTCCTCGGGGTCGCGTTGGCGAGCATCGTAGTCAGCTAGGCGTTTCTTGATTTCGGGCACGAGGATGTTCCTGAAGCGCCCCGTGCGGAAACGGATGGGCAGGCAGAGGAATAGTGCTACCAGTGGCCGAATGGGCTTCCACACCATGCGCAGCACTGTCGAGGTCAGGGGCACGTCCTGGGCGTATCCCATGCCCTCGACGAGCAGCGCTGGGTCGCGGCACTTTGGCTTGCCCACGAAGACGCGGTTCGTGACACAGCCGACGATTTTGCGCATGGTGTCGTAGACGCACACCTCCTGGAACTCGGTGGGGCTGCCCCAGTGGTTATCGAAACCCCAGGCTGTCTCCTCGGCGACATCCGGCACGAGGTTTCCGATCTGGTTCGTCAGGGTGGTGGTAATGAGCTTGTGGTGTACCGGGTTGCGCACAAGGGATGGGTCGGTCGTCGTGTAGTCTGTCTGGAGGGCGTCGATCGCTTGGGTGTGCATATCGAGCTTAGAGTCGGGCTGGTCGGTGACGAACTGGGTCTCGGATCGGGGGAGCATCACCATGTTCTGGGCCATGGCCACGGGCATGAGCACGGCCTGGTCCCTGTATTTTTGGTCCGCCTCCTGCACCGCCGCCTTGAAGTTGATGGTGTTCCTCCATGTCGCCTGGTAAAAGGGGAACCAGTCACCTTCTTTTGCGCCCAAGATAGGAAGCTTAGGAAGCTTCGGCCCGGCAAAGAAGAGCTGGTGTATGATGAAGGCGACCAAGGCCACGGCCGGGACCAGCACCGCTGGCCGAAGAAGGAAGTCGGTCATGGTGTTTGGTGCACTGGTTGAGGGGATTTGACGTCGGCGAGTTGAGAGGAGAGGAGAGAGAGGTCTGATGGCTTCAAGTTAAGTCCGTCACTCAATGACCCCGGGGATTTCTCTGCCGCCCAGGTTCGAATTAGGACGCTGACATCCAAACTGGCCCGATGCTCCGCCCCTCTTGATATTAGTAATTTGCGAGATTGTTGTGCCTGACGCAGATAATGGATGTCGTGACTCGTGGACTGTAAGTTTCACACGGTGGATGGAGGCCAATGAAGTGTTGTTGGAGTGTGGCCGAGGGCGTCACTGCTTCCTTCATTCAAGTCACACATTTCGGTTATGGCCGACTCTAAAGTCGAGTGGAACAAAGTACCTTTATGAATGACGGTCTTCAGATTGCCAGGCGAGAGAGAGTGTGACCCTCGAACCGGCGACCCACTTACACGGTACGAAAGTCCTACACAGTACACTAGTATTCCGTATTTCCATGAGCTCAGTGAGAGTGTTCGCCAAAAAGTCCCGCTCGCTCTCGCACTTTGTGGCGAATGGCAATGAATTCCGGCCTGCCACTGCCTGTTATCCGAAGTCCGGTCCCTTGCTCGCAAACCTGGAAGGCACGCTCCATTGCATCCTGTCATCGGCGCTAATCTATGGCAGGGTTGGCGACTGCCGTAACAGGGAAGGTGCCCTGCCAGTGCCTTCCAACCGAGAGGGAGCTTGTTCGGATCCCAGGGTTCCCGCGTCGGTTGCAATGGAAAACTCCACTTTTGGCCCAGAAGTTCGCAAAAATTCCTCCGCCAAAAGAAGTGCGTGTCAGACGCTCATGATTCGCCCTTTCAAAGTTCCCGAACCTTCCCATGATCAATCAATGCGACCTTGCAACATCACTGCAGGGAGTCGCGGAGTCAGGGTTGCTGCACCGCCATCCGATGTGGATGCGATGCGATGCGATGCGATGCGATGGGCGAATTTCAAATTGACTGTCGTGACTGTCTCGCCGTCAAACTTGTTGGACTTCCTGTGAGTACACTACTGTGTAAGTTATGTGGTGATCCATAACATTGTGCTGGCAGCCAAAGGAAGGGAAACTCGCCGCGGCGGGCTGCCAGGGTTCCATTCTTCTGACGCAGCTCCCTTCCGCTGGTGAGTTGCCCAGCTGCCCAGTGTACCTAGGTAGTTATCTCACTGTTCACATCCCATCACTCTTGTACTCCATCGTTAACGGGACTCGATAACGAAAGGTGCAGTGAGTTTGGCCAGGCACCTAGGCACTCATGTGGGACATCCACAGTAGATCGAATCAGGAGACACCAGGGCACAAATAGATTGTCCAATAGCCAAGAGCTTATTTGTACGGGCAGTTTCTCACCAACCTGTCCTGCCGCGATGCAAAAATCGACTTGGCAAGCAGCTCGCATCTCGGCGATCAGCAACAAACTGGGAGCGGAGGTGATTGACATAAGCCCGCCTTTTCCCACTGCCGGCTATAAGCCTTTGCTGTTTTACTGTTGGCGGCCAAGCTTTTACCATCTGTTTGATGCATTGGCGATCTTGGTGCAATGCCGTTGATGCAGAATCCATGGCCTTGAGGTTTGTTTGCGGTCCCGGCCGCTGTAGATCAATTGGGAAGTGGGTGTTATATGTATAGGAGCGGTTGGGGCAGGTTTCAAAGCCCGAGTGCTTTATATACAACGCTGGACAAATTGTAGATTGCTCGAACTTTATACTATTAGCTACTCCTCAGCCAACACGGCTCTTGAGTACTTCGTGCCCAATGGCGGTAAACGATGGCCAGTAAGTGCACTATCGCAGCGTTGCCATTCCCGACCACTTCCTCATATTTTGTTGACAGTGTCTCGATTCCAAGCATTTTATTGTTTCCTCGTCTTGTCTCCCCTCTTGACAGCCGCCCTCCAGACACAATGCCCCTGGAATCCCACCATCCCGCCATTACAACCAGCCGGGAGTTGTGTTTTGCCCATAGACGACGGCACTCCCATGCAGGTCCTTAACACGAGTAGAGAACTACCCTGGACCCATCCACCGTCCTGCGTCATTCCCAACTCCGCCGCGTCCGCCGAAAAGTTCTGCGTTTACTCTTCCTCCGCTTTCAACGACGGTAGCGGCATTGCCATCATCGCAGACCCGGAAACGGCCGCCGGTGTTGCAGGCACCGTCCAGGACCCTTTGCCAGCATGGCGTTCCCGCCAACATCTCGCCCGCAACGGTCGTTTGGCAACTGAGACTGTTGACCTACCGTATGCCGTAACCCCGATCCCAGGAAAAGGGCTAGGGGTCGTTGCGACGAAACGCATAAAGCGGTTCGAGACGATTTTGAAGAGCTATCCCGCTATGATCGCCGACAGCGAGTTTCTTTCTCTTAGGAAAAAGAAAGCTGTTGTCGACGGCCCTCGGCTATTTCAAAAAGCGCTCGATCAGCTGCCGGACAAGGAGCGTTTTCTCACCATGTCCAGGAGTGAGGAGGAACATGTCCATGCTGTCGAGGATGTGATCAAAACCAACGCTTTTGCGATTATCGTGGATGGTCGAAACATGAAGGGCGTTTATCCAGAAATTGCGGTATGTATGTTGGTAACCTTCGCACGTTTACGTATGTGCTGACCGTGATCAAAACAGAGGCTAAACCATGCCTGTGACGCAAAGTGAGCATTGTCAGTGAACTACCAAAGATAGAGACCTGAAGCTGACCAGTTCTAGCGCCTACAGCAAATTCACCAAGAAGGACCTCGCCATGTCGGCCGTAGCAACAAGGGACATCGAACCCGGGGAAGAAATCACAGTCAGCTGTATGGACCCATGCGACGTCACCCTTCCACCAGCCACTAACGAAGACAACAGATATCCCCCTAGGAATGCCAACAGCGCACCGAACTCGAGCCCTCAAAAACTGGGGTTTCAACTGCACCTGCAACCTGTGCTCAGCATCGCCCGAGGCCCGAGCAGCGTCAGACGAACGACGGGAGCGCCTACGCGAAGTCTATCAAACCATACAGCACGAATCGACCAGCTACAACACGCTAGTGAAACTGACCCAGGAACTGGTCGACTTGGCCCAGGTGGAGGGCCTGCTGGCAAAGGTCGGGGAGTACTATCAGGCTTTTATGCGGATTTACTACCGGGCCGGTGATGCCCAGACGGCGAGGAAGTACGGCCGGACATCGCTCAAATTGGCCGAGATCTTTGCGGACCCGGAGGGCGTGCTTTGTACTGGGTTGAAGGGGGATTTGGAGCAGCTGGATAGGTTGATACAGGGGGGGGGGGGGGGGGGTTAGTGTAGGGGCTGGGCGAGGGTAGCCATGGGAACAAGCTAAACGTGAGGGTGATTGCCTTGGGAAACTAGAGACATGACTGGGAGCTCGACCGCCGGGGAAAGGGTTCCATGTTGCTGTTGCTGGGCTAAGGTACCTGGGTAGCTCTCTCTATAACAAAATGTCTGACAAGAGCCGAGCTTAGATCTATGAAAAGGCAAGAAACAAGAGAGAGGGGAAGATAAAAGCTGAAGAAGAAGGCAAAAATAAGCTGGTCACGAGCCAAATCTGGGCACACAAAATTCCCATTTTCGTTGCGAGTCCTGAGCTCCCCATCTGGCAGGCCCTCAATAAACCCTTGCGGCACCCTCTCCCACGCAACCTCCAGGGCAGCTTCCACGATTTTGACACCCGCATCGTTCTTTCTCCGAGGTGGAGATCCGGAAAGTCTGTCGCAAACTGGCCTTCATACACCTCCAACGTGTTCAATGGGCTTGAAGTCTAGGCTGTGGGGAGCGTGTTCTCCAAGTTGAATTTCATAACAACGCGTGGCGGGTGAGGGGGTGATGAGACAATAACAGTTACTTTCTACGAATGACACCTGCAGTCAGGAACACGATCATCTGAGTGTCGTGTTTAAGCATAGGTTTGATACGTCTCTGGCACAAAGAAGGCGGAGTCGTCCCCCAGAGCCAGTTAACAAGCAAGCGGGTTTCGCCGGCAGGCATCTAGGCCTAAGACAGTCCAGCTGAATCGTAGAATTCAGCTAACATGATTTGTTGCGCGTCAAGCGGGAAAGCAGCGGCGCCTAGCCTTTGATCGTGGCGTGACAAGTGCAGCTGGGTTCCCATGCATGGAGGAAATTCGGCCCACCTGCCGATCACTTTGAGACATCTGATGGGGATCAAGCCAGCAGCGAATAGTCAGAGTCGGTGCCATTTATTGTACAGAGTAACCTGGTCGCCCTTTTTTTCATTTACCGCGAATCCCGCCAAGTTAATGGGTGTCGTCGCGCGCGGCAAGCTGATAAAAGAGGCGGCGCAGATTCCTGAGTCCAGTATTCTTTTTGTCCTTCTCACGTCACTCTCGTTGTTAGCCGGTGGCAACCATTCAATTCACTAGTGTTGGAGGCACTTATCGCCTCGACTTCGACGCCATGGAGCAGCTAGCCCAGACTGACCGGCTTGCAAACTACGAGATCCCAGGAGGCGGGCATGGAGGGCCGAACACGCCTGCCATTACAGACGGACCGGTACTTAAACGCGGGGCCAGACTTGTTCCGGTGCCTGGGGAAAACAAAGGGAACAGTGATGGTCCAGGTAGCTACACATTGCCCGAGGCGTAACGAGGTGGATGCCTACCTAGGTAATGCTGACACACTAGCAACCTAGGCTTCGAGTATGCCGAACACTGTTACATGGGAGACGCCATTGCCCTGACTCTTTCCGACGGGCGCACTGTGACAGCCAGAGACCACCCCTTCACCCTGGAAAATGAGCTGAGCGTTACCTACGGCCAAATTAACGCTCTCGCGGGTGATTTCTACGGCACCTCCGACCCCATTAGCGATGGTTCTGACGACAACAGTCAACGCGACCGCTTTACCAGGGCCTACATGGCTCTCGCTGGAAAAGATTCACGACAGCCCAAAGAGGCGGTTGAAATTCTCCGTATCCTGCAGGAAGAGGTTGACGCCGTCAATGATGCCCTTGCTAAGCATCAAGATCCGTCGGTGGCTTACAATAGCCTCCCCGATGAGACCGGGACTTTCGACCGTCTCACTAGTTCCCGCTCCGAAACACCCAAATATACCGACCTTGCCAGGATAAACTGGGATCACTTTGGCGCAGATGCCCGGACTGCGTATAACGCGGGCCACTCGGCAGCCATCGACGTGGCTGTCCGCGGGGAACTTGAAACGGCTTACACTATGAATGCTTTCGCCGACCACTACTTGGAGGATTCATTCTCGGCAGGCCATCTCCGCGTTCCACGTCGGTATCTCCACTCGAGCGACTATGTCTCGTTTGCTGATTTGTGCACTAAGGTTAGAAACTTGAAATGAAAACGAGACCCCGGACGTGTAAAACCACAAGGCGAGCGCTGACAGCATCACAGCTAATGCACGACGAGGACAATGCCATCGGCCTCACCGTCAGGAACCCAGCGGGCGAGACCTGGACGGCCTACGGCGACAAGCGGGGCTTGGACCTGGCCAACGACGAGAACAGCAAGCGCTGCTCGAGAGCCCTGCAGGTATCCGTCGATGAGATCTACAACGCGTGGAAGACCAAGACGACGCCTAGCAAGGCCAGCTACGGAGCGTGGACACACGCGCCGACGCTCGAGTCCGCTCTGGGACCGCAGACCCTGGCGCCGCTTTTTCAGGGCGAGAAACGGCGCGCTGTTATTAAGAATCGCCGTGCCTGGGCCTTCACCAGCAACTGGAGCTTCATGGGCACATTTATCGAGTGCTACTGGTGGAGCGGCTGGTGGAAGTACCCAATCACAATGGACGGACCGCACCATACTCAGCATGGCAGCGACATTGCCGCCACTGCCACTGACCCGACGAAGTGCAAGATCTACTGCCAGGACACTAGCGGTGTGATACGTGAGTACACTTTTGACGCGGATTGGAAGGAGACAGAGACGACGATTTTCAGCGCGAAGTTGGGCACCCCTTTGGCTGTCGTCGGCTGGGATTCGGGCAACGAGGTATGTACTCTGCGCCATCTGATCTGCCTGCCCCCTGCCCCCTCTCCCCGTCACCCTTTTTTAGCGTGACGTGTCTACCCAGATGCAGATCCTGACGTGAACTGCGCGAGACAGGTCCGCGCCTACTGTGTCTCAAACGACGGATACCTCGGCGAATGGTGTTATTCGTCTCGAGAAAGCAGCTGGTACGCCGGCTTCCTCACCGGCTCAAAGTTCGGCATTGACGACTTCGGTGATGGTACGCGTTCGAGTGCGGGGCTTGCCGCCGTGTCCTGGTCCGACGACACTGGGCGGCATATCCGAGTGTACGCTCGAGGTATGGTTTCAACTCCGCCATAGCTTCCATGTCACGTATCTGACAGATGACTAGACCCGGACTCTGGTAAAATCCAAGAATACCGCAGCGGCAATCCCTGGACAAAGGGGTCGACACTTCCATCCACCGCGACACTGGGAAGCAGGATTGCCGCGGCATGCTGGCAGCAGGATGACGGAATCCATATCCGGGTGCACTACCAAACCTCTTCCGGAACTGTGGAGGAGCACTACTTGGACGGAAGCTGGTCTATGCGTAAGCAGATAATACATCCCCGTAACGTTATTCATTTGCTAACAGGGATACAATCCGTGATACAGGCGAAAACAGCGTCGACGCGTTGCCATACGACAGTTCGATCGCCGCCGTCAGGTGGTAAGCCCAACAGTTTGGAAGGGATTCTTCGGCCGTGGGATGAGAGAAAGGGAACGAGCTGAGATTCCATTACCACCAGGGGGTCGATCTCAGGATTTACGAACAGCGCCGCTCGGGGGTAAGACGTGGGTTAGGGGCGACTTTGTTGGCTCTTAAGCTTGTGGGCATGCTGTGTTTGGATGACTGGGTGACTACCTATGGCAGTTGATTATTTCTCTAGGTAGTGAATGTGTTCGTTGGAAGCCCTTATCTCAAACATCAGAACTCGTAGGTTCTGAGAGAACATTGATTCGTGATGAGCACTGATTGCACGGCCTTCACGGACTCCCCGACAATTCGGTAACACACAGTATAACTGAATTATGTTGAGTGATTCATGAGGTGAATCTCATAAATGTCTCACCATACTATAGTACCATTACTTAGCTACTAGTAGTAATTACAGGGCCTAGGCCCTGTAATAGTAGATAATTTAGTAGGTAGGTAGACTATTATTATTGTAGGAACCTCTATATTTGCTATCTTAACTATAGAGCCGCACACCCATACCTTTTCGCGGATCTTCAGGGGAATGTTCACTACATGGAGAAAAACATGTTATAGACGTTCCACTTCCAGGTAGAGCGAGCAACTGCATTGCCGTCGACTGCATCCTCGTCGTCGACGGCTGATACTACATGCACACCGGTGCGTGGCCTGGGCCAGGGCGAGCTAAGCCTCCCACCAAGTTCTAGCCCTTGCCCGGAGGTATCCACGATGTCACAGTCTCCAGTCAAAACGAGCGCGCCATGAACATCTAAAAAGGCCCAGACCAACCCGATCAGCAACCCCTAGTTTCGCTCCGGACGGGGCGAGACGCGAAGCATTGTGTTGGCCAGCTTCTGACGACCACTTCTGCAAGAGCAAGGTGCACCGCGTAGGAGATGCGGACTGGAAAGGAACGCTAACTAGCGACTGCAGAATAGACGACTGTGGGAGCCAGACAGGCAGCAGCTTGGTCACGACGATGACATCGGAGGATTGTTGCCATAGTTGCTCTTCTATATCCAGGCCAGCAGCTATATAATAGAAGGCCTGGCACCCTTTGCATCCTCCAACTGCGTACCTCAACGACGTGATCCGCCACTGCTCGTTCCATCACTCATACCGGTTCCTATAGTCACGGGTATTCCTTGGCCGGCTATGCTGCGCTCAACTACCTACCTAGCCGACCAGTTTCACTCATAGCGGAACCATGGAGCACTCGTTCCAGTCGGCCACTGACCACTAACGTCCAGTATTATACCGAGATCTCATCCAAGGCCTTCATAATTCCCTCAATGAAGCACAAGGCTGTAGCGTCGTCGCTTGCATCGGCCGCCTCGGCGCCGTCAAAATCCTCATTGTTGTCATCCAAACATGTCAGGCACGACAGCACGACGCGAGCATACTTTTCGCCCATGCGCGGTGCCAGCCTTGCCTTGGTCCGCTCGACGAGGTAATCCTTCAGCCGGAAGGCGACAGCATCAAGGAAGCCGGCACTGCCATCCTGTCCTGTGCGAGCCTCGGTCGCACGGAGCCATTCCTGGAAGTGGTGGTATGTTCTTCCCAGCTTGGCCTGCGGCGGGCCGGCCACCTCAGCCTCGGTGGTGTACTCGACAAAGGACTCCCACAGCCCAATCTCGAGCAGGCACACCCCAAGGCTGTAGATATCGTGGTGCATACGGTACTTCTCGGCTGGGTCGTTGCCCTGGCGCAGCGGATGGCGGTAGACATTGCGGTCCCAGCGCATATCGCCGGCCATGATGGTGTCGGCGGCGCCGCCGCGGAAGGCGTCGAAGCCGACCAGGAACACGGGGCTTTTGGAGGCCCGCATGCCCTCGACCCACAGCACCGACTCGGGTCGCACGTTCTTGTGCACGAAGGCGAACGTGTGCACGTAGCTGACTGCCTTGGCGAGCTCGCGCGCCATGCCCAGCTTGCGCGTCAGCGAGATGTGCGCGTCCGAGTTGAGCAAGAGCTGCCGGAGCGACCGCAGCATCTCCACCTCGACGCCGTCCGGGATTCGAAAGACGAACCTGAAGCATGTGTAGTCATGCTGGTTTGGAGAAGGGCTGCGGGACCTCCTGCTCGGAGCTGGGGGACTCAGGTACGGAGGCTGTCGGTGACCGGGTGCCGCGCTAGACGATACGGGTTTGTGCCGCGGCACTGCTATCACTCCCTTGCAGTTGAGCAACCCAAAGGCAAAGGCGTCGGTCTGGGCGAGCTTAGTTGCCAGCACGCGCACATCTCGCCCGATATCGCGCACTCGGGCGGCCGGCCCAACTTCGACCGTGTCCAGGATGTACCATCTGGGGTCATCTCGCGCCAGCCGCCCGACCTTCACGGTTGAAAACTGGATGTCATGCCGCTCCATCTGTGACTCCTTGTGGAAGTCGAATTTGATCTTGGAGGGCTCGGTCGCGACCACTGTTCGCAAGCCCGCGGCCACAGCGAACGGGTGCCTGGCCGCGGTGGGACGCCCGCGGGCCTCGGCCTCGGCAACCCGTGCCTTGGCGAGTTCGCTGTCAATGATGGGATTTGCGATCTTCATTAGCAGGAACCAAGAGGGATCAAAGCGGGCCTTCCACGCCTCAAGGTCGATGATGACGCTGTCCAGGGTCTCCTTTTTCCATACCCAGGACGCCTTCTTCGCAGCTCTCGAACCAAAGCCCCACAAGCTCGGCCGTGCCAGTGAGGCCCTCCTATTAACGGTCTCGAGCGTGTTCATCGCCAGCGTCAGGCAGAGCGAGAGCTGGCGCAGGAGGTCATCCATGATGCGACGCATTCCATCGTCTATGATGGGCGCGATGCGCGACATGAACTCGGCTTGTCGCTTGGTGCGATCCCAGGTGCTGTTGACGATGACAACGCGCTGCTCCACCTCGCCGTCGGTGTTCTTCCACGTTTCGCATATCTCAAGCACCTTGTCGCCGAGTCTGTCATGGGCACCATCAGTCATCGAGAAACACCACCGACTGAACGTTTGGGAAGGGAAGGGTGTCCCGCTCACTCAAAGCACGTCATAGTGAAGGCGAGGATATCCATTCTGTCGCTTTGTTGATCTGTCGGCCAGTCGCTCAGGTTTCTACCATAATTATGTCCTCGATTGTCAAGTCCTTTTTAGAAGCCTCTCGGGATGTAGATATGTACACAGTACCTATCTTCGGCTTGGTTGGACGCAATGCTCCCGTACGACATGAGGACCCCCGAATGATTGCTAACACCGCACATCAAATATTCCACCAGGACGCGGACCACCGGCTGCTGATTCGCCATGTTACGAACTGCATACCCTCCTGCACACAAGCGGTTCCGGCGACCGAGTTTCCTTTCTCGGAAGTATTGCAGCTGCTGTGCCGCTGCATGTGAATGGTCGCTTTTCAGGCCGACGAATCAGGATATCGCGAGCGAGGGACTGGAGTCGAGCGGGATGTGATCTCCCCCCCGTTGCTGGAATTGCCGCCGGGCGGCTGTGTCTCTGGATCGGCAAGGCATACTAATACACGACGGGGAAGGACACCGCCTACTTCGTAGTTCGTACCTACGCGGCGGCTCAACACTTGGTACTCGTCACAGTACTCCGTCTAATACTCCTACTCCTCAGCCTCCTCCGGGCATCCGGCCATTGGAAACATGGATGAATTTCTAAGCGATTCTCTTCGCGCCTGGAGGCTAAAGACGCAACACGAACCGAATGGCGATCGGTACCATGAGTCGCCGGCGGGTACCGAGGTTTGGAGGCAGAGGGAAAAGCTGGGGGGTGGGTCGTTCGGAGTCGTCTACAAGGAGGAATGTCTATTGGGCCCGACGCAGAATGCAGTTCGCGCCGTGAAGCATATCCCCAAGTGGCAGCGCTCCTTTTCCAAATCGTCGCAGCGGGAGCTTGAAGCCCTCATCACCTTTTCCGATGCCCACGTGCCCGAGGTGAGCAGGTACCGATAGTACCTACACTGTCACGCATTGCTAAACAAGACACAGTACGAGCAGCACTTTGTCCGTTGCCTTGGCTGGTTCGACGATGCCACGCATCTATACATCACCATGGACTTCATAGAGGGTGGAGACCTCCAGAAATACATCAACATCCAGAGATCACTCCCGGAACGCGAGGCTGCCTCCATCACGGCCCAGACTGCCCGCGCCTTGCAGTACATGCACCAAAGGGGCTTTGCGCATCGGGACCTCAAGCCGTTGGTACGTTCCTGCGAGGCTCTTTAGCCCCTGTTGATTTGTGTTCCCAACGCACGCTGACGCGGCTCCAAAGAACATCCTCGTCTCAAAGCCGGGCCCTAAGTGGCATGTCAAGGTTGCCGACTTTGGGCTCGCCAGACACGTAGACGGCACCGCTCCGGGAACATCCGCGGGCACTCACGGCTACATGGCGCCAGAGCTTTTGGACTCGTCCGAAGGCTACACTTCCGCCATCGATGTGTGGGCGCTTGGAGCTGTTGTGTTCTGCATGCGGACGGGCTCGTCTCCTTTCCCAAACCCTTTCGATGTTTACGATTACAAGAACAGCCAAACGAAGTTTCCAGCCCGCGCATTGGGTAGCTCGAGTGGTTTCTGCATGAATTTTGTGCTGGGTGCTATGACGGTGGAACCTGGGCGACGTTTTACCGTCGAACAAGTGCTTGCCCATGACTGGCTTACCTTCTACCCAGACTCAACCGATGAGTGAGAAACAACGCCCGGCGTCAGAGTTGACATGGAACGTGGGCTGACAAAGGCGTAGTCTAGGCATCATCGACACGGAAGCGACAACGACGGCTCCGCCTAATAGTACCTGGGATATCCAACCCGCGAGCGCCTGGTCAAACACATACAACGGCGACTCGACCGTGCGGCGGTCGCAGATGCAACCGACCGTTATCCCCGTCCCGGCTCCCGCCCCAGGAAGCCGCTCACAACATACAATCAGATCGAGGACCCAGTTGACGCCAGCCAACGCTCTTCAGAACTTCCATCAACGGTTACCGCCGGCCCCGGCCGCCTCGCAGTCAATCAAGGCTGGGACGTTGGAGCCTCCGACGGTCACAAGGAGGCCTGTCAGCCCTTACAGACCGTCTCCGCCGGTGCTCAGTCGGCCGCCCCCGGCGCGGGCCGACACGGCATCAACCACAACGAGCTCGCGAACGGAGACCTCGGATGAGCCTGGCTCGGGATATAGCACCGTCACTAGCATCCACTCGCCGCCCGTTTTACCCCCGGCTCCCAAGAGTACGACTTCTACGCTACAAATGACGGCGACTGCCTACCCAAGCCAGGTCTGGGATCGCTACGAGCAGCACACCGTCATTTCACCACCCCAGTTCAAAACGGCACCGCGGACAACCCCAGCCAACGCCATGAGCAACGTGGCCACAGTCCAAGCATCCACCGATGCCGATCCCTACCTGACCTGCGGGACCTGTAACAAGACCTTCAAGCAACGCCCTTACCTTCTAAGCCATACAGGCGCGACAGGCCACGAGCCACAGGTTGACGACAGTCCCCAGGCTCAAAAGGATGAATCGTCAAACACTAGTAGTAATACGCAGACTACGGGCAATACAACGGCGGCAGCGGAGGTGACCCAAGCCTCGACAGACCCCTACCTGACCTGCGGGACCTGCAAAGAACCTTTCAAGACACGTAGCTACCTTATGGCCCATGCCCGCCTGTTGCGCCACCTCCCAGAGACTGGCCACAACCCCCAGGCCGAAGAGCGGTCGAGTACTACTCCAGCTATCAGCAGTACAACTTCGGACCGTCAAGCCTCGGCCAACCTATATCTGACCTGCGGAACCTGTAACCAGACTTTCAAGGACCGCCAATACCTCATGCGCCACGTAAACAAGAAAAGTCACGCACCGCGAGTGCGTATCAACGACCCGCGCCTGACCTGCTTGGCATGCCACAAAACGTTTAAGCGTCGTTCAGACCTGTTCGAGCATATTACAACGTCGGGACATGCGCGAGACCTGGTCACAGGCGAGCCCGAAGTTGCCGACCCCTATCTCACCTGCTTGGCGTGCCACAAGACATTTGAGCGTCGTTCAGACCTGTTCGAGCATATCACAGCGTCGGGACATGCGCGAGACCTGGTCACGGGCGAGCCGGAAGTTGTCGACTCCTTTCTCACCTGCTTGGCGTGCCACAAAACGTTTAAGCGTCGTTCAGACCTGTTCGAGCATATCACAGCGTCGGGACATGCGCGAGACCTGGTCACAGGCGAGCCCGAAGTTGTCGACCCCCATTTCACCTGCTTGGCGTGCCACAAGACATTTCAGCGCCGTAGACACTTGTTCGAGCATCTGGATGCATCGGGGCACTCCCGAGACCTGTAGATGACCAAACGGGTTACCTAGGTACCGACATTACATCATCCTTTTGGACAGACTCGATCTTTGCAATATTTGCAATAATTGCTCTCCTATCCTGTGCTACGCCATTTAAAGCGAGATCTCCGCAGGGGACTGTTGATAACCGCGTCCGCTCTCTTAGCAACCTGATATAGTTTTAGATAAAGGGCTCAACTAGGTACCTAGGTAGGTACCTAGTGCTTTCTGGTCAGCCTAGCAAGGGTTCTTTTAGAACATCCACAATGAAGGCACGTTGATCTTAACAGTCTTGTCATGATATTCAACTCATTGAAGCAATTCACCATGTCCAATGCTCTGCCGTCCGCCTTGATACCTATCCAGCGTAAAGTAATCCTCTTCGAAGACAGCAGCCATCTTAAACCACTTCAAACCGTACGCCTAGCCAGATCGTGCGCCGCTGTTGTAAACCCCTTTGGGCAACCCAACGAAAGGCACCCGACGCGAAAGGGTTGTTGAGAGCATCGTAGGAGAACGAGGCAAGGTTAGAGTCATTGTACCAGCCGCTGTCGAATTGTCGGCTAGTAGGAGTGTCGAAGGAACGGCTGTGAACATAGCCGGTGCATCGTGATAGCCCCAAACCCTTGGACCACTGGTCGGAGGTGTAGGAGGTCCGGGGAAGGTCGCGCCCGCAATAGGCACAAACGCGACCTACTACAGTATGGTGAAAGACGGAGTGCCAAGGGAGGACTGCCGAGGAACGACGGCGATGTGAATTGAGGAAAGAGCGGAAAGGCACTACCTAGGTAGGTACTGATTTGGGTCGAAAGGACATTGGGTTCTGCCAATGACAACCAGCAGGTTCTAGGGTTATTCGGCTCCAGCTATTCCTATTGTTCGTTCGATAAGCTCTACGGACACTAGCTCCCTATCCATGATTAGGTGGTTATTAGGCAAATGTACCTTAGTTAACCAGGCAATTCATCAGCACGACAATTAAACGGCGGATACCGGATTCACAGCCCAGATAGGTAGCTATATGTAAAAAGATTAGCCAACTAGGTACCTGGCGGCGGCCGAGCTCAACAACGCCGACTGGCGCAAGGTCTACATGGAAAGAAATCCCAAGGCGGATTGCCCCGCGGCAGACAAAGGCACCGTCACAAAGATGATCTCCGCCCTCGAGACAGCCTACATCGACCTGACAAACAACGATAACGAGGCAAGCAACGACAACTTAGGCAACAAGGCCCAAGACGCCGACAACTTACCGGCTCAGCGGATAGGAGACAAACCGATCACAATAACTCCAGCGACTAGCGTTGTCCGCCTGACAGCTGCTGACTAGAAGGAACTCAATATATTGGAGGGAATGATCTCCCCGGATTGGAGAGATATAAGCAACGCAGAGCGTATATACAAGCATACCCGAATTCACCAACTCAGACATCTCGCACTTACACCCAAGTCCTAGGAAACCGTTGCCGAGACCAGCACTACTCGGGAGACTGCCGCCGAAATAGCCAACAACAAACAGGCAAACAACAACCATATCGCTACCGTCAGCACCGAGGATATAGCTTTTTTCGGCGGAACATTGAGATCGGCCCTTACCTATAACAGTTATACAGTAATCGAGAATTTCTGTAAGATTCTCAACTTCAGCCTCCGATAAGGAGGAACCCTAACATTTACACTAATAAGGGGACAAATCGAAATCCTCCAGTACGTATCGAACGGACTGACGGCAACAAGGCGGACGCTGCAATGGTAAATGTGACGGTTCAGCAACTCATTGAGGTGGAATTTGAGAACCTGAAGCAGCATGTCAGCGACCTTGAGGCGAAATGTGTCACCGAGGACTTCCAGGGCTTCCAGACACGTATCGATGGAATGGTTGAAGAGGTACCTAGTTTCATTCCTAGCAGCTAATTATACCTAAGCTCTTACCATAGGTACTAGCGCTGAACCCTCCTTGTAAGTACCTTAGCTACAGAACCTTTATAGGTTAAAAAATTAAAAAGCACCTTGAACTAAGGGAGCAAAATGGTATCCGCAGGAGTGGGGGAGTAGAGGTAAGATCACCTGACCCCCGGGTAGCTGATCTACCGGACTTTATTGTTCTGGCAGCTTGTTCCAGCTGCTGAGGAGGCGTCCCAATTCCCGCTCCGCGGTGCGAGCTATGAAGCTCCCCAGCGTCAGGGGTCGTGGCGGGTCCACGACGCGGAACTTTACGTTGGAAACGTCAAAGAATCCGAGGCGACTCTTGGAGGAGTCCGAGGCCTCGGCGCGGCGAGCCCTTGCTGCGAGGTAGAGTCGGGAGGGAAGAGCCGTATATTACGAAGCAGATCGGCGTGTGTGCTAATTTGAGACGGGAGCTTCGCGAGGGGGTGCCGTAGAGAGCGTGAGCTCCGTGGGCCGTAAAAAAAACTAAGTGTTTGATGTGACGAGAGCCTGGGTACGTGTGTCAAAGTGCTCGGTGTCTGCAAAACTCGTCGAACTTTGTTCCGTGGCTCAACCCTTGGCGGAACAGAATTCAGTGATATTGCTGCTGTTCCTACCAAGGCTCCGACTAACGAGACGCCGGCCTTGCCTGTAGATTCTGGACAACTCTCATGCTGATACTACCCGCAGTTAGTACCTACTCTTGGGTACCAATGAAATCGAGGCGGATTTCCGGGCGGATATGGGCTTCCGACACACAGCTAACTTTAAAATGTGACCACTATATCCCGAATTAAGGCCGATAATGCGACTGAGTCGAGATGACTGAAAGACATCCCAGCCTCGCAGCTTTTTTTCAACTGAGGTGGGAGGATGATTACATGTCCACTGTGCCTCATGTTTGTACCAATGGTTTTTTTAAGGTAATGTAGTTAGCTGTTTACAGCGTAATAATGTGGCGATGGAGATGTGTAGGCCTTGAGAGGATAAACTGACGAATATGTGGACTGCTCATTGTAAGGTCCGAGAAAAGGATGGAGATTAGACAAAATTAACATTGGGTCACACTATAGCAAACCGCCCCAAGAGGCAGTCGCTGCATGAGTTGGAACAACCCGGGCTGGCGGCGTTCAAACGGCCCTGACCTTATTTACGCTCAGCAATCTCAAGTGGCAGAGCTAGTGGTGTTCTCCTTTCTGTTACCTATCGAGGTTTTTAATATTGGGGGTTTACCCTCGGTGGATGTTTGGGGGAGTCTTGTCATGGGTTGTGAGTATGCCCGTTATACCATAATGAGAGTAGTGGCATTGAGAAGTGAATCATTGCTCACCCATTAGTACTTACTGCGAAAGCCATGCTGTCGTCAGAGGATGACTGGAACCTGTTCATATATGTATTCATCGGCATACAACGCCATACACAAGTAATCACTCGGCAACTTGACCCTCTGATGACAGACATCCAGCGGTCTCTGTCACCTGGGATCCGACCGGGCGCGACGGAATCTGCAACAGAATGGACTGGCTTCCTGGTGCGCAGCAGGGTCACTTTCACGGCACGCTCTTGGCTTGCAGATGGGGTTCTGGCCCGCAATGCAACGTATTTAACCGACGGTACGTCTAGGCCGTGGACGCAGATTGATTAGTTATCAGGAGAGCAATGGAGATTGAGGCTCGGTCGGGTTCCTCTCAGTGCAACCCTCATCTATCCACTGCCCTGGGGAAATCCGACATCCAGGTTTTGCCGTATGTAGCACAAGCTGGGTTTGATACTACAACTGCGGTCGCAATGTCAACACCAAAAGGCAACATGCACGTCGGAACTGGCATGACAAGGTGGGTGGGCGAGGGCAAGACGCGCCATGGCAGGTCAGCTTCAAGAATTCGGCACTTCTTTTGCAGGAAGCCTCTGTGGAAGAGACAGGTGACTGCAGGACCAAGGCTCTTGGAAACTCAAAACAGCCACGGCGAAGCACCAAGCCCTTGGCCGCGGCAGTGCAGTGCACAAAGTCGAGAAAACCAAACCCCAACGACCATCGCCTCGACCTCACTCGGTTGAGAGGAACGCAGCACGGTGATTGCAAGACAAGGGCACAGCATCGAACATGGCTGGCATTGTTGACCGCTCGCCCGGGATCTCGTGGGCGCAGAGTCGCAGCGGACAAGACATCGCGTCCGGCGCCCTGGGGGCGGTTGGGTCGGTCGAGGGCGGTTCATCGGGTGTCCTGCCTTTCCTGGCGCTGGGCGCGCGCGTCGGATGCGGAACCCGCGCCCCATGTCGACAGTTGGACAGTTGGTTTGATCTTGTCGGCAGTCGCAAGGTGTTCCTGTTTTCCCCTGTATGTACGAATACGCAAAGTAATGCTGCTGTTCCTGGTTTTTCGGCTGGACGGATCGCCGTTGTAATCACAGGGTTTGTTGGCCGCGCGAAGCTGACCTCATGCATTCTTGGCTTGGCCGCCGGCAGAGAATGTGGGCGGCGGGAGGCGGGTGGGTTGTGGTTGGTGGGAAGGGGGATGATCCGGTCCTGTTTGTCTTTTCTCTTCCTGGTTGGGTTCGGTGTCGAAAAATGAGATCCACGGATGGGCGAGGCTCGGCGGTCTGGGCACTGCGGCCTGCGAGGGGAAAGTTGGGCCGGGAGAGATGAGGGGAGAGAGGACCAACAGATGCCAAGTCTCTCCAGACCCCCCTGGACTGTATCAAGAACGAGAAACACCCTGACGGACTGGCTGAGAGGCTGGCGAGTAGGACGAGTAGGATGAGAAGACGGGTAACTCGAGCGGACCTGTTTGGCCCCCTGATGCCGGTGGGAAGGGATATGCTTGGGCGAAGAAAGGGAGCGGAACTGGGAAAGGTGAAGTTGAAGGCGTCATTCGTAAAAGGGGCGGAATCCACAGTTCATCCAAGCTTCCAACGCTCTGGGGAAATTATGGGCTGGGCCACTCGCGAAACATGGAGTGGACCCTTCCCCAGGTTTGTGGGGAGAGGAAGGATGACGGGAGGAGCATGTGAGCCGACAGCTGGCATCTGAAGTTGGCATTTTGTGGATGTTGTCCCTCAGGTTGGGAGAGAAAGTGGAAGAGGAGGCTCGTTTCCCTCTCCTGTTTCCAACATCCTGATGTCGCAGCTGCTTCCATTCCTGCCCCCGTGATTGGCCCTGGTTCAACTTGCAAGCCAATTCGGGACTGGCTGAAAAGGAACACCCCGATCTTGGGTTCTCTCAGCCCCCGCATGTTTTCATCACCCAGCTTTTAAGTTCTGCTTGTTCCACACCCAACCTTGAACAGAAAATTGATGAGACCGTCAGTAATTAAACACCATTTAACGGCTGAATAGAACGTGCCCCTGCAGCGTGGCTCTGGACTGACATCAGCTACAGATATTAGGTACCTTGGCTTCCTCGCCAGGTACGGATGATATTTTGATTTTTTAGGTCTTCGTTTTCGCCCCGCGTCCCGGCGAGCTAACGCCGTGGCGCTATCGAATCTCGATCGTTTCATTCCAGAAGCATTCCAGTCCTTCGGCCCCACGCCTTAGCCTCCCTTTGCCCGTTTGCCCCCCTGACTCCCTCTTCCTTTACTGCGGTTACGATGTGGCTGCCGATTTGGCACGGACTGCGCCAGGACAGCTCTTCCTGCGCTAAGAACGTTGGCGATAGCGCCTGAGGATTCTTGGTGGACGTACCGGCGCCTTTCCTATTCGAACCTCCCCGAAGACGCCACGCCGTCCATGCCCAGACCTCACGCCGCTGGCTGAGGATTTATCCATCTGCCCGAAGGCTTCATCCGGCGCGCCGTTGGAGGCAGCCACGTGCGGGGATGAAATTTTGGCTTTCCTTGGTGTTGTCCTGGGCGAAGCTGGGCGTGCTGGGCGTGCTGGGGCATCGTGGAGGAAGACCGCCGAGATAACAAGACGTTCGCGAACCGCCCAATGACAGGGTTCTGTCCTGGCCAAGCCGGACGTGTTGCACAGATCCGGTCCCCTGGCGGCGCCTTGCGTACGCCGCTGAGTGGTTGCTCGGTCCAGACCCGTGTCGAATCTTGCAATCCCACAGAAGCCAAAAGAGAGCCGAGTCGCCAAGTGCCTTGGCATGCACCGACGGATTGGCTAACCATGGGCGACGCGGAGGGTTTCCCCCTGTTCCCACTGGCTCATCTGGGATGTCTGATACCTGGACTGCTCAGCACCTCTTACCGCCTGCTAAAGGGGGAAAGCTGACAGAGATACAGTGATGTTTATGGACCAGATAGGAGCCCGTCTTGGCAGCTTATCACAAAATAGCTGCAGTAAACACTGCCAGTGGGCAACAGGCAGCCCGCTGATCTCACCTTCTCGGGACGAGCATCGGACTAAGAGACGCTTGTATTCCCCGACAAGCAAACAGGCGAGTCCACCCAGCCCCCGGGTTTCTCTTATGGCTGAGACATGCGTCTTCGAGCTGGGCACCGTGGCTCCCCACTGAGCTGATCCATCCTTCGGTCCACCGCCGGCGTACCGTTGCATGGTAAGTTGGGGTTGTTGTCTGGGCGTGGACTCCACCGGGGACTGCCAGGACAAGCGGGCGGAACTCCGGGGTAGTGGAACTCATGCCCTCGAGGTGCCCCAGACATACACCCTTGACCATACTGGACAGGCCGGGATCTGCATGGTAATTGCCAACCAGAGGATGTGACGTGCGGTTGGGCGCTCACTGCATCGTGACCTTCCCGTGTCTCACACTTGGCGTTTTCTCACCAGAATGTCCCTACTTCGTACAGCCAGCCCCCTCCAGTATAAGTTGGGGGATCTGCCCTCGCCTGCCCTGCCCCCCCCAGACCCCCTTCCTCGTATGAACTGGCCCGCCCATTATCCCACGCCACCCTAGAAGGCGATACGCAGGTCTCACTATCCGTATCAGCATTGCGGATTCAGATTCTTTGCGCTTCTCACCAAGAAGAGACCACGCCAGAGCGCGCGCTGCTTTAACCACAACACCACCCACTTGCTATGGGTAACCCATCCGAAGTAGCAGCACCCGACGTGCCGACAACCGAGTCCGACAGCGTCACCAACGAAAAGACCGCCCGCAAGGCATCATCCCAAGACGATAACATCAACGTCGAAAGCGCCGGGTGGGACGAGAGCTCCACCCGCAAGCTCATCTGCAAGGTCGACCTCACGCTGATCCCCTTCCTAGCGCTGCTGTACCTGCTCTCCTTCCTGGACCGCACCAACATCGGCAACGCGCGGCTCGACACGCTCGAGGACGACCTGGGCCTCGACAAGAACGGCCTCCAGTACAATGACGCCCTCGCCATCTTCTTCCCGTTTTATGTTGCGGCCGAGATCCCCTCCAACATGGCCATGAAGCGCTTCCGTCCGTCGCTGTGGATCCCGAGTATCATGGTGGCTTGGGCTGTCTGTACTACGCTCATGGGTATTGTGCAGAACTATCCCGGGCTGATGGTCTGCCGCTCTGCGCTGGGTCTTGCCGAGGGTGGTTTGTTCCCCGGTATCACTTACTAGTGAGTTGCCCTTTTGGTTTCGCTGGGCGCTGGCCTTAGTCGGGAAGGATACGCTAACCACTGCCGGGGGTAGCATCACCATGTGGTATCGGCGTCATGAATGCGGTTTGCGTATGGCCATCTTCTTCTCGGCCGCCACTGCTGCCGGTGCCTTCGGTGGCCTCCTCGCCTTTGGAATCATGAAGATGGGAGGCGTGGCCGGTCTTTCGGGTTGGCAATGGATCTTCATTCTCGAGGGCCTGCTGACCTTTTGTGTCGGTATGTTAATACAGCCCAGCACGTCCCTGTTTGAACTTGGATGTCCAGACGACTAACCAAGCTCCGTCTCTTCCAGCCATGGTTGCGTACATGGTGATGCAGGACTACCCGGGAACGGCCAAGTTCCTCACCCAGGAGGAGCGCGTGGAGGTGCAGGCGCGGCTGAAGCGCGACCGGTCCTCGCTGGCCGACGAATTCGAGATCAAGTACTTCTTCGCGGCGCTCAAGGACTGGAAGATTTGGGTGCACATGTTCATCACCATCGGCGTCTACACCGGCCTGTACTCATACTCGCTCTTCCTGCCGACCATCATCAACGATCTCGGCACCTCGACCAGCAAGGAGATGTCCCAGCTGCTGACCGTGCCCCCTTACGTCGTGGCCTGCATATTCTGCGTCAGCTCCGGCTGGTACGCCGACAAGCTGGGCAAGCGCGGCGTGTTTATGATTGGGTTTATGGTTATTGCGTACGTGTTTCGGCTGACTGGTTGCTTTATTGTACGAGACTGACCCTGCTCTAGCATCATCGGCCTCATCATGCTCATGTCCAGCTCCTCCAGCGGCGTGCGCTACACGGGCTGCTTCTTCCTCGCAACCGGCATCTACCCTAACGTACCTCTCGGTGTGGCGTGGAACGGCAACAACATCGGCGGCTCCCTTAAGCGCGGCGTGGGCATCGCGATGCACGTCGGCTTCGGCAACCTGGGCGGTACCATCTCGGCGTACCTCTTCCTGGCCAAGGACAAGCCGCGCTACATGCCGGGCTTTGCCACTCTGCTAGCCTGCCAGGCCATGGCCCTCGTGCTGTCCGTGTGGATGCACATCTATCTGCGCCGCGAGAATGCTCGCCGCGACCGCGAGTACAAGCCCCCGAGCGAATACACTGAGGATGAGAGGGTTGCTGAGCGCGAGAAGGGCGATCTGGCCACCTTCTTCCGTTATACCGTGTAGAGAGAGGTGGGGTTTTGGGTAGAGGCGCGTGTTTTCGTGTTGTTTCTAGTACGAGGTAGAATAGCTGCTATTATGTGGTCAAAAAGTCCCTAACGTTTTTGTTTACAACCCCCTGAGGGTAATCTACCACCATATAGGTGTTCGCCTCGCCGAACCGCCGTGCTATCCAAACTAGCAATTGGTTATATCCGTGCAGTACTCTACCCAAATATATCATGGCTGTACACCGGCCTGGCGACCCGTTTTGCAGCCCTCTAAGTTGACGCAGTTTTGTAAGGAGTTGCAGCGTTGACTCCCTTTCACAGACATGTAAAGTGCGCATTCGCCTCGTATATCCAGTATGCTGGCTCCCGTCTTTAAATATTAAAACAATCAAGGCCACGTAGAGTGATTTGTTGTGTAACACTGGGTTGCGAGCAAACACATTTTCCCCTCGCGTTGTAGGCCTCATTGCAGGCCAATCGAGTTGCCGACGTGATTGGTGAGTGTTCTTTCTTCTCTATACAACTTCCTTCTCTCTCAGTCCAGTCCGTCTGACCTCGGCCGCACTTCTCTTCTCATGCTGCATCTACACTAAGAATTCTAACACGACAGCACCTTCTCCCCTTGCCACCCAAAGCGATCTATTTGGCCAGGGAGACCACGATGACAACATCTCCAGGAAACATGTACGCCTGTGCGAACGCGGCTCCCGGCTCTCCTGCCTGCACCAAGAAGGGCGTTTTCGCTTGCGGGAAATGCCTCCTGGTTTCAGTATGATGCTCAGACTCATCCTCCTCAAGAACCCGACAACAGTGTCATGGCTGGCTTGCTGACGTATGGTAGTATTGCGGAAAGGAGTGCCAAACGGCGCACTGGCCGGTTCATAAGACAGTTCACAAATCTCCGGCTAGCAAGTCAAACTGGCGTCCAGCTTGGGACATCGAAGGGCGTGAGCCTGCGTGGGCCGTGGGTGAAGCCCGGAACAACGCGCACAATCCATATGGGGGAAACCTGTATTTGTGGGGCAATGTTCCGGCCATCGACGTCCTGCGGCTGTCAGATAACGAAGGAGCCGGGTACAGCGATGATATTGAGCTGTTGTTTGCTGGTTAGTCAAAGCCATCGCGACCAGCCCAGGGACTACCACGTAGGGCGAAGTCTGACACGAGAAACAGCTTCAGGAGATTTGCGCAACGTCGTCAAGACCATCGTCGACCTCTCGGCAACCGTTACCCAGCCTGTCCACGCCACGATCAATGACCGAGAGATCGCAGTTGTCGCCCGAAACGCCATCTGGCTGCTCTTTGCTCTCAGCACTCCAAGCGAGCCTACCGCAGACGACAACGGCCAGCTTGACGCCGCAGAGATGCTGATACATCTCTGGTACTCTGCGTTCATGCCTAAAGAGGTGCTGTCGGCGGTGCAGAAAGCTGTCAAGCCATTGGTTGCGGAGGTCTGCGCCAAAATCAAAGATAAAGACTCTGCCACTCGTCTGGGTAAAACGTGGCAGTTCCCCTCTGGCAGAAGCCTGCGTCTCGTGTTGAAGAGAGACCAATGGCTTGCCGTCGAGAAGATGCTTGACGTGCCACAGGGCTTCACGTTCGACAAGGCTAACACGGTCCGCCATGGCGTTACCCTCGCGCCCGAAAGGGCTGATTATCGGGATCGATGGGACTTCAAGGAAGCCACGGCTTCCATCCGCATGGCGAAGCGTCAGTTCCGCGAAGACGGCTTGCTCCTGCCGTTTGGACACCCCCGTGACCTTTTCAAGACGCCCAACATGTGAGGTCTCTTGTTTCACGTCACTTCTGAGCGTAGCACTAATCCCAACATCAATAAGGACCTTATTTCAGGGCTCCGAGACCTGGCTGATGGACGACAAGGCCGACCCCTTGAGTGGCTGGCCCGTCTTGGAGGTCGACCACCGTCCGTGTCCGGCAAAGCAGGACTGCTACGGCAAGCTACACGCCTATCTTCGTGAGGTTTTCGGAAAGTTCGTCAAGTCCCTGACGACGGTTCATGTGAGCTTCGAGATGCACTGTCTTGATGCGGGGGACTTGAAGGGACACCTCGACTGCGACCGATACACCAGGATCGAGGTAAGTTTCACTCCACTCATCGTAGTAATTTGAAAGTAAAAAAGAAAGACGAGGAAGCAAAAGGAACATTCTAACAAGTCTCAACCTTCGGCCAGGTCTCCAACATCACAGACAAATGCCACCTCGGCCTCCGCAGCACACTCACGAGCCTGATGCCTCTGCTTCAACCGCCGCAGCGCGACCCTCATGCAACTCTCATCAGCCTGCTTCTCAACGCCGTCATGGAGATGGTTAAGACACTTGGCGCAGAGAAAACTAGCATGTCACAGATCAGTGACAAGGTTCTAAAATACCTACCGGTCACGGATTTTGCCAGCCTCATGAATCCGTCCGGGGCAGAAATGGTACGGATCTGGGATGCTCGCACCTTCTTTCTGGACGTTGATAATTTCATTGAATTGTGAGTCGCAGGCAGCACGCTGGTTTCCCGAATTAAACTCACCCACCACGCGTTTGACTCTAACTGTGAATGTGATGTTTGATTGCTAGGTACCGCGCCATGGCAAACTTCGAGGCTATCGCGACCCAGTCGGGAGCCGCGGAGAAGGAACACAACTCAATCGTGGAGAAGTGCCCGCTGAGGTTGAAGCGCCAACTCGGTCAGGACGGAGCGCAAGAAGAGTTTAGTGCCATGCTGGGCTCAAGCTGCACCGGGTTGGAGCGGTACATGGAATGGACCCGAGTTGTCCCGGGGACGATGGCTGGGAACAAGCAAAAGAGAGGGGATGGCCATTCACTCACCGGGGCGTGATACCTTGATAGGAATCGGATGACGCATCCCGCTGACAGCTTAGGCATACATAGGCACCTAGTGTATGCTAGCGGCTAAGACAAGAGTTCAGTGCCGGTACCCCCTTGAGATTAAGAACAGCATTGAGTTGTCAGTCCGTCTAAGGGAAGGGCCACTCATTGCTAGTATTGAGGGGTTTGAGTACATGAAACCCAGGATATCAGCTGGATAACAGTCAAATACTGAGGCCCCTCCTCGGTCGAGACAAGCTTCAGGGGCCTAGGGGCCAGTTCTTAACAGAGAGAAGCATTGGCTTGCAAGTTTGGCAGTTTTCTAGTGGATGACTTTCTAGTGGATGAAGTCACCCTATACACACGAATGTCCGGCCCAACCCTTCTATCCCGAACCTAATTCCATTTACCGTGCAGATGGTCCCCGAACCCAACCCATCTCCTTTCCGAGCCGTATCAGAGGCCAGTGCTTCATCCCCCTCCCTTACACGCAGATACCAGAGCAGTCGGCACCACCATTCTCGGGGTCGCAGTCGTCAGACGGATCATCGACACACTTCTTGCCATCCTCGCACTCGGTGCCGGAAAAGCCGCCACAGAAGGGGGGCTTGACGCAGATGCCGCCGCAGTCGGCACCGCCGTTCTTGGGGTCGCAGTCGTCGGTCGGGTCGTCGACGCACATCATGCCGGGCTCGCAGGCGACGCCGGCGATGCCGCCGCAGAAGGCGGCCTTGACGCAGATGCCCTGGCAGTTCACGCCCTTGTTGCAGTTGGGGTCGACCTTTTCGCAGATCTCGCCGTCGGGACAGGGGGCGATCTTGAAGCCGCAGGGGCGCTCGGCGACGGCCATGCTGGCGGCACCCAGGAGGGAGAGAACGGCGAGGGAAAGGTAGCGCATGGTGAAGGTTGAGTTTGAGTTTCAGGGGTTGGATATCTGAGTTTCAGTCGAGTTGTGAGGTGAGCTGGTGGCAGATAATGACTCAAGTCAAGTTCAGCCGGTAGGAAGGGTCTTGGAATTATTTATATCTTTAGATTCCAACCCAGGGGTTCGGGAGCCAGCCACTTGGTGGCAGTGACAGCAACAAGTCTGGTCGCATGGCAGCCATCCCTTTTCTCGTGTTTCTCTCGGCTGAAATGCGAACACGTTTTTCCCAGGGACACTTTCCAATTTCCATTCTTTCGAACGCTCCTCCGATATTACCACAGGGTGAGAGTGATCTGCTCTCAGACTTACCCAAGCCAAGCCGGAGTTTCTCCCCGTCCACAATTTGGGCAACGCCACAGACCAGGCCATGCTGTCATTTATCCTATTTTTAGCTGAGTTGCATCCATCTCCGCAAAAAGACGACGAACAGAAGAGTCTCATTCGTGAGACGACTCGCCAACCGTTGACGAAGAATGCCAAACTCCCCTGCCCCTTGCAGCACCAAGGGGACGGTGATGACACCCTTCCCAGGATTTTCCCATCCCACTGCCTACTGTGTATGCCATTCCGCTTCCGCTTCCTGACGTGTTGATCGAGAGTGCTGTGCTAGAGACCCCGCATCGTATACCCAAAAGGGCTTATACGAAGCCGAAGACGGATGGACTTGAGTGGGAAGGTTGTCGAGAATGGGAAATAGCCAAGTGTCGCTTGAGCTTGTCTCTAACCCTGTTTGGTTGGGCGGTTTGACGTTGATTACACGACTTTTGAGCTTGACTCAGACGAGTTCGGTGTGGAATGGAGATCTGGACCATCCTTGTGAGAAGATGGTCTGTCTGGTTTGGCTCGTTGGTTCGCTCACGGCGTGATTCATGTTCCCGCTTACGGCTTGCTTGCCTCTTGGTGATGTTGCAATCTTGTTTCTGGATGACAATTGGAATCAAAAGACACCAATGGTTTTTGTGCTTCATGTGACGTGAGAGGATCTGCAAGTCGTGGCGATGAGCTTACCAAATCGTACTCATGCGCCATGAATGAATGGGTGTGCCAACCACTGTCAGCGAATCCAACTGCTGTCAGCAGATCAGCCACCATTAACAAACCATGTGTCTACTCGTATTGAAGTTTGGGTGTGGTCATGAACATAACCTTCCAGAGTTCTCAATACCTAGAGATCTTGTCACCTTTGGGGGGTCCTTTCTCACATCATCTTCTTTTCCTCCCACCATCTCGTTTCCATCAATCACTTTTTTTCTCCTTCTGTTACCCCGTATTTCTATTCATAACCCCTTTTTAGTCTCATGCTTTTGTCTCCTTTTCTAACCTCCTCCTCGTCTCCTATTTTTGTCTATTTTCTAGTTTCCATTAGAGTCTTGTTTCAATTTCTCACTGATGTTATTATTCTCCCCTTTCTCCCTGCCTTAACTTCCACATTTTCTCTCCTTCCTTCATTTCCTTTTTTCTTCTTTTTAGGTATTTTTTATTTACTGTCTTCTTCCGCAGGAGACGGAAACAAAAATCAAACTGTCCCCATCATCCAAGGCTGTTTCTGATAAGATCTGATTCCCCTTCTGTTTCAAACTTGAATCTCAAACCTGCGCCTCTCCCGCCCTGTCATACTGATACATGATTAAAGGTGAGGAAAGCAGTTCAGATAAAGTACAGTGGGCCCAGGGTTTCCCGACGTGTTCCAGGTGCCGTTACTGTGCCCCGCCGTATTGCGTCATTTTCTTTCTTCTCAACCAACAGATGGTGAGACGAAGATTTAGTCAAAAAAAGAAATAAAAAATGAAACCCAGAGATGAAGCAGACTTTTGCCACGAACATTTGCTGGAGCTACCTAGCCATTGAACCCACAATTGCAGCGAGCACCGACATCGGCAAACCCAATTCCTAATATCCACAACCGCAGTAGACGCACCAATAATCGAACAACTTCATCGACACACTCTCATATTCACACTCTTACTCACACCACCCTCACACCACCCTCACTTTTCCTGTCACGCCCACACATACCACTCAAATCAACAACCCAACCATGGCCTCAACCCAGCCACTCCGCGTCGGCTACGTGCCCGAGCACTTCTCGACCCCCCTGCACTTCGCGCGCAAGCACTACGGGCTGGACGCCGAGCTGATCGCCTTCCCCTCCGGCACGGGGCACATGATCACGGCGCTGCGCGCGGGCGAGATCGACGTCGGCATCGGCCTGACCGAGGGCTGGGTCGCGGGGCTGGGCAAGGCGCAGCAGCAGCAGGAGGGCGCTGGGGACGGGGGGTTTCGGATTGTCGGGACGTATGTCGAGACGCCGCTTTGTGAGTTATTTCCCCCACGACGACGACTTCCATACAGTTAGTTGTATGGTTGAGACCGTGATTGGAGACAGAGAGAGAGAGAGAGAGAGACTGACACCCACCCGCCCCAGGCTGGGCGATCTCGACGGGCGCCAACCGCCCCGAAATCAGCAGCGTCGACTCGCTCCAGGGCAGCAAGATCGGGGTGTCGCGGATCGGGTCCGGCAGCTACGTGATGGGGTACGTGCTGGCCGACGAGCGCGGGTGGCTGGTGCCGACGGCCGGGGCGGGCACGGGGCGGGAGCAGGCGTCGCCGTACGCCGAGACGGTCGTGCTGGACACGTTTGCCAAGCTGCGCGCGGCGGTGAATTCGGGGGAGGCGGATTTCTTCATGTGGGAGCATTTTACGTCCAAGAAGTATTTTGATTCGGGGGAGATCAGGAGGGTGGGCGAGATTTATACCCCGTGGAGTAGTTGGAAGATTGTGGCGTCGACGGGGCTGGATGGGCGGGAGGATGGTGCGAGGAGGGTGGAGGATCTGATGGAGAGGTTGAATCAGGGGATTGCGCATTTTAATGCGAATCAGGAGGAGGCGGTTGCGTATATCAGCACCGAGTTGGACTATTCGGAGGAGGATGCCAGGGAGTGGCTGAAGACGGTCAGGTTCCCGGAGAGGACGCAGGGCGTTGATCCGGAGGTTATCGTCAGCACCATCGACGTTTTGTGCAAGGCGGGAGTCCTGTCTTTGGGCGGGGGTTTGGATGCGTCCGCCATGATTGCAAAGAAGCGGTAGATAGGTAAGGATATCTATCTGCCGGGCGATGGAAGGGCATGTAATGACATTGTAAGTGAGGTTCACAACGGCAACTTCTTGTTTAACCACCAACAAGTGTAATTACATACGCTGCGAGACGGGTGCATTTGTATAAACAAAACCTGACCTTCAAGTACAACCTGCCATGTGCGTGTATACCAACCATGTGAATATCCCCTTTCTCCAACACGCCCTTAGGCTGGCGGCGTGAGGATGAAGATCTCGCCCTCGGCGCTGTTGTCGCTGCCAACGAACAGCCCCCTTCCGGCCGGATCCCACGCGGCGGCCGTCAGGCGGAAGCAGTTGCTCATGGTCAGGCCGTTGGCCGTGCAGCTCCCCGGGTTGGGGGTGCTGAAGATGTCCGTGTAGCCCGTCTGGCTGTCCGCCGCGGCCACGGGGTCGTAGCTGCCGTCTTCTAGCTGCTGGAAGGGGATCTGAACGACCTTGAATCCCGTTGCTGTGACGGAAGAAAGCAATGTCAGCAGACCCATTCGCAACTACTCAGCTAGGTCTCCGGGGTCGACGTCAAAGGGAAGATACGGGAAAGGTTAACCTACGAGGCTGCCGGTTCCACGAGCCGTGGAACGCGACGTACATGTTCTTGGCGTCGGTGTCGAACGTGTTCCAGATCGGGGCCGAGTGAGCCTGGAACGAGAGGCGGGGAGGGGTCGCCTGGCCGTCGCACGAGGCGTCGTTGAACGTGCTGTTTGGCGCCACAACAAAGTTGCTGCCCGTCTTGAGGCCGCTGAAGCTCGATGGGTCCCAAACGGCGAAGCACGTCGGGTAGCCGTACCAGACGTCGCGCGCCGTCAGGGGGTCGCCCACTGCGAGGTTGGGTTAGCTGCTAGGGTCTTGTTTGTCACTACCTGGGTTATCCACCACGACGGTACTCACGGTTGTTGAGCTCCTCGGCCGGGTTGTTCTGGTGGATGTCCCGGTTCTGCCCGTTCTCGTTGCGCTTAAAGTCATCGCCGCTGTTCTCGACGCCCCAGAATACGCCGTTAGGGTCGGCCGTGAAGCCGATGGTGTTGCGCAGGCCGTAGCCGTATACCTCGCCGTCCGTGTTGTAGTTGAAACCGTCGGCAGGCGCCTTGTCCGTGTCGAAAATCTTGATGATGGCTCGCCCCGTCTCCTTTTGGGCCGACGCCATGTCGAAGTTGGAGTTGCTGCCGACTTGCACAAGGATTAGGTTGGGTTGCTGGGGCACGACGGCAACCGTCCGCGTAAAGTGGATGCCCGAGGAGATACCCTTGACGACCGTTTTGATGTTGCTGAGGGCCCGGGTGGCTGAGTCATAGTCCCAGCTGTAGGCCGCCGTCTCACCGCTAGCGTACATCTTCTTGCCGTCGGGCGACAGGGCGAGTCCGTGGTTGAGTTGGCCGGCCGAGATGAGCATGTTGGTGCTGTTGATGCAGCCGTCGGCGCCAAAGGTGTGCACGGAGATGCCCTTGGTCGCCTCTGCTACTAGCATATTACCCGCTAGGTCCCAGACGATGGTCCGGACCTGCTTCAGCCCGCCGGCAATCTTCATGGCTGACCATCCCTCCGCTGCCGTGTATTGGTACCGGAAGTTGCTGACGCCGCTGCAGGACTGTGGTAGCGGAAGCTGCGGGGCCTGAGCATTGGTCCCTGTCGTGGGATTGCCGTCAGCTTGACCTTCTCGTGGTAGAAAACGGATTCATGGCCGAGTGTAAACTGGACCAACCTGCAGAAAAAAGAGCCGCTACGGTGGCGGCGGTGTCGAATAGACGCATTGTTGCTGTTCAGCCCTTGCCCCCGGGACACTAGTCTTGCCAATGGGATGTATGTAGTTGCTACTGGTATAAATCAGGAGACGCGAGACTCTCCAAGGGTAGACTCCATTCTCCCCGGAGGTCTACGGCCCAACCCGTGCTTCTATAGTCGTACAATTCCCGGGGAGATGTCTGAATGCCCTTGGAGTGTTATTGGTAACCACCCTGTCTCCCAATTTCCACGTGAACCGCGCTGCTACTCTACCGCGTGGTCGGGCTTGGGTCCCCTTTGATGCTGCCATGGGTCTTGGCCAACCACCTTGGCAGGTTGAAATCCTTAATATGGCCCTTGATAGCCTATTCGGCAGATCGGCTCCGAAAAGCTTATCAGGGACCACGGCAGTTAGTTCCCTCTCGCGAGCGAAGCTTCTCCAACTTCCATGAGCTGCGGCGGACGTGCGGGGGCATGCCCATTCGCTGCCGATCAAGTCGATGTTTATATTAATGTCCATTTCTCCGTCCTCTCTCAAGAGATCTGCTTGCTGCTGTGTGCATGCGTCAAGCCCGTCGGGGGCAACAATGGCCAGGAACCCGGAAATCATTGACCGGGTCTTGGTTGCATTTGTTTCTTCTTCTCCGCCTGAAAATGGGGCCCGATGGTGTGATGCGAGTCTAACGGGGTCGTCATCGGTCGATGCTTGTTTTTACGGCTGCTCTTCTTGTACTGCGGCCCTCTTCGCCTTTAAATCAAGAGCCGGACTGTCAACTCAACCCCTGCCGCTTAGGGACGTTGACCTCATGGCATGGACCTCCTACACTGAACAAGGATGGTTGGTAGCCAACATCGGCTCCCGAGTGTGAGTACAAAGTGGCATTGTTGACAACAACTCGTGCAATCGGAAGCTAGTGATGGTGTTTGATCTCGAAGTCCTCTGCCATGCCGACTTCTGAGGGAGGAGTCCCTTCTCCGGATCACGCTTCGTATCATGGCCATAAAGCTAAATAAGGATACGACGTGAGATAGAGCCGGGAATCAGTCTCCGACCGGGCTCGTTGTTCGTGTTTGCTTCCCCGTCTTCCTTGTTCTTCTTTTCCTCCAGTCCAAACTTGCTGTTCAACCTGGACCGCAGAGTGACTTCCTTCTCAAGCCAGACCGAAACCCAGCCCAGCCCAGCAAAGGCAATGCCCACGTACCAAACGAAGCGAATAGACTGTTGCTCACTAATAAGAGAGCGTTTTAAGTGTCGGTGCGGAACGGGTGCGGCTACCGTACCGGGCTGAAGATACCTATCTATAACCGCTGCGCGGGAGTTTGGGTCCTGGCTGCAATGCCACCACCACCGAGACCTTGGCTGCATGGTTTTCCCACATCCATGTCATCAGTCGTCGATCCGTTTAAGTTCAAACGTTCCAAACCATAACTTCCGATTGCTCCCCCAAGTCCCCTTCAACACCGCCTTTTTAACATCCACCTGGCCGCGATACAACCACCCATGGTGTTGATAGAGTTTCACAAACCAGACCGTCCCAATGGGGTCAACAAACCCGTGGAAATCAAAGGGACCGACTATATCCTCCCCCACCATCGAGAAGGTGGACGGCCGAGAGTCTCTTGCCGCCTCGGAGGGAATGTCAAGAGAAAAGGAATCGCGCCTCCCTTCTTCCCACGCTAGGCACTCATAATGCCCCTGCCACCTCCCCGAGATTGCCTTCCTAACGCCCATCCCAGTCAGGTTGGTGGCTTGATTTGGCGTGATAGCAGTCAAGATCGAGGGTCGGCGGTTAAGGCCCACGGTGAAGTTGTCCATATGTTCTTGAATAAACCCTGCTGCGTCTTTGCCGTGCACGACGGCCAAGTCGATGGGCGTCGACCCATTCATGTCCTCGACGTCAATGCTCGCGCCGTGCTCGACGAGCAGATCGGCCACTTCCTTATGGAGGTGCCGCGCTGCATAGTGCAGGGCCGTTCGCTCGTTGATGTCCTGGACATTGACCCTTGCGCCGTGGCGGCGTATCAGGAGGTCAACGACACGCACATGCCCGCGGGCTGCCGCAGCACGCATCGCTTCACCGAGAATTTGATGCGGCAGCGTCTGCCGGGAAAGCACCGCTTTCAGCTCCTCTAACGCGCCATGGTACGCCAGCATGACCAAGTCATCGCTGACACACTCCCCGGCGGCGGCGGCGGCGACGGCAGGCGTGCTACTCCCCCGAGTCCCCTCACCTATGGGCTCACCACCGTCCCTCGCTACCCGAGCCCGGAAGCAACCCCTCTTCACCAGCAGCTCGGCCATCTCAGGCCCACTACTACCATCAACAGCAAGATCAAACGCCGTCTGCTGCGTGTGCTCCCACACCCCGCTGCCCGCAGCCCCCTCGTCAAGCAGCCACGCGGCCACATCAAGCAGGTCATCCCCGACGGCAATCAACAAGGCCGTCAACCCGCCCTGCGTCGTCTGGTCCAGATCCGCGCCGCGCGCGTATAGCGCCTTGGCCGCCGCGAGGTTGTTGTTCCCCACCGCGGCCTGCAGCGGCGAGGTCGTGCTGCAGGACAGCTCACCCTCATCATCACTCGACCTGCCGTCGACGTGCGCCCCGCCGTCCAGAAGCGCCTCAACCGACTCAACATCCCCGACCGCAGCCGCCAGGTACAGGGGCACCCAGGCGTTGTTGGCCTCCTGGGCCAGGTTGGGGTCGGCGCCGCGGGCGAGGAGGAGTTTGACGACGGCGGGCTGGCCGACGGCGCAGTGGAGGGGTCTGCAGCCGTTGGGGAAGGGGATGTTGGGGGAGACGTTGCCCTTGGAGAGCAGCACGGAGATGGTGGCGGCGTCGCGGTTGCCGATGGCGACTTCCATGGCTGCTGCTGCGCCGGACATGGCTGCCGCTAGGTCCGCGCCGAGGTCGATGAGGGCTGAGACCAGCTGGCTGTGTCCGGAGAAGCATGCTAGGGATATTGGTGTTAGTTGTTGTGGGGTTGCCGTGGCTGCTGCGTTGATGTCTGCCCCGTGCTCGACGAGCAGCCGTGCAGTCTCGAGGTCGCCGCGCTTGGCGATATAATGTAGAGCTGTTAGGCCGCCTGCGTCTGCGGCTTTCAGGTCCGCGCCGGCCGCGATCAGCAGTTGGACGGTAGTGGGGTTACCTTGCGCGGCGGCCGCGACGATGGCGGCGCCGTATTGTCCGCCGGTCTGGGAGACGCTGGCGCTGCGGTTGAGGAGGTGCCGGATGAGGTCCTCCTTGCCGCTGACGACGGCGGCTTGCAAGGGGAAGCCGAACCGGCCGCCCGCGCAGTTGCAGTCGAGTCCTTGGTCCTCGAGCCAGCGGACCACGTCGGTGAGACCGAGGAGGGACGCGTAGTAGATGGGGTTCTGGACTGTCCAGGCTGCGGGCGGGTTCTCATCGCCGTCACCGTCATTGTCGTCGTTGCCATTATCGTCACTGTTGTTGTTGTCGTTGTCGCTGTTGCCGTCGCCGCTATTGCTGTCGTCGTCGTCTTCCCAGCTGCCGACCTCGCTAGAGCTTGGCTCTCCAAAGCTCCATTCCTCGGCGTCCGAGTCGGCGAGCTTGGCCTCCATTAGGGGCGTCCAGACCCGCCAGCTCGACGTGGTTGGGTCAAAGGCTCGCTGGGTTCGGTCAATGATGTCCTGGGACGGTGTGGGCTTGTCACGGAAGCTGTGGAAGTACCAGGCCCAGGCGGCGTACGAAAGGAAGGGGTAGACCTGTGTGTCGGACGGGATATCCTCGAATCTGTCGAGCGTGAGATATCGAAGACATATGTTGGATAGACGGGCCTCCTCGGCGGCAGGGTCGCCGAGACCGAGGTCCGCTACCCATCGGTTGGCGGTAGCGGCGCGTTGAGAGGAGGACTTGGAGAGGTACTCCTTGACGGAGAAGTGGACGAAGTGAACCGTGTGGTCGGCAAGCGGCTGCTGGGACGACGTCGATCTCAGCTGTAAGAGTGACCCACACCGGCCGAGAATCATCTCTTTGGTGTAGTCCTCGTCGACGAAGCCGTCAGACCAGCAGTCAGGGAGGTCGTCCTCAGGATACTCGCTGAGATTCTCATCCGACACAACAAGTGCCTCAGCTAGCTGTTTTACCTGGAGAGGGCGGATGGCAAAGAGGGTCCATCGCAAGATCATGACGGCCTTTTCCTTCTCGTCGGGAGGGAGTTGGACGATCTTCTCGAGCTCGCGAGAGTAGGCCTCGCTGATTCCTGAGGGCATCTCCGACACTGCCTTGACTAGTTCCTTGACGTTCCGCCCCGGTGTGATTTCCCGCTCAAGGAGCTTGATCCAGAGGAACATGCCCTCGCTCCGCTGGGCCGCCTTCGCGGCAATATTCTGCCGTATTTCCGCCTTCTTCTTGGGCAGCTTGGTGTTCACCATGTGTTCCGAGAAAGACGCTACGTCGGCCGTGGTGTCTTTGGCCGTGATACCGTATTCCAACTTCCGGACGTCTGAATCCCCGCTTGGTGACGTGTCTTGCCCTAGATATTCCCGGATATCAGGAACGTCTCTGCTAACTACTAGAACCCGCGATGTAGTCTTTGCCAGGTTCAAGACCAAGTCCCGGAGAAAGAGATTTCTCGGGTCGTCATGATGGTAACGGGCTCCCGTGTCAATGTCGGTGCATTCGTCAAAGCCATCCACGACGAAGGTGCAACCCTCGACAGCCGAGCCGACGGCAACGAACAGTTCCCATAGGCCTTGGTGTGTTAGCGTCTGCTCCTTGTTTCGTGCTTGGTAGACGGTGTCCATGGCCGACACGACCGATGGGTCCTGCTCCAGTATCTGCGCCAGCCAGGATCGTAGGATGGCGTACGGGTCACGGGTCAGCTGGTTGTCGGCCACGCAGAAGAAATACGACAGCGGCGCCTTATTCTCCAGTTGCAAATGTCGGATCGCCCATGCTGATATGAACGTCTTTCCAAAGCCCGCCGGTCCGTGAATCCAAAGAAGCCTGGAGTCACTTGGGTCGCCCGCATCGCCGGATTCCCACGCACGGAACTGGTCCAATTCTAGAACCCACTCGCAGGTGCCATCGTGATGGTATTGTAGCGCTGTTTCATACGTGTTCTTGGTGTCAATGCCGTTGATCCAGGCCGACAAGCGTTTGCACCGCTCCTCGTTAAACGTGTGGAAGCCCTCAACGCTCTGTTTGATGCTCCTAAGGATATCATCCAGCTTGACGCCCGAGATTTCGTTCTGCACTAGAGACGCGAGCTTGTACACGGCCTCCTCGTCTTTCTCGATACGGAACAGGGGCTCTTCGACCATCATCTTGGCGGTTTTGCCGATGCTTTTCAACGCTCGCTCTACGGGATCGGTCAGAAACTCAAAATACCCATCATATTGTGCTGGAATAAGGATAGCTTAAGCTCACTCAGGGTACTCTGTCCGTAATACCGACAGGCATGCGCGAGAAACTCTAACGCCGAGCCGTAGAGCCGGAGGATGGCCGCAGAGAGCTGACCGGTGAGAACGGAGGTCCGGATGAGGACCCTAGTCTCTAAGTCGGTATATCGAACAATGATAGACGAAATCTGCTCGAGGCTGTCGGCCATGGCGCCAAACGTCTGACTGTCGTTCACACCCGACTGGAGAAGCATTCTTATCACGGCCCAAGGGATCGCCGCATGGCCGGGATCGAAGTGCACTGCGGTGTCGGCCACCTCCTTGAACCTGTCGATGTAGTCGACCACCTTGCCGAGCACGTCACGGACCAGCACCTCTTCACCCTTCTTATTAGTGTAGAGAACCCATTGCTTCTTGACGCATTCTAGCTTCTTTTGCTCCACTACCTGCACAATTTCCGAGGGCTGGAGTGGCACGTCGGTGCGGGCAAATTGAAGAACCTTCTGGTCCTCGGCCGACAAGGCATCAAATGCCGCTTCCCAGAGGCTCGGCGACGTGCCATGCCCTCCGCCGTCTTCCATGTTGCCGTGACCCATGAGCGGGAATGGCCGGTTGCCGTTGTCAAGTCAGGAAGCAGATTGTGAGGGGAGAAGAGGCAGTAATACACTGATATTAGATGTTAACTCCCCTGGATAGGTAAGGTAGGTAATGAGGCCTGGGTTCGACGCGAAGCTGAAAGATGGGAGCCTATTTTGACGGAGGGGTTCTTTGCGGGGTTCTGTCAGGTCTAAGTAAGCGAGAGCTGAATATTTCGTGTCACCACGCTAACTGGAACAAGGGGCGAAAGCATGAGCATTTAGAAGAAGGGGGGGGGGGGAGGACGATTGCGCTGTGCCACATTCCACTGCGTGATTCTTCCCCTACCTATCTTTCCTTCGTAATCCTTGCACCAATCATAGCTAGAAAAGGAAGCTGGCTGCCACACAAACTCGCAAGTAACGCTGTCTCGGCGGAAGTTCAATACCATTCTCCAAGCCTTCAACCATCACACCCGGAAGCCGAGGCCCAGCCTCGTCGTTCTTACATGTCACCTCAAAGTCTCGACGCTGGATACATGCATCACTCTAACCTGTTTAGTAACACAAAAGAGGGATGGGGTAACTATGAAGGGGAAATGAGATAATAATAACCAATGAACAGGACCAGGAACCGACGCTGCCCGCCCTATGATCGTGTTCAGTCCGTTAATGATGAGTATAATAACATAATTAGGTACCTAAGCCGGTGCAACTCGGCGATGGATACAGCCAACCGGCCGGCCCGTCGGCTCGCGTGTTCACCCGTACGTGGTATCCCCTGGCGGAGGAGCTCATTAGCCTTGTAAGCTCAAGAGTCATCCAGCCAAGGATGTGGCACCCGGGGCCCTGGGCGGGTGGCTGGAGGTAGTGATACGTGGGTTGGATAACCTGCGACATCATATGCAATATCAGCGCGCAGAAGCTGGTAGTGAAAATAGCCACATAGTTGCTGCTTGCTCAAGTTACTAAGTAGAGGGCTGATACCACACTCTTATATTCGGGCTTTGACTGGCACTAGTTTGCTTATTATTAACCCCTTGGAATGAGATGGTAAATAAGGCCTCTCTGACAGCATATATCCTGAACTACGGACGCCATTACCAGAGTAATCCACGCCGTGCTTGCGTCTCCTGAACTTCGGCGAGCTGGCGCTGCATTTCGTCCATCTTCTCCTCGAGACCCTGTTGCATTTGTCCCACCAAGCGGGAGACCTCCTCTTTGACCACGCCTGAGACCTGACTCTGGATTTCACGGACCATGTCGGCCCGGGAGGACGCAAGCTTGCCCTCGATACTTTGTTCAACCTGCCGAGCCACCGCCGCGGCTATCTCCTGAGCCTTTAACCCCGCGTGGTTGTCGGCGGGAGCACGGCCACATGGGCTTTTGGAGGCGAAGTCTTGTTCACACATAGCGTCGAGCTGCTTGATCCGCTTAAGCCGAACCGCAGTGAGTAGCCGAACGGGGTCGGGGAGCAGCTGGAGGTCGACAGCCTCAATACGGCCGCCCACCAGGAAGGCGAGCCGAATGACTACCGAGAACAGCTCAAACGTTAGGTCCTCGATACGCTTTCGGTGTCCCAGGGCGGCTGTCTCTGTTGCGTCAGACACGGCATCTTGATAGCGGACACAGCGGTCGCCGTAGACCAGGAGATCTTTGACCAGATCGAGAATATCGCTCATAACCCAGACGCCTGGTTCTGAGGCCAACTGCAATTCTTTGTGTGCTGCAGATTCTCTAGATTCTCCGGATTCTCCCGGGTCTATATATCCGGAAGTGGTCAAAAGGGCCTCTTCGAGATGTCTGTGTCTTTGCCTCCGGTGCATGAGGTCCACGGCAATGAGGTCGCTCCTGGCTAAGGAGCTCATCTGGTCTCTACTGTCCTCGCCCCAGGGAGACCTCCACTGTTTCCGCCGATTTCTCATCCGGAACCCGGAGATCAGACTTCGGCGAGGCCATGCGTCTTGATAGCAGGGTTCGTATCCGTCCTCAAACTCCTTGAATGCCCACCGCAAAGGAAGCGCGGGCGACGCATGAACCCGCGCGCTTTCCTCAGGCTCGTAGCGGAGCTGCCTGCGAACTTGGCCTAAGCACTGGTTGATCAAAAGCGGCAATCGGTTGAGTATGTAGTTGATTCCGGACCAGAATAAGGCTTTATGCAAGAAGTCCTTGTGTCGCACATGCTGCATGGTGAGCTCCAGCCGAGGAATAGCCTGTCTGATAGCATCGAGCTGGTCTTGGAAAGGGACCCGGCAGAGCAGACCCTTGAAGACGGGGTCGGAATTCACAAGTCTGTCCGCGGGGAGGGTCCATTGGCAGATGGCGACCGCAAGGAGTCGTTGCGGGTGTTGGAGCTCGTGAAGTCCCGCTGAGTTCGGGATTCGATATTGGAGGAGCAGACTATGGTAGCTTTTCGAAATCAGTTCTTGCCCCATTTCGTCTCGGAAACTCGCTCTTTTGTACGCCGTGCTCCAAAAGCTGGGCCCGGTGACGAAATCGGCCTTCTTGGCCACCAAAGTCTCGACGATGTCGTCGTTACCGGGCCACCCGAGATGCGTTGACGCAGCCTGGGCAGCTGTCCCGAGCCAACCGCCGACAATGTTGGGGTCCGCGTCGTGGTCCAGCAACAGCTTCACTGTTGTGTGTTTCCTCGCTGCGGACGCTGCCTGGAGAGCGGTGCAGAATGGATCCGCGCGGTGGTCGACAGCCACTCTATCGCGGTCGAGGAGCAGCCGGATGACGGTGTCATGACCCCGGAATGCCGCAATATGAAGTGGATTGCCGAGAGGTCCATCTTCGGTACCGGTGCAAACTGCACCGGCGTCAACGAGCTGCTTGACAGCGTTTTCATCGCCCCTGGCTGCCGAAGCGTACAGCGCCGTTCCATGCAGTCCTTTCTCCGAGTTGACGTCGGCGCCGTGCTCGATCAGGGCGTCCAGTGCATCCGAGTCACCTAGATGGGCCGCGAGCTGAAGGGCGGTTCCCTCGCTCCCGCGCCAGTCGAGTATAGGTTTCCGATCGACGGTATCGTTTCGAGGCCGCCCAAACTGTGTGATAATCTGCGCCAGGATCCCTTCTAGCCCGAGTTTAACAACGTAATATACCGGCGAGGGTACGTCCTCATCTTTTCCACCCTCTGGATCGTATGTTTTGAGCCAGAACCTCAGCTTCTTGTTATCCAGCAGGAGCTGGGAACAGATCTCGGCGTCCAGATCCTTGATCTGGCGGCTTGATGCTTTCCTTTTGTCGACCATGTTATAGTGGTGAAACCAATACTCGGCGGCATAACGCCGGGCTGGTCCTTCGGTGCATTTACTGTCTGCTATGCTGCTGCTGGTGCTGGTGTACGATCCCCAGTCGCCGTAGAGGTAATCGGTGTCCTCGGCATCAGAACTGGCAGCAGTAACATCACCGTGGCTAGTGTCTAAGCCGGAAGCGCTAGCGTCAGAGTCCGAGCCGGGGCCGTCATCCGTTATCGCGGCTTTGTCCTTCTGGCTCGAGAAACAGGCCGACAGGATAGCCAAGCAGCGTCTTGTCAGCTGGATGTGCGCGTCTGCCGGGAGGGGGAATCTGAAGCGGTCGACCTTCTCAAGCTTGGTCCCAAGTTTCTCCTGTGATCCCACAAAAACAGCCTCTAGGTACTCCTGGACCGAGAAGTGGGTGAAGCGAAAGACATCGAGATCTCGCTCTTGGCCAGCCACAACTACGCTCTGCTTGGATGTCTGGATAAGCACTTTTGTGCAGATGTCAGTGACCACGCTGGGGCTGTGAAGCCCGACGGCTGCGGCAAGTTCGGCTTGCGAGAGAGGTCGTTGTTGTCGCAGCATCCAGAGTAAGATGAGCTTCATCCGTTTGGTGTCCTTGGCTGCCACCTTCTCCAATGCGGTCTGGTACATTCCAACAATGTTGTCGGGGATCTTATTCAGTACGTCCCGGATCTCTTCTGCGTCAAGGGATTGGGAGACTTGGCTGAGCACTGAGGCTGCCCAGAGAAAGTTGCTGTGCAACCATATCAGTACGTCTGTTAAGGGATGGAGAGGAAGGGTAGGGATTCAAAAGTTACCCGTCGTGGCCATGGTTGAGGCGTTTCTTGACAGCCTGTCTTAGAGGCTGGTTTCCTTTCAAAATCGGCATGTCCTCTAACTTCCTCTCGACAAAGTTGTCGAGGTCTGCACCAAGTTGCTGCTTGACATCTACAGAGACCAGCATGTCCTTCATATTCGTCTCCAAACACAATCTTATATCCTTTTCGTCTCTGCTGACCAAGAGTATGTGCAAGTTTGGATATCCTTGCCGCGTGAGCTTTTTGATGATGTCAAGTAGTTTAAGGGGCCCGGTCTTGGCTGCGCGCTGGCGTTCGGGAACCTGGTCCAGACCATCTAGGACGATGAAAACGTCCTTGTCGACCTTGGATATAAACTTCTTCAAATAATTGAAGAGCTCGTTAGTATCATCTGGAAGCTCTCCAGAGTCCTGATGTGAGCGGAACCACTTGAGTGACTTATTATCACGAAACCCCTGACACTTGCTTGCGAGTTGCCGGATGAGAGATACCAGGAGGAGATCCATTCTCTTGGTCTCGTCAAGATCAGAGCTGAAGTACCAATACGCCATCACCTTCGTGTTGCTGCCGTCTCTGACAAAGGCTTTGTTCAGCTTGGTGATGATGGTCGAGCTGCGCACTTGTCAACATTCTTGGCCGACAAAGCAGATTCAATGCTCACTTACCACAGGGCCGATTTTCCACAACCGGCTATACACGCCACGAGTTAGCTGAATGAGAGAATGTCTGGATATGGGGTACACTGGAGACGTACAGTCCCCATACAGCCAGAGAACGCCTTGTGGGTACTTCTTCCACTCTAGATACTCCTTGCGGAGGAGTAACCAATCACCAAGTTCGTCGCCCTGGACTTGGTCATGCTCGAGGTTTCCCCCCGGCGGAGGATGGTCGTCGAGCCCGTCGCTCTGGGTCTCGTCATCATCTTCAGAGCTATCCCCTTCTGTCACTGCACCGGCTTCGGTCGCCTGGCCTTCCTCGTCTTCAGAACTACCCACCATTGCAACCAGGCTAGCTCTTTTCCTCTTGCTTTTATTCTCCTCAATCTTCCATTTATCATCCCCAGTGCTCTCCCACCAATCGATCTCGCGCTGTAGTTTCTTGTGTATAACGGCTTGGCTTGTCCCTTCCTTTTCGATCAGGAACCTGTATAGCTCTCGGAGCTCCTCCTCGTTGACCTTTCCAAGTGCTTTGTAGGAATTCTTTGCCGTCTCGTCAACCTGCCTCAAGAGGTAGTCTGTATCCTTCTTGATGCTCTTCAACTTCTTGATAGCATCGTCTCCGCCTGTACGTGTTACCACATCATCAGCAATCTACAAATGGAGAACCCAGAAATACAAACGTGACCAGCACTTACGCTCCCTGTCAATCTGTCGTTGCCACTCCTCCAGCTTGGCATTTTCTTCGTGAACGGTGCTCCTCAGATCTTTGAGGGGCTGTCCGGTCAAGCTGAGGAAGCTTTTCCGGATTCGAGCTGGAAATAATCAAGATGATATCCGTCAGCTGTCAATGATCGCCTTTTAATTTGTAGGCATGTGAAGGTGGCCACTGACTCGAAATGCTACTCTCGATCGAACCCTGAACCTCGGCTGCGTACACCAAGATGGCTGTATACACCCTGATCATGGCGTCCTCGAGTGGTCTTCCGTTCTTGACTTTCCGTTCCCAGTAATGAGCTTCTATTCGAGTGTACCTCGCCATCAAATCGGCCAAGTGGCTACAGGCTTCGAACGTTAAATCGACTCGTTCCTTGTCGTTTTGCACCAACTGTGGCAAGAGACCTGATCAGCATCGACTCATTCTTCCCGTTGAGCCTGCAAAAGCCGAAACTTCCTACCGTGAGACCAAAGGACACGACAGCCCAGGCGGCCGAACCATAACCTGTCGGATCGAACTTGAGGCCGGCATCAATGAGGTCCTTGACTGTCAAGGCCGAGACCAAGATAGACCTCGCTTTGCCAAGGGCGGTTTTCTCAACATCAGATCCCCACCGTGCCGTGTAGGTGGCCACCTTGTCCGGAGTTTTTGCAATCAACCCATCAACAAGCTTCTTCGAATTCGCCTGACCAGGTCTCTGATCTTCCTTTCTACCCTCTAAAAGGGCCCTTCTATGCTCTCCCACCTCGTCCGAGTTCCATGCTTCCGCCCAGAAATCGCGTAGTGGCCTCGTTTGCGCGTCGGCGTCGCCATCCTCGTCGACGTCTTCGACCTCTTCGTCCTCAGTGTCGGTCTGGTTATTATCCTCGCTGTCGTCCTCGCCGTCGTTCTCCTCCGTCTCAGCGTCATCCGGTCCCGTTGCAGAGGACGCAGCGTCGCCACCGTTTGCCTCGCTGTCTTCACGTTCGTCCTTGCTAATCGCCGGGCTGACTCGGCTATGGTTCACATGCTCAATTCTAGCCTGAGAAGGAGTAGTTGCGTTTTCTCCCCTCTCTCCCACAACACTACTGTCTGGGATTGGCCCCGACAAGGGTTGCTCATGTGCTTCCGTCTTTGTACTCTCCTGCTTCGGTCGCCGTGAGAACCACCGACGCCATTTTGACAGCCGTGCTCTTTTTTTACCTGACGCATCGAGCCCCATGTCCGAGGCGGTCGTGTCCATGATGAGCACGATATTAAGCTTGAAGTTGGACAGCAGGTAACACAGTGAGATAGAATCTGAGAGACTAAGACGAGGCTGGCAGAAAAGAAGAAGGAAAATGAGTTGTTTCAGTGGAACCATACCAGAATCCCAAGCAGACATTGCAAGGCTCTGATGACGACCTTCCTCCCAACCTCCCGAACCATACGGAAAATCGCGTTACAATCCCACCCAGATCTGCAGTTTAAGCGACAAGCCAGCGAATCGGATCCCGGAGCGCCGAACCAGAAGGGCAGTGCTCATGTGGTGAGAAAGACCATGAGAGCCCCTGTCGCTCTGCCACCGGCCTGGCCCCCAACTTCCCAAGGCCATCTCAGGTCGAACAGCTTTTTCAGCAAAAGGTTTGCTGTGAAGTGTCCACCACAAATAGCGTATACCTTAGCAGAGGAACCTGAGAAGGATATAGTATGGTCGGCTCTTTTCTTGCTCTTCTTTTCAAGCTCTTCTTTTGGGACTCGGTGGCTCATCTCTCAGACTTTCCCATTTCCGGTTTTCTTTTCTTTTTTTTTTCCTTGCTTCGAGGGGACTTTCGGGTTGTTGTCGATGGTGATTCTACAGGGCACACGGAACAGCGGAATATTGGAATGTGGAACAACGGGAGTAGGATGAAAGATTGGATGATTGAGATAGTTAGGTACCTATGTACTTATTGTGTAAAGTTGGCCAGGCAATTCACGAGTGAGTGCCCTTGCCCGTACCACTCTGTCCACTCGTCCAACCCTAACCCCTACTAACCCTTCCAAGTTACCCCAGGCTTGCCAAGGCCAGCTTCCTTCCTCCCAAAGCCCCACCATTTCGCACTTGGCCATCGACACTTGTCAACGCAAACACAGGCCACCCACATCCAACTTGCTATCGGCCTCGCTGCTGTGGTTGTTTCGCCATGGTTCTACAAGATCTAGGCCGCCGCATCAATGCGGCCGTCAGTGACCTGACGCGCGCCCCCAATCTCGATGAAAAGGTGGGTTCTCAACTTTCTTTTCCCTTTGGCCAGATGTGGCAACATTACCATTACCGAGCTACATCAACATGTTCCTCTGGAGCAGAGAAGCCGTGACGCAGAATTGTTGACATTGCGCACTCTACAGGCCTTCGATTCTATGCTCAAGACGATATGCTCCGCCCTCCTCGAAGCCGATGTCAACGTGCGCCTGGTCGGCCAGCTGCGCAAGTCGATCAAGTCGACCGTCAACTTCAAAGACCTCCCGCCCGCCGTGAACAAGAAGCGCCTCATCCAGAAAGCCGTCTTTGACGAACTCGTCAGCCTCGTGGACCCGCACGCCGAGCCCTTCAAGCCCAAGAAGGGCAAGTCCAACGTCATCATGTTCGTCGGTCTGCAGGGTGCCGGAAAAACCACGACATGTACCAAGCTCGCCAGGCACTACCAGTCGCGCGGCTTCCGCGCCTGCCTTGTGTGCGCCGACACCTTCCGCGCCGGTGCCTTCGACCAGCTGAAGCAGAACGCGACCAAGGCCAAAATCCCGTACTACGGCAGCCTGACAGAGACGGACCCGGCCGTGGTGGCCCGGGACGGCGTGGACAAGTTCAAGAAGGAGCGGTTCGAGATCATCATCGTGGACACGTCGGGTCGCCACAGGCAAGAGAGCGCCCTCTTCCAGGAGATGATGGACATCCAGACGGCCATCAAGCCCGACGAGACCATCATGGTCCTGGACGCCTCCATCGGTCAGCAGGCCGAGGCCCAAGCCAAGGCCTTCAAGGAGGCAGCCGACTTCGGCGCCATCATCATCACCAAGACGGACGGCCACGCGGCCGGCGGCGGTGCTATCTCAGCCGTCGCGGCAACGCACACACCCATCGTCTTCATCGGCACGGGCGAGCACATGCTGGATTTCGAGCGGTTCGTGCCGCGCAACTTCATCAGCAAGCTGCTCGGCATGGGCGACATGGCCGGGCTGGTGGAGCACGTGCAGAGCCTGAAGCTGGACCAGAAGGAAACCATCAAGCACATCAGCGAGGGCATCTTCACGGTGCGCGACCTGCGCGACCAGCTGCAGAACATCATGAAGATGGGCCCGCTCAGCAAGATGGCCGGCATGATCCCGGGCATGGGCAACATGATGCAGGGGATGGACGACGACGAGGGGTCGCTCAAGCTGAAGCGCATGATCTACATCTGCGACAGCATGACGGACAAGGAGCTGGACAGCGACGGCAAGCTGTTTGTCGACCAGCCCACCCGCATGACGCGCGTCGCGCGCGGGTCGGGCACCACCGTCCGCGAGGTCGAGGACCTCCTCACCCAGCAGCGCATGATGGCCGGCATGGCCAAGAAGATGGGCGGCAACATGAAGAACATGCAGCGTGCGCAGAGTGCCATGGCAGGGGGGAACAAGGCCCAGCAGCTCGCGGCTATGCAGAAGCGTCTGCAGAGTATGGGCGGGGCTGGTGGTGCCGGTGGCATGCCGGATATGGCGAGCCTTATGAAGATGTTTGGTGGTGGTGGTGGTGGCGGTGGGGGTATGCCTGGGATGGGGGGGATGGACATGAATGCCATGATGAAGCAGATGAGCGGTATGATGGGTGGAATGGGTGGCATGGGTGGGCAGGGTGGTGGACGTGGCGGCCGGAGGTAGTGGTTGTGGGGCTGTGTTGAAGGTTTGGGTTGAGGGATAAATTGATTGCATTATCTGGCGTCAGGGTGGGGGGGGAAGGGCTGGTTTGTTGATGATAAATACCAATATCACTTTTGCGCCCGCGTTTTGGTCCGTGGAGAGCGTTCGAGGAAGTTATGATATGGGAAGCAATCACATCGTTGGGTATTTTTGTATCGGGCAAACTCATCCCAAGCGGAGTGCCAACGAACACGTCGTCCGACTTGGAACTGCCCCTGCTGCCAGCGCTAGATCCTCAAGACCGGGACACGACTTATTCCACAATGATTCGTAGCACAATATCTCACAGGTTGCCATACAAGTACCTTACAGGATGCCCTAGCAACGCCAATGCCCTCCCCCACCCATTCTAACGGCCAACCCGTCATGGCTGTGGCAGCAGGAAAGGGTGAGCCTCCGTGTTGAGAACATACTTGTCGAGGCTGATGAGATCAGGCGGCGAGAAGATGAGATAAAAGTACTTGAGCGTCTCGGCAATCCAGAAGCTCTAGAAGTTCAGTCCAGTCAGCACAATGCCCACCCAGGACTCACTCACACCACAAGCAGGGGTCAACGTCACTCACCTCCATATAATCGTCCAACCGCACCCCCTCCCCCTCCACCGTAACATCCAGCACCGCCGCACTCCCCGTCTCCGTCGCCGTCGCCCGCGCCGCCGCCTCAAACATATCCCACGCCGCCTCGCGCCACTCCGCCTCCCCGGTAATCCGCCACAAATAAAAAACACTCTCAATCGCCTCCGGCCGCAGTATATACCGCGGATCCTTCGCCGTCGTAAACCCCCTCGGCAGATGCGCCTTATACTCCGGTCTGCGCGCGCGCTCCGCCTCGAAGCGGGCCTCGTCCCACGCGCAGGGCGTGTCGGGGTCGGTGCTGGGGCAGGGGACCATGTTGAGGCGCTCGGGCATCAGGCCTGTGGGAAAAGCGCGGTAGGCGTACACGCAGCCGCGCGTCAGGCGCGCGCCCACGGCGACGTCGGCTTCGGAGGTGAGGAGGCGGCCGGCGAGGGCGAAGGTGCCGCCGATGAAGCAGGCGAGGTGTTCGGTTTCCGGGTCGAGGTGGGGGGTGAGGTCGGCGTCGACGTTGACGTTGCCGCTGAGGAGGATGTCGGGGGTGGGGGTGGGGGTGGAGCTGGGGGAGGTGGGGTCGGGTTCGGGGTCGGGGAGCATGGGCCGGAAGAAGAGGTGTCGCTTGGCTGCGTCCATGAAGCCGCGCGTGAGGCCGGGGAGTTGGGGGCCGCCGCGCCCGCCGAGGAGGGCGTGCAGCTTGGGGAAGTACTCGTATAGTGAGTCCGCGCAGCCGCCGAGGGTGAAGGTGGCGCCCGTGACTACGTCCTCGCGCGACATGGATACCATCATGGGGAAGAGACCTGGTAAGGCGGTTTGGTTCTGGCCGCGGAAGAAGAGGTCTACGATGCCCGTGATGGCGTCGTAGTACTTGGGGTCGCCTGTGATCTGGCTCAGCCGCGTCATTTCTAGGGTCAGCGTCCCCGGCGACGCTGATACCACGGCAGCCTCCACCATCAGACCCTGCCCGTTGGCGGCGGCCACGACGTTGATGTTGTCGACCGGCATGCGGTTCGCCGTGTCAAACCCGCCGTAGATCAGATCGCCCAGCTCGATCGCCTTCTCCAACAGCACCGCCCGCCCGGAGAGGTCGTATGCAGCCATCAGCCCGCCGAGATAGCGGATGTTGGTTTCGAAGATGTTAACCATCGGCGTGGACGAGTCACCAAAGTCAATCTCAGCCACCGCGGCAACCGCCTCATCGAACTCCTCCCTCAGCCCCATAATCCACAGCGTGTCGAGCGAGTCGACCAGCGTGGCGGCCCAGCCCGAAAACTGGTCGCGGCCGGCCTTGGACAGCGGCAGCAGGGCGTCGCGCTTCCAGGCATAGCGGCGGTAGCTGTCCCAGCACTTGCGGGTGAGCTGGCGCACGGCATCGCGGCGGGCCTCGCGCGTCTGCCGCTCCTCGGCCGTCTCCTTCCCGAACCGGTGCTGGATCCGCGGCAGTAGCGGGCCGCGCTGCCCGGGCGCGTGCTTCGGTAGCTTCACCGGGTGCTCCCGCGGCGGGAAGCGCGCCGTGATGCGCCCCCAGTCGACGCTGCTCTTGACCACGTTGATGGGGTGTCTTGGCGGTCCTGCGTTCATGTGCTGCTCCAGGAGGTCTACTTCGCTCGGGGGTGCGGGCCGGCGGAGGAAGTAGAAGATGGCCAGGCAGAAGGTGAAGGCTACCGCGACATTCCTGAGCCGTAGAGCTGCCTGGCGGGACCGTGGCCGGAGTTGGTGGCCGAGGTGGTGTATGGCCCCCATTACGGATGGTCCGGGGGGGGATTGGGGGGAATTGAGGATTAATGCCTTGTCCGAAAAGACAGCATTGAGGGAAGAGGGCGAGGTTCAATCCTCGTGGAGCGAGTGACGGCGTGCAACTGAAATGAGGCCAGCTCAAGCATCGCGTGAGGTGAATTGTGAAGTTCCAACCTGGGCAACATGATCGACAGATTAAAGTGGAAAGGTGGCAGCGCCAAGAATACGACTCTCCCACTGAATATGGAAGTGAGCGCCAGACCCCCGCGCTTCCGGGTACCGGGTACCGAGGGAGGTGTTGAAGACATTCAGCTGTTTCAAGCGCTCCTCGCTAGGTCCCGTAGGTAATTTTTCCCTTCAAAGGATACTCAGGTACCAATAGATGCTGATTCGGCGAAGACGAGACAAGACAAGTGAGTCTTGGATAGAGATACCAACGGTTGAGTCTAGCACGTTGATGTCGTTTTCACTTCTGGTTCGGAGCCTTTAGTTGGTAGTGTCGCTACTGGATGGCCTCAGAACGAACGTAATGGGTCCCTAGAAAGTTGGACGAAGAGTAAAACGCGGAAGGTATTTCGTACTTCCCTACATTTATCTACACACCCCATGTACGCAAATATTCACCATTATCTACAGGCTTCTCGAGCACATGTTCCTCCAAGAACGCAGACGCAGCGACAGGGTTCTTCTCCCATTTAAGCCAGTTGTAGAGCCTTGGGTCGACTCCGTACTGGTTTGGACCCCTCCCGGAGGCGCAGTTGACCATCTCATCGGGGATGACAACTTCGTCCCAATCCCAATGATTGCCAATACCCCATTCGATGACCGCCTTGTTCAAGCCGTGTGCGTCTCCACTCCTCTCCTCCCCTTCATCGGCCCAGTAGAGGGCCGCGTAGCCGGGATGGGGCGTCGACCAAGATCTGCTGAAGTCGATGAGTTTCCCACCCAGGTAGTTGAAGATCCTGATATCCCGGACCAGAATGCCCAACTCGTGAAGCTCTTTCAAATCTGCCCACATGTCCGGTACCTGCTTTGCAGTAAAAGGTTCTTGGCTTTCGGCGAGATCCTTAACAATGGCCTGAATTGGGAGGTGCTGATGCTCTTCACTCCGGTCCCAGATGTTGCTCCTGCTTGGCTCGGACCCGGCAATCGATCTGGTGATCTCAAGCTCCTGGGCGGGGGTGAGAAGCAGGTAGCCGTGAGACCGGACAGCGAGGTGCTCCCTGTTCTCTTCCTTGAGCCGACCATACGCGCGGCACTCGCAACTGAACGGGTCGAAGTAGTCCGTGTAGAAGCGAGGTGAGGAGAGGTCCCGAACAAGATGGCCCGCCAGATCGTCTCTCAGGTAATCGGTCGGGCAAAACATGAACTGAACGGAGAGTGGGGATTAGTTGGCTGTCTAGCCGGTATAACAAGCACTAAATATGGTGTCACTCACCATCTTCAAAGCGTAGGGTTTCCCTTTGATGGTAACCTCCCACACGCGGCCATCCTGGCCTGGACTACCGAGTTCCTTTACAAACTGGATAACGGCGTGGGCGGTACGAGTAAACGGTACGAGTTTGGGCCCCGGTACTTGAGGAAGGGGTTTGGGGAGTCTCGGCGAAGGCGGAAGAGACATAAGGGTGGACAGAGAGTGAGGGCACACGATAGGGGCAGTGACTGAGTGTCCAACAAATGCCGAGACACGATGAGCGCAGTGTCGAAACCGATTATTTAGTTTGGGAGGCGGGAGCGCGACCGCATGGATCAACTAAATCACTATGGCAATTACCTAAGGTATGTACCTCGAGTTGGAAAATCGACCGTTTTTAGGCAGCATCATGTGAGTCTTGTGTGTTCCATGCAGCCACGCCGAAGTACCAGGGACTGTTGGCTGGACATCAACCGCCCCACTCGGACATGAACTTTCTGTTTTCTTTTTTTCTTCCTCCCACGCGGCAATCTCTTCTTTTTGTTTGTTTGTAAGTTGGTCCTGAATATTCATAATAAAAATGTGTGGCATGCGGGTTTTCCAGCAGTCCTCCCCTTACACACCTTGCCAGTGCTGTGGGTTTCTTTTATGCGCGTGTACCAATGCTAGAGTATCAAGCTCTGAGACAATCAATGCTGTCAAGTTATAGCCGGTTGTCTAAGGTACCTGTTAACAGTGCGAAACGACTCGAAGCAAACTGGCTGCGCCGCAGGACGAAAGCGATGATTACCTATTAATTGCCCGCCCCAACCCGCATATTGGCCTGGCCCGCTCCTAGTCACAGTATCTCAACCACACCACAGAATACTCCCACCCCAGCAACATGGCACCAGCAACATTCCAAATCCTCTCCGACCTACACCTCGAGACGCACCCCACCTACTCCTTCCCCTTCCGCCAAACCGCCCCCAACCTCGCCCTGCTCGGCGACATCGGGCACGTAACAAACCCCAACCTCTTCACCTTCCTCGAGACCCAGCTCCGCCGCTACTGGAACGTCTTCCTCCTCCTCGGCAACCACGAGCCGCTCGGCTGCAGCTGGCCCGCCGCGAAACAGCACGTCCGCGCCTTCGCCGACCGCATGGCCCAGCTGCGCGCCCGCTCCACCATCGGCCGCTTCGTCTTTCTCGACCAGACCCGTCATGATGTTAGTGACACGCTGACCGTGCTGGGCTGCACGCTGTTCTCGCGCGTGCTGCCGGAGCAGGCGGCCGCTGTGGAGGGGCGGCTGGTGGATTTCCAGCAGATTAGGGAGTGGACGGTGGCGGATCATGTTGATGCCCATGTCGAGGAGTTGGGGTGGTTGAATGAGCAGGTTGCTGAGATTGCGAGGTCGGAGCCGCAGCGCCGGATTGTGGTTTTTACGCATCACAGCCCGACGGTGGATGTGAGGGCGGTGGATGAACGGCATAGGGGGAGTCCCGTCTCGTCGGGGTTTGCGACGGATTTGGGGGGCGAGGAATGCTGGACGAATCCGTCGGTGGTGATGTGGGCGTTTGGTCATACGCACTTTAGCTGTGACTTTGTTGATGAGACCGGGAAGCGAGTGGTTGCTAACCAGAGGGGGTATGCCCTGGCGCTGAAGACTGCGTTTGACGCGGGAAAGGTGTTTCTGGTTGGAGGTGATGCTAGTAATAGTACTAGTGGAGGTTTGCTGTAAACAACTTCGTCTTTATTGTTATTCAGCTACCTATGGTTGCTCATTTCTAGGATGCAAATAATGCTGCTGGCAGCGAAATGTTCCCAAATCTGCGAGGTTGATCCTTCCTTGCACCCGATCCATGTGGAAGGCCCGAAGCTGTTGCGGAAGTTGCTGCTCAAACCCAGGAAGCTTGACATTGTCAAGGCCCGCGTAGATATACCCGAGCAACACTGCAATGCGCAATCGTAGATCCCGCTCTCCTTCCTCCAGACTTAGCCATTTCGCTATCAAGGCAGCGAGAAGCTGGGGTAGTGTTGGCAACCAATCTTCCATGTCCTCGGGCGCAGAGGGAAGCTCGTGGAACCATTCCTTAGCTGGGAGGAGGATGACACGAGTCGGCTTAACCTCCGGAGATTGTGATGTCGCCTCCGCATCGGTGGTTGGCGGATGTTGGTTCTCGGTCCGGACTGCGGCGTAGAGATTGTCGAACTGGCAAATGGGCCGGAGAGCAAGGCTCGGTTCTCTTTTCTGATAGCCTGAGCTTTTCAAGACCCGAGCCGCTGCATCCACATCCGGGACGAGCAGGAAGAGTTCGAAGACCATGGTAGGTACTCCATAATAGGCGAGGGCGTCTTCTAACCAGATCAAAGCAGGAATGCCGGCGTTAAAAAGTATGCTGCATGCCGAGAAGCGAGGTGGCTCTGGTTTTGGCTCACGAGAAGAGAGGTGATCTTCAGCCAACACGTCCGCCTTTCGGCGCGAAAGACAACCTCCCATAGTCCACGTCTCCGGCGGACAAACTTTCTCTGTTTGTTATCGAAATTTGGGACAATTGAGAAAATGCAGGTTATACCCGGAAGAAACCAATAGCTAGAGGGTGAGGCAGAAGTGCCGACTTTTATGTTGCTTGCGGCAAGGTGACAAGAACCAGTCAAGAACGTCATCACGGTACTTCGTACTGTTTAAACGCGGGGTTGCTCAAGCAGCTGAGAACCCCACACAGTGCTTTGACTCAACTAACAAAGTTGCGATGGAAAGGGGTAGAATGGGCGGTCTTGGGTGTGGGAAAATGCACCGAACCGACGACGTTATAACGTGGGACGTCATGGAGCCCGGAGATATCCACTAGCAGTTCCCTAGCTGGGACGGCGGCATCATAATAGTTCGCTCAGCACGCCTTGTTAGGCCGGCCCTACTTCTCAATTACAAGTGTCTTGCCTGGCAAGTGCGTCGGGATCCCAGAAAGGAACTGAGCGACGCGCAATACATCTCTTTCTCCTGCGCTCTATACTTGCCTCGGGAATCCAGACCTCCTTTGAAGAAGTTCAACCACGCCACTCCAGGCTTTTTCGTTGAATTCCTCGCTATGTAGTTATCCTCATGCGGGGGGATTGTTTACTGCTATTGGACTGCGGCGCCGTTGAGGATAGTGATGTGAGACCACCAGACTTCGGTTCAAGGTGCCCGCCACATACATACTACGGGGTAGCTTGCTTTGTCTCTATTTAGTTAATCTATTTAACCTGTGATAGTTAATAGCCGAATCTAGGATTTGTTTCATTCCTTGTGGTTACTCTCACAACGTCGAGGCGTTGTATAATTATGTGGATAGTGGTCGCTGATCCAGTCTGATCTTTGTCAGAAAGGAAGCTGCTCTTGATAGGTAATATAAGATGCTGCTCCTCATGGTCAGTCACTTTGGCGGAGTGGTTAACGCGCTGCCCTGCTAACCATCAGGTAAGCTGCCAGGCAGTTCCTTCGGGAGCGTAGGTTCGAATCCTGCAGGTGACGTACCTTTTGCTACCTGGGTGTATTTTGAACACCCTTCATTTTTAATTATCTAGGGTCAGATTTACTTCTCATAACGCCTTAACTCTACTTGGACTTCGCCAGTCAAAAGTGTACCTGATGTAGAGGGGCTTTATAGCTTGAAATTGAGTACCAGAGTGCTGAGCTCTTGGTCATGGCTATGTAAGGTACATGGCCGCCCTTCAAGCTTGCCCTTGACCATGGATGAGCAACATTGATTCCCGTCACTCCTGGCTAGCCGCAGTCACGGCCGCGCGAATCATCCCGATCGCCATCGGGGTCTCGCACCAGGCGGGGTACGTTTGCGAGAAGGCGAGGTGCGCCTCCTGTCGCGATCCATGGGTATACATCTGGGACCCGCTCGCGAAGTCGCGTTCCTCGGGCTGCAGCATCATGGGCCAGAAGTGCTTGTTGTACTTGTCGACGGCAATGAAGAGCTCCTTGAGCTGTTCGTTGAGCTCCCCCTGCTTCTTGACGATCGAAGCATCGTCGGCGAAGATCTCGGGCATGCGATCCAGAATGTCGTCGCAGTACTTGCCGCGGACATCGGCGAGGATCTCCCGAACTGGCGGCATAGGTGAACCCTGGGGAAGTTCGGCGCGGGCCTGGAGTAGGTGTTGTAGGCCCAACAGGAGGCGCACCTTGATTAGCTGCAGGCTGGATACGAATGCGAGGTCCAGGAACCGGCTGCCGGTCCAGAGCTCGACTTCTTCGGTAGCGTCGGCGTTCTTGACGTGGAGATACGCCTTGCTAGGTTCATCGAGCTGTTTGGCCTCGGGCTTGCCTCGGAACTGGAGCCCCCATCCCTTCAAGAAATCGTAAGCCTCCTGATTTTTTCCGAGCCGTATGTACAGAGCGGGGACGAGATAGCGCGCCGCCTGGTTGTCGACCGTGTTCAGCTTTAACAGCTTGAGATAGATGGTCAGCGCGTCCTCGATCCCCTGCTGCCGCCAGGAACGGACGAGTATTTCGCCGTGTTCAAACAGTGCTTGCAAATACGGCCGTGCCGGTTTAAACGCCCACAGCCTGCCTGTGTCGAGAACGTCTGATGGCAGTTCGTCGTCATCGTCGGCCACCCGGGCATGCAGCTTGGCCTCCTCCTCCTCGACCTTGGTCTTGGTGCCCTTGATAGTCTTGCATGTCGTCTTGTGAGTTGGGCGGTCAGATGTCTGGTGATCGCGGCCGCAATAGTAGTAGGTGTAGCATCCGCCACACCGTAACAGATCATCCGTTTTTTTGCACACCTCGCACTGCTTCTTGATCATGGACGGAAAATGCTCCTCCATCTTGACTCGAGCTTAGTCAAGTTCCAGGGTCGTTTCCGAGGAGTCCTGGTGTTGAGTGGGGATGGAAGGACGGGGCCAATTGAGACTCGGATAGAAGGTCCTCGAATCAGGCCTTGAGATCTTCGAGGCTGTGAAAGCTGTTTGACTTCACGAAGGAGACTCAGACCAAGCCTCGTGTCCTCCTCCTGAAGTTGCCAGGGTGTCAATTGACAGAATACCCGGAAGTTGCCATTAGCCAACCATCAATGATCGGCTGCTGCCCGCCTTCGCTGCCCGCCTTTCCTGCCCCTCCCGCTGTGCAACCCCGCCCCCTCCATTGACCAGTTCAATCTCTTGACCATGCCCGAGTCCATCGCCGATTTAGAGCGGGCTAGCACGCTAGCAATTGGAAATTCTAACCGCTTGCGAGCCCAAATAGGACGATCATAGGTCAATCCCTTTGCCACTCGCAAGGACAAGACTCGATGGCAGTGGACGGCGGCCCAAGCGAAGGGCTGGAACCCTAACCCAGCTTCGGTGGCGGGGCACCGACTCCCCAGTCTCCGAGTTTTCCACCCAACCACCTCACTCCACCAGCTTCACAGCCCAACCGGGGGCCTGAGAGAGGTCAATTGACCATGGCAAACTTGTCAATCCGACTGTTTCAAGGTTGGCTCGGATGTCGTGGCCCCTGCCCAACGCCTCGCCCGGCACATTGCACAATTGTGCGTGAAGACACACGTCCTTGCGTCTTCGCGCATGGGTGCGCATTGCGATTTTCATGCACTGGGAAGCCTGATTGAAGGATGGATGTGGGTTGGTGACGACCTACGTGGCGGTCTGCTTGTCAAACCAAAACCGAGATGCGCGGCTGCTCGGGCAGTTCGGTCTTGGGTGAAACGTTGGGTTTGGCGTCAGGCGATGCGCCACCCTGGGCCTAACGACCAAATTCGACACATTCAGTGACCCCGAGAGAGCGCGCGGGCCACGTGTAGGGGGGCGCTCACATGCCCCTTTGCCCCTTCCAGATCGCGGGCCGCAAAACAATCAAAGCAAGAGCGAACTCGCTCACTCGCCCTGCCTCAGCGACTGGTCGGCAAGGGCGAACCCGTGGGCGGGGCTGCATCCGATTGGGAAAGGACGACCACATCGATCGCTGAGTCACTGTTTGGATTTGCTGCGGGCTCGCTGCAGACTTCCCCCTGCAACTGGTCTCACTTCAGTGCGAAGACTCCACTGATCTCCTTCCTGGAACTCGACCCATCCGCGCGCGCCTTGGGAATTTCGGAGTTTGACAGCTCACCACAGCAACGCAATGCTCTCCGAGTGGGACCCTCGAACCCCCGGCGTTCCTGGGTATCCGGCAACGCTAAGAGCCAGTTGCAGTTGGGCTTGGCGGAATGAACCATTCAGGGCGGCCATTGAGGCCCAACTTGAGGACTCGACAACGAATGGCGAGGCTCAGAGCAGGCAGACGCAGCAATGGCTGGGCCACTGGGCTGGGCAGGGAGAGATAGCCAGCTGGAGAATGCCGTGGCAGAGTAGCGGCAGGTTGGTACCGATGCCAGCTCACTCGCAGATGCTTCACCGCCGGGTAGAAATACGCCCGCGCCGTCGAGCTTCGAGGGGGGCTGGTTGATCCACCAAGGCATTGCAGCATCAAAGCGCCAAAGCGGAATGAGATATCTTTGCAATCTCAACGTCTACATCACGGTCGAAGCCGCAACCCTCATCGGACTCACCTTGATCGCCCTCACTTCATACCTCTACACCACAATCATGATGGCGAGGAGAAGAAGATCTGGCGCCGCGAAGCTCGCTGGCTCGGGTGCGGCTCCCGCGAAGAGGGATTCCGACAACAGGCCGGAGAATTCGTGAGTGTCGTCTGTCCCTCGCTGTCGAGATTCTCTTCATACCCCTCACTGAAGCTAACCCGTGTTGCCTACCCCTAGCCCCTACGGCAGCCCCGCCTGCACCGTCCCCTTCGCCAGCCCGCTCAATGTGCCGCTGGACATCCTCAGGAAGAGCCCCAAGCTCCATGCCGCCTATGAGAGCCGCCTCCCGGAGCTCCCGACCATTCCCCAGGACGTCGGCCATGTGCTCGTCCACTACCTCCACACCGGCACATACAGCTCGCTCAAGCCGAGGCCGACAGAGACCATGTCTAAGCAGGTATGCGAGCTCAAGACCAGCATACAGGCGTACGCCGCCGCGAGGGCATACGATCTCCCGGATCTGATGCGCCTTGCCGAGGCCAAGATCGACAAGTTCGGCAGGAACCTGCCTCTCCCCACCCTTCTTGAGGTGGCCCGGGATGCGTACCCGTCCTTGACCGAGGGGGACGCCTGGTTCCTCGACTATCTCCGGGCCCGCATCCGCCCCCACCTCAAGGACCCACAAACGTTGATGGGGTCGAACCTGCTCGACCAGATCAGCGGTATCCTCTCGCCCAACCGGGTTCTCCTCCGGACCGTTCTCGAGCTGTTCTGCGAGAGGATCGCCGTCCGGCCCGACTCTGCCCCCGCCGCTGGCGCGAGCGCCATCGCGAGCCCCGTCACCAGCCCGGGCAGCTCCAGGCCCGTCACCCCTCTCACCCAGCCGCCTGCCTCGCCCAGGTCGCTCCTCGAGATGAGGTCGAGATCCGTCGTCCGCGAGGACGTCACGCCTGTTCGCAAGAACAAGAAGACGGCGCTGGGGCAATCCCTCGACAACCCATCGGAGTCGTCCATGTCCCCTGAGCCGGAGACAGCCCCTCCCACGTTTGAGGTGAAGCCGGTGCCCGAGCCGACCCCCGCGGCCGCGCCGTACCCGGAGTTGGGACCCGTCATCTTCGACGTCATGCCCTCGCCGCAGCCCCCAATCAAGTCGGCGGCTGTGCCTGAACTCGGTTCCGGGGCCGAGGCCAGGTCTTTCCCTGACTCGGAGCTCGTCAACATCGCCATCGAGCCCGAGACCAAGGTCGAGTCTGAGGCCCAGCCTGAGTTCAAGACCGCCGTTGAGCCCGAGGTTGAGCGCATCTCCGAGCGCGAGGTCGACATTGCCATCGAGCCTGAGACCAAGGTTGAGGATGAGGCTGAAGCCAAGCCTGCCCCCGAATCCGAACTCAAGATTGCCATTGAGCCCGAGGTCAAGGCTGAGGTTGATGACGAGGCTGAGCCTGAGGGTGGGGTTAGGCTTGTTGAGGACTCAAAGGAAGAGGCCTCTGCTGAGGTTGTCGAGGCTGCGGTCAAGGCTGCTGTCGAGACTCCTCTTGAGGCCCCTGTCGAGACCGCTGTCGAGACCACTGTCGAGGCTCCGGTCGAGGCTGCCGTGGAGGGGCCCGTTGAGGTCCCCCGTGACATCCTTGTGGAGACCGCCGCCGAGGCTGAGACCAAGAAGGAGGAGGAGGCTGTCCCCGAGGAGGTCGCCGTTGTTCAGCGGGAGCGGAAGGATTCCGGCAAGGGTATCGACCTGGAGCCTCTCCCCAAGGAACTCGAGGCTATCCCCGAGCACGTGCCCGAGGTCGAGGTCGAGTCTAAGGCTCAGCCTCAGCTTCGGCCTGCGGTGTTTCGGGAGGCTGACTCGGGTTTCTGGGACGGTCCCGAGGTTGACTCCGCAAAGGAGCCCGCTCCCTCGGTCGTCGAGCTCGAGTCCACGGCTGAGCTGACTTCCGAGCCCGCCCACGAGCTTGACGCGACTACCGGCCCGAAGGACGCCCCTGGCATCGACACCCGCGACTTCGCTGGCGCCGACGAGGATGTCAAGAACGACGCTGACAAGGACGCCGAGGTCGAGGTTGTTGACGCGCCGAAGGAGACCGTCCCCGAGACCGTCCCCGAGACCCTCTCCGCTCAGGGAGAATCCTCGGAGACACTCGTCGACACCCCGGCTAAGGACCTCGAGTCCGAGCCTGAGCTTGCACCCCTGCCGATCAAGTCGGTCGAGAGGGCCCCGGAGCAGCTTGACGACGCTGCGAGCCTTGCGCCCGAGATCACCCCCGCCCAGGAGCAGACTGAGATGGACAAGAGCAAGGAAGTCGAGGCACAGCCGGAGCCAGAGAAGGTAGAGCCTGAGCCGAGCGTTCTAGAACTAGAGTGTTTGCTAACTGTGCCCAACAGGTTCAGGAGGAGACCGTCGAGCCTGAAGTGGTGGCGAAGCAAGAGTCCGAGCCCCAGGCGTCCTCGTCGGACACTGTCCCTCTTTCCGACGATGCTGAGCCCGCTGGGCCCGCTGACGCCAAAGCGACTGAGCCCAGCGTCGAGCAGGGGTCGGAGCCCGCCGCGAAGAAGGGACTCCAGCGCGCCAACACCGACTCGGCCCTCCTCGCCTCCAGCCGTGGAGCTGACACCGTCGAATCCGCGCCTGCTGTCGGGGCCGAGTTCGTTCCGGAGCAGGAAGGCGCAAAGGCCGAGGCGGATGCCCAGCCCTGCAGCGCTCAGGTGAGGCAGCGGGGCTGGAAGAAGCGGTTCCTGAGCCTCCGGTACCCGGTGCTCTTCGGCCGGGGCATGTGACTCGCTGCGCCGACGTCCGCTGTGTCCCGTATTAGTGTGTCGATACCGGCGGGCGGCGGTATCCAGCATGGCAATGGCGCCATAACGAGGGCTACGATTACGATACACGACCACCAACAGCAAGAACCTTGTACAGTTTCCTTTGTAGATACGCCTAACGAATCTCCTATTTCTTCTTCTTCTTCTTCCGCTTCGTCTCTGTCTTCGACTTCTCTCGTCTCCGGCCTTTCGCTGGGACTCGCATTGGTATACACTTCATCAACTGGTTGTTCCTCGTCATCATCATCGGGTTCGGGTTGCGACGGCACGGCATTAGATTGGACATTGCTGGGCGCCCTGGTATTTCAGCTCTTCTTCTTCTCGACCGTCATCTGGCAGGGGCTTCGCAGCCTCTTTGGCCAGCAGCGGGGCAACATCTTTGGGTACGGAATTTGGGGCTGGGCATGCATTCGGAACTGGCTTGGGAAATTGATTCGGAACTGGGTGCGGAACGGGGGCCGATCGTCCATCGGTCGGCCGTCGGCGAGGAAGCATGTGAGCACTGCTTCCTCGTTCCCGAGACTGGGATAGACTGCACTTGTTGTTGTGGACGGGATGAATGGGATGGATGGGATGCATTTAAGAAACATATGATAGCATTTGATAGCATTTGATAGCATGAACATGGGCGGTTATTTGGTTTAGATCTTGGGACGTGTGAAGTGTGACTTGCTGTGAAGGCTTCACTGTGAGGACTTGAAAATCACCACCCATCTTGATGGTGCTTGAGAAAGTGAACAGTCGAACCTTCCCACACGTCGTCATCAAGGGGGCTTGGTAGATGTATGTATCCTGGGCTGAACGGGACGACCAAGGTATTGTGGTTTTATGGCCCGAACCCAACTTGTGTTTTGTCGCATGTGCTCATCATCCAGCGCCAAAAGGTCCAAGGTCAACTTATATGTTTCTGTTTCAAGTCCCGCCTTGTGTGAGACTGCCTGTGAAATCCCGAGTGGGTCATGATTTATTGGCGGTCCTCGGGCTGCCCTGAACGTGGTGTTTCAGGTTTCTCGACTTACACCGACGGCCAATGGATCAGCCAAGACGGCACCCCCTTACCCACCCCTTCGGCACCACTTTGGGCAAAGCCACGGCAATCGGTTGCAGCTGAAGTCGGACAACGCGAAACAAAATCTTCCGCGTTTAAACTTTGTGGTGGTTCTACTGGCCATTGCCGACAGCTGGCTGAGACTTGGGCACATGGGGGTTTATTTGGGATGAGACATCATCGGTGGGAATCGTGCTGTGCTGTGCTGGTGATAACCGCGGAGCCAAAAAAAGAAAAGGGATTGGGTTGGGCTGCAGAGAGCGATCGGATCTTCCACTGAATATAATCTGCATTCCCTTTCTCTGCCCATTGACACCGTGCATTTCTCCGAGGGCTACACCAAAGAAGTGCATAGACTGCCAAGCCATCGTCAACAAGTCGAGGATACCCTCATCAACAACAGCTTGGCTAGGTCCAGCTCAAGACCATGGAGACCATCCACGAATCAAAACAGAAGACGGCTGGCACGTCCGGCGGGTTATCGGAGGCCGCCCTGTTCTCAGTCAGGCCAAATCAGTGGACGACCGACATCGTCGTGTCCGCTGCCATGGACGGCTTGACTGGGAGGTCTTCGTCACTGAAGACGCCACTGGGGAAGAAAACCAGTTTCCGAGTGCGTGAGTGGGCTAAGCGGTCGAATTCCAGTCGGTATGTTAAATGGTGCATGTTCTACTACTCCGAGAGCAGCTGGCTAATACGTACATCTAGAACGGCCGCCACGCCGGCGATGACTCCCTCCGAGACACTAAAATCACACATCAAGCACCTCGGAGGCGGGCGCCTTGAGAAAGTACAAGTCCAAGGAACAGCCAATAACACCACCCTCCTGGCACCACCACCAATGCGAACCCTGCGGCACCGGGCGAGCTCCATCGAGAGCCGATCTACGCAGTGGCTTGACTTCTACACGGGGTCACCCGATCCCAACAAACCCCAAAGCCAACCCCTCCCCAAGCAGCCCGCTTGCACGGATGCCCCACGCCAACGCCCGCGGGCCGGGTCCAACTCGAGCCTCCGCCCGGCACCACTCCGGGTACCTTCCTCCGAGAGACAAAACAACCCCAGCGGGCCGAGCCGTGCCGCCGCCAGCACACCACCGCCAGCAGCACCAAACCAAAACCCACTAGAGCGGAAGAACTCCAAATGGAAGCCTCTCCCCAACCTCCCAAAACAACCGGCCGGGACACGCCCAACGAACGAGCCCGTAACACCCCCCAACAAACAACAAGACTCCGACCCAGCCTACCCAGCATTCCTACCCGTCTTCCGCTTCGACAGCCCCCCGCCCACACCAGACAGCAGCACGGGCATCGCCGCCATCGCCAAAACATACGCAGACAAAGAGGAACAAACACCAACACCAGAGAAGACGACACCGCCTCCCGCCGCGCGACCCCTTATGTTCAACCGCCCCCTCCAGCCCCAACCCCAACCTAAATCTGACCCCGGACCCGCACCTGCACCTATCCCCGAACCGAAAAGAGAAGCACCTATCCCCGAACCGAAAAGAGAAGCACCTATCCCTGAACCGAAAAGAGAAGAGCGGGCGCGTCACCCAACCCCCAAGGCCTATGAGGCGGAGGTGCTGCTGCCGCCGCGGCATACGCGCCAGGAGCGGATCTGGCTGCATGTGAATTACCGGGGGGAGGCACCGTTTCTGCAGGCGTGGGGGCTGGATATTGGGACGGTGGCGGATCGGGTGGAGGGGGTGGGGATTTTGAGGGAGTTGATGAAGGCTGATGAGGATGGGGAGGGTGGTGGTGGTGGTGTTGATAGTCGTGGTGATGGGGGTGGGGATGGGAAGGGGGGGGGTTGTATGGGGGTTGCGGGGTTGGGGGTGATGATTTGAGTGTTGGTTTGAGGCTTGTTTGAGGCTTATTTGGGGAATGGGAGGGTAATAAGTGGGATGTGATCAGATGGGGCCCAAGTCGTTTTGGGATTAATGGAGGTGGACTATACTGTACGTGTTGGAAGATATGAAATTGTAATGCAGAACACGACCGTCGCTGTCTATCCCCCGGTTCCAGACGATGGAGAAGAGCTGGATGAGCGTTGCTCTATCGTGCCACCACAAGCGTAGGATATCCGGGCAAGCACGCTGAGGCTGTCGGACAATGAGCGTGATGACATAGGCGAGTTGGACTATACCGAGCCGTCTACATAGTAGATGGCCATCCGCTAGCCAAGACCAGGCTAACCTTCAGCGAGATAGTTGGGAACGTATTGTGCATTTCGAGAAATGTCTGAGGATAGATGCTGCAGCCGTTCCACTAGAGGACGGGATTGTCCACAACACCGTCCACCAGGTACATAGAACAGGCAGTCGAAGAGGAGTGAATGTTTATTGAATGGCGACAATAGGCAGTGAGCTAGCATTCTTGGAGCAATCAAAACATCAAACAAACTCGGTTGCCGAACCCCCAGTGCTTCAGTGGGCCATTTCTTGACCCCCCATTCCCATGGCCATGCTGTTGCCCCCCACAGCCGTCTTGCTGCCCCCCATGGCCATGCCGTGTTTATCGGGGCCAGCATCGGAGGCTCCATTAGAATTGCCGTCAGTAGCCCCAATGGCTTCGGCCTTCTTCAGACGGAGTGCTTCGGCCTTGGAGATGCTCTTCGGATCAAGATACGGAGCCTCACCAATACCCACAGCGCGGTTACCAGAGCGCTCGCCGAGATCCATGTAGTCAAAGGTGGCACGGTGGAAGAAGCTGCGGTTATCCCAGATGGCTAGTTTGTATTAGCCATGTTTTTCTCTCTCCAGGGTCAAGGTGAATGGTGAATGGTGAATGATGAACGGTAAACGGTGAAAGGAGACGAGTGAAGCGCAACTTGCCAATATCATGTGGGTTCCTCCACCTGAATCTGCACTGCAGGTCATGGTTGTCCTGGATCATCCCGTAGAACTTCTTCAGGAGCTCCTCGGACTCGTAGGGGTTGACCTCGTTGATGCGCTTGGAAAACTGGCCGACGGCGAAGATGCTTTTCCAACCCGTCACCGGGTTCGTACGCACAACAGGATGGACGGCCGTCAGGGCGGCCCCCACATTCGCCGGGTTCCCCCTCTCCCCTTCCTCAATCTGCTCGCCTCTATTGCGGATGGCCATCAGCACGCAGTCGGCCCGGCAGGTGACGGTCAGGCCGTCCACAAAGTCCTGGTACGGCTTGGAAAGGCGGTTGTACAGCTCGTAGCCTGATGCCCACAGGGTGTCGCCGCCCGTCTCGGGGAGCTTGATCACGCGCAGCGACGTGTAATCGGCAGGGACGGGCTCGAACTGGATGTCGGTGTGCCATTCGGCCGCGTCGAAACGTCGCTTGTCCATGTTGGGCATCTTCTCAAACATGTACTTGAAGCCGACCGAGTTGACGTAGCTAATCTGTCTGTCGGGCGTGCCCCCCTCCGGCACAAAGGCCGGTGCCAGGGGAAAGATGTGGACGGACGACTCCTTGGGCTTTCCAGCCAGTTGTCCGAGCCGGTGCACGAAGTCCTTTTGCAGTTCGTTGCTGAGGTTCGTCTGCGCCCTGAAGAAGACCACCCCCCTTCTCGAGACTGTTGATGCCTTTGTTAAACTCTGTTGTGCTTGACCCTACTTTATTCCGTTCTTTTAGGCGGGGGGTGACTTACTTGTGATGGCAAGGTCACGCAGGAGGTCATCGGCATTCTCGGCATTCATGAGGTCGTCGACGATGTTGACATGGGCGTACTCGCGGCCAACCTCGGGCGTTGTCTCCTCAAACGAGAACTTGTCCAAGGCACCGCTTAATTCCAGCGGCACGCAATGCTGAGACGTTGCCATGGCGTGATATGCGTGGGTATGGGTACTGCGTATACTGTGTTTTGTGTATTTAAATATCCCTGATTTGTCGAGATGTTTTCTCTTGACATGCAGTTCTCTGAGTTTAGTACTGTAAGAAACTTGAGGAAGACGATGTAACCCGAGGATTATATGAATATTCGGGCTTGGTCTTACTTCCTGTGTCCCTCTATCTGCGTGCACCCGTGGGGAGAACAAGAAATGGTGTGCACGTACTATCTGTCGGCGACATGGACGCGTCCTGGGGTCCCAACATGTGAAGGAAGCTGGGCATCCCGAACCAGGTTCAGCTACCTGGTTACCCAGAATAGTGAATGGGATTCCGTAGCTAAGAGTGGCAGTTGAATGCTAGCGGGACCATTAGGTCCTCCCTCCCCTCCCGGGTGCCCCTTTGCCCCCCTCAATCTGGTCACACCTCACACACAATCCATCCTGTTGTACGACAGTAAGCTTCCTCGCGCCACTATCACAGCCCTTCAAGGTTCTTCTGCGACCGGTATGCGCCACAATTCTATCGTGGGGAGGAACTCGGTACCAAGGCAGGGCTATGAAAATGCTTAGCACTTTTCACTCCCCATCATTGGCGCATCATACCCACCTCTCTGAGCGGAATTGAGCAAGAATGTGACCTCGTACATGTAGGAGGGTAGCCAACCCGGATTTTCGACTGCACTTTCACATGTTTACATGCAAGCATGTAACGTCGGTACCGAGCTGCTGGCTACCAGGCTACGGAAGACGAGAGGGACAAGACGGACAGAGACTGCTTCCGGGGACACTCGTATTACAAGCGAGCTAAGGTGGGTGAATATCGAAGAGGCCCGCATGACCAAGCCACTCAGCAACTCGCCGCGCAGCTGCCGCAACACCCTTGAAAATGAAGACTTTGATGTACCTGATCCATCGTCATGCTGGTCAAGTCTCGGCGCACGGCTTTCCAACGCGGTTGCGGTACGAAACAATACCGCGGCAGGTAGTATAGCGCCTCTACGCAGTATCAGCGAAGCCACCGGTGGGACTCACGATTGCTATTTAAGGAGGCTCATTCTTCTAAGCGTCCGGCATGTCAACAGCTGTTGCCGATGAGGACGCATCCATACTACCGACCTTTCTTACCGAGTTCTCGTTCCGAGTCGATATCGGCACACCTCGCATCAACTTCTCACCTCTCACTCACCACGCACAAGTCCCAGAGCCAGTCCAAAAGACCACCAAAACCCGTGGAAAACATGACACCCCCCCGAGCTTTCGACTTTAGCGGTGAAGTCGCCATCGTGACCGGGGCCGGCTGCCGGATGGAAAACGAGCTTGGCAACGGCAGCGCAACGGCGGTCCTCCTCGCACGCCATGGCGCCCGCGTAGTGGTGATCGATCGCGACCCGGCCGCTGCTGCCGAGACCAAGCGCATGATCGATGAGGAGGGTGGCGTTGCCGAGACCGTCCTCTGCGACGTGACGGTAGATGCCGAGTGCAAGGCCGCTGTGGCAAAGGCGGTCGAGCTTTTTGGCAAGGTCGACATCCTCGTCAACATCGGTGAGTGGCCGTGACGTGTGCGGAACCTCAACAGCCCAGCCAGGGACAGCGTTGGGTTGGCTGACTGTGAACAAACCAACAGTGGGCACGGGGGGCGCCCAGGGCACCGTCGACAAGGTGGATCTTGACGAGTTCAACCACGACATCCATTACAACGTAACCAGCATGGTGCAGATGGCGCGCCATGTGGTGCCCGAGATGCGCAAGAACGGCAAGGGCGCCATCGTGAACATGAGCTCCGTGTGTGGGATGGTGGGCGGAAGCCCTGGTGTTTTCTACGCCACCTCCAAGGGCGCCATCATCCAAATGACCCGCGCCATGGCCGGTCACCACGGGCCCGACGGTATCCGCGTCAACTGTGTCTGCCCGGGCATGGCATACACACCCATGGCACGCTGCCGGGGGATCTCCGAGGACATGCGGGAGGAGCGCAAGAGCCTTGGCTTCCTCAAGTACGAAGGAACGGCGCAGGACATCGGATACGGTTCGTTAATCCTTCCCTGCCCCCACCCTAACTGCGGCGGATACCTACTGATCGGGGCAATCATCAGCCATCGTGTTCTTGTGCAGTAAGGAGGCGAGATGGATCACGGGGGCCATTCTGCCCATCGATGGAGGGGTAAGCTGGTCTTTCCCTTGTGCTTCCCGAGGGAAGCCTCGCTGACATGTCTGCCAGTATACCGCTGGAAGAGTGGACCATCCCAAGATGGGAAACATGGCCATGGCTAAGAAACAGGGAGAGTGATGTCAAACTCAGGTACTTAGGTATGGGGTAAGAGCGGGAGTCCATCTACCCGGTGACGGTGGGTATGCATGTCTCTAGCACCTTAGCGTGGCGGTCAAGCAAAGGATCCGATTTGAAAGTGCACAACAACATTCAATAATTAGTGACTGTTAGGCCCCGGTGATGTGGGAGCCGGAAACCTCATCCGGAGTTAAATTTACCAAGAAGACGAGGGGGCTAGGCACATCCACGCATGCATGACCTGGTAGCGAATCTTGGCGAGGCCTCGCCTGGGATTGAAGGATGCAATGCGGCGAAGCATGTGGTGTGGAAGCTGCATGCAGTGAGCCAACGTTAAAAGTCCCATCCTTTTTGTGGCTTTGAGCATCCATCCGAGTCTCGGGGGCGGTGGAATTCAGTCTTGTGTGCTCGAAGAGCCGCACCAGATGCACTCGCAATGTAACAGAAGAAATGGTGAACGGCCAGTGGAGAAACTTATGGTATGGTTATGGAGAGACTCGAGGTATGTGACCTCTCGTGCCCTGTCCGGGGGTCCAAGGGCACCGGGTAGTTTGCTATGATAATAATACTACTTTACTCTATGGAAATGTGCCCAAATTAGAAGAGTAAAATCCCGTCATCAAATGAACTCCCGTCAGGCTCTGCAACTAGGCTTCACCGGATAAGCAAGATGCTCTCCACGTCGGTCAGACTTCAGTAGCCTTTTCGTCTTCTTTCGGCGACGAGGATCCGCTCTTTTGTGGTGGTGTAAGTGGTGATTTGGCCCTCCAGCGAGGGCCATAAACTGACAGAGCTGGTTATGTTGTCAGCCGCTGCGTGGAGCCACAAGACCATAGTAGTAAGTCACTTACCCAGAGCTCCGCTGCCAAAGGTGACCAAGTCCAGCAACGCGAAGCCGGTGAAGTACCAGCCAATGCCCATTTTGGCTATCAAAGGCGGCGCAACAACAGCAGAAATGGCCGCAGCCGGGTTTCTGAACATGCTCTCAAGGGCCATGGCACCAGCAGATGCTTGAGGAGCGCACTCGGTCAAGAAGGCAAAGGTCACGACGAGGACGGACGACATGCCCAGTCCGACTATCTCAATCTGTCAGCGAGCGGGTCGTCGTTTTCCGTAATACCCTCCCTGCGACGTCACATACCCAGGGATGTTGCCGCCAACACGGCGGCAGGATGGATGGTGTTTTGGACCATCCAGCCGTACATGATAGAACCAGCCGAACACACCATGGCCCCCCACATTTGGTCCACGAGACGAAATTCTGCCGCAACATGACCGTCAGCGGACTTCTTTACCATACGAGCACGGCGCCAGTCGGAAAAGCGGCCGGCGAGGAGGGACCCCGTGACGATGGAGACGCCTAGAGCCAGATACCCACCGCCCACAGCCGTGACGGACCACTGGTATTGTTGCGTCAATATGGCAGGCAAACTGACAGCGACGGAGAAATAGTTGGCAAACAGGAAGGCCGTATACAGGGCCGAGATGCTGATGGGCGGGTAACAAAAGAGACGCCAGAAAGTCCGGGCCGAAGGCTTAGGGGGCGGGGGACCACGCTCCGATTCAGGGGCTAGCGGCGAAACCAAGCGTGGCGGCAAGAGGATGATACCGATGTTGGCGTACAGGCTTCCGTTGCCAACTCGACATCGAAGCGTTTCGGGAAAGGCGAAAACGATAATAAGCCAAGCAACGCCGACAGCGATCGCTGTTCAGGTTTTGATCCCAGTCAGTTGTTCCCCTCCCGGGATTTGGTTTAACCCCGGCAGCACACTCGGCGGAACATACCCAAAACCCCAAACGTCCACCGCCACGAGGCCTGTCCCGTAATGACACCTCCTAGTACAGGGCCGAGCGTCGGTCCAAGGTTCGGGCCCATCAAGAAGATAGACATGGCGAAGCCCCTACAGGCCGGCTCCGTGACCTGTTCAAGAATCAGTAGCTGGCAGGCAAGCGGAAAGAAAGAAGGCCAACGAGTCTGGAAAGGGAATACGAACATCGGCCACCGTTCCAGCACCCAGCGACATGACGGACGAGCATCCAAACGCCTGGACCATTCGAAGAAAGAGCAAGGCACCGAAGTTGGCGGGTAACGCAGCCATAAGGACGTTGGAGACGATATAGACGAAGAGAGCGATGATATAGAGCGGCCTTCTCCCCTTCCAGTCGGCAAAGGACGACCAGAAAAGGCCGGCGAAAGCACAGACGGCCATGAAGACCGACACGGTAGCATTGATTGCGGCATTGCTCACCCCGAACTCTTTTTCCAACACGGGTAGAGCGGGAAGATAGATACCTCCAGCCAGGGGACCGAGGAAACCTGCGGCGCTGGCGATGCCGATGATGAAGCGCCGCCGTGCCGGAGAGAAGCCCGAGTACGGCTCGGCGCCGGGGACCTGTTGTTTTGCTTCGGTTCCGCTCATGGTTGCAAAGCATAGGTAGGTAGAGAGGTACACAGGGAGAAGTTGAACTTTCGGGATGACTCGAGCACTCCTTTGTGTGCAGCGTGCTCTGTCCTAGACGCTACAGGGCCCTCCAATCTTCAAGCCATTCTCCTTGCTTATCCGTTCTCTTGCTCTCTCTTTGGTTCTCATCTCACTCTCGCGTATAACTTGCGCTGACGTGGTGGGGGACCCTTGCTCGAAGCGGCCATGGACGTTGAACGTCTGTGGGAAGGAAGATGGGTGCGGTCAGGAGCCATGTATTCCGTACGTAGGTATGTACCTACGGTACCGAGACACTGGTACTTTGCAGGAATGAGTGCATTGTGGCTGTCGCACTGCACCCCCGATTGGCTTCCATTGACCAAAGCGCTCATGCATCAGACTGGAACCAGAGCCGGGCTACATACACGCCGAGGATCCAGAAATGGCCTTGAATCCTGCGAACCAAAGACCTCGTGCCCGGTCAAGGACATGCGCCACATGCGCACCTTGAGAGCACTCGTATTCTGTGCCCGAGTAGTGCAAGGGTCTGCGTCAGCCCGCATCTCCTCCTCCTCAGCCTTCTGTGCTGTCTTCACCACACTACACTAGACTGAGAGCGAATCGCGGGTTACGACGTTGCATTCCGCGGTTACACACTACCGACAGGGCCACTACAACCCTTCCGATCCCCCACGTGGCCCACGGGCTACTATCAAGTTGCTCATCACACCGGTGACCGCAGGAGGCCGAACTGGGACACCTCATCGGGTCAAGGTGAAGTCGTCATACGCTTGCCCACGAGTGGAAAGGCTTCGCTTCTTAGGAGGATGGGGGTCTGGGGGGGGGGGGGGGACAAGCAAGAGATGCCTCGTCTAGGTGTTGAACATGTTGGAAGAACATTAGGGGCCCAGGGGTTGTCTCCGGCTGCCTGAACGCACGACGATGTCTAAGCGCCAGGGCAGCAGCCACGGGGCGTGAACGAATAATCCTCCAGATAACCACATTGCTGGCCTTGCGTTACGTTATTGACCTCGCTATCAGCACGTCAGGAGGGCAACTCGACGCAAAGCGGCAAGGTCTTGAGACAACCTTCTCATACCCCAGCCTGCCTAACAAAAGCTCCAAGTCTTGCATGTCTCACAGCTAGACAACCAGCCTTGAGCATATTTCTCATCAACATGAATGACCTGAGCGCTTACCATCGATTCTGCTGTGCTTTTGTCCGAGCACAGGATGGGGAGCTGTTCTCCTGCACTGGACCGTTTGAAGAGGTCGTTCGAGAGCACTGGGCCCATGTCTCGGCCGCGGTGGCTTCGCCCTCGGAGCAAAGACCCCTTGTGCCCCCTGGTTTCAGCAAGGCGGCTCATGGACAGCCTGATCTCAGACGGCCATCAACAAACAAGTCACTCATCAAGGTCGACGCGATTCACCATGACATGCTGGAACTTTACGAACGGCACGACGACAGAGAGCACCGAGACACAATCCTCGGCATCATTCTCCAACGACCTTCGGATGCAGAGACCGGCTTCGATGACATCTTTGCCAGCCTCATGCTCGACGGTGTCCGGCTCTTCACCTCCTCGGCGCCTCAAGGCCAGCCTTCCGACACCGAACCCGAGCTGCGGGCAGTCGCACACAAAATCACCGATCTCTTCGACACCCGGCTGAGGTATCTCAGCGAGAATGACAAGTGGAACGACCGCGGGCGGGGATTCTTCTTCGGCTGGGTCTACGAGTTTGTGCGGCGCGGAGCGAGAGTCGAGTTCTGTCTGCCGGCCTTTCCTTGCAAGTCGTCCAACCCCGACAAGGTGGTGGGCGTGGTGCCCGACCGAGGGGAGCAGCTTGCGCTCCAACATCTCGACTCTTTCATAGAGGCCATCGAGGGTATCTACGAACCGGGTGCCAAGTTGTGGATTGTGAGTGACGGTCATGTATTCAGCGACTGCAGTGAGTCGTCCCCCCCTTTTTTGAGAGGTAAAACGCTTCCTAATTCATCCTGACAATCTCGACAGTCGGCGTCGACGACGACATAGTCGACCTGTACAGCGCCGAGCTAATCAGCATGTATGCCGCAATCAGAAAGCGCAGCAGCGGAAGCGCAGACCGAATCGGCTTCCAATCCCTCATCGACATGTTCGGTCTCGCGAACTCAACAGCCGAGATGCAGCAGTGGCACGCTCTACAACTCCCCTCACCCGAAGTCCACATCCCCACACAACGCACCCGCGCAGCCGAGCTCAGCCGGCAGATGCTGCTCCGCGCGGGCCGATCGAACGACCGCCTCCTGCGCGCGCGCATCACGTCGGGCGACGACCACAGCACCCTGAAGCTCTACCGGGGCTTCTCGCGCTTCATGGCCGAGGACCTGCGGCTCAACCGGCACACGCGCCACCTCAGCCGGTGCAAGCTCAAGAAGCTGGCCGCCAAGGTCGCCTTCGAGATGCTGCAGCGCAACGAGGCCTACTCGAACCTGGTCGAGCTCTTTTTTCCCCACGCCGTGCGGCTGTCCATCCACGCGCATGACAACGCCGGGCCCAAGTTCGGCATCCGCCTGTTCGGCCTCGATGTTAGGGCCGTTGAGCAGCTCAACGGCTCGGACGACGGGCCCGAGATGCGCTCTGTCGATCTGTTGCATGTTCCGACGCCGTGGCATAACTGCCTCGCCCTAGTCGTGGCCGGGCAAGGTGGCGGTGATGGTGGTGGTGGTGGTGGCGGTGCCCTTGTCATGACCAAGTCCAAGGTGGTGAGAGACGCCCTGTCCGAAGGCGCCTTGAGCGGCGGCTGGGCGGACGAGGGCCACCAGGGCGTGGCGGGTTGTTTTCGCCTGCAGAAGAAGCTGGCACCTCGATGCGAGGTCTCGGCTGAGTATGCAAAGCGGAGTTGGGACGCCGAGGACATGCTTGACTGCTGCGACCCGGGGAATCCTTATTTCTGGGGGCCTGAGGCGGGCTTCGAGGTCGATATGCGCCACTGGCGCGCGTGGGCCGGCAGCGGTCTGTTCTGAACGCGTGGTTCTGAGATTGAGACTTGAGTTATTGTCATTGCTTTCTTTGTCGTCAAGTTTTACTGGGGCTGGTTTATTTTCCAATACTGATTACGTACCTACCTTGGTTAAAGCCCGACAGTCGTTGTTTTGTCGACCATCGATCACGGTGGCGTCAGGGGGGACGCTAGGTTGGAGGAGGGGAGGAGAGGAAGGGAAGGGGAAGCGTACGAATTAGACGACGCGTTTCATTATTTCTTCGCAGCCGGCGTAATCTCTCGGTACCTTAGCCAGCTAGGTACCCGTCAGTCTTTTGGTCAAGCAACGAGAACAGTTCCATTCGCAGCAATTGCCTACGTCCACTGGGCTTCCACAGTTAGCTGTCACAGGCTTTTGAACACACGGCAAGAACAGATGAATCATGAAATGGAGAGAGAAATCAGAATCAAGTTGGGTTGCTGTCGATCTGCTATTCTGCTTTGATAGCGCCGAGTGCCCAGAGGCAGTGCTTAATGTGTTGGTCTTGTCGGCAATGTTGATACTGCCTTAGGTACCTATGCCAGTCGCAGAGCGGAATGGATGCCGGGCTGGATTTGACAGGTCTGAATGGACAGTAGGTCCTGTGCTTGGTATGGTAACCGTCCATGTCAAGCAGTGTTGCGGCATGCGCTAGCAATGCAGTTGGCTGCTTGTTTGGGAATTGTGCTCAGGAATTGTGCTCAAAATGGCTCATGAATACACCCGTCCTTGGGGGCCGCGTTCGGACATGTCCAGCCGTTAATTACACCAGCCGTGTCCGGTGCGTCAGAACCAGAGTGCTGGAAAAGGGGGACAGCGGTACCGTGAGAACCAGGACCAGGTAAATGAGACAGTTAATTGCAAGTAACTGATGCGCGAAGAAATGATGGGCGTGCGGTTGACGTCGCCCTTCTTAAACGGCCTGTCATATCTCCCAATGCGTCCCCTCGTAACTATTTCTTCCCGGATCCCATTTCGTCTGCTATATGGGCAACTAGACCCAATACAACGTTCATCATGCTCTTTCGCGCCGTCTTGCTTCTCCTCGGGATCAGTTGCCTCCCTGTTTCGCTGGGGTCCAGAAACGAGAACCATGGATGTAAGTCGTGGCCCAGTCGAGAGAGAAAGGCGGCGTGCTATCATATCTAGGGGGAAGTAGGGGGACTCCCTACGTGATGAAGGAAGGCAGCGGCTGCTGCCCCGGTGTCAAAGGGGAAGTCTGCTGACGAGGCACTATGAAAACCTACGTACCAGGCAAGCCGCCGAAACCGAAGCCGACCCCGCTGCCGCCGATCAAGTACGGCATGATCCTGTTCCGGTCGTTTGAGCCGCTCGACGTGTTTGGACCGCTCGAGGCTCTGCACATGCTGTCAAAAATCCGTCATTTGCAACTTTTTCTCATCTCCGAGACCATGGAGGTGGTGACCACGCAGCCCGTGGTAGCAGCTATGAACCCGATGAATTCGACTATGGTGAGTGCGGATGAGCAAGTACCCTTTAATTCTTCCAATCTTTGCATGAAGCGAATCGGCCAGAATTGCAACTAACCCCACGCCTTTTCAGTACCCAACGCTGCCGCCAACCCATACCCTTAGCACGGTTCCGGACGACCTCGACGTTCTTATGATCCCCGGCGGCCTCGGTACTCGGTCCCCTCTCATCAATGCCACGATCGATTACATCGCCGCCACGTATCCCAAGGTGAAGTACCTCATCACCGTGTGCACCGGTTCCGCCCTCGCCGCCAGGGCGGGCATCCTTGACGGCAAGCGTGCCACGACCAACAAGGCTTCGTGGGATGCCAACGTGATATATGGCCCCAAGGTGAAGTGGGTTCCGCGTGCGCGGTGGGTCGTCGATGGGAATGTCTGGACATCGTCAGGCATATCGGCGGGGATAGATGCTACCCTCGCGTTCATTGAGGAGATGTATGGGAAAGAGAATGCGACCTATGTGGCGAATCTGATGGAGTACGAGAGGCATGGTGATCCGAACCGGGATCCGTTTTCGGACGTTTTCAATGTTGCTGGCGCGAAGTGACTGGATCTAGGTGTGCAGAGAGCAGAAGGAGGTTCCATTTGTAGCCATATGTAGACAGAAGTTGACGAGCCCCTGACCATCTGCCTTTCGAGGCATGTTAGGCTACCTTGATTAGCAGTACTTCTTGGACCATGCCCGACCTGTCGGGACTCATATGTAAATACTTTCAAGGATTTGTGACTTCTAAACCTACACCAGAAAAGGCTTTCTCCACGTTGGTTGCGTGTCCTATCCAGCTGCAAATCAACAGGCGCAATTCCACACAGCACAGCCCGTACTACGCGGTCGCTATGTCCGAAAAAAGAAAAAGAAAGAATAGAAAAGAAGAGCCTATCAACCACAGCACACTGTGGCCTCCTTTGCGGCGCTTGTCTGGCCATTGCTGCGGTTGTGAGTTAGCATGCCACATTTCCGAACTCGTCAAAGGACAAGGGGCCGTCTCACCTGACCCCGAGATACTCCCACTGGAAAACAAAGGCACCGAGGAAGGAGCCGATGAAAATGCAGATGATGATGTAACCGTTGTAGTACATGGCGAGCCTGCCGCGTGGTCGCCTGTCAGCACGAAGTCATGATATGGGGGAACCGGGGAGTGGTCATACAGCATGACGAAGTACGCAACAGCAAACTGGACCATATGAAGAAGCGCGCGCATAGCCTGTTGCAAAACGGTCGGTCGAAAACCCGGGGCGGCCGCCGGCAAAGCGGGAGAGCCAGTGACCTTTTGTGCAGTCGGCGCTGCGGAGTGCTGACGGAGGAGGAAACGGTCGTATTCCTTGACGGACCGGCGAAGAAGCTCAAGCGACATCACCAAGAGGAGGACGCCGATACAGGAGCCTGCAAATACGCTCGTCGAGGTGATCTTCCAGGAAGACGCGATGAAGCATGAGTCGATCGTGTACCAGTTCCACAACATCTGCCAACCGGCCCGTGTCAGCACTCCTCCAGATTCCTCCTCCTCGCCGAGAGCGATTGGAAATCATCACCACGTTGGAGAAAGGAGTGGGAAATAGAGACGCAGTTTAGGTACTGTCTCGCTTTCGAGAGGGAGCTCTTCTCACCGAAATCTTGCAACCGCTGCCACCCATACCTCCCATACCTCCTCCTCCCATGCTCGTGGTCGCCGCGGCGGCCGGGGCCGTAGTCGTGGCAGGATGTGACATATCCATCTTGACAACGCGATGATGGCCCGTCCGTTCGATGGTCAACGAGTAGAGCTACACGGCAAACTTGGAGAACTGGAGGATAGAGAGCTAGAAGAGAGAGAACCGGAGAGAGGTCTGCAGGCAAAACACGTATCGAGAAGTACGATGCTATGCGATAACAGGGCGAAAGTACCATGACAGAGCACATGGAACAGCTCTTGAATAAGGTACTCGACGCGGTTGCCCAAACTCGCCCTTAGACTCCCACCAAACAGCCACTTTCACACCCCAACTGTCCGCAGGGTGACGAGCGAGTTTGAGAGCATTGTGGCGACAGCCACACCCAGACATGTCAGCCATTGCACCTCCTCTACACCCGTCCAAGCATGGGGGGCACCCTTGTGTACCGCAATGTACTGTTACACCAAAGCGCGCCTGCAAGAACAAGGTATGCATCCCCCAGGACCCAACGCAGCGGTGCAGCTATTGCCGCTAGCCCAAACTCAGTGCAACTTTACGGTAAGCCCTATCGATATTGGAGACAAGGCTGGGGATATTCTCACACACGGGCGTAAGCGGATCAAACTTGTTCAAGTGACGAGTGCCTAAGTGGTTAGTGTATATTCCTTTTGTGCCTATCGGCCCCCGTACGCGGAGATCTCATTGGTACATACATGAGTAATATCTCAGGAGGTACGTAATTAGGTAATCTCCTTTGCATACCCAAGCTCCTCGCTGGTTGTACCCCCACTCGCCCCCCCCCCCCCCCCCCCCCCCCCCTTTACATAAGACCGCCGCAATCTCGAGCGTTCCTCCATGTATGGCTTCGGGGCTGGAAATTCAGTCTCAGTGCTCTGGGATACAGGGGTCCGGCCTTCGGGTCGACAAGCGCAGAGGAAAAGGTCAGCACAGTGGCGCTAGATAACGCGGAAAGAAGGGGGGTAAGAAAAGGAAGAAAAAAGCCCCGAGGAAAGGCAAAAACGACCTACGGGCGTCTTCCGATCTTCCCACCCCGGATCCAACGACCAGCGAAAGCGGCCAACCAGCACCCACAACGTCACGCGCATCTCAAACATGGCAAACCTCTCGCCCAAGCACGCGCGTTTCCCGCCGTGGAAGGAGATGAACTCGCCGCGCGCACGGCGCAGGCGGAAGTGCTTCTGGACGCTCTCGCTCGAGTCACCCCAGCGCTCGGGACGGAACTCGCAGGCGGCAGGGCCCCAGGCCGCCGCGTCGCGGTTGGTCGAGTAGCAGTTGTATCCGACGTAGGTGCCGCGCGGCACGTAGATGGCGCCGCCTAGCATGGTGTCTTTGGCTGCGCGCCGGTTGATCAGCTGCCCGATGGGTGGGTAGAGGCGCAGGCTTTCGTAGATTACCGCCGTCATCAGTGGCAGGTCTTGCAGCGCCGCGGCCTCGGGCAGCGGGGCGTCATGGTCTGCTGCTGCTGCTGCCTTGTCGCGGATTTCGTCGAGGAGCTGGTCTTGGACTTGCTGGCGGTTGAGGTCGGTGTGAGACCGCGTCAGTAATTGGTGTTCGGAGGCGTCACGTCAACTCTACCGTGCTGTATCGTTCATACATGGCACGAGGAACGCGCGGGAGTGGTCGGCAAAGGGGAGGAAGGTGGTAAGCGGAGCTGGAGGGGTCGTACCGGATGCTTGGCCAACAGGTAGAGCATCGAGATCATGAGTAGCTGCGGATTCTCCTGGCCCGCTACAAACGTGACGGTCAGGTTGTCAAGAAACTGCTTCTCGGTCCAGAGGCTCGACTCCATCGCTGCGAGTAAACGAGCACCCAGCTTGTCCGATTCGAGCCCGGCTACAGGTTTCTCGACATGGCTTGCTACTAGAGCGCTTTTTAGCTGGTTCTTGAAGGCTGTGACCATGTTTCTGGCCCGTTTTCTTCCCGGTAGCGGTAGCCGGTCTAGGATGGGGAAGTTCATGAAGATGGGCTTGAAGATTTCTCGCTTGACTGCCATCTGTAGCGCATTGATAGCCACTTCATCCGACTGAAGAGTCTGGCGCGAGGCAAGGGGGAGACACCCAAACCCGATGGTCAGGGTACCATACTGGCACAGCACTAAACGGGGAGGGGGGAGGGAGAGGACTCACAGGCAGTTCTGTCTGAAGCAGTACGGCGGCGCAGTTGGCCACCGAGTATCTCTGCAGCAGAACCTGCACGGGGATGCCGCCTTTTCCGGCCCTCTTTTGCGCCGTCTCAATCAGGCCGCACAGCAGAGACGCATTATTTGCCAGTGTGTCGACCTCAAAGGGACGTTGAAGACCTGGCTTGATGACCGACTGGTAGCACTTCCAGGCCTCGCCTCGGCTCGAGATGATATTGTCGCCTTAATTGCAATGACGGTCCGTTAGCATAGCTCCACCCACAGCAGTACGCAACTCCCATCTGTTGCATCGACACGGCAGCGCTCACCAAGAAAGTCAGCCAGGACACTGTGGGGGATCTTCTTCTGGTTCCCCGACTTTTGGTAGACGTCCTCGTGCTTGAAGATCTCCAGTAGATAGGACGGACGGTGGACGAGAATGTTCCACTGGGCACCGAAGAAGAGCTTGACGGCGCCATGCCTATGGAGCGGTCCTTCGATGTACTTTCTGAATATGTCGGATTGGTCCACATCCTTGAAAAAGGGGATCAGCGCCACCCAGAAGGGGACGGCCGGCACATTGTGCGGGTATTGGGGAGGCAGGAGAAAGGCCCAGTAGACTGAGCTCACAAGCAGGGCTGTGAGCAGTAGCAGTTCAAAGATGAGCACGATCATATTTGTGCTCGTGTGTTGCTGACGGGCCTCGGGCTGTGACAAACGCATCAGTGTTCGAGTTGGTTGCGGCAAGGGTCCCGCCATTTATAAGTTGCGGGCGCAACCCTTATGCATCTAACCGTTTGTACACCGAGTGCCCAATTATTCCAACGGGTGAATAGCTAGAGCTGAGTACAGGAGGCAGCGGCGACAACGTCCAGCGGATATTCGATTCCCGCAGCTCACAACAGCGGCTAGTCGTCTTCGTCATGACTGGGTGACGTGCTACCCCGTTCATTTAATTACAAGTGAATGGCCTCGGATGAATGAAAGACAGCTAGGTACGGATACATCGTATCACATCACAGGGGTATATCGCAGTTTGACTGAAGTGGCACTGTTTCCGCCCCAACGTACCAATCCATGATATTGAAGGTGCCGATGATATTGACGACAATGACCTCGACGACAGCGATCCCTATCCCCAGTATAACACCGACTCCAACAACGAAGGTGAGTCGTGGAAACTTTGAAAACTTTGAAAACTATAACCATACCCCGTCGCGCCTTGCGCTACGCCACCGACACACTCTCCCGCGGATGGGCCTTGAGCCAGAAATCATGCTGCTCGATAACATTCCAACAGCGAGAAACCCAGGGCTTCTCCGGCTTCATCACCTCGAACTCATACCGGCGGAAGAGCTGTAGCAGTCTCACGTTAGCCTCACATCCATACATCCCCACGACAAACCCCCCCCCCCCCCCCCCCCTTAAACTTCAAACTCACCTCAAAAAGCGCCTTCCTAAGCTCCATCATCGCGACCGCCCTGCCCAGACACTGATACCGACTAGCCCCCCCAAACACCATATCCACCAACGTCTCCATATCCTTCGCCCTCTCCGACCCCTTCTCCACCTCCAACCACCGCTCCGGCCGAAACTGGTCCGCATCCTCCCCCCACACCTCCTCCACCCGCATCAACCCGACCGCATTCCACCCAATCTCCGTCCCCGCGGGAAGCACCACCCCGTCCCACACATCCCCCTCGGGAGGGACGACTTTGGTGGACAGGTCATTGCCGGGCGGCAGCCAGCGGAGGGTCTCGCGGATGATGGCCGTGAGGTAGGGCTGGGCGCGGGCGGTTTCGTCGCGGATGACGGCGTCGAGGGGGTAGGGGCCGGTGGTGACGGTGTCGATTTCGGTTTGGAGGGCGCGCAGGACGCGCGGGTTGGTCGAGATGAGGAGCATGGCGCTGCGGATTGCGGTGGCGGTCGTGTCGGAGCCGGCGAGGCTGTGGGGAGGGGAAAGGTGGGGTGGGTTAGTATTGATCGGTGGTGGCCTTCTTGGGTGGTCTTCTTGGGTCGTCTTCTTGGGTCGTCTTCTTGGGTGGTGGATGGGATGGGATAGGAAGGGGTTTGTCTGCCTGGGTGGGTACCTATGCACTTACAACTGCAGGACAATCTCGGCCTCGACTTCCTTCTGCGTCAGGCCGCGCGCGACAAAGGAGCCCAGCATGTCCCGCTGGACTTTCTTGTTGCCCCCGAAGCGCTCGGCGGCAGTTTCTTTGGCGATTCTGTGAGGGGCGGTGTGGTTAGTGTCATGGATACAGTTGTGTGTATATAATAAGAGATGGATCACTCACCCCATTAGCCTTCCCAATCCATTCTTGTCCCCGGCCTTGGGGAACAGGCGGTTGAGGAACGGCAAATTGACAAAATTGATGAATTCAGGGAAGTTGAGCAGCATCCCCATCACGGGTAGCTGTTTCTCGATGATGTCAATGTAGTTGTACACGTCCGAGTCGGTGGCTAGAAAGCCGAGTGGCTTCCCAAAAGTGAGGTGGGCAACCACGTCGGTGGTGAGGTACTGGGCCTTGCGGCCGAAGTCGAAGGCCTTGTTGTGGGCGATGTACCGCGACTGGAGGAGGTTGATCAGGGACAGCACGTCCGAGTCGACCTTCTCCTCGACCCCTTCGACCTCCTTGCCCGAATACTGGATGCCGAGTGTTAGCATACCAAGCACGGCTGCTAATCCATAGAATAGGCAATGATACGTACGCCGTGAATCATAATGGTGCGGAGCCGGTTGTGTTCCTTATCATCGGTGACAGAGAGGACGTGGTCCTTGGCTGGATCCAACCGGAAGCCCTTGAAGCGCTTCGACCGCACGTACGGAGACCGAACGGCCATGATGCGTCTCCAGAGGTGCCAGTCTGATGTGAGGAGCGTGTTCGGCCCCACCCGCGCGAGACGGCCTGGGAGTGTTTAGAGGCGGACGGGACGGTATTGTGGGGAGCTGGGCCCTTACCATATTTGCTCTCGACTTGCCGCATCCGCTCAGTTATCTCGCCACTTCGGGCCATTGGGACGAGCCAAAACCATCTTGAGAAGCCGGCAAAAAAGGGGCCGGGGATATGGCTAAGACGGTACCACCGGCTTAGTCGCCGGGCCAAGAAGGTAACGACAAGGAGTGAGCCCAGGAAGAGTCCCAGTTCAAACCTATGTTGCTCAGAGAGCATGAGGTTCACGGCGTCAAGGATTTGTTCCGACATGATAACTTGAGGCGGCGGGGGGGTTCGCCACCTGTGGAAGGTTGCTTGCTTAGACGAGACGGAGGATGAGGACACAAAGGGGAGGGCGCAACCCATATGCCGGTCTTTATAACGCAGCATCCCCCATCGTGAGACCCTGAGAACCCCCCCACAGTATTATCCGCTGTCACCCCTCTTCCGACGGCACGGGGCCGCTCCCGTTGCGTCCCCGGGGCTGCGATGACACCTCGTAAGCAAGTTTTCTCCCAGTGGAAAGGAAGGACCCATTTTCGATGTGAAGAGGCTCGCAAATGGATTAGCATGGGTGGGGGCAAGGGGGGTCCTTTAGGAACATGGATCAAGAGCGGTGCCAAGTGCCAACGCATGTACTCGAAAAGTCGACTAATTCTGAACTAATCCTGGGGCGCCAATCCAGCATCTTGTCACAGACATTGGGTTGGCCGCTATGTATGCAGTATGATGCGTGGGTGGCGAGGATCCGAGCCTGCCTCGAGTTACATTCGGCTTCGTTATTCTCCGGTGCGAGGACAACGAACTCATTACGACGGTCGTGTTTCTCGTCACCTTTCCCGTGTCACCCATCCACTTGTATTGACACGGCACTGCATATTGGCGGAGATCACTACCTTGCAATCACACTGTCTCTGCCTTCGTTACTCTCCCTCCAACCAACCGCCCGCCTCAGACTGGACTCACCCCGGCTAGTTGAGGGGTACCCAGTCCCTCATGGGGTGCATTGCCGTATCATCGCTGAGGTATTTATCATCGACGAGTAGCCTCGACCATTGCCCTTGTGTAGAGTCTCCAATGCGGTCTGGATAACCTTTTTATGCTTGGTGATTGAATTGTTTACCCCTAAGTGGTCAAGTCGGAAAAGGGGTAAAACATGCGAACTCATCAAGAAACAGGCAAACGATGAGCCCTTCCCACATATTCTCTTCACACTAATAAACCTCAATATCCCCCCTCTGTCGATGGCGTATGACTTATCCGTAGAAGTTCCCTCCACTAAAGGCCGAGTCTAGACCCGGCATGGTTGAACCAGGGTGACCTTGCATAACCGGGCCAGGCCGGTGATAAGGCGAGACTGCGAAACCTCGGCTTGATGCCGAGAAATTTTCCATCCTTCGCTACGCTTCTAGACGCCTCGGCGGGGTCTGCGTGCAACCGTTGAGCCGTGACACTGTCGTCACTGTTTGTGAAAACAAGAGAGCTCCCCATTCCGATAGCATATTAGAAATTAGAGCTCAAACAATAATTGCAATATGGAAGGGCAATCTCAACAAGAATCTGATGAATTAGATCATGGGATGACGAGGCCGCCATACGCCCGCTCCCATTCTCACGGATTCGAGACAGACGCCAGGAACAGCATGTCACGAGATACAATGTATCCGATGGAAGGCAATGGCCGGCCGTTGCACTTGCAAGCCGGCAGCTATACTGCCCACGCACGCTCAAGCTCCAGGACGTCCTGGGACGGGGTCCGCGTGCCTCAACCTTCCAGCCGCACACCCTCTCAGTCACCACCACAATCTCCGGTTCGGCGCAGCAACCGACCACGGCCAGCCTCCGCCATCAGCCTCCCGGACCACGCCCTCGGCAGGCCAACGGCACTCGCCAACCGATGGAGCTACGACCGGGAGCGGATGCCGTCGCCGCCGCCCCCAGCCCGCGGCTCACGGCCAGGGACGCCGCTGGACGACTGGGAAGCCCTAGAAGCGGCCTTCTCGCGGCCGGCCAGCACGCTCATCGAATCACGCTCCTCCACCCGGCCGCCATCTATCCTCAGCGCATCGGCCGAGCTAGGCGGCCACTCCCACAGCGCCAGCACGCCGACGCTCCGGGTCCACCCCCCACCGCCCGGCGACAACCCACAGCCGCACCCACAGCAATACCCACAGGAGCAGCAGCACCACCACCCCAGGCCGCGACAGCCGTACCACCTGCTCACGCCGCAGGAGATGGAGCTGCTCGCCCACCCACCACCACTCCAACCCCCCATGACCGCCTCACCACACTCACCAGAGTCCCCCCTACCTTCACCATCACCAACCCCCAAACACACCAACCGACAACCCCAACCCCAACCATACACCACTGCCAAAAACGACAACAATAATAATAACGATACCACCAGGAACGGCACAAACGAAAAAGAAAGTAGCTGCACCAACCTCTGCGAGCTGACACCCGCACGACAAGTCTGCGGGCGGTTCGGGGCCTGGGTGGTGGGGATGGCGATACCCGTGACATTTGCGGGTGTGATGGGGTGTATGTTGGGGGTTTGTCGGTGACATTTGTTATGTTTTTCTCCTTTTTCTTTCCTGTTTAGTTAGAAGGGGCAGAAGGGGGGCTGGTTGGTTAGTTGGTTAGTTGGTGGGGGGGTGGACGGATGGGGGGAGGGGGTGGGATGGTGAAGTGATAGGGCTGGGGAGGGGGGTGGGGGGTGGCGTTCGATGGGTATTGATACGTAAAGTAGGCCGGGATGGTCGTCATTGAGGCTGAGAATGCTAATGGAGGACGGTTCAACGTACCTGGCATCATCCACGTGTTGGGACCGTGGGGTTGGGATGAACAGGTGTTCGGTGGAGCATGGAAGCACGACTCTGGAAGCACGACGACACGAGCAAGAGGTTTTGCAATGTAGTAGAATTGCGGGCGCTAAACTCAAAGCTATAATAAACAGCAGACGCTAAAACTCCATGATATAGACAAAGTAAACCAGCGAACGCCATGTACCGGGCCCCTGAGCCCAACCAACCAGACAACGCTTTCCCAGTGGCCGTCAACTCCCATAAACGCCTTCCCTATCATCCATCCCTCTTTAAAGAGCAAAGTAGGGTATCCACATTAGCCAGAAAACCCGCTAACCGACCAAAGACGTAAACAGAAAAGGCTCAAAGCAAAACCAAACACATGCTGCCGATCCGAAACTCAAAACACAAGATCGGCTTCCGTTCGTGACCCCTGGTCGGGCCGTGAAGGCGACGTGGGTGTACTCCCCTCGTCCCTGGCGCTGTTGCTCTCCCACAACTCAAAGCTCTCGGCGGCACCATCGATCCCGGCAGCTACCAGCGGCTGTTCGCTGCCTCCCATGATGTCATCCACATCAACCCCGTCGACGTCGCCAAGGCTGACTTGCGGTGGCGGTGGCGGGAGCATCGCCCCGGCGCCGTCTTCAGCTAACCACCGCTGCTCCTCTTCCCCGTCTTCCGGGAGGGGAGGCAGATCTCGCGGTTGCTGCGCAGCTTGACCGGCAGCCCCTTCGCTGACCACCGCCTCGGGATCTTCCTCATCGCCGGGGATGATGAACACGCTGGAGCTATCGCAGCCGTCGGCGTAGAAATCCACCACGTTCATCTCACAGAGCGGACCGCGCCCCTTGAGCAGCAGCACATCCTCGTCAATGTCGACGGCATCGCGGGAGGCACCCCGCGCCGAGGATGTCTGGCTGACGTCCTCCGGGGGCGGGATGTTCTCCTTGTCCCGGCCCTCGGCGCGCTCGCGCTTGGCGCGGCTCTCGGACTCCTCGTCGCTGCTGATATCAAGGGTACAGGTGCCGTGCTGGAGGAGGTTGGTCATCTCCTGCTCGGGGGTGTCCTCGTGAATGTCGAAAGACCATGAAGATGCCTGGTCGGACGTGGGGATAAAAAAGTCGAGGGCGGCGTTGGAGGCGGCAGCGGCCCTGCGTCTGCTCTTGGTGGGGCGCGAGCTGCCCGAGTAGCCGGGGATAGTGCCCTTGAGGGCGGTATCGAGAGAGAACGGGAGGCCGGCCTTCAGGGAAAATGACGGAGGGTCCGGGCGCTGGTTGCGGCGGCGGGAGAGGATGCCGACGCGCTTGGAGGGGCGGGTCGGTGAGCGGCCGGCGGGGGCCGTCAGCGGTGAGGGTGCGGGTGCTGCTGCCGCGGTCTTCGCCTTGAGCTGAGCGGTGGGCGACTTGGGCTTGAGGATGTTCCGTGACACGGGCGCAGACGCGAGTCGGCTGGGGGGGCTGCTGAAGACATCCTTGACCGCCGGGGAGGGAGAGGCCCTGGCTAGGGTGAAGGCAGGAGGCTTGTTGAAGCTCTTGCCCAGGTCACCCCAGAAATCGGCACCCTTTGACCGCTTCGAAAAGAGGACAGGGGCCACGTTCTCGGAGTCGTCAGTGTCCTCCACCTCGGTAGCTTTCCGCTTGATGGGCGAGGACGCGATTGCTTCGACATGTTAGCGTGCGCCCTAGCGGGAGAAGGGGGACGACGGGCGAGACATATGGGGAGATACAGGAGTACATGCTCAAGGGCACGGGTATACGAGTGGGGGTTGGTGGGTATGGGATGGGTGAAGGACGGCGACATACCATTCTGCCTGTTCTTGACGCTAGCCAAGCTCTTCAACCGTGCGCCGTCGACAGGAGCGAACGGCTGGCGGGTGAGGGTTGCCATGATGGGGAATGGCGGACTGATGTCGCTGTGAAAACGAAAGTGACAACGCGATGCTGGAAGCTCCACGCGCGACCCGATTGTTCTCCGCGGGCAACAAACAATTGCGCGGTGGTGTTTGTTAACGGCACTATGTGCGCCAGAAGGGACAGTCTCCGCTTTCTGAGACTCCCGACGAAACGAGTAGAGACGAGGGAGAGGGCAGGCGGCGGGGTTCCCTGTTTAGGCGAGGGCGAGGGAGAGGGAGCGCGTTATTCTTATCGCGCAGGTGGCCTGGTGAAACGGCCGGCCGGTCAAGACGGTCTCGTTTTGTCGCGACAGCTCTGGGGGGGCCGAATGGCACTCGACACGAGCTGGAGGGGTGGGACTGGGGTGGTGTGGGATTGTGGGAGGCAATGCGCGCTGTTGCGACAGGATTGAGAACTCTGATCAAGGTTTCAAGTGATACCCGAAACTGGGAATGATCTTTGCGGTCTTTTTGGTATGTGTGTGGTTTGGCGAGGCGCTTGCTTGTGTGGGTTGGAGGGTAGCAGCGAGTGGGAGATGGCTTAAGTAGCAGTAGAAGAAGGGGTTAAATTGGTATGCGCGCGAGGGAGGCGCGATGTGAATCGACAGGGTCCCGTGGGCGGTGAGGTTGAGAACAAGGTGCGTGGAACAGAACAGCACAGGGGAGGAGCGATGTGGAAGTGAACAGGGAGGAGGAAGAAGCGGAAAGTACGAGCAGGGGAGGACCCGGGGTTAAAAGGGAAACGTGAAATGCTCCAAATGCTGCGACTCCGTAGATTGTTCTGCGCACACTCCCGCAGAGGATCCAAAGTGACGGCAAATGGATGGCACTCGACGTTCCGGGTCTCAGACAGATGGGCGTGAGGGAGCTCCTCGTGCTGGTTGGCGCATATGCAGGGTTAAGATTGGGCTGCTTAACGTGCCTTTTCGTGGTAAAACCTAACTAACGCGTGCCGCCCTGGGTGTCCCGCCATGTACCGGTCCTGGTTCCAATCACAGCGCCTCTATCGCCTGTGGAGAGGGGTCCTGGCTTGGACCCAGGCAAGGGCGGAGTCCTTGCGCTCGAGAAGTTGAGAGCTTGCAGCGGGCTCCGGGCGGGCCAGCGATGAGCACGGCGATTGGCAACGCCCAGTCGCAGGCTCCCATGTGCAGGAGCCAATCAGCGACCAAGCGCATGCCCCACGAGACGCGGTGTGTCCGGCTGCGCAGCGAAGGAGGCCAATCATCGCGTTCATGGAGCCCCACTTCGCAGCATGAGACCGGGTCGCGTTAAGTGGGTTCCACCTTTTTTTTCGGCTGCTGGAGTCTGGAGAGCGCAGATCAACTGAGACAGCAGCACCGAGCGGCCCCGATTCGGTCGCCTGTGTAAGTCAAGAGCGTGCCGACTCGTTCTCCCTTGCGCCATTCCTGCGGTTGCGGCCAGGGACGGCAGCACAAGGAACAGGATATAAAACTCGGAGAGCTGGGAGAGGTGCGATGTGGCAAGTTGGCTCAGGTTGGCATTCCAAATTGCGGAATTGCGGAATTGCCGACTGGACTGACGGAAATCCTGAACATCATTTCCAAGACAGCAGCCAACGTCCCTTCGTCTTCTTCCTCCGGTCGCTGACAGCGGCGCAGTTGGTCCCACCCCCGCGAGCGAGCCCGCCCTCTCCCACGGCTTGCCCGCGCTTCCCCGTGGGACTTTCTGCCCGCTTGTTGAGCCCTTCGCGCTTCTGCTCGTCGGATCCGTCTACCGGCGTGAAACACGCATCTCTGCGCTGTCAAAAAATATAATCAGTAATGCACATCGACGGCTTTCTTTCCCGACCCTGTCAATGACGTAGCAAATCCCCATCGACCGCCAAGTGAAGAGGATGACCCCAGAGAGATCTGGTGGCATTTCTTTTTATAACGGCAGCCGGGGGATCGCCCTGGGACGGGAGCACGGGTGAGCCCCTCTTTCCACTCGGTTTCCAGAACCGAACCCCACCCTGGACGGCCTTGCTCGGCTTTCCTCTTCTCTTTTCCCTTTTCTTTTTTCTCTTTTTTTCGTTTATTAATTCTAATTAGGATACGGATACTTGGAGGAATGTAGTTGCATTTACGTAGCATGTTTCTAGCACATTCTGATTCACTTTGGTTTCTCGTATAGGGTATCAAGGTACGAGTACCTGAAGGTCTAGATGCAGTTGGACTCCCGACTTCAACGGCAAGCGGAGAAGCAGCAGGTGCAGGTGATCGATCTCATGGGACTCGGAGCTGAAAAATCCTGGGCTTGGTGCAGTAATCTTGCAGCAGCAGCCCGCCAGACTTACGACGGATTTGTCTCCTGCTGCAGACCAGCGGCACTTCACCTCGCCTCTCTCGCCTCTGTGATCCATCGGAATCGCGCGGACTCGCTGGTCGGGCTTCTCCCAACGTTTCATCCATTGACAACTGGCACTTGCTCCACAATGCCGTCTCCCTGCGAAAGAGAACGGAAGCGCAATGGACGATAATGGAGGGGCATCACCCGCGCCAAGCCCAACCGCAGAGCTCAGCCTGTACTTTGTCGGTACCTGAGCTCTGTGCCCCGCGAGACATGGAAGCACTTAGCAGTACTTGCATCGATCGTACCGACTGAACTGGCATTGATGCAACTGCCATTGCGTCTCACCACCACCAATTGGCCCAGCCATCTCCTTTTTTCCCTCCCCATCTTCCCCATCCTCCCGACCGCTCCCTTGTTTCATGTGAAACGGAATTGATTCGCCGGACCAGGGCCATGGCTTCGATTAACGATCTGGCGACGGCCGCTACGGCCCTCGTCGACCCCGCCACAGCACCACCAACCGCAGCCGCAGCCGCAGCCGCCGCCGCAACCGCAGCCCCGCACCCGTCATTGCCCGATCCGGCCCAGTCCCGGACCGATGACCGCCCCGGCGCCGGCGGTGAGCCTGCCGTGGCCCGGGGCGCACTCGTAGTGCTCGAAGGGCTCGACCGCAGCGGCAAGACGACGCAGGTCAAGCTGCTGGAGCAGCGCTTTGTCGAGCTCGGGCGCAAGGTCAAGGTGATGCGGTTTCCGGGTATGTGTCTTCCTGCCTGCCCACCCATCTCTCACCGGTGTGTAAGGGGTTGAAGGAAGCCGGGCCGGCTCACTAACATACACCTTCGCCCCCCCTCAGACCGCACGACGCCAATTGGCCAGATGATCGACTCGTACCTCAAGAGCCAGGTCGACATGGACGACCACGTCATCCACCTGCTCTTCAGCGCAAACCGATGGGAAGCAGCGTAAGTCCATCCTCCCACCCCCAACCCAACCCCATCATCATGCCTCCCCACCCCATCATCATACCTCCCCACCCCATCATCATACCTACCTATCAACCACAACCCCCCCTCCCCTCCCCCTCCCCCTTAAACTAAACTAACCCAACCCCCCCCCCCAAAAAAACAGCAAAACCATCCTCTCCCACCTCACCACCAACACCACAGTCCTCCTCGACCGCTACTACCACAGCGGCGTCGTCTATTCCGCCGCCAAACAGAACCCCTCTTTAACCCTCCCCTGGGCACGTGCGCCCGAGGTGGGCTTACCGCGCCCCGATCTCGTGCTCTTTCTGGACCTGGACGAGGACCAGGCGCGGGCGAGGGGCGGGTGGGGCGGCGAGGCGTACGAGCGGGCGGAGATGCAGCGGCGGGTGAGGGAGCTGTTTTGGGGGCTGAGTTTGGGGAAGATTGGGACGGCGGAGGTGGGGGTTGGGAGGGTGGGGAGGGGAGAGGGGGGGGAGGAGGGGAGTGGTGATGGTGATGGGAGTGGTAACGGCGGTGGTAACGACGGCGTTGGTAACGGCGGCGGGAGTGGTAGTGGGAGTGGTAGTAGGAGTGTTGGTGGTGGGAGTGGTAGGAATGTTGGTGGTGGGAGTGGGAGTGTAGGTCCCCGTGAGGAGATTGCTGTTGGCCCGCCGTCTGCCGCTCAACCCCTTACCGGTGCGGAGTATCGCTTTCGTCAGGAGGAGGAGGATCTCCATGTTATTGATGCCAGCCCGTCTGCGGAGGAGGTCGCCGAGGAGATCTGGAAGGTGGTCAAGGCGAGGGTGGAGGAGGTGGAGAGGGGCCTTGTTGGGAGGGTTGTCAGGAGGGTTTCGTAATGGTAATGAGAGAGAAAAGGATATTGGCCTGGGATTTCCAACCCGTGTATGAGTAGCAAAAGCAATGGGGTCGGGAGATTGGTGGCCTCAAGTGTACGATGTGTGAAAACAGTTCTTTCGGTTTGTCACAGGGTTCGTTTGGAAAAGTAGGAATTAAAAAGTCTTGCGGCGGTTGAAGTCGCCCGCAATGGTTCAGTTGAGCCGGGATTCTATGTATCGCGCACGTACAGATATCCGTTTTTCGCCCTGTACACCAGGCCCTCACCGGGCCTTAGAGAACGACAGTGCCGTGTTGAATGACCAAAAACCGCCCACATGCAAAATCAGAGAGCCAACCCGATGTTGAGATCCTCGCCCAGTTCATGATAACGTGTATATGACCCCTGGATGACCCCCCCTCCCTCCCGAAACCCCCAAACGCCAGTTGAATGCAGAGTTGAAAAACACACTTTGGCAAGGCTTTGCTCGGCAAGGCTTTGCTCGGCATCGCTGCCATAGATTTATGGCGGCTCATTGTTGAAAAGACACCCTCAACCCTTTAGTTTGCCCAGCCCTCGCATATCCCACTTATCTATTAATACCGGGCGCATTCCGGACATGTCGCTCGGTTGGTTTATTTCTGCCGTTTAGCGGTTGACGCCAATGAGGCTGAGGAACTCGTTCCTGGTCTTCTCCTTGCGCTCGAAGCAGCCCAGCACGCAGCTGGTGATGGTGGTGCTGCCCGACTTCTGGACGCCGCGCATGACCATGCACAGGTGGCTCGACTCCATGACGACGGCGACGCCCTGGGGCTGCAGCACCTCCATCACGGCATTGGCGACCTCCTTGGTTAGACGCTCCTGGACCTGCAGGCGGCGGGCGAACATCTCGGCGATGCGCGGCAGCTTGGAGATGCCGATGACGGCGTTGCGCGGGATGTAGCCGATGTGCATCTTGCCGTTGAAGGGCACCAGGTGGTGCTCGCACATACTGAACACCTCGATGTCCTTGACGATGACCATTTCGTTGTGGCCCTCCTGGAAGATGGCGCCGTTGACGATGTCGCGCACGTTCTCCTGGTAGCCCTTGGTGAAGTAGAGCATCGCCTTGGCGTAGCGGTCCGGGGTCGCCAGCAGGCCCTCGCGGTCCGGGTCCTCGCCCACGCACTCGAGCAGCGTGCGGACGGCGCCCTTCATGCGCGCCAGCCGCAGCTCCTTTTGCGACTCGTCCTCCTCCAGCCGCTTCCGCGTCCCTATGCTGGGCCGGCTGAGGCCGTCAAAGTCGACGACGGGGCTCGGCGACCGGGTCGACGACTCGCCTGCCTCGTCCGCCGTCGCCACCTCCTTTATGGCGGCGGTGGCGGGCGTCGAAGTCTTTCTCTTCTTCTTCTTGGGGGTCGGCTCCGGCATATCCCGGAAGTCCCGCGCGGGCTTGCTGACGCTAGACCGGCGCTCTCCGATCGCATGTGTGCCATTGGCATTCTTCGACGAGATATCCCCATCGCGCGACCGCTTCTTGCCGCCGTCCTTGTTCTTGCTACTCTTGTGGTAAACGCCATTGTTATTCTTTGCGCCATTGACCGCAGGCGCGGGGCTTTCGGAGCCGGAGGAGGAATCGAGATGAGCCATTGAGTGGTCGGATTGGTTGGTTGGTGCTTGGTCGGGAGGTGGAAAGGGGAGGGGAGCGGCGGGAGAGTTGAGGAGAGACCGACACAAGGTGGAACCGAGGGGCAGATGACTGCGGAACTTCCAGGATGAGTCTTGGGATGGAGCTAAGAACTCCGGTTCCGCTGTGAATTTTCGGTTTCCGAATTCAATGGAGGCCAAGGCGGAGTCACCTGCTGCAATTGCTTAGTTATCTTATCACTCGATGTCGCCGAGGAGCAAGGGTGTTGGAGGAGAGAAACGTGGTTTTCAACGGTTCTGATTCAGGGTTTTTGGGTCGGTGAAAACCAATCGATTGTTCCTTCGTCTCAGGTCACGGACATGAAAGGTCAGAGGCCGAGAGAGGGTGAGAATTGACGAATCCCCAGCCCTCGCAGCCAGCAACCACATTGTCCTTTTGAAAACAGGCTCGTGCTCGTACGGAGTACAAGGAACTTCATGGGAAGCCGTTGAGACCCGCTGCACAACGGTGGATTCTTCGGCTTCTTGCGGGGTTCCAATGCCCGGTCACACCCTTGTCAAGGTGGCGCGTTGCACTGTTCGGAGAACGCTTGCAGCAGCTTGCAGGGGCGTGAAAGTTCGCGTCAGCCAGGCCTGGAATCCAACCATGCTGCGTGCAAGTGGTGCAGTTCATCCGCGACTTTCTTCATACCAACAAATCTGTCCATTGCCTTTTCGACCATCAGCTTTCATTGAGATTCCATATTTCAGTCGTTTGCAATTGGAGTGAAACAAACATATTATCATTCCATCTTTTTAAAATTTAGATGATCTATCCAAGTTCCTTCCCTGGCTGATTTGCTTTTTGGAGAGTTTACCAAGTAAGCTCGGACCATTCGCCGTGTGACCGCCCAGATTTCTGCCACACTCGACTTGACTCTCGTGCGTGCACCTGCCACGAAAGCGCCCAACGATGGCCTCTCCATCGGCACACTCTCCGCCATATTCGCACAGCCAACTCCCCGGCGTTAGCAACATGTCCACCAACAAGAAACGGAACTCGGACGGCCCCGGCGCACCCGCTCTGAAACGACGAAAAGCATCAACCATCTCGACTGCCTCGGGCGCTGGATTGGCACACCCGCTCAAACAGACCTCATTCCCTCCCGACGACTCCTTCTTCGGCGTGCGATCTCCCTCGGTCGATATCGACAACGCGAGCCTCGTTAGTGGCAGCCAGGTCAGCGCCGCCGCGCCCATTAAGAAGAAGCGCGGCCGCAAGTCCAAGGCCGAGAAGGCCCGCGAGCAGACCCCGTCCGTCGCCGGCGGGCGTGCCGCCACCGCCGTTAGCGGTGTCAGTGGCGAGGGCGGTGGCCGCGGGGGGAAGAGCGTGGCTGGCGGAGCGGGCGGCGGCGAGGAGGGCGAGGGCGATGACGAGGGCCCGACCGAGGTTGCCGCGACGGCCGACGTCCGCACCAAGGAGCAAAAGGAGGAGGAGCATCGCATGAGGGGCATGCTCATCAGTGCGCTGTCCGAAGACCAGTTCTACCGGTTTGAAAACTGGCGCGCCGCGAACCTTAGTAAGGCGTCGGTGAGGAGGGTAAGAACATGTCTTTTCCTCGCCCGTTTAGGACTTGGTCCATACCCAACGAAACGTTTGCTAACCTCTCCCCCACTCAGCTTGTCAACGCGACCATCTCCCAGTCCGTGGCCGAGAACGTCGTAATAGGAATGCGCGCCGTGGCCAAGGTCTTCATCGGCGATATTATCGAGAGCGCGCGCCGCGTGCAGGGGGAGTGGATCGAGCGGCTGGACGAGAAACAAACCGACCTCCCGACACCACCCGCCACCGTCGCGCCAACGCCAAATCCCGAAGGAGAAGTAGACACGGAACCGAGAGAGGCGAGAGATCCGAGGGAGACGAGAAATCATGAAGTGGAAGACCGCCGGGGACCGCTGCGCCCAGAGCACCTCCGCGAGGCCGTGCGGCGATATAGGAGGGGCTTCGAGGGCGGCGGGGTTGGTATGCAGCGGGTTTACCATCAGCAGCAACAGGGCGGCGTGGAAAGGTTCCCAACGCGGACGGGAGGGCGCAGGATATTCCGTTAGGATGGACATGGTACATGGGAGCATTTCATTGGGGTGGGCTGGCGTAACAGGTTGGGAATGACTATGGAAATGGGCGGGATTATCGATACCCATGGCACTGGGGGGTAATTCACATGGCCCTTTGGGGATAAAGAGCGACACCTGGTAGTATCTGTCTCTAGGTATACGATTAATGGATTAGACAGCCACTTACTATGGCAGTGCGACAGCTTATATCCATGACGTCTGAACTCTCATCATCATGAACTGAGTCATTGTGTAGGAACACCGTGCTGGAACGCCGAGTTGGGGCCCCATATCAACAACCCCGAGCTCCTTCAACTCCCCGGCCCCATATCCTCATACCGCGTGCTCCCCGAACGTCGTAACGTGCAGCACAGCCGCCACGGGGGAAGGATTTAGCACGGTGCACGCCACGCCCGGCCGGACCTTCCACATGCCATTGGGGCCGATAGCGAACTGGTCCTGCTCCGACAACCACACGCGCACCGTGCCGGACGCAACCGAGCACAGCCGCATCCCCATCCCGACCGCCGCCCACCGCATGCTGCCGCCGCCGGGGACCTCGACCACCTGGAACTTCACGCCGTCGGCTACGGGCCCTGGGCGATCCTCGGCGAGGTAGGAGTAGGAGAATGCGATGTCTGGGAGGGTGTTAGTTTGGGGTCGGGTTTAAGGGGTAGAGTGGGAAGGGGGTCGGGGGTTTAACAACGCAACAGAAAGAAGACTCACTCTCGGTATCCGCCCCCGAGCCCACGGAGATCCTGCCCGGCACCATTTCCCAGTCAGTCATCACCGCTGTCGTTCCCGAATTGTCCTGGTCCGCCTCGCTGCGCGCACTAGTAGAACCCCCTTGCCCATTCCCCAACCTCGACCTCGTCCCTTTAGTTCGCGACCCATCGCCATCACCAGCAGAGCTCCCACTACCATTACCATTACCATTACCATTACCAATACTCCCACTACCATTACCAATACTCCCACTACCACTCCCACTACTCCTACTACCACTGCCACTACCACTACCACTACCACTACCACCACTACCACTACTCCCACTACTACTGCTCCTACCCCCCACCAACCCCGTCACCTCCGTAACCCGCACACCCTCCTTTCCATCCTCACCCTCTTCCTCTTCCTCCAGCACCACATTCTCGCGCTGGTACACAGCCACCTCCCGCCACGCCGCTTTGGCCCCGAGCTTCTCGGCCAGGCGGCGGATGGAGCTGTGGCGTTTTGTTTTTGTTTTTGTGGCAGTCACAGCGACGGAGCTGGCGGTGGTGGTGTTGGGAGTGGCGGTGGTGGCAATGGTGGCGGTGGTGGTGGTGGTAGTGGCAGTGGCAGTGGCGGTAGGGGGTTTGTTGACGCTGGGGATGGTAGGGGCGGGGATGATGGGGGTGGGGATGGTGTTGGTGATGATACGAGGGGGCTTGGTGATGGATACCAGCTTGGCTCGGCCGGCGGCGTGGGCGGGGATGGCGGTTTTGTAGGTGTGGTTGTAGCTGTAGTTGGGGGTGGGGTTTGGTGATTGGGAGGGAGTTGTTAAGGGGGAGGTGGAGAGGGAGGAGTTGTAGGTCAGGTCGCTGTCGTCGCGGTTCTCATCCAGTGGGCTGGTCTGAGCGGGTGGCAGAGCGGCTTTCTCTTCGACTGTGCTCTCAGGTAGGGAATCTGGCCTACCGCCTAGGTCGGACGACACCGAGAACCGGGGGACGCAATACAGCTGGTTCCTGCTGCTGTTCATTAAGTGGTAGAACTGGTTGCAGCAAGCGGTGGCACCAAAGTGTTTCTTCAGCTCCGCCGAGGCTGCCACCGGGAGTGTGATACATTCTGGGAAAGGTAGGATCAAGGAGGGCTTGGTGTCGTCAGCCCCTGCGCAGATCTCACACGGCAGCAGGTTCTTGATCCCGCAGAGATAGACAAGCACGGCGCAGAGCGTGTCCGTCGTCGGGTGGCCACCGGCAAGCTGGAACCTCCACCTGTGCGGCAGGTCCTTATGGCGTGGAAGCCGGAGAAGCTCAAGCACAAGCGGGCTGTCCGGCAAGGGGGTTGTGTGCGGTAGGTATTTCATCAAGTACCGCCACAGCACAGTCTTCCCGGGTTCGCTGTTGGCTGGCGCCCGTGGACCCCTGGCATTCTTCAACCTGCGCTCGTCAACGGGAACCGGGATAGCGACGGGAAGGAGGCTTGACGACCGCGGGTTGAACCCGGAAGCGCTGACCTCCCGTTCCCTGGCGGGGTTACCGCTCCCGTTCCCGTCGTGCTTCTTCTTCCGCCCCGGCCGGCAAGGCATTGCCCTTGGCGGAGCCGTCGCGGTGTCGATGGCGTTCCGCGAGACCACCATAGGAGGCATCCGGCCGGAAACGGGGTCGGCAGTCCTGCGTTTGCCGACGACCGAGATGGTCCCGTCGAGGTTGTCGTTGAGCAAGCAAGCTCGATGGCCGGCCTGCGCATCTGTCAATATCAACGCCGGACGACTCTAAATAAAGGACTCACTCACACTAAAGTGCCCCCCAAGGGCCCAGACCTCCGGGAAGATGTTCTGGCAGTCTCGGACAGGGCAGATCCAGGGGTGAGCATCACCTACACGTGGCAGGTATCCCTCCGGGAAAAGCGCACCCGCCCCGAGTATCTTGCGCGGAACTCCATCTGCAGACATCCGTGAATAAACTGCACAACTGGAAAGGGGACGCAAAGCAGCCAACTTACCCCAATACCCGGTCCAATCCGAGTACAGCCTCTCGCCGCACATCGTAATAGGCTTCTTCTCGTCGCCCCTGCCGTCATCGCTGCCGGCGCTCCCTCTCGGACGCGTGCCCTCCAGGGCGTGGAGCGCCTCCCACCTGTGCGGGCCATCGACGCCAGGAAGGTGGGCACTGACGGCGCGTTGCGGTGGTGGCGTGGTACCCGAAGCGGGAAACGGCCAAGGCGGGCCCATGGCCATGCGAGCTGCGCGCTTGTCGCTCCTTGGTCTGGGATTCGGAGGGCCTCTGCCGGTGGGACTGTCGACTTGTTCTTGGTTTCGTTCTGGATATGGCTCCGGGACAGCTGTTTCTGAAATGGGCGGCGGCGAGTTGAAACGCCAGAATGACGAGTGGCGGCTCCTCTGGCGCACCTCCCGCTGTTTCTCCCGTCGCTCCAGTGGCATTGGCGCGGATGGAATATCGGGCCTATGTATTGGCCGGGGGTGACGAGAAAGAGGATCGAGAAGGGCATTATGTCTGTTGGCTCCCGCTATCTCTCGCTCAAAGGCCGTGTAAGAAAGGGCAGTGCCACTCGTTAACGTGGGGTGGAAGGACTGCATAGGCGTGCCGCTTCTTCTCAGTAGTCCGCCTCGTCGTTTCTCGTCCCTGTCCATTTCGGAATGGGGCTGAACACACGGGGCCGAGTATCGGAACGAGGTGGCAGCATTGTGGCCATCTGACAATAGGCGTCGTTTTGCTTGCTGTGAGACTTCCAATGGCAGCTCTAGGCTATGCTTCCTGCTTGAAGTGCTCGATACGCTCCGCCACGAGGTTCCCGAGCTCGCTGATAAAAGGGATGAGTTCGACAGTGAAGTCGGTATGAGTTCCCGATGCCCACTGAGCACTCTTTGTGTGGTGTGGCGTGGTGATGGCGCTGAAAGACGGTTAACCAAGATACTTACACAGTAGAACGATGGACGAGAAAAAGTGGGAGACAGACGTTCTCGCAACTTGTCTGGGCTTCGGCCGCGCGTGTGTGGACTGCGTGCAGCTCGCATGCTGAACATGGCTCGAATATTCGTGTCTATGACGATACCGTTTCTGCGTGGCGAGCCGGGGAGCCCCCTTTGCGTTGAAGTACGTGCCGAACGTTTCGTGACTAAAGGGCTGGAGGAGCTGTCGCTGTCGCCATCGGTATCGTCGTCCAAGAGTCGGCCTCGACCCTCGACCCATTGGGCAAAGGGGGCTTTCACAAGGCTAGCCATCATCGAACAGACTAAAGGCCGATTTGGGACGTGGGCACAACAAGTCGTCGTCTTCAGTCCCGAGGTTGTTTAGTCGTACAGATCTATCATAACTGTCAAGGATGGGGCAATGCAAGATCGAAGGCTCAAGACACGAATAGACGTGTTTTTGTTGCTTCCAGTTCCGGTGTCTTGACCTGCATTCCAAAGCCACATCGTCACCCGCCGCGGCAAGGGAGAGCAAACACGCGGAGGAATGACACACGGGTAAGCACAAAAGATACTCAGACATAGCTAGTACATTTATGAACGACTGAACACCTAGCCTGGAAAATGACTAGTAAATTAGTCTAAGCCTGAGACAAATGGGGCAAGCATTGCACTCACTTGGACCGGCGTCGTCACGGGCAGGATTTCGACAGAATCTATTTTGACAGAATATGGTACAGCGGCTCTGGCCGCACGGCCCCTGTCGGGATGCAAGATACGACCTGGATGTCTGCACTCGGCCGCTATCTCACAGACAAACCGGCAAAACCTCAAAGAAGAATCAGGCCTTGACCTCGTCCTTATTCTCCGCCTTCTTGTTCCCCGCCACCGCCTTGCTGGCCTCAGCCGCAGCCTTGCCGACGGAAGCCCTGAGGGCAGCCGCGGTCTCGGCCCTCTGCGCCAGCCTCGACGCCCTCTTCTCGCGCACCTTAACCCTGTACTCGTCGCGGCGGCTGGACTTGGCCATCTTGCGCTTCTTGATTCCCTGGAAGTGGACCATGCGTTTCCTCCTACGCAGGCGGAACTTGGCCTTCCTCGACTCGGCCTCGTTGGCACCCGGCACGGAGCCGACGTCGCCCACCAGCCGGCCGATCTCCCAGTTGCTCTCGCGGTAGCTGTAGTCGGGCTGCAGGTGGAACACGCGGGTGCCCTTGCGCGCGTCGAGCTCCTTCTGCTTCTCGAGGGTTTGCGCGTCCTTCTTGGCCTGGGCCAGGTACCTGGTCCTGAGCTTGTCCCGGACTAGGTTGGCGACGATCGAGTTGCCGTCCGCTAGAGGAACGAATTCCTGCGGCTTGTTGGTGGGCTGCTCCGATGCCGCCGCCTCGGCAGTCTCTGTCTCCGCCTTCTCGACCACTTCGTGCCGCGTTACTGAACGGGGGATGCCGCTAGGTGCTGTGGTCTCCTCGACAACCTTCTCAACCTGCCGGGGCACGGCCACGAGGTTCAGCTTGCGCCGGCGTGGTGATGATACGGGATACGGCAGCTTATCCTCGCGGTTGAAGGTGACACCAATGTATTGGCGTTTGGGGTGACGGGCCGGGTCTCGGTAATACTTGACATACCCCGCAACGGCGGCATGGATGGTGTGGTCGCGGCCCAAGATGGTGTTCTCGCCGGGGTGCCATATCGTACCGCGCTGCTTGTAGAGGATGTTTCCGGTGATGACATACTGGTCTACGGATGGGAACACGGGGTCAGCAACGCGTATCTCCGTCCAGCCAGCATCCAATTGAATCCGGGTGACGCACCGCCGGTCTTCTTTGCACCCATCTTCTTGGGGATCGTTTTCTTGGACTTGAGCTTGTAGGCTCCCTGTGACTTGGTTGAGGCATAGCGCCGCCCCCCCACGGTGGAATTGACAGCAGCCGGCGAGGCAAGTCGGAGGTGGGCAAATCGCTCCTCGAGGGTCGTCGTCGTTGTCGTCGCCGTTGTCGTCGTCGGGCGTAGAACAGTGGTGAATGATCGGCTACCGCTGGCAGCGGCCCGTTGGAGGGGCCCCTGCAGCCGTGCGAGATGCATTGGGTCGGACGGCGAGCACCTCGCAGTAATTGTAGACGGGGTCGGAGCGCGGGGAAGCAAGAGGTCGAGATCCCGGAACCAAAAACGGGGACCGGAACACTGAACGCAGCTGCCGAAGCTGGTGCTTGGTTGTTGTGTTCCAGGGTGAAGTTTTCTGCTGAGTCATCACGACTGCGATAAGATAAAAACCCTTGACCACCCAGGAACGCCCCCAAACGGATCTGGCCAGCAAGTCAAGATTCAAGATTCAAGATCCGAATGCGACAACATCTGTTGAACTGAACAACGAGTTCATCTCAACCCCTTTTACCGAACGCAGTCTCTCAACACCTCCGTGAACGACGGCATAAAGGAACACACCAACACGATGCGTCTCGTCGCACTTCTCCTCGCCCTAACGAGCGCCGTCTCGGCGCAGTTCGGCTTCTTCGACCAGATGTTCGGCGGCGGGGGCCAGCAACAACACCAGCAAGCCCAGAACTCACCGAGCGACTCGTCACACTACCGTGCCCAATACACTCGCTCCCACTGCGACAACTACCTCTGCCCAGACACATTAGGTTCGTGCGCCCTTTTCGGTTTCAGTTCGATACTCTCCCGAGACTTGACTAACACTCAAGCACAGCATGCGTGCACTTCCCGCACCACTGCCCCTGCCAATGGCCGGCGCACGAGGACAAGTTCGAGCTGGCCGAGGGGCAGCGGATATGCATTTCGAGGGGCGGGTTCAAGGCCGGCGAGGCGGCGCGGAAGGTCGAGCTGGCGCGCAAGGGGCTGCTCTAAGACGGAGCCGGTCACGCCCGTCGCCTGTTCTTGTTGGATCGTATGTGCATACGCTCGCCCGCATCAACCTGTACAAAATGAAAAAGCAAAATATCCCGATGCACTCTCAGTTGGGAAGCTCAATCAAGATTCAAGACCGTGTCCATGCCCATGCCCATGCAAAACGCATGCCACCTCATCGACACAACCCTCCCCCCCTACGACGAACCATTAACCCTGCCGGGCAGCGCCGGCACAGCAGGCACCCTCCCCTCTCCCTCATCCTCATCCTCATCCCCCTCCTCCTCCGCCAACTCCTCCTCAGGATGCCCCAACAAAGCCGCCACATTCTTCATCTCATAATGCTTCTTCCTCAGCTGCTCAAACCGCAGATGCTTCTCCCGCTCCTCCGCCGACAGCCCCACCAAATACGCCTCCCCATCCGCATCATGCCCACCCCCACCCCCATCCACATGCACCGCGCGCGGCCTCTCCCCCCCAACCTCCTCCTCAGGCACATCCTCCTCCGGCTCGCCCAGCTCCAACCGCGGAATCTCCTCCTCCACCGCCCGCCGCTTCTGCTGCTTCTGGTGCGGCACGCCATCCACCCGGTCCAGATCAATCCCGCGCGGATCGATCGGCGGCGCGAGGTCTTCATCGTCATCGGACGGATCCTCGGCCGGATCGTAGTGCTTGGCGTAGGGCGTCTTGGGCTCGTTGATCTTCATGGTGGCGGTGCGCTCCTGCTCGGTCAGGTAGAGGTTGGCCTCGTCCCATTTGAGGCGCTGGCGGGCCGCGTCGTCGTCGTCGTCGTCTTCGGCGGTGTTGCCGCCGTCGTGGGGGGTGAGGGAGGACTGGCGGCGGGAACCGCCCGGTCGGGAGCCGGCTGCTGCGGCGGAGGAGGAGCGGCGGTGGCCGGCGTTGTATTGCGTGTTGGCGATGGTGAGTTCTTTGGCTTCCTTTGGGGTGAGGGGGGGGTGGTCGGGCGGGCTGTGCGCTGTGGGTGGGTGCGGGTGCTGGTGCTGGTGCTGGTGCTGGTGCTGGGCGTCGGTGGGGGAGATGGGCGGGGAGCCGCGGTACGAGTTCTTGAGGATGCCTGTTGATATGGGAGGAGCTTCGTTAGTTTTGCCTGCTTGCTACTAACTAGGAAACTACCCAGCACTACGTGGCAAGTAGTCGGTTCGGGGTTGGTCCCCGGTGACGAAATGGCTCAGCTTCAGCTCACCTTTGGGACGCGGGGCTTGTGTCCCCGGCGGAGTATGCGACGGGGTTGGTTCTGCGGCGCTCGCCATTTTGTGTGTGTGTGTGTCTGGGTCGGTTTGTCGAAATGAGTCGTTCCCGGAGATATATACTGCTCTGTGAGGCCTTTTTGTTTTTTAGGTGGTTTTGCCTTGGTTTGGAGAAAGGGAGTGACTGGTGGCTGAGGTGAGGTGCTTCTAGTGTGAGGTGGAATGACCCTCCCCTTCTGAAGGAGGGTGGGGCGGGGTTGTTGGATCCGCCAAGCCACGAACCGGGAGCTTTTGCTGCGAAGTGCAAGCCAAGTTCGCTGCTCTGTGGTATTCTACCCTCTGGAGGCGCCCACGATGCCTGCAAATAAATTCGCCATCTGCAGCGAGACTGGAACTCGACGTCACTGTGCGTGAACACAGTGCTCTGTGTGGTACACATGGCACGACCCCGGACACTCGCACCACAAGAGTCCCTGATACCGCCCGTCGAGTTGTCTTTTTGCTCCGTCCCAGCTGAGCCGAGTGGCCGAGTCCATAAACTTCAACGCCAAAGGCCCGTCAAGGGTCCTCAGTCAGCTCGGCAAGGTCCCCACGTCCCCGAGTCCGAGATGCATGTATGCAATGTGGCTGTGGATACCGAAGGCAAGTCTGTTTCCTATCAAGTTCGCTCTCTTCCTCTCGCTGGCCACTTGCTGTCTCCCATTACGTCATATGCGACTTCTCTTTCATGATCATCCCCTCTTTCTCACCCTATACTCATCCTCGGATATTTTTATAAGTCACCGTTGTTATGTTATCATTACAATATTTGCCTCATATTACCTTCGCGTAGCCCTCCTTACCCTCTTTTTGACACCCCTTCCCCCTCCTTCCCTTAACCCCTCCACCGGGTAAACAAGGCTCACCGAAAGCGCGAATAAGTCATGGAGTACCTATACTTGCGTATCTATGCTTCTATTCGTGCTTCAAAGGTCTAGAGTAAGAAGACTTCATGGGAAGTCCCACGTCAAACGGGCCACGGTTCTTCTCGCCATGCCGTCGACCCCTTGAGACCAAGGTTAATCATCATCAACCCACCCAACTTGCGTGGCACTCGTGGGTACAACGTTTCCTGATATACCGCCAAGACTCTTCGTAAAAGGTGAGATCAAACAGTTCCGTATCCAGCGCGGGTGGCGTATCTTCGTTTACCGCGCCGCCTCAGGCTCCGAGGCAACCTCACAGTTTTGGTCATTGGTTGTTTCACACACCGTTACCATTCATGTGCGGCAGTATCCTATCCAACGGATTGGGCACACCGGTATGTCGCCCCCAGGCCTGGAGCATCTCCCGCCTCACGCACCCGGTAGGCCGGGCGTAGTCCTTCTGCGTCTGTTCCAGAATGGCGAGCATGGCGTCTTGCTCTTCGACCCTGTGAAAATAGTGTCCAACTGCGCTTGTCAACTTCATGGCACCGGGTTTGGGAGGGACGAACTCCGACTTACAAGCCGATATCGCCATGCAGGCGGTGAATACACCCGGCGGCGTGAACTGGTTCCCGCGTCCGATGGCGCAGATTTCACGGACGGTCTTCCGAATACGTTCCTATCCACGAGGTTCAGTGAGTGCCTGACCACAGAGATACGGAAGAGTGAGCAGGGGGCCAACCAACCTCGACACTAGCTCTCTCCTTGGCTTTCAGCAGGTTGCCGGGTCTCAGCCGGTGGTCCAACAGAAAGAGCGTTGCGAGCCTGTGGTGTTGTACCCCAATGACTGTTGCCACAAAGCCCGGCTCATTAGCGCATGTCCGAACCCAACCAACAACCAAATCCCACTTGCCTTGGCAGCCCTGATGATACCAGATCCCCGGGAAAACACTCGACCCCGGCGGCTCTGTGAAGAAGGGATCATATGACGGCGGCAGCTTCTCGGCCCATTGCCGGTTCCAGCTGTTCAGCTCATCCCACGAGTGCGGCTCATGCTTCTCGGGCGCGAGCCAGAAGTTGACCACATCGGCGCAGTGCACCACGGCCACGTTTGCCCACGCGAAGTCGTCCTCCGGCGGCTCATCGAGCGACCTGTCCACGAGGCCGGGGTGGACGAGGTACAGGCATACCGGCTGCCGCTTCGTCACGGCGATGTAAATCTCCTGCCGCAGCCCCACCCAGAACGACGCGGCGCCGAGGGTTCCCGGCCCGAAGGACTGCACCCCGACGAACCGGTACATGCCCGGCAGGTGGCCCCGCTTCAAAGCCTCGTGGGTTTCGTCCACGTCGTTGTCGGCGTCATCTCGGAGTCCAGCTGTAGTTGGAGCATTAGTCCATGCCCTTGGCGTCGTTCGACGGCTGACGTACCGTTCATCTCTTCCATGACCTGGAGGATGATGGTGGCGGCAAAGAGATGCTCGGTCCACAAGGATTTGTAGTTTTTGCTCGTCAGGAGACACTTCATGATGTTGATGCAGGCGGCATTGTGCGTGTCCGCTAGCTGGTTATATCGCTTCCTCTGGTTGCCGTCATGGTGTGTTTGCCCCAAGTGCCGCGCCGAGAGCGCAAATATGGCTCTTAGCAGCACCTGGCAGTCCCTTGACCGATGGGGGACGATGTTCTGGAAGGTATCTGTGGGTCCTCGTTAGCATCTCCGTGTGCTCCCCCCACGGTCATACGTACGGTACGGGTCGCACAAGTCAAGCTGAGGGAGAGGTGTCAGTGATCTAGATGATCCATCAACGATGGGGTTCGGTTGACAACTTACCCACGTGGCCAGCTTATCCATGAAGTGGCGGAAGAGGACGGCCTCTTCGGGACTCGTGAGGGGCCAGACCGGGGGAAGCGGATCGACAACGGACGAGATGGCCATCAACCGCGAACGGTCTGGAGGCGAGGGGGGCCGGTAAGGCGGCATGGGCGAAGTATTGCTGTGGCACTCTCCCTCGGCGACGGGAGGGGAGTCCCATGCCGCCTCGAAGTCGTCGGGTCCGCTATCCGGGCTCGACACATCGTTTATGATAGTCTGCGACTCATCGATAAAGACCACTTCATGCCACCAAGGTCAGACAGGGTCTTCTTGACTATCTAGTTATAGGTCGAGGTATCCGAGCAAAGCGAAACGGGGGGACGAACGTCTTCGTGGAGTCTTGATCCACCTCTGTTTCTTTGCAAACTTGAACTTGTCTGTGTAAATATGCAATGAGTAAAGGAGGCATCAAGAAAGGAGTGGTCGGACACTCTCACTGACACTTGTTGGTCTCGCGGATCTTGAGGCCTGGCGGTAGGCATGGCTCGTCCGCGGTCCGGCATCTGCCACAGATTGGTGTCACTCTGTCGCCTGTCGCACACGGTAAAGTCAACATATGATTCCCCTCCCGGGAGATTGACATCCGGGCCCGCGGTGGGGTCCGGGGGTCCGGAGGGACTAGCGGAGGACTAGACTAGGAGCACGGAGGAAGTGGAGACGGAAACTGACATTTGAGATGATGTTGGCGGCATCGGGCGCTAGGGAATTTTGTCACCATTCAAGTCAGCAAAAAAAGCACCGGAACTAAAACAAAACACCAGCGCTAATTGCATTGAGAACCCTGCTCCGGACTTCAACAACAACCGAAACCCGACTATTTGTAGACTCACCATCCGAATCTTGCCAAGTTCGGGATTGGGGAGCCCCGCCCGGATGAGGACGTGGCAGTTGTGGTGGTCATGTCGGGAGGCGACATTCCCACTGCACTTGGAGAGACCGGGGGTTGTTGAAGCTATCACATCCAAATTCCGGCAAGTGATGGATGCACAAACAGTTGGGGTTTGGGGTCTGGCTGTGAAAGAAGGCGGTGATCAGATGCTAACCTCTGGCGCAAGGCTCAGGGTGCGTCAACTGATGGAAAGCTTGAAAGCTGACAAAGCTGAGACAGGCGCACCCCACGCACTCGTGGCTGATCGGGGGAAATTGCCCGCCAACCCCGGCAAAACGCCCCGCCTTTTGTGGGCGGTGATTGCTGAGCTTGCTCGCTTGCTCGAGCGGCCCGAAAACGGGTCCACCGTGAAACTCGTCCGTTGTGCGTCCCTCGGTACCCCCGCCGAAGAGATGGGGAAGCAGTCTGGGGAACAGAGAGGGTCACATTAGAGACATTTCTTGGGTTCAACTGTTTCTTGGGATATCATGCGGGTCATTTTCAGGTCGCTCTTGCTTTTCGTTGCTGATGTCTGGGTGCGGGGAAGGAAAGGTTATCACCGGCCATCGGCCACATTCGTCGTCGCACTCATTGGCCTTTCGGTGTGGTGCAACACAACACGATGCACCTTCCCTTCTTGTCGAAGCCGCCTCACTGAGCAACGAACCATCGAGCGAGTGAACCATGCCAACCCGCGAAAACCACAGTGAAAAAAAACCCTTCCAGGAACCCGACAGGGATTACCACTTCCAACGGCTCGAACTTTGAACTCCTGCACACCCCACAGCCGAGAAAAACTCCACATTCCCCAACCACATCCCTAAAATGCGAGCCCATTGGACCCGTTGAAATATTCTTCGAGAAATCTTCCAGGTTTCTCCATCCATCCCGCTTGGCAACATGGGCCTTGAATGGAGCTCGGGGAGTTGATCTTTTTCTTTTCCCCATAACCAACACCAACAACAGCCCTTTCGTGAACCGGCGCATTACCTACGCAGGAGTAGAGTCTGTCTCACCTATCTACCTTGACTGCACACCGGAACAGGGAGTGAACCGCCACCAAGATGGCCTCAGACCATACACCCGAGGGCGTTGCGCCTTCCGGGCAAGCCGTCGTGGGCGATGAGAAGGAACACCACGTCCAGGACCAATTATCCGAGTCGCAGCTCAACGCCACGGACCGTGTCATCCAGGGCGCCAAGTTGGCCACGGAGAAGGAGCAGAAGATGACCCTCATGCAGGGTATCCGCCTGTATCCCAAGGCCATCGCATGGAGCATGCTCATCTCAACCTGTATTGTGATGGAGGGCTACGACATTTGCCTGATAAACAACTTCTGTAGGTGCTCACCGTGAGGTGACGGCTTCCTCGGCCTTGCGAGTTCCCCTAGATGGCGCTGTCAACTAACTGGATGGCTCAAAGACGCATTTCCACAATTCAATAGAAAATACGGCGAGCAGTTATCCAACGGAGAATGGGAAGTGACGGCTCCATGGCAAGCTGGGCTCAGTAACGTAAGTGTTGTCTTAAAAAACAAAAAAGACAGAATAAAAGGATCGAATAGCTGGGACCGCAACGCGCCGGCCCGCTTCATTCCCGCCCCGGTCCAGGGTCTTCACCGGGATAAGATGAGACGAGCGAGGTCGAATGAGACGAAAAGCTAACCGGTGGATCTAGGGCGCCAACGTCGGCGAACTCATTGGTCTCCTGATCAACGGCTGGGTGTCTGAGCGATTTGGTTACCGCTGGACAGTGATTGTCTGTCTCATGCTGATCAACGCCTGGACGGCCTTGTTCTTCACGGCCCAGAATGTGCAAACGCTACTAGCGGCTGAGATCCTATGCGGCATCGTACGGACCCCTAACCCCTAACCCCTGAGGATACGTTGTTAACTTTTGAACAGCCATGGGGCGTCTTCCAAACCCTCACCATTACCTATGCTTCCGAGGTCTGCCCTGTCGCTATGAGAGCCTATCTCTCGACTTACGTCAATTTCTGCTGGGGTCTCGGCCAGTTCATCGGCATCGGCGTCATCATGTCCATGCTCGGGCGGGACAACGAATGGGGCTACCGAATTCCATACGCGCTGCAGTGGATGTGGCCGCTTCCGCTCGCCCTCGGCATCTTTTTCGCTCCCGAGTCTCCCTGGTGGTTGGTGCGCAAGGGGAAGCTGGACCAGGCAAAGGCCTCGCTCCTGCGTCTCACCAGCTTGAACCGGGAGACGAATTTTGACGCCGATGAGACGGTCGACATGATGGTGCACACCACGGCGCTGGAGGAGAAGACGACGAGCGGAGCGAGCTATTTGGACTGTTTCAAGGGTTACGACTTGCGGAGAACGGAGGTAAGGCGGGCCGAAGTTGAGCAGTATGAGGGCTTCGATGACTAACGGTAAACAGATTGTCGGAATGTGCTGGGCTATTCAGAATCTGTCAGGGAACTCCTTTTCGAATTACTCGACGTACTTCCTCACCCAGGCCGGTCTTGACCCGGACAGCGCTTACGGCTTCGCGCTTGGCCAGTACGGAATTAACATGGTGGTAAGTCAGATCCTGGCATTTTACTTTCCAAGGATAATAGACGCTAACACTACTGTAAAGGGGGTTGTCGGATCCTGGTTCTTGATGAGCCGTGGAATCGGCCGCCGGTCTCTCTATCTTTACGGCCTGTGCGGGCTTTTTGCCATGCTTTTGATCCTCGGTTTCCTGGGCCTCGTGCCTGAGGCGCAGCGGCGACAAGGCTCCATCGCGACGGGCAGCATTATGCTGGGCTGGGCCCTGACATACCAGCTGACAGTAGGCACCGTCTGCTACTCGCTGGTTAGCGAGATCTCGACACGGCGGCTGCAGATCAAGACTGTTGCCCTCGGGCGTGTGTTTTAGTAAGTCTCTTCTCAAAGAGGTCCCACTCTCCACCGCTAACCTCCCTGAAGTATCATCGTGGGCATCATTTGCAGTACCATCACGCCGTACATGTTGAATCCCGGTGCCTGGGATTGGGCAAACTTTGCAGGCTTTTTCTGGGCCGGCGTTTGCTTCTTGTGCATTGTTTATACTTATTTCCGCGTACCCGAGCCGTCGGGGCGTTCGTTCGCCGAGTTGGATATGCTCTTCAAGAACAAGGTCAGCGCACGCAAGTTTGCTACCACCAAGGTCGATGTGTTCGAGGAGGATATTGATGGGGAGTTCATGGCCAAATACCGTCAGCATGCCGGGGCCAAGGTTGCGGAGATTGTCAACAGCCCATAGGGTTTGGGGGTTTAGGATAGTGGAGCGAAGTTAATGAAATGTATTTGCAGTTTCAACCTGCTAGGGTGGTCCAAGGAGTGAGTAGCGAAGATATTGAATCGGTGGCTATTCGGTTGGTCAAACTGCTTGGTACATATAGGTAGTAATAGACCACCTCCTTGGGGGATTCCGATTTGATTTCATACTATGCCTTACCAAGCTGAAGCGCCACGGGAAGAAAGATGCTCGGGTCGTAGATTACCTCTAAGCACAGAAGCTGCTAAGTTGTTTCCCGGGCCACCGTGCAGAGCCCATCAAGCCCCATACCAGACCCGGCTGGTGCAGGAGAACCTCGGGTTCTATAATGATAGATGGCCCATCGATGAGAGACTCCAGACAGGGGTTCGGGTGTGTGGTTCGATAGTAACTCCACGCTCGTGTTATCCGTTGGTTAGGCTTCGACGTGCTAAGACCTAGTTTACATTCATTATCCCTTCGAAGACCAAATCTGCGAACTTGACGCGTTCCATCCAGGTGCTTCTTCGGCTCGCGCACCCATCGCACCCATCGCACCCACCAACTCTCCTAAACCACGAACTTGGTCAACCCCCATTATTGACGTAACGTTTCAGTCGATGGCCACACATTCTATTAACTGGGGAATGTCCTCTGAACCCACCACGTCGGTAACTAAATTCCCTAAGATGCTTTCACGACTAAAGGCCCCAGCAGCTGGAGCGGTGACTCCCAGTCGGGACGGTGTTCTCTAAGACCTTGACTGTCTCATACACGACCGGCTCCTCTTGCCGGTGCAGACGTCGGTTGGCCACATCAACCGGCTAGCCGCTTTCCCTCGCATGCCATTCCGAAATAAGTAGACCTGCATCGTAGAGAATTGCCTTTTCTAAAAGCGGGACTCTGTGAGACGGCGGAGTTCGCCGCGTCAGGTTTCCACATCTGGTCTAAAAAGGTAATTCTCGCCGATTCTGACCAAAGTCGACCTGCATCTCTCCATCGGACCCTGGCAACCCGTTCACGTGCCATTCAAGGAAGAACCACGTCGGTGGGCACATGGAGGAGCTGTGGCACCCACCCTTCTGCCGTTCCAAGCAGAAACGAAAGAGAGAGAGAAGCAAGACACAGATCCTTGGAACCGAAGGAGCAGGCTTCTCCTCTTGTATCCATTCTGATGCAGCTGGTGCGGCCGAGATTCGCCAACCCCAAGCGGGTGAACGGGGGTGGATGACGTGGATCTGCTTCCTTACCCTCCATGTCCTCCCCCATCTCGTCGAGCTCCCCATAGTTATCGGCGTAATCGCGGCGGAGAGTTTCCTGCTGTCGTCCTCCGCTCCCCAGTTTAACCTGACCATACATGATGCTCCTGACCGACGGTGGCCCCAACCATGAACATGCCGCAACGGAATAAGAAGGCGGTCTGGACCCCGGAGAAGGAACGGTTCCTGACCTGGGCCAGCCGACCAAGTCCTTGTTCTCCTCCATTGTTTCCCGCCTCCTCCCGACAATACCACGCCTCAGTAACGGCCATACAGTCCCCGGGCGCCGCGCACATCCAAGCACAACGGTCCTTACACGCTTTCATAAGGGACACAAATCACATGTCTAATTGTTGACCCATCGTCTCCAGCACAACAATTGGATCACCCATTGTTGAGGTCTACCTCCCCACCCCTTCCTAGCGTCACTTTTTCTACCTCCCCGTGCTCCCCCAATATCCAATCCCAATGGCGGCCGCAGTAGACGTCCGCCCGCCTGTCCACCGGGACGGGGCCTCCCTCGAAGCCATCTCGGACGCAGTCGACACAGTCAACATATTCAAAGGCATGGCCACCACCACCACCACAACAACAGACAGCGCAGCCTTCGACTCGGCCTCCCACTTCGACGCCACCAAAGACAAGTCCACCTTCCGGCAATACACCACGGCCTGCGACCGCGTCAAGCACTTCTACGCGGAGCAGCACGCCAAGCAAACCGTCGCGCACAACCTCGCCGCACGCGAGCATTTCTACTCCCCTGCCCGCCAGCGCCCGCAGATGGGCATCTGGGAGGCAATGGAGAAGCTCAACACGCTGGTGGACGACAGCGACCCGGACACGTCGCTGAGCCAGATCCAGCACCTACTACAGAGCGCCGAGGCGATCCGGCGCGACGGCAAGCCGCGCTGGATGCAGCTGACGGGGCTGATCCACGACCTGGGCAAGCTGATGCTGTTCTTTGACGGGTGCTGCGAGGGCCAGTGGGATGTGGTCGGGGATACGTTCCCTGTGGGCTGTCGGTTTGATGAGCGGTGTATTTATCCGGATTTGTTCGCGGCGAACCCGGATGTGGGGAATGAGGTGTATGCGACGCGCCATGGGATCTATCGCCCGGGGTGTGGTGTCAATGAGCTGATGATGAGCTGGGGCCATGATGAGTACCTGTATCTGGTGCTGCGCGACCAGAGCACGCTGCCGCGCGAGGCGCTGGCCATGGTGCGCTTCCACTCGTTTTATCCCTGGCATAAGGAAGGGGCATACACCGAGTTCATGGCCGATGGCGATGAGGCGTTGTTGAGCGCCGTGCGGGCCTTCAACCCCTACGATCTGTACAGCAAGTCGGATGAGGTGCCCAAGGTGGAAGAGCTGAAGGTGAGATGGCCGTTGGAATATGGGAGGAATTACTTTCGCTAACATACAGTTCTAGCCTTATTACTTGGAGCTCATTGATGAGTTCTTCCCTCAGAAGATCATCAAGTGGTAGATAGTGCGGGAAAGTAGAACAAAGCGGACACAATGAAGCGGACGCCCCGGAAGCGGACTCGGGGTAGGTGTGCGATACATCCGGCAGTATCAGACCTGATAGAGAGGACAAAAGGCACACGAGTGGCAACTACAAGCCCTCCCGCTCTGAGCAATAATTTGTTGGCTTCTTTGTGTGCTGGATTAACGAGAGGTTCCTTTCTCAGTTTTGTAGAACAAAGAGACTCGGTGATGCCGTTTGGCTGCGTCCCCGGAGTATATCAACCACTCATCAACTTGGCTGGTTTATTTCTTGAAACGCAGCTCAAAGTGTGTAAAATAACTCGCCCAGGCCAGCCGTCAACATGAAACTGCAACCTAATCACCCCCTCGACAACTTCGACCTCGTCGGTAGCAGTTCTGCGGATCGGTTCGAACCCGATGGCAGCGGGGAGCGAATGATGGTAGACGCGTACGTCTGGTTCGACTGGGACTCATACCGATGGCTGGATGTCCTGCACAAAAGAGAAGACGAGACGGACTGGTGGGATCTCGAGGACAGGGTGCAACTGGAATATCTCGGCGGCACTACGCGAGTGCTGCGTTCGCTGGTCGACACCCTGCCACCCGACGTGCTGGCGCTTGATATCGGCCCCTCGGGGGAGGTCGAATGGACGTCAACGGCTGACGAGTACAACGGTGCATGGTGTACCTACTACCCCTCGGTGGAGGAATACGGGCTCCCATCTTCGAGTAGCCTGCCCGTGTTGCTCCGCTCCGACCTGACCGAGCTTGACCGTGTCGATGGCACAGTCACCAAGGTTTCCTATCGCTGTCCTACTTCTGGGCAAGAAAAGGTTGGCGCCTTCAAGGCCATAGCCAACTGCCCCCCCTACGGCGGTGTCTGGGACGAGATCCAGATCATGGCGCGGTTGCCGCCCCATCCACTCATCCTTCCCATCGACTCGCTCGTTCTGGAGGAGCTCACGGGGCTCGGGGTCGTTGGCTTCACCACCCCGTTCGTCTCGGCCCCCTCGCTCGACGAACCGCTCTCGGGGCCGTTTAAGCTACGCTGGCTTCGAGAGTTGATGGGCCTTGTAGACGAGCTCAACCTGAAGTACGGCGTCGTGCACCAGAGTATTTTCGCCCAGAACCTCTTAATCAACCCAGACACCGACTCCATCTTGCTCTTCGACTTCAACGCAGCCGCAAAGATTGGGGAGGCACCGGCTGGTATGAAGGGGCCTCACAACAACTACGAGCAACCCGAACTAAACGACATCAAGGGCGTGGCCTTCAGCCTCTACTGCATCATCACCCGGGACCCCGAGTACCTATCCGCCCGGTTCGACCGCATCCGAGATGACGAATTCGACGACTTGGCCAAATGGACGCAACACCCGCAAGTCACTCTCGACGCCGACCTCTCCAACTTCCACAGCGAGCTCTCCGCATGGATGCGCAAGCGCCGCTCGACACCACCCCAACAACAACAACAACAACAACAACAACAACAACAACAACAACAACAACAACAACAACAACGACCCCTACAGCAAATCAACTACCCCTCCCCGCCCTCCCCACCATCCGACATCATCCAACCGCCAACCCCCCAACCCAAGCACGCGCGCGAGTGGGACGCCATCAGCACCCACGAACCCATCGGCTCGCGCCTCAGGGCCGGCCGTCCCGTCCTCAACTGGCAGCGCCCGGCGCGGGACGGGGTCGACAAGGGCCGGCGGCTGCTGGCCACGGGGCGGTATGCGGACGAGCAGGCTGAGGTCGAGAAGGGGATGGCGCCGATTGCGGTGCCGGATTTGAAGAGGAGGTTTCCACAGCCGCCGCCGCCGCCGCCGGGGAGGGTGACGAGGGCAAGGGCGAGGAGGGTTGGGGGTGTTGATGCTGGTGTTGGTCCGAGTCGTGTTTCAGAGGTGGGGGAGAGGAAGTGGTAGTGGAATTCGGGTTTTGGGGGTGGATTGTTGAATTCCATATGGTGTCTACTGTATTGTTTGTCCTGTGATCGTGTGGTCGTTTCCGAGTTATCAAAAGCCAGCTGGTTCCTCGAGTTGAATATATCATGATAATATGGCCGAGTCAGTTCAGGTTTTACCTTGCGCGAGCCGGCGGCGCAAATCTAAGCTTCCAATTTTGTATTTTTACACAATTATCTTGCATGCCTAACAATACAGTGAAAATGGTGAGAAAGTGATCTTGTGAGGCAGGCGCGTAACTGCAGGTGCGGTGTGAGACACGGAAGGGAGAAGCGGGAAGCAGAAAAGCAGAACGTCGTCGAGGCAGGCACGGGATGTCACATCGGCTTGGCAGCCCCCACCTTCAACCCTTCAACAGCGTTGCATCCCCGCAACCGATGACTTCATTACTTCTGCTTCAGGTCGATCTCGACTTCTTCGCACACACTCCTGACACTTCAGCGTCGTACCCAGCTGAGATTGTTGCCGATTGTTGCCACACCGGAGCATCGAGTCAATCACTGAGCCCAGCTTCCTATTGGATCCGTATTCTCGATTTCCGACTTTGCAGAGCCCCCTCTCGGGATCGTTCGGTGGAATCGATCGTGCCGATCGGGCGGTGAACCATGGTGCGGTTGTGGCAAGCACCCACTGGAATCTAACCTCGTTTGAGCCTGTAGAGCTGCTGAGATTGTCTCAGAATGGCCTGAGCCAAGTGTATCACCGGAGTGTTTGACCCGGGAGTGTTTGACCCGGGTTTTGTTACCCTCCACTTCCAAATTTCGATACTCTCCTACATTAGGTCCCCATTCACACCGTGACCATTCACACCATCTCCCCCATCATCACCGGCCACTATACTCGGCAATTCCTACGTCGTGAATAAAGGGGGATGACCCTTACAAACACCGCCCCCTTCCCCCTCCGGTCCTCCGCCCTCGTCTTCGCCTTTCCAATTACCGGATCTTCTTCTCGCACATCACGCAGTATCTCAACCTCTATATCTACTACAATTCTGCCGTACCCGAGATTCCTGGCCCTCCCATTCCGGCCCCCAATACGAGCACCGCCCGCTATCCGTTTTCACTCCCTCGCTCGCTATTCCCTGGCCCTTTCCTCTGCGCCACTCTCGTCCCGCCATACCTCCACCCACTACACCCACCACACCCGCCTAACCTACCACGCGACCCGACCCTTTTCCGTCATGCCTCGAAGGTCCAAGCCGTCGTCCCCTGGACCGGATTGCAACAAGGTGGACTTGGCCTCCATCAATGTTGACACGCCTCTCCATCCCCAGGTTCAACTCCGCCGGTCGAACCGCGGCCTAATCAAGGCCCTCCAGCCCCAGGACGTCGTGGCGCCAACAGCAGGGAACATGTTGGGGCTCAAGCCCCCCGAAGGAGACAACGTGAGCAAACAGGAAATGCAAGAGCGCAAGGAGACGCTAAAGGAGGAAATGCAGCTCGCCATTGAGGGGCTCGCTAGGATGGAACGCCGGCTAAGGAGCGCAACAAAGAGGCAGAAACTTCAAATCGAGGAAGAGATCGAGTCCTCAGAGCCACGAATCCCAAAGGCAGCCCACGCCGAGCCTGCCGGGGAAGCCATGAGGTTCGTAGAACCGACAACAGCACCGACAAGCGGAGGGCAGCTGCCCACCCCGGGCGAGGAGGAGAAAGATAATTTTGCCCGGGACATTACAGGAGGAGCCGGGCATGATCCCGAGAGCGTTAGGATAGACACCCCAGAGGAGGCACCCGATGTCCCTGAACGGGGTGCTGCCAGAGCGCCGCCAGTCAACAGTGGCTATCTGCCCTTACCATGGAAAGGCCGTCTAGGCTATGCATGTCTCAACACATATCTTCGCTCGGCCAAGACGCCCGTCTTCTGCTCCCGGACCTGTCGTATGTCCTCCATCATCGACCACCGGCACCCGCTCACAGACCCGTCCCAGCCCGAGCACTCGGTCAAAAACCGGCCAGACAAATCCAAAGAGCCTTCCGAGCAGTTGGGGCAGAAGTTCCTACAGAACCTCGGCCTCACCAACGCCCGGGATATCATCCGCATGCTGCGCTGGAACGACAAGTACGGCATCAAGTTCATGCGCCTCAGTTCCGAGATGTTTCCCTTTGCTAGCCACGAGGTACACGGCTACAAGCTGGAGCCCTTCGCCTCCGACGTGCTCGCCGAGGTCGGGAGGGTAGCCGCCGAGCTAGGCCACCGCCTCACCACCCACCCCGGCCAGTTCACACAGCTCGGCTCGCCCCGCAAGGAAGTCGTCGACGCCGCTGTCAGAGACCTCGAATACCACGACGAGATGCTATCCCTGCTCAAGCTCCCCGACCAACAAAACCGCGACGCCGTCATGATCCTGCACATGGGGGGCGTGTACGGCGACAAAGCCGCGACCCTCGCCCGCTTCCGCACCAACTACACCACCCGACTCTCCCCCTCCATCCAAGCCCGCCTGGTCCTCGAAAACGACGACGTCGGCTGGAGCGTGCACGACCTGCTCCCGACCTGCGAAGCCCTCAACATCCCGCTCGTGCTCGACTACCACCACCACAACATCATCTTCGACCCCACCCAATGCCGCGAAGGCACCCTCGACATCAGCGCGCCCGACCTCCAGGCCCGCATCGCCGCCACCTGGTCCCGCAAGGGCATCCGCCAGAAGATGCACTACAGCGAAGCCTGCGCGGGCGCCGTCACCCCGCGCGACCGCCGCAAGCACAGCCCCCGCGTCGCCACCCTGCCCCCTTGCCCGCCGACCATGGACCTGATGATCGAGGCCAAGGATAAAGAGCAGGCCGTGTTTGAGCTGATGCGCGCGTTTAAGCTGCCCGGGTTTGAGCGGATTAGGGACATGGTGCCGCATGACCGCGCGGACGAGCCGCGCCCGCCGCCGCCGGCGGTGAAGAAGAACGCCACGCCCAAGAAGAGGCAGAAGCCGGCGAGGAATTTGAAGAGGAAACGGGCGCCCGATGAGGAGCCGGTGGAATTGAATGATGTGGGGGCCGGCGCGGAGGATCGGGAGTATGCGGCGCCTGGAGGGAGGGAGGTGGCAGAGGAGGATTATGCTATGGGTGGGCCCGAGGGGAGGGTCTATTGGCCGCCGGGGAGGGAGGATTGGTTGAAGCCTATGCGGAAGGGGGCTAAGGCGTTGAGGGTGGAGGATGTTGAGGAGGAGGAGGAGTGTTAAGGGGGGGGTTATCTATCACGGTTTTGGGGTTGGGGATGGGTTGTTGTTTCGTTTGTTTGCGGTTTGCTTGGTGGGTTTTGCATGGCTATGGAACGGCAATGGGTGGTACACAATGGGCAATACCTCTACTGGGCAATGGCCAACGGTCTGGTTGGTGTTTACTGGGTTAGAGTTTGGGTAACTGGAAAACAAAATGTAATGATTTTTGTATTAGTCGATGGAGAGATATACGAATTAGCTAATCTTGAATTGATCCTGTGTAAACCCACTGACACAGGCTCACCAGAGATGGATGTACCGCGACACAATCTCCCCCTTTGCATGGCCGTTTCAGTAAAGTTGAAGGATGGTGAGGGTGGTGGATACCTCGACCGATCATGCCATGAGATTATTCCCGTGATGGGGTCTGTTTGTATGCAACTCGCCTGTCATTATGTATCTCGCCACCGATCGGCGTTACACTGACCTCGGTTGGAACACCATGTCCGGGCCGGCGCCGATCCTCCGGCTTGTGTACCAGCATACCGGTACCCGCGCTGCATGTGATCGGCGGCCGCCGTTGAAATATCTCGCTATATGCATATGTACCGGGGTACTGTACAGATTAGTCCAACGTCTCTCCGCCGAGAGGCCTCACCAAATCCCCCCCGCCATGCGGAGTGCCTGGCGATCTCAACCAGTACGGGTATCACACGGTAAATTGTACATGTCTCAAAGATGTCCATACAATATCCTCTCCAGGTCCAGGCCGGCCTTGAACACGCCACCACCGCCAGTCGTCCGGGATGCGCTCCCCAATTCTGAAACCAACCCCTGCTTTTCTCTTTTTACCCGCCCTTCCCAAAACGGGAAACAAAACGCCGCCGTTGTATCCGTCCCCCCCGCAAGAAAAGAGCAAAGAGAAAAAAAAAAACCTCCAACGCCCGCCCTACCCCCACCTAACAGGGACAGCCCGCAGGCATATCCCGAGCAAGAAGAAGATGAACTCCCCAATCCAGCTGGACCAGCCCCTATCCACCCCCGCCCCTTTAACTTCTAACTCCCAACGGCCGCGACGGCCTCGCCGCGCAGCTCCTTGCAGCGCGGGTGTGGGCAGGTGCCGCAGAAGAGGGTGCTCTTGCCGCACGCCACGACGCGCGCGCACCCGCAGGTGGTCGACTGCGAGACCAGCGTCGTCTGGCAGGCGTAGCTGATGCGAGTGCCGCACATTTTTTGGTGGGTGGAGGTGTGTGGTGGTGTTTGTTGAGGAGACGTTCGCTTTTTTTTTGGTTGCTTGGATGTGCTGCAGTGCCAGGTACCTTAGGCGGTGGTGTGGTGGTGTGGTGTTGTTCTAGCCCAGATTGGATGTTGTTTTGGGGTTTGCTGAAGTGGAAAGGGGGTATCTGTGTGGTTGTCAGACCACTGCGTCGAGAATGTTGCGTATGGCGAGTTGGGAGAGATCTTCCGTACCTCAAATAAAGGGCAATCTTCACAATAACTAATAAAAATCGCCAAACGATTGTTGCCGAATGTGGATGTGATATGCCCGCTTTCTTTGTTGGGAAAGGAAATGATGGTTTGGATCGGGTTGGGATCGGGCTGGAATCGGGCCGTGGTGTCGTGACTATCCAGAGCACTTGATTGTTCAGTCCAGACTGGTTGGTGATGATAATGGCCGCGAGGTGACGGAGTGAGTGAGCGGCGGCAGGTGGGGTTTTATCTATCCCTGGGTCCGGTTGTGGATGGGGTCTTGCAATGCCGTGGCCGTCAAGGGCTCATGCGACTGCGGGAATTCCCCAGTGCAGATGCTGAAGTTTAAAAGAGTGGCGTGGCGGCTGTCGTTTTTGGGTTGCGTTCGACGTTGCGCTGTTCGACGGGTGGATGTTCAGCTGCATGTTTATACATATTCACATATTAGGGTCCGCCGGAAGCCCGGGGCCCCAAGAGTTCCAGCTTTAACTTTTCCATTCTAAAACTCGTTGCATCCTGCCCACGTCCCTGTCACGTTCCTGCCATGGCGCGGCGTGCGCGGCCCAGGCACACCAGGTTCCGACCTCAGTGTCACCTAAAACGGAAAGCACGATGATGGAATGTTCTCCGGAGTCCATCCCGAACACCTCCCCAATTGGCGGATTCGGCAGTCAAACCTGCGAAAATGGGTTACGTCATCATGCGGGCTCGGTGTTCGAGACTGTTCTATCAAAATTTGAGGATCGATGCTGGCTGGTTGGTCCACCGCCCCACATCCTTCCGGATTGCGCCAAGCTTCAGATTCGCTGGTTTCTCTGGTGCGCTCCTTTGCCTTGGTGCATCCGCCCGTTTGGAATTTTAGAAGCCGAAAATATGCAGGTTGCGCAGCTTGTGGCATGATGGTGGCGGGGTGCGACCTGCATCCAACAAATGGGCGAGAGGCCCAGAGACCCCAATGCCACGAGGCAAGGCGCGAACCCTCGATCCCCACAGCTCCTCCGATTGCCACGAGGAACTCAGGAGCTGCAAGACTTCGGTGATTGCATCTGGCTGAAACAGCTGAACAGGGAAACAGGTTCTTACTTTGACATGCAGATGCAGCTCCGATGCAAAGCATCAGACGCAAGTTGACCGAATTAGAACATTCCCGACGGCTGGGACGATTGCTGGACACCTTGGACTCGACCCTGAATCTGTTTCACTCTCATAGATCGGTCCTTCAGTACTAGGAACCCTCGCCTTATTCTTGTGCCCGACGTGCCTGACTAGTACATAACCGTCTTCTCGATACCAATAGCGCCCCACCCCCGCTGGTTACTGTGTTTGAACACCAGGCTACACTGTCCCACACAGATGGCATGTGGCGGGATCATCCTCGTTGTGAGCTTGGCAGCCTCCAAGTGCTCTCGGACAGAACCAATTTCTTCGGGTGGTTTCACTCTGCTATAACCATGCGGGTCTGACAGTTTCATGAACGGAGTGACGGAGCACGCAGTACAAATGGGGTGGTCCTTGATCGTGTGTGCCGGAAATTATTCTTCAATATCATAGCTCTGAGGGATCTCGAAACGGTGGTGGATTCAAATACTCTGACTTGACACCACACGCGGAACTTAAACTGAAGCTGTTTTAGATAGACCTTCAAGATTGTTGAATGTTCCTCGGACTCTCTCTCACGGCGCCATATCTCTATCGTTGTCCAGAGACCCATTCCTACCGCCCACCACAGTTTACGGAAGCTTGTCAGTGTGTCCGCCGTTGTTGGCTGAAACCTTCCAGCTTCCATCAAAGGGGCTGCTTGGAGAAGAAGCTGCGAGGTGATGGCGAGGGAGCCGGTCCAGCACACTCAGTCCCAGAAACCAAACCGCACTCTCTCGGACCAAGCCGTTCAAAACGGATATACCACAGGCTCCTTTCTGGTTGGGTTTTCCTATTGCACTCTAATAACACGTCATGGGGATTACTAGTACTATGGCTGGGTCGGTAATGAACTCTTCGTCACATATTCGGAATTTGCAGGAACAAGTGAAAGAGGTTCGGGCTCAGATGGAAGGATAGAAGATAGTGTATTGCGGGCTCCCTAGGTACTAAACAGGTGACGTTAGGCGGTGATACTCCGAGTGAGTCGTCCGGGTGTCAGTGAGAGTCGTTAACACTCCGAGCCACGGACGAAGTTGCTGAAACACCATGTTCGAGGACCTCGGGGATTTTATGTCATGTGATTGATGTGATATTTCGGGTGTGGTGGATGGGATTTACAGTTGACACAATCTACCGGGGCAAAACTCCAAGAATTCAGGAAAAAAGAAAGATGCGGGGCGGGAAAAGGGTTTGGAGATGGAGGCTGGAATCGAGAGGTTCTTGGTTGCTACTTTGCAGAGAAGCGATTGGAAATGGACAGCTTGGCGATAACTGTGGCTTCATCGGGAAATTTCGCGATTCAATTCCAGGTTGTGCAGGCAGAACGTCGACCTGCCTAACATTTTGTGGGGCTCGTCCGTCGATAGCGCCTGGTTGCCTGCTGGTGTCCCTGGGATCCCGTGATCGCGCGGTGTTCTGACCCTAGCAGGGGCCGTTGTTGCCTGCTCGACACGGCGCGCTGCTGAACCGGACGAAATTTGTTTGGGGGCTTATTTACATGCTCACGAATCGCTCTTTCTTCGACCAAAATTTCATCTCGCCATTCTCAATTTCTCCCAATCATCCAGCCGACTTGTTGCCAGAATTCCCCTGGTTTGAGCGTACATTCTCGATTTTTCGAGACTGCCAATTGACCTCGTATCAGTCTCCTTACTCCATTCCAGAAGTACGAGACCCACTCCCGACCGCAACATTCCCTCCAGAACCCGAGCAAGATGCCACCAAAGCGGGGAAAGAAGGCGGCGACTCCAGCGAAACCAGCCTTGGACGGGTGCAAGATCGCCCTCAGTGGCACTTTTCCCCGCGCTCCACACGCCTTCATAAAGGCCAAAGCAGAGGAGCTTGGAGCGGTCGTGGCCAGCAGCGTAACCGACGATGCCACCCACCTCCTGGCAACCGAGAACGACTACAAAAAGCCATCTCCCAAGGTCGCCAAGGCACAGTCACTCGGTATTCACATTGTGAGCTTGGAATGGCTTTTTGCCTGCGAGGAAAGCGGCACCAAAGAGGCCGAGGATAGTTACACGCCTGGCGCCACCGACCAGGACGACGACGACTCCACCCCCGCACAACCGGACGCATCCAAGTCGGCGCCCGCAGCGTCGTCCCAAACCAACGGTACCGCTAGAACAAGCACCAGGGCGCGGAAGCGTGCTCCTTCCCCCGTCGTGGACAATGCCTCGGATACCGAACCTGCGCCGAAACCCAAGCGCACGAGAGGGCGCAAGGCAGCTGCTGTCAAGGTAGAGCCGGAGGATGATGTCGATATGCCGGACGCGAACGATGCGAACGACGCTGCCGATGCCGAACCTAAAAAGGAAGAGAAACCGGCCAAGGCAAAGGTCGAGAGAGCCATGGGCGAAGGCCAAGTCGCGAAGAGCAAGAACATGCAAATCCCTCTCGATGAAGGCTGCCCATACATCACGTCCAAGGTCTACATCGACGATGCGGGGGTCATTTTCGACGCGTCGTTGAACCAGACCAATGCGTCAAATAACAACAATAAGTTTTATCGCATCCAGGTGAGATCAACAAACCCCACATCCCAGGTGCTTCTGTCTGACAGAGGAGTAGCTCTTGGAGGACCCTAGCGGCATCTTCCGGACGTGGACTCGGTGGGGCCGCGTTGGAGAACGTGGTCAGACACAAGTCGCAGCCGAAGGTACTCTGGATAACGCTATGCGGCAGTTTGAGAAGAAGTTTAAAGACAAGTCGACGCTTGCCTGGAAGGATCGTGGCAACAACCCGAAACCGGGTAAATATGCCTTCGTCGAGAAGAACTATGACGACGATTCGGACGATGATGATGAGGCCGATGGTAATGCGACTGGAGACAAGGCCCCGAGCCGGAAAGCACCCGAGTCAAAACTCGAACCTGCTGTACAGCAGCTCATGAACCTCATCTTCAATCAGCAATTCTTCAATGCCGCCATGTCGGCTCTCAACTACGACGCCAATAAGTTGCCGCTCGGGAAACTCAGCAAGGCAACCATCACGCGAGGTTTCCAGGCGCTCAAGGACCTTTCCGCGCTCATCGACGACCCCGCCACTTCTGCATCAGTCCACGGCATGGCGTACGGTCCGGCGGTTGAGCAGCTCTCCAACACCTTCTACTCTTTGATCCCCCATGCATTTGGCAGAAATCGCCCCCCGGTCATCAACAACCAGTCCATGGTTAAGACAGAAATAGAACTTCTGGAAAGCCTGAGCGACATGAAGGACGCTGCGCTCATCATGAAGGTGGACAAGGCTGCCGAAAACGAGATCCACCCAGCAGACAAGCAGTTCCAGGGTCTCAACATGAAGGAGATGACGCCCCTCGACCCGACCGGTAACGAGTTCACCCAACTGAAGAACTACTTGGTCGAGAGCCGCGGCGCCACGCACGGACACCACTATAAAGTCGAGGGCATCTTCCGTATCGAGCGCCAAGACGAGTTCAAGCGGTTTGAAGACAGCAAGTTTGGGAAGATGGACCAGAACCGGCGCCTGCTGTGGCACGGTTCCCGCTGCACCAACTTTGGTGGTATTCTCAGCCAGGTACGTTGAAATCACGTCCTTCTCTTCCGCCTTCATTCCCGCTGCCTGGTTACTCCCTCACCCCTGGGGAGGAATAACATGACTGACGTGTCTTGGCCAACGCTTTAGGGACTTCGCATTGCGCCGCCAGAAGCACCGGTGTCGGGCTACATGTTTGGCAAGGGTATCTACCTGGCCGACATGGCGTCCAAGTCGGCCAACTACTGCTGCTCATCCATTTCGAACGGTACCGCGCTCCTTCTGCTCTGCGAGGCTGAGCTGGGTGACCCCATGCAGGAGCTGGTGAACGCCTCATACACGGCGGGCGAGGATGCGGAGAAGAACGGCATGGTGTCGACCTGGGGCCAGGGCACCACTGGTCCCAGCCAGTGGAAGGATGCCAGCTGTGTCCACCCCGACTTGGCGGGTGTGAAAATGGTGAGTTTCTTTTTTCCCTCCTCTATCTGACTTGGAAGAGTCCTCAGAGTCACCGAATAGCCGGCTAACATGTACTTTGCAGCCTGACACGTCGGTGTTGCCCGGAGCCACCAACATTCCGAATGCCGGCCTGTACTACAACGAGTACATTTGTTACGACGTCAAGCAGGTCCGCCTGCGGTATCTGTTGCGGGTTCGCATGTAACCCAACCCAGAGGCGGGAGGGGAGATTATGGGATGCGAGAGTGGTCCGGTGTTCGGGATGGAAGGAGTCGGGAGTGTAATTGGGGTATTCTGTTTGCTCGGTGGTTCTACGACTTCGGAGTATGGACGGTTCACGGCCTCGTAATACTGGCTGTCTTCTGAGAGTTTCTCAGGTAGACAATAAAAGTTCTTTTTCTCTGTGCTTTGCTCTGCTTACATGCTCGGCATCGGGCTGTGCATCATGTGATTCTTCCAATCCCGCCTGTTGAATTCTCGCCGAGCGGTAGCAGTTGCGAGTCCCGCTCCACCGCCAAGAGGCTTGGAAGAGACGGGAGAACCAGTCCGCGGCGGCTGCCAGCGAGCGGGCCCACCACGTTCCGCCAACGGCACGAAACGGCAACCAGGGTCATCTCTCAGGAACCCCGAAAGTTGTCCCTCTCAGTGCCTCTCTCTTCTCGATGAACCTTGAACCCCACAACCCGCAAGCCAAAAGTTGAGTGGCCAAAGCACCTGCAACGCGGGCGGCGTCGGAGAGATCTGCACAGCACCTGCGCTCAAGCAACGCAACTTGACATCGGCAAATCCGAAGAAACGAAAACGACAGGCTGAGCAAAAAACATCCCTTTTTTCTGGCGACAGCGAAATGTTTGCAGCAATCCGGGAACCAGACCCGCCCGCGCATTCTACGAGAAACCGACTGCGACATCGAGTTGGGGCTGCCAGTGAGAAAGTTAATTCGGGATCAAAGGAATTAACGTTAAACCGTGACGCAATTGTTGGAGGTGATCGCAGCCGATGACACACCGGGCCGCGCGCGAGCACAGTGCAGCAGCAGGAGGACCAACATCAACAACCACCACTGACTTTGACATTGACCGTCGACAACCGCCCATCCATGAGTACCTCACCCCGGCCCCAGAAACGGACAAATACCTGCGTCACGTGTCGTGCGCGCAAGGTCCGCTGTGACGGCCGACGCGGCATCTGCACCAACTGTGAGCGTCTCGGCTTCAGCTGTTCGTACGACGAGAATGTCGGCGTCGAGGTCGTCCAGGGCGAGGGGAACGGCGCTGCCATCTCGGTACCCGCGCCGCCGCGTGCGTCAGGCCTGTCAGAACTGCCATGCCAGGAAGGCCAGGTGCAGCGGCTCCATGCCGAGTTGTGACCGTTGCCGGGTCCAGCGCCTCGAGTGCGTGTACCGGCCCGGCAAGCGGTCGCTCCCCCTGCCGCTGCCGAACCCCGCCGCGGCCCCGTCTCCCGGCTCCGGGATGGACCTCGATGCGCCTCCGGGGCAGGGCGCACCAAACGACTACGCCACCTCCAGCAGCAACGCGAGCCCTGCCACGGCCGCCGTCGACCCGACTGAACCCGACGAAGCCCTAGCCCTCAAAGCGTTCGACAACTTTTTCCGCCACATCTACCACGTCGCCATGTTTTCCTTTCTGCACCGGCCGTCCCTCATGGAGCTCTACCACGCCGGGTCGCTAGACCGAGCTCTCGTCCTCTCCGTCGTCGGCATCACCTCGCTCCTAACCGACATGGGTCCGGGCATGGTCGACTACGGAAACCGATGCATCGAAGAGTCCGTCTCGCTGTGCCTGGCAGGGCTCGAAAAGCCGACCATTTCGCGTCTGCAGGCCCTGGTGCTGGCCGTCAAGCACCGCATCCTCTCCAAGCGCTTCTCCAGCGCCTTCATGCTCCACGCCATTGCGAGCCGGTTCGCGACTGCCCTCCGTCTGTACCAAGAGAATACGGACCTCTGCTTTCTCGCGCGGGAAGCCCGCCGCCGCCTGATGTGGTCCATCTACATGATCGACGCGTCCATCGCGACAGGCCAGGCGGATGTCGCTATCTGGTTCGATGCCGAGCGGCAAATCCAGCTGCAGCTCCCGTGCAACGAGCGCAACTTTGACTTTGACCTGCCAGACCCAACGGAAGGGCTCCGGTCGCCGGGCCCCGACCCCTCAACCGGTATCGTGCCGCCCTTGCCAGACGTGCTTGGCCTCATGGCGTTGCATATCCGCCTGTACTGGATGCGCACCCGTATCCTGCAGTGCACATCACGAGCGGCCGCTTCCCCCACGGCGGACACGCTAGCCATGCTGCCGAGTCAGCTGGCCGAGCTCGCTGCGGAACTCGAGGGGTTCGAGGCGAGGTTGCCGGTCTCGTTCCGCGAGAACGAGGCTAATTTCCGCCTGCGCAGCTATTCCACCCGACTTAACATATTCATCACCACACACATGCTGTGGAGACAGTGTCATCTTGACCTGTACCGCCTGTTTCTCCCAGGCTTGAAGGAGGCACTTGCCCCGGCTGCTTTGCAGCAACTAGACTCTCACTTCGTGATGCATAGCCGGCGTAGCTGCTACGAGCACGCCAGGCGGATGGCCGACATGATGTCGCAGCTGCTGAGTTTGAGTAGCACATCCAGCACCCCCCCGGTGGCCGATTTGGATCTCACCGGGTGCGCGTTCCACTGCTCGAGGGTGCTGTATCACGGTTTACAGACGGACAGCGGTGATCTTGGATTGGGTTTCACGCAAGAACGCGTCCAGGAGCTGGCTGGCGTCTGCCTCCGCGCTGCGCGGCAGTCAACTCCCGGGCAAGCGTCTGCCAGTATTGTAAGTTTTCTGTTTCCCTAGGTAACCGCGCGGTTGCGTGAGCGAGCGAGCACTCACTTACAGCGACGCAGCAAGCGGATATCGAGCGGCTGATTGCCAACGGTCTGTCCCTGCCAGAGGTTCCCCCCGCTTTAATGGGCCGCACTCGCAGCCTGGGTCCTGGAACGGGGACGCCGTATCTCGCGCCACAAGGCCCGGCGCCGGCAGCAGACCACACGGCCAATCGCATGCACCTCATGGTTCCGACCCCGACCCCGACCCCGGGGAACCAAGCGAGCGTAGGATCAATGCAAATGCCGCCGCCCGCGTCCATAAGCCCCATGGCAGCGTTGAGCCTGCCCATGGCGGCTGAATCGGCGGCGCACGGCGCCGCGGGCGTCGCCCCATCCCAGGCCAGCGCAGTGACGAGTGGTAGCAATGCCTTTGAAGAGTTGCCCGACGGGCTCAACTTCGGCCCCGAGTTCTTCGGCATGGATTCGTGGGCGTCATTCGCGGGCTGGCCGGATATCGGGCAGTTTCCGACCAGTGAGATCTCATGATCCGCCGAGCTGCGAGTTCCCCCTCCCCCAGCCTTATGCCGTGGGGTTTTTCGTGTTTAAATAGTTTCCGGCCCCCGTGGCACCATTTGAGGCGTTCATGTCGCCATCCCACGTGCGCGTGGGGTGCATGTCGGGGGCTTGTTTGGTGGCGTTTTATGGTTGGTCGCGGACTGGGGTGTTGGAAAAACGGGCAACGACAACGACGACGCAAAAGGCAAAAGATCACGAGGGACATGGCATGTCTTCGCTGTGGACATTACATTAATCGTGACGGTATCTCTAGGCTCGTTTACATCGTTTAGACATTATAGAACATGCTTCGGCCGTTGCCTCGTTTTGGTGATCCTGCTCGTCCTGTTCGCCCCCGCCCCTCCCCTCTCCAACCCCTGCACACTTCATCATGTCTCTGCCTCACCGCAACAGCGGGGTTTGTTCAGACGGATCCGCGTCTTCGCTCGGCCTCCGCGATCCGACCGCCACGACCGTCACGCTCCGATCCAGATCGACCGCCCGCTCCCGATAGATCCACGCAGCGCAGATCCCGGCCCCGGGTCCCAGCGCCGCGGATATCCCCACCATAACCAGGGCCGCCCGCCACCCCGCTTCCATAAACACCCAGTACAGAACCGTCAGGCCGAGGAAGAAGGCATCGGTTGTAATGAGCTTAAGCGTCGAGCGCGTCATTTCGCGGCGGTCGTCGGGCTGCGTCAGCGACCAGACGAGGTAGGCGTGCGCCAGTACCGAGCACAGCACCGGCACGGCATAAACACCCACCACCGCGCTCCAGCTCCTCTCCAAGTGCACACTCCCACCCCATTTCTCGCGGCCCAACACCACCACCACCAACCCCCGAACCACCCTCCGCACCACCGACACCCACACGGGGAACAGCAACCAAACCCCAACCGCCACCGCCGAATCCACAACCAGCATCACCACCGCCGGCACCACAAACCCCACTCCCACCGCAACCGGCACCGCCCACCCCTCCGCCCGCACCCGCACATGCCGCATCCCCATCATCCCCATCCCCATCCCCATCCCATCCCCCAACACCGGATGATGATGATGATCCCCCAACCGCCCGCCATTGCGCTCCACCACCACCCCGCGCCCCCTCCTAAGGAAAGCAGGCACGAACCCCACCTGCCAGACTAGCGCGCCCATCGCCGGGCCGCCGAGGAGTTGGAATACCGCCCAGAGCGCGGTCGGGTGTTTGAGCAGTCGCGCGGGGGTGTTGCATACGCGCGCCGACTCGAGGGTTGTGATTGTGACCAACGCGGCGATGGCTGCTAGTATGGGCGCGAGGGTGGCGCCCGCGCGGAGGCTTGCTGTTTCTGGGGAGCCTGAGCCTGCGCCTGCGCCCGAGCCCGAGCCTGAGGCTGAGGCTGAGGCGGAGCCGGCGGCGGTTTGGAGGAGGGTTGTGAGGAAGCAGAGCGGGGTTGACACAAAATCTGGGAGGAGGGGGGAGGTGGTGAGGAGGGGGAGGCGGGCGTGGGCGTGGCATTGGGAGAGGAGGAAGGGGATGTTGGGGTCGTGGAGGAGGGTGGTGATGTGCGTTGTTAGGGTGGCGATGAAGAGGAGGAGGGGGGGAAGGAGGAGGAGCGGGAAGGGGAGGGGGAGGGTGTGTAGCGGTGGGCGGAAGCGCGGGTGAGGGCGGTGGTGGTGCGGTGGTAGGCCGTCCATTTCGTTGTCGGGTTGGTTTTGGTTTTGGTGTTTATTTTTTGGTGTTCTTTTTTAGGTTCGGCGTTCAGTTCTTTTTGGTGTTTAGTGGTTTGATGGTTCGATGTTTTTTGTTGATATTCCGCCAGTGTGTCTTGATAGCTGACTGCCAGTTGTGGTCGCGCTGAAGAGGCTGTCCCGCCGGCGGGAAGCGCGATAATTGTGAGATTGAGTCGAGGTGGCTGGTGTGTGTTCAGCGAGTGCAAATCTCGTGATTGTTTTGGTCTTGGCGAGTCGGCGAGATGATTTCCTGCCGCCCCGCGACACTCGTTGGGGTGGGGGTTGCGGGGCAGAAAACGTGGGGGGGGCTGCACCGGCTCGATCGACTGCCAGATGCCGCTGCCACTTGGCATGCAAGGTCCCCGGCTCCTCCTGTTCCCTCTTTCAACATCTCAACTTCATTTTCCCTCCATTCCCGAGGACACCCATTGACCCCGACAGGCCGTCTTGACTGGCTAAATAAGGGCGACAATATGTATCGTTCGAATTGTTCGAATTCTCGGTAGTAAATATGTCTTTTCGTTGTTCGTTCGGCTCAGAGCACAACCTCAACCGCCGCTCCGCCGTCTCGTCCCACCACTCAGAAATACGTCAGTTTCTTCCCACCCATACTGAGACGCCTTATTTAGGTCTATCCCGTCACCGTCAATTATACATTTACAGGTACGCATAGAAATAAGTACCCAAGCCGCGAAGCCGCTACGCCCAAACCCAAACCCAAACCCAGACCCAAAATTGGAACGCCTGATAAATGTCACACCAAACCCCGCATCTATCTCCCTGAAGGACTCAGGCTAATGGGACACCGCTGCGATGGCGGCGTCCACGAGCCCCATAAATTCATCCAGCCCTATCCTAACGTCATCCCAGTGCCACGAATCCCGCTTGACGACCTTGCCCCGGGCCGGGATCTGCTCCACCAGCGCGGTGAAGTAGTGCAGGCCCTTCATGAAGGCCAAGTTCCGGAATCCGCGGTAGTCGTTGGTCGCGGGCCGGATCTCCACGACGGCCCCGCGCCCGTCCCGCATGAACATGGTGTGCGTGAGCCCCGCGCCGTGCACGCCCAGCAGCACGTCCGTCGCGCGCGCCACCCGGATCTGCTCGGGGAATGAGAGCGTCGCGAAATCGACCGACTGGATGCGCACGTGCGGGTGCTTTGCCGCGACGGCCGCCAGCAGCGCTTCCTGGTCCGCCAGCTTGCGGCTTCCGGTGCGGTTGACAAAGGTGAGCGTGATGGGGCTGTCCCCCTCCCGCTCCCCCTCCTCCGCCGAGATCCCGTAGAAGGCCTCGACGCGGCGCACGAACGTCCTGAGCGTGGGCGCGTGCCCGCAGTCGTGGTCGACCCAGTCGTTCTGCCAGAGCGGGTTGGCGGCCCCGGCGAGGGGTACGATGACGTTGCGCGGGACCTCGGCGAAGGCGCGCGCCTGCTCGGGGTCGTCTAGGATGTCCGCCAAGCGGACGGGGGGCCGGCCGGTGAAGATGGTCCAGAGATCCATCAGGTGGCCGTCCGACAGGTCATCGAGCACGATGGCTTGGGTGTTGGTGAGGTCCGCGACGTCGGAAAAGAAGGCGGCGCCTTGGCGGGACGGATCCGGGGTGGTGCGCAACAGGTCGAAGGTCAACATCATGGTCCAGATCTCCATCAGGCAGTGCCAGATGTTGCTGTTGCACTCCCGCTTGACAAGAAGCGCGAACTGCGGGTTTCCGGGACGGCCTTCGCTCGCCGACCGGGTCGTCGCCCCGTCCGACGGGCCGCGCTGGACCTTGAGATGATGGTCGAAAATCCAGCGGGGGCCGCTTTCGTACCACTCCGGCTTGATTTGGTCAAACGGTATCAGCCCGCGGTTCGTCTCGTTCTTGTCGGGGTTTCGCAGTTCACAATCCAGGGTAAACTGCCCGAGTGCCAGGTCCAGCGTGGCGCCTTGTCCGATGCAAAGCGAGTCGACCGCACCTTCGTCGCGGCTGTGGCCTTGGAAACAGCGCAGGCTAGCGGTCGACCCCGCCGCGCAATACTGGATGGCGTGTGTGCGGAAATCATCGAGGTATTTCGGGGTGAACCGCTCGTTACAATACTCCGACTGCGAGACGGCGGGTTCGAGATATGGGTCATAGTCGGGTGGGAGAGCGAGCGCGGGCCTGCCTTTGCCGTGGGGATGCCACCCGAAATGGTAAGAACTGCTGTCGGCATCGCCGCTGAGCGGGTAGAGTCTGGAAACGACAAAGAGGAGAAGAACGGTGGCGACAAGGGTTTGAATCCGACGCCTGCGCGCGAACACAGTCATGGCGGCGGTCATGATTGCGGCATCCTGGGCACAACGATAGAATCATGGGCGGGGCCGATGACATTTTTAAGAAGAGACTAAGAGGGAGCGAACAAAGGATGATCGGCGCTTGGCTGCGCGTGAGCGCCAACTGCATTCCGCGCGCCAAAAACGTTGGGCATCACTCGCTGTTGACCCTTGTTCAGTGGGGAAGCAGGGCTGATGGGGCGGGCGGTTACACCAATGTTGCGATAGGCCAGCCGTTGGGAGCCTCGCAACTTCTTGGCACAGCAAGACACAATGTGACTGGTTGTGCTCCGCAGGCAGGGGGAAGCGGCCTTGATTCTGATTCGCGACTCCAACATCAATGGAACCAACAACCCGTCCCCATGCCAGGGCAGCGCAAATACGCTGGTTCAAGTGGAGCGAGCGCTGAAAGATTATGCGCCGGCAGGTTGCGCGATGCCGCTCACGGACTTCAATCCCGAGCCGCGGAGCCGGGACTCCTGGTCTCTGCGTTGCGGCCCCCAAGTAATCTAAGTTCCAACCGACGAGTTGTGACGAGACTGACTTACCTACATGTATGCAGGGAGCGCTCCCCATGCGTGAGATAGACAAATGGTTTCTCTTTTCTCTGCACTTCGTTTTCATCACCCGTTTGCCTTAGCATCTGGGTCCTGCTGCGCCTGGAGCCGAGGATGATACTTCAGCGTTCGAGTGCCTGGTGGCACACGTTAGCATGGCTCGTCATTTGCTCAGTCTTTACATGCTCCAAGGCCGCCCGCTGCGCGCCGCCCCCAATCGCTGTCCCCTTCGGCAACGTGACACTATCCAGCAATAACATCAGGCGAGGCGTTGAGGTATCAGTCGGAACTCCGCCGCAGCAGTTCGCCTTCATGCCCGCATGGTCAGTTCCCGACCAAGATCCAACTCAGGAGAAAGTCCGCGGAAACTCTGCCAGGCGGGGCGCTAACCAGGCGAGCAGGACCGTAAACAACACATATCTCTATGGGACGGATGGCCATTGCGGTGGGTGGGAGCCCGGTTTCACCAGGGTGGGATGCACGACTCTTCGGGGCGGCGCCTACGATAGCTCAAAGTCCGAATCCCCGAAAACCCCTCCGAGGGATTCGTATCCATCCGACCCTGCCCCATTCAACCAGATGGAGTATGTCGCCGAGACTCTGAAGCTGAACAGCGACACTTCGGTGCTCGACTTTCCCATGGGCGTGGCCACCGATGACCTCGGCAAGCAAGCTTACTACCCCCAGATGACTCTTGGGCTGGGTTCGAACTCGACGCTTCTCAACGCTCTGAAAGCGTCAGGAAAGATTGCTTCTAGGACCTTTAGCTTCTTTGCCGGCCGATTCGGGCGCATCCCGTCGGGCCACGTGGACGGCGCCGTCGCCTTTGGTGGCTACGACAAAGCCAAGGTCACCGGGCGGGGACACACGTTCCCTTTCTCAAGAGGGAGCGTTGGATGCGAGAGCGACATGGTTGTCAGCATCAGTGATATCGAGCTCAACTTCCCGGACGGCACAGACATGAGCCTATTCGAGGGCTCTCGGTCGCAATCCATTACAACCTGCATTTCGCCAAGCCTTCCCGTCTTTATGAACATGCCGTTGAGGCCCTACGTCGAGAAGATGCTCGCACTGTCCAACGAGTCGCTCACCATCTTTGATCTGCAACGCTCCACGGGGTTAAACTTCTGGAATCTGCGGTATCTTCCTGGTTATACACCGTACGTGGCCCCCCAGTCCATAATCGCCTCTTTCTCCCGTCGTTCCATTCCTCTCTCGCCCTGCCCCATTCATCCGTCCCATCCCAGTGCCATCAAACGTGCCGCCCCCCCAACTGACCATATTTCACCTCGCAGTTACAACGGCGACATGACCATCAAGTTCGTGTCCGGCCTCTCCGTCCGCGTCCCCAACGACCTCCTGGTCGTGCCCGAAACCGACATCGACCGCAGCACCGGCGTCATCAAGACGGACCCTTCCGGGCCCAACCTCCTCATCAACTCGATGCAGGACATCAACAGCAACGACATGGCCGCGCTCGGCACCACCTTCCTCTCGGCCGCCTATCTGATGGTCAACCAGGACACCGACCGCTTCACGCTGTGGGCGGCCAACCCGACCACCGAGTCCGACCTGGTGGCCGTCGACGAGACCGGCGCCGACGTCACGGCCACCACCTGCACCGCCAGCGCCAGCGCGACGCCTTCGTCCCGCGGCGGCAGCGGCGGCGACGGCGACGGCGGGGAGGGTACTTCTGATTCCGGCGGCGGCAGCAGCGAATCCGCTTCGCCGAACGCGCCTTCCCCGCAGGAGGGCTCGTCGGTGCCGGCCGCGCTTCCCACGGGTCTCATTGCCGGCGTGGCGGTGGGCGCGGTCGTCGCGGGGGGCCTGATCGCCGCGGCCGTGTTCTGGTTGCTGAGGAGGCGGAAGAAGAAGGCGGCGGCGGCCGCCGCCGCCGCCACCGCCGCCTCGGCCACGGACGGAAGCTGGAACAGCGGCGACCAAGACGAGAAGATTGCTTATGTTCCCGTCAATGAAGCGCCTGGTGATGTGCTGGGACATGTACAGCACGAGGTCCACGGCAACTCGTTCTCGGCGGAAATGCCGGCGTCGGCGGTACGGTTGCATCAACACTCGTTCTCGGCGGAAATGCCGGCGTCACCGGCACCGTTGCATCACACCCCGGGAGCGCGGTCCCCGCCTGAGTGGCATGAATTGGCGTAGAGAGAAGGCGGGCATCCTTGGTTGAATTTCCTGGAGTACGAGACCTTTCGGTTATTATTAATGATTCGTTGCTTCTCTAATCAGAGTAGCTCGCTCAAACTCTCGTTGAGTTGAGGTTTTCGATGTATATCTAATGTACTTAGACAGTATATGGTCCAATTGAGCCTGGGTTGTGGGTCGGAAGAAGGGGATGGGGTTGCGTTTGGTGTTTTCCGGTGCTGATACAATACAAGACCCTGTTTCCATTGTACGTTCGTGGAAGATCATTCATACTCAATTTGGATTACTATTAACTCGCTCCTATCTCACGTGGTTATGGTCATGCAACCCACATTGACGTCGGGCCGACAATAATACAAATACGGTCTACCCCTTGATAGCACTTGAGGAGATGAGTAATTACCTAAATTCGCTTGAAATCCAGCGATAACTAAACCAACGGCCTGCTTGCAACAATCCCTTATATTCTTACCTATATTCCCAACGTCCCCTGTAGAATTCTTTTTCAATATACGGCACTTTTTACCCCAGATTTCCCCCCATCAGTAGCTCTCTGCGGTGTGACACCCAGCCAATCTTACCATCACCATTACCCCTTTCTTATCACGTTGTTTCCGTTTTCCTTCCTCTCTTCTCCCGTTTGCCAGCTTGTTATTTCGGAGGTTGGTTGCTGTGGTTGCGACAAAAGCAGGCGCTTACGCTTCTCGTCGCACAGGTACCAGATACCTAAGTTCCCATTGGTCGGCGACACGATTGTGGTGGGGTTGGCTTTTTCGCGTGCTTGGAAAGAGGGATTCCCGTTGCATCTTGCGGGAAGACGGAGGATCGGCGACAGCGCAAACAACGTCCGCATCTTTCGGCGCCCGTTCCGCCATGGCGTTCAGCCGCCCGGTCACAATGACGTCGGGGATGATCCATCAAGGCGTATATTCCCATACCTTGTGCAACTTACGACAGCTCGACTCCCAATCAGCAATGGCATTCAGAAGCCGCACACGGTGGTGGAGGGGCACATGGCCAATGTAACCACCCCTTTTTCGATTTTGTGACCTGTTTCCAAAAGGATTCATGACGTCGCTACAAAACCCTATCTGGATTTGGTACTTAAGAGTAAAAATATGCACAATAAATGGCTGACATTTGCAAAGACAGATCCCTCGTCATCGTTCTTACTCTTCGCCAGCCGAACCATGCACAGGCGCAGTGTCGATTATGCCGGGTTACGCTGAGCTTCAAGATATTCTGGGTTATTGTTTTTCCAACCCTCGGCTCATGGATGAGGCTACCTTAGCACAGGATGCACCGTCAACCGCGCCTCCGAAGACACATGGGAACAAATCACTCGCCCTAGTCGGGGATGCCCTCATCCGTTTAGACGTTGCAGGCAGGTCGTATGCCGGGGGCATTGGAACGGGCAAGCAGATTACCGTTTTCCCTCCTAGAAAAACATGTACTAAGTGAAGTAGCGGAGAGCACGATCCTGCTGTCCGAGATCGGTTCAAACAGGTCACTCGAGGCTCATGGGAGGCGACTGGGCCTCGACAAGTTTGTGATAAAACATCCAGGCCAGCAAGGACAAGATGTTCCTAGGGAAACCCTCGCATCCACAGTTGAAGCGCTGATAGGGGCTGTCTGGATCGACTCGGGACAAGACTTCAACCAAGTGCAGTCGGTAATCGGAAATTTAGGCATTGGAAATCCCAAGCACGAGGAGGAGGCCAATACGTAGTAGGGTGGTACCCGGAGTTTGCGGTCAGCTAAAGGGGCGCAAGCGGGTAATTCATGCATCAGAAGCTCGAAACATGCCCATTCTCATACCCCCCACCCAAACCATGCCAGGAACTTAAAAATGGCGGCCATTGATAGGCGCGGGCTTGGGGGGCGTCCTTTGCATTGCGAATAGCTTCAAATAATCTGTAAACTGCTTGGTTAATCTCCCCGCCATGCCTCCTTCCCGGATTCCCGGAACGATTGGTGCCCGAACAGGGGCCAGGCACCAAACAAACAGCTCAGATCAGCGAATGGCGGGCGCTCCACCACTTCCGGGGAAACAGGGAGGGACCTCACCGGTCCCCGATGAATCCCCGCAACACGCGCGCACAAATGGATTTCAGAGCGCCATGAACCGGGGCGAACAGCCAAAAATGGCCCGGGGAGCACAAGCGAAAATCCCCCGATCGTGGCGTCCAATGCACGTCGTTGCCGAGCGAGGTGCGTCCGCCACTCATCTTTTTTTAAGTATTTTCTTTTGATGTGCCCCTTGAGTTTCAGGTCAATATCACTCGGTCAGTGCCCATGGCGGTCGCCCACGCACTTCGAGCCAACTCAACACCCGCAGGATGCTGGGCGCGCCTTCCATTTTTCATGATCGATTGAAATTTTGAATCATCGGATGCCACAACAATCCGGCTTTTCAATTCTTGTTCCCGCCCGCTTGCGGATGTCTGGCTGAGAAGCCGAGTTCCGAGTCCGCTGCCGAACCCACTCCGAGCCCACTCCCAAGCCCGCTAGTTATCATCCAAGCGGCGGCGACTCCAGGCTTCCCGGTGAGGCTTTTTACTTTGCCAGTGTGTTGTTGCAATGGGTCATGCCGACGAATCTCGCGCCAGCGAGATAGCCACCGCCATCATCCTCTCGCCCATCATCGCTGGCATCACAGTGGCCCTGCGCATTTACACGCGAAGGGCCCTGGTTAAAGTACGGTTTATCGAGGATTATTGCATTATCTGCGCCATGCTCTGCTCTCTCGCCATGTCGGGCTTCATGGGTACCTGTAAGCTTCCGTCTGGACCTTCTTCGAGGCTGTCAGTGGGCCTTCTGTGCTTTCAAGTTTCTGACCATCGAAGCGGTTATCTACGGATTCGGGAGACACGTCGAAACCGTCAGTGACGAGGAGCTCGTGGAGCAGGGCAAGGTCGCCATCGGTGGCATCATCTTCTACATCCTGACCCACATGGCACTGAAGCTCTCCATCCTGCTCCAGTATGTCCGGATCAGCGTCATGTCGTTCGAAAAGACCATCTGCTACGTCCTTATCGGCATTCTCGTTTCCCAGTCACTTGCCATAACCGGCATCCACCTTGGCCTTTGCAGACCTTTCTACGCCTTATGGACGTCGAACGTCGAGGGCGCCGTCTGTCTGGATCGAACCAAGGTGTATTATGCCCAGCTTGGCATAACCATCGCCATGGACTTCCTCGTTCTCATCGCTCCACTATTCATCCTTCGGCACCTGACCCTGCCCTGGATACAGAAGTTCTTGATTCTCATGGTCCTCTCCTTTGGCGGAATGTGCGTTACCATCCCACAAGTATTGTTTACTCGGACATGCTGCCTTCTAACACTGCAGACGCAGGGCCTGCATCATCTCGATCCTCCGCCTCCTTACCGTTGTCAAATCCACCCAATCCAAGGACAGCACGTACGAAAAGGTTGGAAGCGCACTGTACGGCGTGATCGAACCGAACTTGGGCATCTTCTGCGCGTCCATTGTCACCCTGCGGCCTCTCTTCAACCGAATAGCGCCCCATTTCAGCCAGCGGATGAGTCTCACGGAAAACAACGATGGTACCGGACCGGACGACGGGGTCAACAGTACCACAAGGCGGTCGCGAGCATCTCGGCGCCGTGCGCTCTTCGCCGCTTTTCGCCCAAGCCACGCTGATAAGAGTTTCGTCATGTTGTCCAGCGACTTGAGCAGTACCGCCTCAGGCAGGGGCAGCATCGGGGGGGATAAGAGCGGAACCGTGGACGACTCCGCCGCTCCGATTCCCTTGGCGGCATACCGTCCGGTGCAAGAGAGCGCGTTACCAGGCAGGCTCGGGTCACAATAAAGCAATAAGTTCAGTTCAGTTCGAACGGGTGATCAAGACTTGATTGCATTATCATCATGGTTTTACTAAAAAAAGATTGAGACCGACTCGTCTACAGCCGCTTGCACAGCCGAGTCCCGTACTCAATAACGTCCCACTGCTCCGTCCCGGGCGTCGACAGAGCGTAGAAGACGCCATTTGGATCCCAGGCCTTCTTCAGGTCCTCCAGCCTCGGGTACACCGTCGGTCCCCAGAAGTGATTCTGCCAGTCTTCCTGGTACGGGTCGGCCTCGTTGACGTACGCACACCCGTTCGGCGCCGCATCCTTCATCGCCCGATCCACCGTGTTGGTCAGCAGATCCTGGATATCAGCCTTCTGCGCCAGCGTCGCGTCTGTGGGGATAGGCAGGAGGTAGAGAAGGAGGTCGGACGAATCGCGGAACCTCGGGTTCGTGGCGCTGATGCCGGCGGGCTGGGGGTTGTGGCCCGCACCGAACAGGTGGCCGACCATGTACCCCTTATCGATCAGGTCGGCGCGCGGGCTGAGAGCCGTCTTGAAGGCTTCGATGATGCCGTCATTGTTGTCATCAATATCAGCCCGGCCAAACGTCCACCCGCTCGTGAGCGTCGGAGGGCCCGCCGTCTCATCCTCGAACAGGTCCAGATACAGGTCAAAAAAGGTGGCGTACTGGGCTGCCGGGGCGCTGTAAAACGGCACGCCCGCCGCGTCAAGATCCGCCCTCAGGGGCGCCAGCACGGCTTCGAGCTCCGCCGCCGTTTGGTTGAAGGCAACAAAGGGCCGCACACGCAAGCTCCCGGGCCCAACCGAGAAGTACACGTACAGGCCGCTGTCGACGAAGTAATTGGCGTGGCTGTGGAATATTCGCACGCCCTCCCAGAACAGCGCCGTGTCGGTCGTCAGCGTCGAGTTGATGTACAGCGTCGCGCCCGCGGAGGGATGCTCGGCGAAGGTCTTGAAGGACGCCGACACGACGACGCCGTAGGAGCCGGGACCGCCACCCTTGAGCCCCCAGAAGAGCTCCGGGTTCGTCTGCTCGTTTGCCGTGACGAACGTGCCGTTGGCCGTGATGACGTCAAACGACAAGGCATTGTCAGCCGCGAACCCGAAGATGGTCGTCAGCGGTCCGTGGCCGCCTCCCTGAACGAAGCCGCCGGCGATTCCCACGGTCGGACACTCGCCGGTCACCACGGTGACGGGGGGGTCTTGTGCGACAGCTTGACGGAGCAGAGCACGGCCCTGGACACCGGCGCCTACGGTGACAGCACTGCCTGTGTACCCGCTCGATCCGGACCAATTCTTGACAAACTCGACGTCCTGGAAGCTGTGGGTGTTGATGACGAGGGCGCCCCAGCCGGTGCTGCGGCCCATGAAGTCGTGACCCGTGTTGCGCACGATCAGCCGCACGTTGTTGTCGCGGGCAAAGTCGACGCCGGCCTTGATGTGCGCCTTCTCGGTCGCCCGGATCACGTACGTGCCGTAGTAGCCCGGCGTGCACGGCGTGGCCGGCTCCGTCGTCGGCACGCACGACGAGTTGGTGAAGTACTTCCACATGAGCGTCGCATCCTGGTCGTTGATCCACTGCTCGCGCGGGTAGTTGGCCGTCACGTCGGCGCACTTGGCCGCGTCGTAGGTCGGGATGTTGCCGAGCGTGCCGTTGAAGAAGTTATGGCATGCCGACTCGGGTGGTACGATGACTGCGAGGTTGCCGCCGACGGTTGTGTTCAGCGCCTCCCACTTGTTTTCGACGGGCCAGCATTCGTCGCCGAAATAGCATTTGCAGCCGTACGATTTTCCGTCCCATGTGCGAGGGACAAGGGCCCCCGGGTCAGCGTGTGCGTGGGTGCCCTGGAGCTGAAACAGCAGGCATGCTCCCGTCAGCAGGTAAGACAAGAGGGGCATCCGTTGTCGGGACATCGTGGGGGTCGGGTTCCGAACAAAAAGAACGGACCGGGAGAGGGTTGTGGTTTCACAGGCGCCATCGTCAACAACAGGATCACCGCGCGATTTTGTATCTTTTAGGTCCCCCCCTGAGCTCAGAACCCAGGTAATATTATTCTCTCCCGAGGGTCGCTGCGAGCGGGGTTGGAGTCCATTCGCTGACTGCCCGACAGCGTCCCACCCGGGGGGAGGTTGCATTCCGTGACAGGGCAACCCGGTTCCGACCATGGAAGAGGTCTGCAGTTCGTCTCCATTGCCGCGGGTAGGATCCCAACCCCTCCAGAAAAAGGTCGGAACTCGGAAGGGCGACCCCACGACAGCGAACGCCATTGGTGCGGCTCACGCCCCGAGCACATGGTACAGTTGCAGCAAGAACAGTGAGGAATTCGGTGAGGAAATTTCCAAGCTTCCAAGGCAGCCTCACAGCCCCGACCTCCCCCGGCAAATGGTCTTGGCCGAGAGGAGGTGTTGTCCGAATCGAGCATGCCCGGCATGCGTTGGCTTGACAAAGGATCCCGCCTGACGACCTCGAAAGGGAGTTTTGAGGCTGGAGGTGCATTACAAGGAGAGCCGCGTTGGCTCCTTTTCTCACTTGCTCCTTGGCGGAGTTTTCACGACCCTGGAAGGCTTGAAACCGCTAGTGGGAGCCTGGTCGGATGACCCCGGGCGCTGGGGCCTGGTAACGCATGATGAACTCGAAGCAGTGAGGGGAATATCCGAATGAGAGAAAAAGAATTTGCCAAGGACAAGGCTCGCGGGCAGATGGTGGTGCGCGGACGAGAACGCCTCTGTTAGATCGAGGGGTCAATGCACGCTATTCGTCCATACCTCGACTCCCAAAGCCGTCCCATGCCGCTCGTATAAGCAACGAATCCATTCCCACGCTATCCCTCAGTCTTTGAGGACTTTGTTCCTCTTTTCAGCCCAGCCACCTTCTAGTGCATGTACCGTACCACTCACCTTACACAGTCGTTACCTCATCTCCATCCTCCTCCCCTTCCCCATTCCCGCCGAACCCATCATCTCCGAGCCCCTGTGCAGTCCTCCGTTGCACCAACCCTTTCATGGACCCCCACCACCCCACTCCGACTCCCGAACCCCACCCCGACCTGGTTCGTTACCCACTGCGGCTGGCCGTCGTCGTCGGCGTGGCCGGCGCCTTAGTCTCCACCTCCACCACCATAAGCCGCGAGGGAGGCGGATGCTGGGGTGGGTGCCCAGGCGAGCTAATGTGATGTGCGAAGGCGGTAAGGTGGGTATGCTAGCAGAGCCAGCAACGCTGGAAGGAGGAGGTTTTGGTGGGGAGGGGGTTACTTTGTTTAGGTGCAAGGCGTCGTGCGTGAGATAGACATGGGCCTTCAAGGGGAGGGAGGTGGTGGGAGGGGGCGCGAGGCCCGTGGAAGGGACAAGGGCGTAGAGTTCGTTGCGTACGCGGGATACGGTCGTGAGGGGGCGGACACCATTAGGGTAGGTCATCAGTCAGCAATGTATGGTCTGTTCGGCGAAGGGTTGATCACGATAGGAACGACGACAACCGGCCTAGGTTGTGGGAATGGCCATGGGCCTGGGGCTTATGATAGCCGGGTTGAGATATGCCGCGCCGCACGGCTAGGGCTGACAAGTCGAAGTCATCAACTTGTTCAGAGGAATGGCCACCCTGGTTCCCTGGTGCGGAGGACCGGGACCGTTTGGCCTAGGAGGTAAGATGGCCTTGGCGACAGCCAGGGTCCGAAAGGCGCGGAGGATTGTGGTAAGGAGCGTAATGAGATTATGAGCGTGTTGATGGAGAACCCGCAGTAATGTAATCTGTACGCGTTGGCCACTTAAGGCGACCAGGATGAGAAACTTGGCGGTGAGACTGGGGAAAAGAGGGAGAACATATCCCAGGCCGAGCTAGAAGCGGAAGGGGCCACAGTGTTGAACTCCGGATGAGGTCTGAGTTTAATTACAAAGAGTTAAGAATGTATTCAAGACTTTTAGTAGTGTCGTCGCCTGGTCCAAGATGTGGTTCTGTTGAGGTGTTAGTTCATGAAGATAACAGCAAGAGGGTGATTTTCTCCCCGAAATAACATGTACATGATTCTTCCTCCGTCTAGTGGAAGAAAGATATTACTGCTTTGTAGGAAACTTGTATCTATGAGACGGTCTTATTCGTCAGATTGTGAGGACTGATAGTTGAGTCAATGTGGAGCTACAGTTATGCTTTTGATGGGATGATGAGTCCCATTTGCAAAACTAGATGATATTAAAAGTAGACGATAAAACCAGACGATTGGTGAGTCCACTTCTACATTCATCTGAAACAACAGCCCCCATACCCCACGAAACATTACTATATTCATGATTTCGCCGACGTTGCATCGTCTTCATCAAATGGCCTGCCACCTCTGTCGTTCCTTTATGGTTTCTGTTCTAATCATCTTTTCCTTTCCATGCCATCCACTTCCTACGACACGTATCGTTGAATTCCCTAATTATTCATTAATTAGCAAACGGTCGATTAACCTTGGCACATTTCGGGGAATCTCTCAGAAAGCTGATAATACAAAGTCTCCGAGTCGGGCTGCAGACCAATTTGTCGTGATTCGTAAGCCGGAGTGCGTGTTTTAGTAATAATTCTCCGCTGTCTCTCGCTTGCATATTCGTCATACCTTAGCGGCGCGTTAAGTGATTGATTGATTCATTATAACAATGAAGGCATCCCAAGCAAGATTCGGCTGCGAACAACTCACGAAATCTCAGGAGTCCAAAAACACAATACCCCTACCCCCCATTCTCTCAAACGTACAGCCACCATGTCTACCACCAAACCAGTCCTGATCGCGGGCGCCGGGCTCGCATCCCTACTGTTGGCCCACTCCCTCCGGCTATCCGGGATACCCTTCAAAATCTTCGAACGCGATGCCTCCTTCGTCTTCCGCGCCCAGGGGTACAGACTGCGCCTATCGTCCGAAGGCCTGGCCGCTATCGAATCAGTCCTCGCCCCAGACACCTTCCAACGGTTCTGGGACAAGTGCGGCAAGACCAGCGGCAGCGGCCTAACCCAAATCAACGCCATAACCGGCGAAGTAATCAACAGCCCACCCGCAACCCAAAACACCCTCATCTCCCGCGGCGGCCAGGTCGTCGGCATAGCCCGCGGCGACGCGCGCAAGATCTTCGCCGAAGGCTGCTCCGACCATATCGAATGGTCGCGCGAAGTAACCGGCTACCAGCTCACCCCCACCGGCGGGGTCCTCGCCCTCTTCGCCGACGGCAGCACCTCCGCCGAAGGCTCGCTCCTCATCGGCGGCGAAGGGATCCGCTCCCGAATCGCCCCCCAACTCTCCCACAACCGCCTCAAAGTCTACGACACCGGCGCGCGCGGCATCCACGGCCAGGCCCCTACCACCGCCTTCCGCGGCCTCGGCGAGGGCGTCTTCGCCCTGATCGACAACTCCCGCGCAGACGGCACCCTCTCCCTCATCACCAACATCCGCTCCGGCACCGAAAAGGACGACCCGACCCTCGAATTCGGCTGGACCCTCGCCGGCCAACCGGGCGTCATCCGCCCGCCCAACGACAACAACCACAACAACAACCACACCATCGTCGGCACCCAAGCCGCCGCCGTCGCCAAGTCCCTCACCAGGGACTGGCACCCGCGCTTCCGCGCGCTGTTTGAGCAGATGAATGAGGCGGAGGCGGCGTTCTGGAAGATCACGTGCTCGACGCCGACGGGCGTGCCCGAGTGGGAGAATGAGGCGAGGGTGACGGTGATTGGGGACGCGGCGCACTCGATGACGCCTGCGGGGGGTTTGGGCGCGAATACGGCGGTGCGGGATGCGGCGCTGTTGGGGCGGTTGTTGCGCGAGGCGTGGGGGGGGAGTGGTGGTGGTGGTGGTGGTGGTGGTGGTGATTGGGCTGGGGTGACGGCGGAGTATGAGAGGGAGATGAGGGTTTATGCGAGTGAGGCGGTGGATCAGAGTTATAGTGCGGCGACGAGGCAGTTTGGGGTGAGGATTGATCCGGAGACTACGCCGACCGTTTGAGCGGTGGTTGTTTGGAGAGGGTTGTTCGTTTGGAGACACTGGAGGGGGAAATAGGATTTATATTGGTTGCCATAATGTGTCTGGGTAGGTACCTAGTCTCATGATGGCTTCCATCGCTTCCGTCCCCTGCCACTCCCTGAGATACCGGTGGGCAACATGGTCTCCAAGAATAAACCTCCCACTCCGTCCGCTATTAATCGACAAGCACCCATTTTCCGACGGTCTTGACTGGGAACCTGAATTCTGTTTGTTTAAAAGTTGTCAGTCCACACAGGTCACAAGTTGTTCCATGCTCTGGGTCCAACATACTGCCCTTGGCCATGTTTTTGATGTCCTCGGGGTCGACCTCGATTTCCTTGTCGTCCTTTTCGAGCGTGATCCGTACGGGATTGCCGTTTTGCTCAGGCAGGGCGAGGTGCACACAGCCCCCTACAACCAGGTCCTCCCACATCCTCCCCGACTCTCCGATGCCTTTATCTGCATGGGCCTTCGGCACGAGATTCCGAGGGGTCCCGACCGTTCTGTCTCCGGCTAAGAAGGCAATAAAAACGTGGACGAGTTCGTGGGCCACTGTCAAGGCGTCGTTGACTAGTAAAGTGTGGTAATCTCTACCGAAGCGCGCTGCATTTTCTTTGTTCCCAGAGTTCTTCGCCTCTAGGTACCACGACCTTATTTGGGATAAGACCGTGATTGACTGGGTTGGCAGCCCTGGTTAGCAAAGGGGCCACACGTGGAGGGTTAAGAAAGGAGGGGCTAGGGAAGGCACTCACATCTACGTTGATACGAATGGCTCCCGCGTCCAGGGGATGCCAATGGTGCATGATGTTCACGTTGTTCGGCTCCTCGCCCGCATCGAAGCACCTTTCTCTGGCGTTTTGTACCCAGTCAGCCATGCCAAACAGGGCATCCGTACCTTCGTCGAGTCCGCCTATATCTAGGGGGAGAAAACAACGGCGGATCTTTTGGGTGTAAGCGCGTAGCCACCCCTTCATCTCGCTGTCGCTTGGCTTCTTGTGCCGGTAATTCTCGTCATTGCATGACCTGGTTGGGTAGATGATCTCTTTCGGGTCCTTCCGCAAGCCCCAACCGTGGACAGAGCTGGCTCCGAGATAGATGAGCGCGTCAAACGAACGCTTGTCATCCAGCATATCCAATGCAAGGCGGACTATGCGGTGGACGGCTCCCAACGTGGCCGGCTCCGGATTCTTGACCCTCTTACCGTTGATCCGAATGGTCATCGGCTTCTCTGTCGGCCGCGGGGGTACGTCGTCGGCGGGACCCCCCTCCTGGGGCCTTGTCCGGGTGTCTTTGCTAGAACCACCAGCCTGGCGGGAGGTTCCCGAAGGTCCCGCACGCCGATCATCGTTGTATCTGTCGTCGCGAGGTTCGACCGTGATTATCTGGGCATTCCCCTGGAGACGAGGCGCCGGTCTTGTCCGGGGTTCGTCACTCGGACCACCGGTCCGGCGAGAGGCTCCCGAAGGTCCCGCACGCCGATCATCGTTGTATCTGTCGTCGCGAGGTTCGACCGTGATTATCTGGGCATTCCCCTGGAGACGAGGCGCCGGTCTTGTCCGGGGTTCGTCACTCGGACCACCGGTCCGGCGAGAGGCTCCCGAAGGTCCCGCACGCCGATCATCGTTGTATCTGTCGTCGCGAGGTTCGACCGTGATTATCTGGGCATTCCCCTGGGGACGAGGCGCCGGTCTCTCCTGGGGACGAGACGGCCGCGGTCCGTCGTCGGGACCTCGGTCGACTGTGCGCACAATGGGGCGAAGAGGAAGAGTAGAGGACGTGGATGGAGCCGGGTTGCTTCTGGAAACTCTGGTGGCCCTAGGCGCCTCCGTATCCCTGGAATTCGACCCCCTAGGACCATTTCTTGTATCCCTGCTATCCCTGCCACTGCTACCGCCGTTGTCCCTGGAGGCCATCTTTGCAAAACCAGAGATCGAGGTAAGTGGGTTGCGGCGTGGGAAAGTGGCTACCTACCTTTCCTAGGGATAGGTGGGAATGAGGACCGTGCCAGCGCAGTTGACAGCGGAACGGGAAGTTGGAGTGATGAATGAAAGTGTGAAAACCCTTGACCAGCAAAGGCGTCGGCTTGTGTGGTTTCTTGCGAGAGGTGGGCCGGCCATGTGTAGAATACGATCGACAACCAACAATATATATATTTACCTACGCTCCCGGTCCGGAGTGCCAACTCCCGGCCCTCCAGACCTCTCTCCCTGTGACCCCTGATGGCCCCCGTAAAGCTGTCACAGTCCACCGCCCCGGCCGGACCTGTCGGAAGGCTCGTGACGGCCTGAGTCGTCCACCAACATGGGCCCCCACCGCCGGCCGGCCATGAACCCCCCAACCCAACCGGGCACCACGGTACTCTGGAGCAAGCTGATAGCGAGTGGATTTGGATTCGGTCGGGCAGCCGCGGCGGCTCTGCCAATTGCATTCCGCCCTTGGCAGGCTAGGTTTTGTCAGGCGGGGTTCCAGTCGAGGTCCCAGGAACTTGTATTGGGAATGCCCATGGTAATCCGGACCTGTCCCATAAATCCTGTCTCCGCCTCCGGGGCTATGCACTGCGGACCGCCCAGAATCCTGCCGCCCCGACTTTGGGCGCCATGCCGTACGCGAGGTCAGTTCACCCGCCCGAATGCTTATATCAGAATTCCCAACCCTTCCTCCTAGCATCCCAATTTGTACAGACGGCCGCATTGTCGTGGGCGGCCAGATTCGGTTGCCAAAGTGGCCACCCGGCTCGTGGCCCGCCGTCCTGGTCACTGAACTGGCCTCCTGGACCAACCGGCTTCCTGGATTGCGACTGTGCCTCATTCGGCTTGGGACTGGCCTCTGGCTTCAAACTTGGCGAACCGTCCGGGTCACTTTCGGTTGCCCCCAAAAGTACGGTTGCTCCTACAAGTACAGACGGTTATTGCATCGGCCCCCAAATTCTACCGTTCTAATTAGGGAGCCAAATCCGTAGTCGACTCCCTGGTGGCCCTGTGATGACCCTGTTGGCATTGCCTGGCCCTGTGGGCTTTATATGGCCCGGCCGGGCTGCGTTGCAAGCCCTGGATGCTAACGCCCATAGGCCGGGCAATGTTAACAAGGCTGGCATGGCAATGGAAGCAAGGCCTTAAGGTGCCGGTGCCGGCGGCCATGCCTGGCCTTCCCACCCTACGACTTCCTTAGCCCGAGACTCGCGTTGATAACGATAGGTAATTACGTCCTTTAGCCTCAACAGACTGGTTTTCCTGGAGCTTTGAGGGCTCACCGACCCCTGGCGTCTGTCCCGCGCACTCCAATTACCTCGTTGCTGTCTTATGTGTATGGAATCGATCGGCGGGAAGCTTGCCTTTGCGGCAAAGCAGGTGGTGGGTTAAGTGATCCCGCATTGATCCTAATTACCATTGTCCGCTGGGTCGGCCATCTTTCATCCATGTATGAAAGGCTCAAGTTGGTACGGAGCCGCTTTCTTTGTTTGCTAGTAATATGTGCAACGTTCTCTAGCTATTTAACTGGGTGCAGTTTGCCGTGACCGCTGTTTTCACTCAGGTATTGGCACTTGGACTAATTCAACTTCCTGCTTTAGTACCTTCAGCTATGCTTCGTCGTAGATAAACGAAACAACCCTTTGCCTTCGCCATGGACGCCAATGCTAACGGCCAAACAAACAACGACCGGGCTTCCCATTCCGCGAGTGAAAGGAAGGATGCCCCGATCCAGGACAAGAAGCTCGGTGAGCAGGACACCACCACTAGCGACCGAGCCAAGAAAGGCCAGCCTTTGCGTCTTTCGAGCGTGATGGATGCGGTTCGGATACCCGCCGACATGACGGAAGAGACCTGGTTAGCACTCCGACAAGCGAACATCGACCGATATTGGGAGGCAAAGAAACTCGCCGAGGAAACAGCCAAGAATACAGAGTCTAACAAGAACATTGCATTTAGCGACCAAACCTGCAAAGGCAAAGAGCTTAACAAGAAGGTCAAATGTGAGGAATTCGATAAGTCCCCCACATCATTCCCATACTTGGATTTGTGCTAATCAACCTACTTGAATAGGGGCCGACGTGTTCTACCTTGCTGAGCCACAAGAACCTCGTGCACGTGGGACAAATCAAGCCACGATGGCAGACGCAAACACCAACGAGATTCTGTCGGCCTTAAGGGCCTAGGCTCTTGTTCTTTTAAGAGCCAGAGCGGCTCCTGGGGTTGGTGTGGCTAGCACACGCCCGGGGGAATGCTTGCTTTTATAGGTATCGCGATAACTACCTACCTTATGTTCCTTGGGTTCCCCCGACTGATTTCACTGACATACGCTGACACGAGCATCTTCGCGAAGTTAACGTGGCCACCAAAAGCAGGTGGTTGAATTACTACTCAGTCACCCCAGACGCTGTATCTGACCTGCAAGATGCACGACTCCCCCTTCTACGAGGGCTTTTGCAGGTACACCTTGTGAACGGGTGGGGGAACCTCCCCCCTTTTCTCCTTTCGTTACCACAAAATCTTGCTTGGACACCAAGTCCAACGACAGGAACCGATGTGATACGAGATGACGGGTGGGATGCTCTTCTTGACCGCACCGGAGCGGTTCAATCGAAGCCTCGACCGGAACTCAAGCCCTTTCCCCGGAATCGAATCAGGACTCGAAATTATGCATGTTGGTGACTGAATATTGCACCCCCTCTTATCTCTGCCAAAGTCCTTCCCTCCATCGCTTCTGCGAATCCGCTTCCACCCAATGACATACTGATGTTGGTCCAAGAACGTGCACCAAGCCCCGTCACATACACAACATAGCACACTCAACCCCGTTGCAACCCTGTGGTGGCTCGGTTGGGCTGGCTACCGCCCATCAGGCAATGTTGGCCCATCCGGACTAATATTGCCCAGGCCATGAGCAGCTGACGGTGGGTTGGGGTCCGTATATTCAGAGGCAGCAGCTGTTGGTTTAATAGCGTTACATTGGGGCGGCAACCCCGGCACCGGTTCGTCAAAAGCAATACTAACTTTTGGTTTCCCCAAAATTCAATAGCGCTGACCACCACGTGCAGATCAACTACTTCTTGGGCTGTCGACGGACTTTCTCTGACGGAGAAAGTCGTAATCTGTGATCAACTTACTAGTCGTGCACAAGCGCCGAGTTGATCACAGAACGTGGCGCAAGATCATCCCAAGTCACAACTCTTGTGGGAAGACTACGGTCCATTACCGAGAGGCTGTGAGAGCAGACACATGGCTTCCCATGACTCGCAACCCGATCCAAGCCGACGGAATGGCGGGAGGATGACGCCGGGGCGACTGGGCGAGTGGGCAACTGGGCCACACGCCCGCGCAACCTGGGTCGTTCTGCTAACTTGATTGGCCGTACCTTGCCCCATTGTCAGCTTGATCGGAATTCACTAGCGACGATTGGAAGTTCGCTTGGGTCGTCACACCAGCTGGGCAAGGGGGGAAAGATGGGCGCCCTTCCCGCCTTTCTGCAAGTCACCTCCAGCTTCAGCCCCGTTTGTATTGGTCTGCAAGGCACCCGAGGACGGCTGAGGGCAGGCCGCCTCATCCGCCGTGGGGCGTACATCAGCCCTTGTGACTAACACAGGTAGGAATATTTCCGAATACAGAAAGCGAGCTGAGAGGTAGGTAGTCCCTCCACCGCTCATTAGGACCTAGGGGGACGGAGTTAGCATTGCTGAAGCACATCACAGGTGAGACAGATTGACGCGCAGCTAACAATCGATTGGCGAGAACCTCGTTTATAGGTGCCTTGCTTTTCAACCATGCTGTAACAGGAAGTGTCCAGCCGTGATGTGGGAGAGAGGGAGGGGACCGGCTCGTTGGCTGCAAGGCACATCTCCCACCCCCCCACCCTCTCCTGAACCTATGGAGGTGGTTTGCGACCCTCACCGAGCAAAAATATGCGTCATCATGAAAATTCGATCTCGGAGATGCGTGAAAACGTGCAACCACACCTCAGGACCGCAAAGGGGAACGAGAGGCCACCAGTCAGCCAACTACTACCCGATTTGGGTGAGCAAGAGTCAGCAGGCTTCCCGATCTGCACGCGCAAGAACTAAAGGGTGGAAACACGCCCAACTTGTGTGACTATCGTAGGAACTTTGTCACCAAGTTCTGGGAATCAACCACCCGGACGCCTTCCCCGACAAGAGGGTGGGTGGGGTCGGGGAACCCGGATGTCAGAGGGCGGTGCCTATGCTGACAACCATCCTCGGACTCGAGGCGAGCGATGGCAAGTAGTACAAGTAGGAGGGCACTGAATCCTTCTGCTCACCGATGCGTTATTCGATTTGTTTGAATGCGTAGTTGAGTTGCACAGGCTCGTATTTAAGATCCTGATACTTGAATCCTTCTTTCGTCATTATACTCAACGAGCAACCACACTCTCTCCTCTGGGTATTATCTCCGTCCAACTAGCTCTTTAACTCAACACTGCTCGACACAATGTCGACCATCTCGGCCCAATACCCGGAGTACCAGTCTACAGCCCGTCTGGACGAGCTCCGGGCCACCGAGTACAGCTACCTCGACTCTCAGGATCATGTGTATCTGGATTACACAGGGTCAGGCCTCGCGGCCTCTGCCCAGATTCGACACCACAACGAACGGCTGACCCAGAATGTCTACGGCAACCCACACTCGTCCAACCCAACCAGCGCCGCGGCCACCGAGGCCATGGACCGCACGCGGGCGCGGGTCCTAGCGCACCTCAACGCCTCCCCGGAGGAATACACCGTCATCTTCACCCCCAACGCCACCGGCGCGGCCCGGCTCGTCGGCGAGGCCTACCCCTTCAGCCGGAACACGCGCCTGGTACTGACGGCCGACAACCACAACTCGGTCAACGGCCTCCGCGAGTTCGCCCGCACCCGCGGCGCCCGCACCACCTACATCCCGTTGCAACAGCCCTCGCTCCGGACCACCACCACCGACGTCCTCGCCGCCCTGCCCCCCAAGCGCACCCTCCTCGACCGCCTCCCACCTACCTGCCGCAGCATCCTCCGCCGCCGCGACACCAGTCCTCCCCCCGACCCAGACCTCTCCCCAAACACCACCACCGGCCACTCCCCCTCTACAACCAAACCCTCCCCTGATACCCGCAACCCCAACCCCCCGCGCGGTCTCCTCGACCGCCTCCAATCCACCTGCCGCAGGATTTTCCACCGCCGCAGCATCCTCCGCCGCCGCAACACCAACTCTTCCCCAAGCACCAACACCAACAGCACCACCAACCCCAACACCACCCCCTCCCCTGACACCACCACCAACCCCCCTAATACCGGTGGCAACAACAACCCCCCTACCCCCCGCGGCCTCCTAGCCTACCCCGCCCAAAGCAACTTCACCGGCGTGCGGCACCCCCTCTCCTGGACCCGCCTCGCCCAAAAACGCGGCTACCACGTCCTGCTCGACGCCGCCGCCTACCTCCCCACCGCACCCCTCGACCTCTCCGGCAAGCCCCACCCCACCGACCCCAACGGCGAGACGTGCCAGCCCGATTTCGTGATCATCTCCTGGTATAAACTGTTTGGGTATCCCACGGGGGTGGGGTGTCTGGTGGCGAGGAAAAAGGCGTTGGAGGTGTTGAGGGGTGGCAGGCCGTGGTTTGCGGGGGGGACGGTGCAAGCTGCTACGGCGGGGGTGGGGGTGGGGGAGTGGCATTTGTTGGCGGGCGGGGCGGAGGGGTTTGAGGATGGGACGGGGAATTTTCTGGGGGTGCCGGATGTGGCGTTTGGGTTGGACTGGTTGGCTGGAGATGGAGATGGAGAAGGGGGGGTTGGGGGGATGGAGGTGGTTGGGACGAGGGTGCGGTGTTTGACGGGGTGGTTTTTGGGGAGGTTGTTGGGGTTGAGGCATGCGGATGGGAGGCCGATGGTCAGGGTGTATGGGCCGAGGGATGGGGTGATGAGGGGGGGGGACGGTGGCGTTTAACTTTTTGGATGCCGAGGGGAAGGTGGTGGATGAGAGAATCGTGGCGATGGAGTCGGCGGCGGCGAGGATTTCGTTGCGTACGGGGTGCTTTTGTAACCCCGGGGCGGGCCAGGCTGCGCTGGGGTTGGATGTCAAGACTGTGCGGAAGTTGGCGAGGGCACGGCAACTGCTGGGGGGGTTGGATGAGGTCGTCGAGGTGCTGGGCATCCCGTCTCTTGGAGCTATCCGTGTCTCCTTCGGCCTGGCTTCGACTACCGCTGATGTGGACAAGTTCATTGGGTTTGCTGAGAAGACATACAAGGACCGGGTGATCACCGCGGTGGGCCTGCCGCCGAGGGATCAATGTTGATATGTAGGTTGTGTGGAGGTATATTGGATGCAAAAAGTATCGGGTCACCATTAGCCCCCCGTGTACGTACCATTGTAGCCATGTTAAGTCATATTATCCTAATCCACGAACTAGCTACATATGCCGTTGTTTCAATCAACCCACTACATTCAACACCAGTATTTCCCAAATACCATCAACTACCCGTACGCCTCTTAAGACAGGGTCGGGACGGTCCACGGGCTCCACGAGTTGAGGTCAAAGTTCTGGTTCGCCGTCGAGCGGAAGATGTTGGTGTTGCCAGCACTAGGGTTGTTGAGCAGGTACTTGCCAATGAAGGCGTTGAGCTCGCTGCCCTGCTGCGAGGTGGGGAAGCTGCAGTGCGAGTTGCCGCCGACCTGCGAGTAGCCGAAGCTGTCGAGGGCGCCGAGGGCCTCCCACTGCTTGCGGGCAATTCCCATGCAACCGTACGTCGACACCTTGCCGAGCCACTCCATGTCGCTGTTCTCCATGACGTAGAGGGCACGGGGCGCAATGAGACCGGCCAGCATGTGGTGGTCAAAGGGGAGCGCGTTGACGTTGTTGACGTGGCTGTTGAAGTTGGTCGAGAACCAGACGTTCTCCGTGATGATCTGCTTCGACTCTTGCACGTTCTCCCCCCTGTTCTTCTGCCACGTCGCAATTCTCCAGCAGCCGGAGCCGCCCGCTCCGGACTCCTCAGGAAGCGTCAGGGCAATGCGAGGTTCCAATGCACCCGCCACCATGGCGCCCTTGCCGTTCCTCGAGCAGCCCGTCACACCAATCCTTGTCGGATCAATGTTGGTCTGGGCCCGCGTGAGCTCCAACGCGTCGATGATGCGGGAAACACCCCACGCCCAGGCCGTCAGAGCGCCCGCGGAGTGGCCACTGCCGTAGATGTTGTAGAATTTCCCTTTGCCACGCGAAGACTGGTCCCGCTGCTCGGCGATCTCGTCATTGTTGAAGTTGATGGTGGCCACGCCGGCGGGAACGGGGAGACCCCCAAAGGTTCCGAAGTTGATGATGGCCGGGTGAGGTCCGCTGCCCGACGGCCTGTTGTTGATGCTGACCGAGAAGGAGATCGACTTGCCGTTCTCCGAGACGGTGATGCTGAGCGTGCTGCCCGAGAAGCTGGCCGTGACCGACGACGGCTTGGGCGGAAGCGTGCCGAGCTCGTATGTCTGGAGAAGCTCGCTGATCTCGGCCTGGCGACACGTCCAGTCTGCTTTGCTCGATACCTTGCCGCCGCCGTGGAAGGTAAAGGGGTCGTTGAGCGCGTTGGCAACGGGGCTGCCGAGGCCATTGGGAATGGCAGGGCAGGCAGTACCACCTCCTCCCGGGGCAGGCGACGTGGTTGTAGGGGGGGAAACCGTCACCCGGGACGTGGTGAGCGTGGAGGACTGCTGTGGCGGGTTTGTCGGGTTTGTCGGGTTTGTCGGGCTTGTCGGGCTTGGTGAAGGGTCATCCCCTGGAATGCACTGGTGGTACCACTGGTTCTGCTGGAAGCAGTACGCCCCAGATACGCATGATGTTGGACCGTTCCAGCCTGAGCCACCGCACTGGCCCCAGAGAGTTTGTTGTTGTTGGGCGTGGGCACCGGCGGCGCCGAGAACGACCAGAAGGGACGAGGCGAGAGCTGGAGACAGCATCTTGACCGGAGTTAGAATACGGTAAAGCTTGGGAATACTGACTGTGTCGATGCTCTACCTAAGCTTGTTCCAAAATATGGCCTCAGGGCCGTCCTTTATATGTCATTTATGGGCGGGACATTACCTGGTTGACCTTGGGAACTATTCATCTTTCATCTCTGAAAGTTTGGTACACCGGCTGGAACCATGTCTCGATCCGGGTTTGTGGTTCCCATGGTGGTCGTAAAAGGACGCTGGACTCCGTCTCCGTTCACGTGGACTTCCCCAGCTTGACGGTTTTATCGATCACATTTTAGCCTGAAATACGGGCGAGCGGCTGGGGCTTGGAATCCGGGGAAGAGAAAGTTGTTGACCTGGTTTCCGCGATATTCGCCGTTGCCTGGCCTGGGTCTGCGTTGCATCACCGGAGCCTTCTGTCACTGGATGCAACTCTACTAATATCTAAAAGAGCCGCCCCTAAACCGGCCTTGAGGCTCTCACTCGTCCCCGCTACTCGGCAGGCCATGCTCCGAGCCTGGGGTACCATTTTCCACCCTATTCGATCCCCGATGTCACTGCACTACCCAGTCTGCCCAAAGCGGACAACGGAAGACAGTTTCTAGAATGACACTAGAAGAAACCGAAAGAACGCGCATGCTTTCGAAGACTTGGCGGTCGCCCGACTTTGGTTCAGGGGTACCCTACTTTTCAGTGATGCTCGGCCAGGGCCCAGGTGAGAGCCAGCCCCCGACAGGAGGCCGCGGCTTGACGTTGGAGGGGTGTTCTCATTTTAACAACTGCTTCCCCGTATATACTGTGCTGTATAAACTGACCTTGGCCTTCTTACACCGATATGGCCCGAAACGCTCCGTGATTGAAACCATGTATTCGATGGGTTTGCTCTGTTGTATACCACTGATGGAGCGCCGTTTGGAACCCCAGCATCACATTCTAAAGCCCAAAATACTCGGGTACTTCCCTGAAGAGATACGACTATCAGATTCGAACCTGACAGAGATGACGGAGACCTTGGCATCTGGGTGCAACCCGAAGACGGTAGAGCAAGCCCTCAACCAGCCCGGATAAAGTCGACCGGGCTTGGAAGCGGGTTTCTCAGGAGCAGTGCGGAAGCTAATGCTTGAGGAAAGAGTGACATCGTGGCGTGGGGGTACACTCAGAGTAACATCTTTGGGTACTCTTTGCTGCTTGAACCAAACTCATTGTTGTCTTAGCGGCGGCCCATTTTCCCACCAATGATCCGTTATGCAATCTAGTATCTATAAACATCTTCTGGTTAAAAGACCTGATCACATCCCTCCAAATCTACGTTGTGTTCACATGGGAAAATATCACGGAATGGGAGTGTGGTGGTCCGGGACGGAGTGCAGTTTAATGTCTGGTCCCCATGCCCCAACCTGTTAAGAAGAGGCAAGGTATCACGTAACTTCCACCTAACATTTACCCCCATTAACGAATCGCGTTTTGTTGTTTGCCTCGAACCCAACTCTTCAGCTACACTTGCAATATATCTGCAAGAACCCACTTTGCTACACCGCCTCTGTAACATCCCTTTGCTCGAAGACGAAGAGAGCGAGGACAGTGACGGTGTCTGCCACTGCAAATATTGTGCACTCGACCTCCGCGTTTAATGATCCATTACTCACCAAGTAAAAGCTGCATGATAAGGGCCAAAGGCGGGGTCCCCTCATAGGCTTATCCAAGGGGGGACGGATGGAATAATCAGCACTCCCCTCTTTCTCTTGCAAGGAGCACGAGGAACTTCGTTTGTCATTCTTTTCTTCTACACTTTTGAAAAACACTTTCGTTTTCTACTTTACCGGTTCCTGCCTTCCACCCGTCCTACCGTCATTTTCAAGGTAACCTTATTCTCATGCTACGTACCTAGTTATCTGCCGACGTACTGGTTGAAAAAAGAAAAGAATGAAACATGTCCACTAGAGGTGTATATTTTGTTTGACCCATTCCCGACTTTCCCAAACGACCCACGACCCCATCCCTCCGGTACCTTATATCCATATTTACTTGGATTATCTAGGTACCTTGCTGTTTTAACCCACCTGCCAGCACCTCGGACAAACGCTCGTTATTTATCCCAGCCCTAACCTCCGCTCCAACCTAGGCACCGAGGTAAGACACCAGAGTTTAAAGCTGGCAGTCGGCAAAATTCAAGAATCCAACATCCCCCATGAGAAGCGGATCCAAGCCCGTCGACCATTCAGGCGAGGACTCCTTCTTTAAAAAGGGAAAGTCCGCATCCTCATTGACGATCTGATCCTTGTTTGTGGTTGTGCGGGATGCCGGCGCAGGGCCAGTGGCACCGGAGCTGGTAGCGTCTATCGAGAGGTTCCAGGTTGGGGCGTTGTTAGTAGGGGGAGTAGGGGCTTCGAGGGGTATATCCGCTGCTACCTTGTAGTCGTACGGGCAGGGGAGCGGCGGCGGAAGCTGTGGATATCTTTGGGGTTCGGGATACGTTTGGAGCTGAAGGTACCTTTCGGGCTCGGGATATGCTTGGTGCTGGGGATATGTTTGGTGCCGGGGATATCTCTGGGGCCCGGGATATGTTTGTAGCTCGGGGTACGTTTGGTGCTGGGGATACCTTTGGTGCGCCTGAGGCGGCAAATCCCAACCAGGGTAGAAGTCACTCTCCTCAACACCCCGGGCCGGCATCTGATCCGGCTGCCACGTCCCATAGGAAGTAGGTATGTATTCCATTCCCCGATGACCAGAATGCTCAAGGGGCGGAGCCAAGCCCATTTCGTAACCACGTACGGAAGCGACGGAACTTTTAGTTTCCCTGCCCCAGTACTCGTCGTCCCGGACCTTATCCCTCTGCATCTTTCTTCCACGACGACTACCAGTATAACTAGGGGGTTGAGCCAACTCCCCTTCGTAACCACTTAGGGGAGCGACAAAACTCTTATCCTCCCCCCTCCCGCAGTACTCGTCTTCCCAGACCTCATCCCCTTGCATCTCCATTCCGTGCCGACCAGCACAAATAGGGGGCGGAGCCGAGCCCAATTCGTAACCGCTTAGGGGAGCGCCAGCAAACCAATCTTCTGGCCACCAGTCGTCGTCGAGCTGGACCTCTGGTTTCTTCCGTACCTTCGGCGGCTGCGCGGGAGCGTACTTGTAATCAGGGAACGCCTTCCGATGTTTCTCCCTCTCCGTTTCTGACCACTTCTTGAATTTGTCGCGAATTTCCTGTGGCTCTATATGCCAGCTCACCCCGAGAACGGTAGAAAACGATTGCTGGCTGCCGCTGCGGCCCTTCGAGGCAACATAAGCATGCGCACGCCCGACGTAACATTTGCGGTACAGTAAAAAGCCGTTTAGGGGCCGTGGGATTCGGCCCGGAGCCTTCGGGTGTAGTTCGACCTCAACAAGCCGGGTTTCGGTGGACCGGTTGACATAGGACTCTATGTCAAATAGTGGGGTGTTCTCGAACTCGGTCATCATGCTAAAGGGGCGTGGGATGCTGGCGCGAAACTCGTCAACTGTCTTGTGGACTCCGCACTTTCGCCTGCTTTTGGATTTGTTGTTGATGTTGAGGTTACCACCGGAGTGCCTGGGGAGGTTCGGCCGCATCTTCACGGGGCATGCGTTCCTGCGGCTTGAGTAGGTATAGGTATAGTAGCGAACGGTTACCCCGAATGGTAACGTGTTTAGAAAGAGCAAATTTATGCCCCCCGCCCCGAACCTTTTCAACACTTTAAGTTGACAAGGACGAGCCTTTACATCTGCCACGGGCGTTTTCACCTACTGAACAAGATTATTGTCCGCACAGAATGTACAATGGCTCCGTACACGTAGCGTCCCTTTTTGGCTACCGACAAAGATCTACCATAATGAACAAGAATTTGGAAATGGTTGTCACTCGACGAACCTGAACAGGAACTGTCACATTTATTATATTGTCACTGTAGCGAAATCAGCTTCCGGGTATCTCTCTTACAGGGCCGTGTGGACGAAAGCTTACACTGGATGGAGCGGTGCGCCCACCTCCAGCAACGAATACTCGACTGAAATCATCCCCATACAATATCTCGTTCTGTCACGTTTGCGTAAATGACAAGGAGCAAGCGGCTTGCATGCGTAGTGGAACTCGCAACATAGTATGATCTAAATAGTGGAGTGCGGGATCATTACAGTCGCCAGTCCCTACGCCAGTAATGAACAAACTGCCCCTAGGGTGGTGGTAACCGACGTGCACATGGTTCTCCTACATATAGGAAACCCAATTGTCACCGTGCTACAAGTAGGCGTGATACTCGATTTGGTTGATAACAGGAGCACTGGTTACTCCCTTGAGCGTCGCCTTGATGCGAGGTTATATCGGGGCGTTTGTTAGGACAATAGCCTCCTTTAATATAAGTATGATAGTATACCAGGGGGGATGTTGTTTTCGTGGCCCGTGGATATTTGTAGTCTGGTGGACAACTGTTCGACATGGGACATGGGACATAGGTAGGTATATATACAATACTCCACGATTTACCCAGACCCAGCATGCCTGTCGACAAAGTCGAGAATAGGAACAATGTACGTGTCCCATCCCGGTACGTCCGGACCCTGGATCCCGATGTCAGCAGGGATATAACGGCTACCTATGAGTAACCACTTACCGTATACTTCATGTCAAACACATGAAGCCCACCCTCCTCATAGCATTCTACCACCGGTACTCCAGCGTCCTTCAGCACACCAGCCATGGCATAGCTCTGCTCAACAGGAACATCCACATCCCCAGTGCCATGTAGGAACGCCGTAGGCGGATACAGGTCAAGCCCCCCTTTCCCCTCAATGACGCGCTGCTGGAGGACCCGGAGCGGCGACATGGAGCGAACAAAGGCCATAAACTCCTCCTCACTACCAAACGTCTCCCTGTGCATGATACCAACATGCAGCCCGTCCGCAGACCGCGACAGCGAGTGCATCATGTGCAGCTCGGCCTGCATCAGCACCCGGTCCGTGTAGCAGAAGTCCGTCGCCCACAGCTTGCTGATCTCGGCGTCGGTCAGGCGGGTGAACTCGTCCCACGGCAGCGCGTCGGTCAGGACATTGGCTTGGTCGCGGTCGCGGAGGAGCCTGTTGAGGGTCTCTTCGGAGAACTTGCCGTCCCATGGTCCCTGCGTGGCTCGGCTGGGGCGTTGGTTGGGAGGGCCGAACGCTTTCATCGAGATGAAGTCTACCACGCCGTACACGTCGATTATTGCCCTCGGAGCGGGGGTCGGCAGGTGAAGACCCATCAAGGTGGCAAGATGACCACCTGCGGACTCACCACAGAGGACATAGCGATCCACGTCGACTTTGTCGGCCCCGAGGATGGTGGGTAGGTTGGTGCGGCACCATGACACTGCCTCGAGGCAGTCGGCTAGCTGCTCATCCACGCGAGCTTGCGGAGCGAGCCGGTAGTTGTGGGAGATGAAGTGGTATCCGCGCTGCCGGAAGCCGGGTGCCATCCACGGCAAGGGGGCGAAGTCTTGTGGCGTCAGTATTGGGTGTTACATTTTGTACCTGGGAACATACGGAAACCCCCAAACCATCCACCGCCATGGGTCCTAGATGTTGTTAGTTTTGGTTTTGAGGTCCAATGTTTATGCTGTGTCTAGGGGGTGCTTAAGGAGGCCAAGTAAATACCAGAATTCTTCGAACAGCCAACGAATCAACACAACTTATTCAAGATAAAAATCATACAAACAAACCGAGAAGCAGAAAATACATATAGGTAGAAAGGAAACAGGAAAAAGAGACATAAGACAAAGAGTAAAGCTATACAGCGCCCATCACCAACGGGACAGGGACGATTCTCATTAATGAGCTCTGACTTGCCAGATGACAAACGGCGCCGGCTCCTTGACCGGAGTCTCGGCAGGCCATACCCTCACAGCCAACTCTGCGCCGCTGGCAGATTTGAAAGTGTGATCAGTGAAGCCCGGGGGGGCTGCTGGGGGAGTGCCGACCATGGTATGGTATCTCTGTAATAGTCAAAGTTCCGATAATGATTGTTGGATTCGGCAATATTGGACCCGTGCATGAAGTGATCGCGATCCGATCCCGGGGGCAGACGCCAACGAGGGGCAAAGCACCACTTCCCCGCGGTGCCATCATTCGGTATTTTCACAATATAACCGGGAGTGCCGGGTAAGGTGGTATTTTGCCAAGCAGTTCTCTTTCCGATCTGAGTTAAGAATCGTGGAGAAGAGCGTTCCGGGATTGCCGGTGGGGTGAGCAAAGATTGAGTACAGACACTGCTTACAATAGAAGGTGAGGCAACTCTTTACGCAGGGCAATAGGTAGCTACGCGAATCAACTGCTCCGCACCATGTGTTGCTTGCTTAGTGACAGCCCCTTTTGGGTTTAGCACCAGGAGCAGAAGCCCCAAGATGGCATCGCGCTGACTCGGCCCACGTGCGTAATGGACCGAAGGATTCAAGTCGAGCTCGGCCCCCAAGCCGGAAACGGCCTAGGGAAGAGGCACGGAATGAGCTGGTGTAACCCCTGTCTGGGCATGTTTGCCTCCCTCCCTCTCACGACACCACTCACCTTCGCCAAGACGCGCCATGTTCCCCGAAACATTTCCCTCACCTTGAGCCCGGGACGCTGATCTCTCCAACCGCTGGCTGCCCTCCGAGTCTCGTCTAAATCAAAGACGCGTCCGCGTCGCTGGCCGGAGCCATGTCAAACGCAATAGGGTGGAGTAGAGAGGACTTCGAGGCGGCCCAAGCCGTGGATTTCTCGGATGGACTGCACCCTGTACATCTGCAGCACAGCCAGCATTACTACCAGCATCATGCCCCTGAGCCGACGGATCGGGGCGATGAGAGATCCCAGGGCTGGCAGCAAAACTCACCAACACCGCCATCACTGGCCAAGGTAGCGTTCCCCGTTGCGACGCCGGTGGAATCCAACCAGGAGAACAAACCCCCGGAGACGGAGCCGAGGATACTCGGGTTGAGGAGGACGACATTCTTTTTGACGGTTAGCAACATCTTGCTAGCCATTGGACTTGTCGTTCTCGGGGTGGTACAGAGCCAGGTATTAAGGAACGAGACGGGGACGACAGGATCAGGAGCACAGGGGTCATGTCCAAGGTGAGCATACACAGTAGTTAGCCCTTTACGGGTTGGATTCATCCTACACTAGTCCCCCCTCCACATCTCCTCGCTTAACCCAAGCCTAACATCACCAACCAGCCCCAACCCAACCGGCACCTCCACCTCAACCGCCTCCCCGCCAACCTGCACCCCCGAGGCCAACAAGATCTGCTTCGCGACAGACCAATCCATCACACGGGCCGTCGCCATCGGCGCCGTAATCCAAGAATGCCCGCTCCCCCCCGGACAAGCCAACTACACCGTGCCCGGCACCAACTTAACCTTCCGGCGCGAGTGCGAGACCGATTACACCAGCGGCGACCTGGGCCGGTTCCCCGTCATCTCCATGGCCGACTGCATCGCGCTGTGCGCACAGCTGAACCTGTACCCGGCGTCGGCGCTGGGGCCGTGCGTGGGCGTGTCGTGGGTGACGGCCGACGGGCCGCAGGGGACGGGGCTGAGTTTCTGTTATCCGAAGAGTGAGATGCGGGAGGCGGGGACGAGGGCCAAGACGGAGAGTGCGGTGCTGCTCGATGGGTAGGGAGGGAGGGAGGGAGGGATGGCGTTGGGATTTGGGGGATTGGGGGGTTGTTGTTGTTTGGCATGGGCTGCATTCTTTTCAAGTCTCATGTGTATATCTCTGTGTAATCCCTGTATTTACCTGCATACAGCTATCTCTCCAACCAACCGAGCGATATAAGCCGGTTGTGGCTTGTATCACTCCGGCCCCCCTGGTTCCTCACTTCGATGGAGGACTCATGATCCCCCTGCCCCTGCGCCTACCCGCACTCTTACCGTTACCCCTCGCACTCATGACAGTCAGAGTATGAACAAAGCGCAGCTTTCCATTCTCAACACGGAACTCGTGACTATCCGGGATAGTGGCAAAGCTCAAAAACACCGAAACCGCACCAACAGTCTCATCAATGACATAGCGCCGGTCGGTAAGCGCCACACCGCTGGGAATGCCGACGTCACACTTATCATCGGGCCCGCCGTTGCCGGTGTAGGCGCCGCCCTCGAGGCGGGCGCAGGGGTAGCCCCAGGGGACCTCGACGGACTTGTCGCTGAAGATGTCGCAATAGGCGTCGGCGGCGGCCTGGATGACCTCGCGCGAGTCGCGGGCCTCCTCGGGGATGGTGGCCCACTCCTCCTGGCTGGCCCAGTGCAGGGTGCCGGTGGCGTTGAACAGCCAGTCGCCCGTCGTGGTGATGAGCGTGTCGATCTTGGAGACGGCGTTGTCGGTGAAGTACATCTGCACGCCCAGCACGTACGGCTCGGCGCCTGTGGCCGAGATGAGTTCTGTGTAGGTGGCGCACTGCGTCGTGTCGAGGCTGTGCCGGCTGTGGTCGATCGTGATGGCCGTGGTCAGGATGCCGGCTTGGAAATCTGCCTCGGCGAAGTTCTCACGGTAGTCGAGAGCCTCCGAGACGGGCGTGAGCAGGCTGGGGTCGCCCGCCGTTTGTGCCGCCACCAGGCTGTCGGCGCTGGTCTGGAGGAATTCGCGAGTGCACTCGGCCGCCGAGGCCGCCAAAGGGCCGAAAGCCCCAAGGGCCAGGAGGGAAAGGGTGTGCATATTGTCTTGGAGAGGATGTGTGTTGTAACTTGTAAGTGGTCCAGAAGCTAGTCTGTTTGATGGGGATTACAACAGACAAGGTTCGCCATCCATCCCCTAGCACCATGGCGTGGCGAACTTTATATCCCGACACGTTTTGAGGGGGTCGGGCGTGCGAGGCTAATGTGGGCAACGGGTAATTACCCTGGCCAGTACCATTCCATGATATTTGGCAGGTTATATGTGAGGTTTGGTTTCGGCAGTTTGTCTTTGCCAAGTGATTGGTACGCATGACGTTTGTGGAATTCGAATACTTAATATTGAGGAGAATGATGGTACCTTGCGGAGCGGGGATCGGCAGGCGAGTTACACTTTTACACCCGGGGCTTTTTGCTAGTTGGTTGTCTCCGTATATAAGCACACGGGCTTGCCGGTATATCACAAGCGTGCATGGTCACTAGTAATAACACGACTTCTAGTCTGAAATCCTCACTTGGTTCCAGTTGCCGTTGTCAACTTCTGCGGACCTGGTTCTACAATACCTAGGCAACCACTCTATTTACCATCAGGCTTGGCAGGAGCTTCACAGTTGTGTGTTAGCCCTATCTAGTGCCGGCTTAGACATGGAACTTCGGAAGGAAAGGTTGGGCTTGTGAAACAAACAGGAGGAGCGCCCTGCGTGCAGCATACATTACCAACTCCAACAAAGAAACCCCCAACAACCAGTTCTTTCCATATAGTGTAGTGGTTTAGCATTCCAGATTTTCAGTCTCTAACTTGATCATTCTGGCGACCCGGGTTCGAACCCCGGTATGGAAGCTCTTTGCTTTTTGCTGGCGCACGCCGTACTTCCCTGGTGACGGGACTTGTTGTTTCAGCGACGGAATTCCGCACACTGTTAGTAGCCTATTCAAGGAAGGCTTTGCACGTTAGACTGGGTGAAGCTTTATAACACTACCTAAAATGTTAAACGTTGAAGGCCCTAGGTACCGTAGGTTCTCATTGCCACTAGCAACCAACGCGCACATTTTCCTCGCCCAAATGCACCTGGATGGGTTTCACATTATCTGCCCCCTTTTAGGAACTGTGTCTCGATCATTGATGGCGAACTAGCTACCTGGATGATAATCCTAAGACAAACTAGAGAACTGGTTGTGCTCCTAGTCCATTTTCACTCCTTGATATAGACCTTAGTTCAACATCATCAATTCCAAATGCCCCGTCGCCAGCCACTTGGAGGTGCCGTGCCCGCCTGTCGTCGCGAGGAAGGGCAGGCCGCGGGCGTTGGCGTAGAGGATCGTCTGGGCGATGTCGGCTGTGGTGGCGGGCAGGGCGAGCAGGGACGGGGAGGGAGGGCCGCTGTGGCAGTCGTTGTTGTTGCGGAGGCGAAGGTTTGGCAGAGAAGGGGAAGGAAAGAGGAAAAGGTTCGGTGGCTAAGGTAGGTACTTATGTCCCAGTGATCTCCTCAATGGGAGATCTCCATGAGAACCGTGAAACCAATCGGACCCCGGCAGGATACGCCAACGCATCCGGAGCTAATGAAATCTCTGGATTTTCTGGATTTGTGCGCAGGAACAGAGAGCCAAATGCGAGAAATGGTATGTTTCTAAATGGAGATTACACGGAATGAATGTAAGCTTGGGTCATGAATGACTTTGCACTCTACCCTTAGGACTTAAAAGCTTAACAAGAACAAATGCAGTTGATGGACTCTGAGCTGGTCTGAGGTGCGCCTGGTTATTGACTCTATAGGAGCCACTTTTCCATTCACTGTCCGGGGAAGGGAAAACACAATTTCTAACACCATGTATTCTCTAACACGCTATGAAAGACAGATAACGCCCACCAACTGTTAGAACCCCAAAAGGAATATCACCCATCGCTAGTTGCAGGAAGTCCCTCAAAGGAAAATGGCACCGACGCCAGCCCCAGTGACCCCAGCAACAAGCAGTCCAACGTCAAGACTCATGAGTGCGCTGGCACCGGATTTCGAACTGCTGGAGTGTCTGCTGGTGCCAGAACTGCCGCCGCGGGAACCGCCGGCACCGCTGCTGTGGCCACCGCCGGCGCCACCGGCACCGCCGGCACCGCCCCCGCGCCTCTTCTCTAGGTCTTGATCGTGACCATCTCCGGGGATAGTGGTGTTCTGCTCAGGATGCCCGTCGTGGCGCGCAACAACGTCGGCAATGTCCGGGCTGGCATTCGGCAGTTTGGCCGCGGTTGCGACGGCAATGAGGGAGAGGAGGACGGCGGTGTGCTTCATTTTGATCGGTTTTTTTTTTGGGTAAGTCACGGCTTTAGGGTAGGTATGGGGCGCTTGTATGAGACGAATCGATATGCTTTGGTGTTTGCTGTTGCTGGTGTGCTGTGTTCGGAATGTGGTTTGGAGTTGTGAGTGAGTTTATGCAACAGAGGCGGAAAGGCACGGCCGATTTATACTTTTCGTTTTATGACCATCCCGACATTTATCATAAGTTCAAGGCATCCATCTCGCTTCGTGTCCGGACGGCCTACAGATCCGTATTAGACCATGAAGCGAGCATTAGAATAGGTGGAGGCATGTGTTGAAACAACCGGCCAAGGGGCAGGCTATAGCAACCATCCCATCGACGATTGGGTGCACTCTGCGTTCTCTGCGTGTTTTGATGATACCCTCTCGGATTCCCAGGCAGCCCTGGGGGCTGGCCGTTTTGGGTGATCACTGATGCCTGGTGCCGGCCCGGGTCAGGTCGGAGAACACCGTAACACCAGGCCGGTTTAGAGATTATGATTGCCTACCTAGGTGGTAGGTAGGTAATAATCGGCGCTGCAGGTCCCCTTGCCATTGCGAAAATTGTTTTTAAACACCTGGTGCGTTATGATACTGCGTATTCCCTATCGCAGGCTTGTATGTACGACCCTCGCCTCCGTTGTGGAGCTCGCTAAAACGCCGGGCGGAGAGGGTCCGGTGTGGGGCCGGATGTTTCAATGAGACCCGTTCCTCGGCCCTACACTGAAGCAACGGTGGTCTTCACCACAGGCACATAGTATGGTGCTAAATACCGAGCGTCCCGTTCGTTTCCTATCTTTACAGACATTGATTTGATACATCAATGACGCTAAATACACCAAGCCAACAGCCGAATCAAATGCCTTAGCTGCCATAATCGATAGGTACATCGGTAAGGTACCTAGGTAGGTAATGTTAATAGAACCCTCACCTCTGCTCGGCTAAGTCATCCGCACTTAGCTAGCTACGGGCGGTGCAAATGATTGGCTCAAGAAACCCAAGAATGTCGTCCAGCATCTGTTGAGAATGAGTCAAGTAAAGTCCTAGCTCCGAGGTTAGTCGACGTTCATTGCACGGGTCCATCTGGGTATACCTAGACGGACCCGTGGCTCGGGTGGGTTGGTGCGAGTCGAAATACCCACAGGTAATTCCCGGGCCTGAGCGGGGGTGTCGAATGTAGCTAGTTTTACCTTGAGTACCATGCTATCCTGCCCCAGGTAGTTGACCGGGCCACCCATACAATAACTGCTCGGGATGCAATGGAAACACGCGCTTAGCAGCAAGGTAAGCTTATCCCATCCATCAAGGGGGGGTTTACCAAGGGGAAAACGTACCGTCCGCCATTGTAGGGCACATACAACCTTGAACTTTTCAATGCCTAGAATGGGGCAGTACCTAGAAGCTAGCCATCGTCGATGGCTTTCTTGCACGATACGGCTGCTGTACTGTTTCCGGATCCAGACCCATTGAATGAGCCAGATCGGACCCTTGATCTTGGCCTCGCTCGCCGCCACACCATGTACCGTCCGGCACAGGGCTCCGCCCACATTCTCATTTTGAAGTTCTCGAAAGGCCCTCCTCGCGCTGATGACCAGGGTATAACTCCCCAAAGCTGATCACTTCTACCCGGTGGTCAGGTGATCTACGATATTCTCCACCTCTCCTACAGGGAGGTGGCGACCGAAGACTCCTCACGCGTACCACCCAGTTTCCTCCTCCCGATTCTTTCCGTTTCCACTTCCAGTCCGGAGGCGGATACGGCTATGTAGATGTGGCCGCGCCCGCCCACATCGTTGCCGCAGACGGCGAACCGGTCAACGACTCAAACAGCCCTAACAGAGCACTGCTCTTGTTTATGCGGCCCCTAGAGCCCAAGACTCAACCCTATTCCGTCGAGGACTCGTGGAAGCAACAGTCGTCTGTGGTTAGCGCCATCGGAGGCGTAGACGTGGACGACGACATACCCATCTATGATGATGACCCGCCAGAAGAGGTAAAACTCCTTGGAAAGGGCGGGGGTGGGGGCGGGGACCTGGACAACTCGCGCGAGCTCTCCATGGTAGTGGAACTAAGGAAGACAGGAGAGTTGAAGGACGCAATTGATGTGCTTTCTGAGGAGAGAGAAATACGACGGTAAGATGCCGCTCGTTTCTGCATTTTCTTCCTTTGCATAAGACTATGCTAAGAGAGACAGGTGGGGCCCACGCTGACACCGATCAGACGCCCCCAATGTCGTCCCCAAAACTGCCAAATTCGGACCCCCTTGACCATAGACAAACATGAGTAGGGCCGGATCAGTAGTTGGGTCGGTGACCACCAGCGAATCCCCGGTGTTGTATGTTTTTGACTCTTTGCTCCTCCTCCCCGGTTCATCCTAGCCAAATCTACCACATTAACTACCGCCATGTCCATGCCCATGCCCATGCCCATGTGCGACCGACCCTACCGCAACTAGTAACTTAGTTGGCCCCACGACCAGACGCTCATCTCCGGTTCCACGGCGGAGAGCGAGACAGACTCGTACCGGTCCCCGAGGACGAACTTCTCGGCGCGCCTCTTGATCTCTTCGTCTTTGGAATCCAGCCACTCTGAGAGCCTTTCTTCACCAGCCGTGACCCTCGCCCAACGCGACCATTTCAACGGCCACGGCAGTACAGCATAGAACGCCGCCAGGCCGCCACCAGGCGCAGTACCCAAGAGCTGCAGGGGACGTAGGATACGGTTATACGTAGCCAAGACCTCCTTTCCCTGCTCTCGCGTCATTTCATAGGTACTTCTCGGACCTCGGTCGGGGTCGCGGTTGCCCACCACGATTAGACGCAGGGTCAGAACGGGTAGGTTAAGCTTGTCCTTGAGCCACTCGACGGTTTCATCCCAATACCGGAGCGCGGGGTGCTCGTCCCTTGGCCGGGCCGGGTAGGTAAATTGGGAAAATGTGAGCTCGAGAAAGCGGAGGTACCCAAGACAGTGTTGAGGGATAACGTGCCTCAGGAATTGGGTGGCGGCAAAAGACTCGAATGGGTAGTCGCCCGGTGCCCACCGTTCCCAAGGGTGTCTGGACGGGCTGTCGACGACGATGAAGCGGTTTTGGCTATAGAAGACCAGTTCGGCTTCTGTATAAACAGTCCGGCAGACGAGGAACAAGGGGGTTGGGGGCGCCCAGCAGTTACATCTGGATGAAAAAGCACTATGGACAGAGCGGCAGAAACAGCCGATAGATGGTTGGGGCCACGGTGTCTGCCAGCACTGGCTGAACTGGCACGCACCGCCGCACTCTGGCAAACAAAACCCAGGCCTGTCGGCATCATAGCAAGGGGCTCTGTCTGCGTAATAGCCGCTGCCGGGGACGTTTCGGTGCCACATGACCTCTTTGCTAGGAGTGACAAGGTCGGTGTACTCGAGAATCCGGAGCCGTACCTCAGGCGGTAGGTGGAGAAGAGAATGAGGATTCGAAGGTTCGGGGCTGCCTGGCGACGTCGGAGGTTCGGAGGATATAATACCGCGAGCCCGTGAAACAGCCCCCTGAGTGATATGTTGGAGTTGGGTATCTCGGGTTTCGCATAGTCGGATGTGGCAATCTTTCAGTCGCGGGAGCATATGAAGGCCATCTAACACACGTCTCCCTATCTCGACCTCCCCGTGTCGAACGTCGCAGACCAAGGATAGTTCAAGTTTTCCAGGTATGATATGCGGTGATAAATAGGAAGCGGTCGTCTGCCACTCTGCGAGCACTTCCTCGGTCAGAGGGCTGGATCCGACGAGCGAAGCGTCATGACCATACGCGCCGTTTGGAAAGCAGTCGTGAAAAAGTTTAGGGCCGGCCTCGTTCGACTTGCATTGTTCCGAGTCGGACACCCACACGCGTCCACAGCAGGCGCCCAACCCCCATTCTACCGGCTTTGGTGCATGGCAAGAGGATTGGTTGAGTACGATTTTGAGATTGGTCAGAGATGCCAACGCGTGAGGGCTGAGGGCGCGGAGGGAACTGAGAGTCCGCAGAGGTTGGTAGCGGATGATGAACCAGTTTTCCGAGTACAAGAGCGCGGATGCTTCGAGATATATGGTCCGACAGGACAGCAGTAGACCATGGAAGGCTGCAGGTCCAGGTTCGTGCTCAGTCCTCGGTTCCACCACGTCGGATATTAATGGGCCACCCAACTCGTAAACTTCGGGGTAGGTCCATTCATGACATGGCGTTTGGCCGAGACCGACGTCAAGGTAGATGCGATGTCGGATTCCGGGATTGAGGCGCAAAATGCCAGGAAGATGATGGCCATCTGCTGTCATCATCATTCATCGGTGTTGGTGGGCTGCGGTCCTGTCGGCATATGGTTAGGTTAAAATAATTAAACGGAAAATACAAGAGAGGGATCACAAACCGGGAAATGTGGGTGGCTTCCACCTCATGTGGCATGGCGGGGGGGGGGGGGGGGGGGGGGGGGGGGGGAACAGGCAACAGCCCCGACAGACCGTAGGTGCCGATAACGCGCCTTCCGAAGGCGATTTGATGGGTTTGATCATGAAATTTGCAAATTTTGGTTGGTTTTGCAAATTACAAAATAAGTCGCAAATCCACCATCAGCGCTCCCCTTCTTTCTTGGTGGCTCAAATTGATACCAGCCAAGAACCCTCTTCGGCCGGTCAGCGGTTTGATACGATCCCGTCTGGTGGCTGAAACGGAATCCAGAGGAGAGGATTGACGATCCGAATTGCCGCCAGGTCTGATTTTACGTTCGAACAAAGTGTGCATCGTCACAACAGGAAGTCGGATAGGAATGTGAATGACCCTGACCAGGGCTGGTCGCCAGACTCACATTGATTATGGGAACACAAGACACAATGGCCAACCTGGCCTCGGCTCATTCGTCTGGTCCAATCTGAGCATCGCGTCTGAATCCCAATAATCCCACTCATAATCCCATTACACCGCGGCAACACACGCCACCAACACACGGCGCAGACTCGAGTAACACCAAAGCGGTCACTTTCGATGCCAGAGGAAGGGGATCTCGATCCAGATTAAAGAGGTGAACGGTTTCAGCCAGTGAACCCAACCCACTTTTTGGGGGCGATGACCCTTCGTGGGCAGGTCAACAATGGTCGGCTAAGAGTTTCACGGTGGTCGACCGCCAGAGACTAGGAGTTTCACCGTGATGGACATGAATTCTTCGCCAGGCCACCCTCGACTTCGGGTTGGGTGATAGTTGCTCAGCCTGACCGAGTCCATGGCCATGTGAACGAGGTTCAAGCGATGTCAACGCGAGTATAAATCAAGAGCCACCGTTGCCGTCGAATTCAAAATCAACAACAAGCACCCAAGCCACCATCCCCCCCACTCCTCTTCGAGTTCTTGCAGGACAAAGACTCGGCCGGTTCCCTCCCGTTTTCACTACAATTTCGCACTGCTTGCTTCCGCCTTACCTAAACCGCAGACGGACGAACGCGCCAGCCGCCCGTCATCTCTGCGCCCCAATCTCCCCCCCCTTCCCAAGTTCTCGCTGGTCGAGAGGCTGAACTGCCCGGTCCGCTCGTCCTCCCAGAACTTCCCATCCGCTGCCCTTGCCAAGCACCGCCTCGACGGAATACTAGTAGTGCCTCGACAACTTCCATCCTTCCTTCCCTCGGCCACCCTCGCTCTCCCTGATCGGTTTCCAGAACGATGGGTCCCATGAGAAAGACAGGCCAGGGCTCCAGTGCCAGATGGAGCAAGGTTATCCAATCCGAGGATGACTACCGGGATATCATGTGGACGGACCTCCTCAATATTGCCCGGAAGAACTGGGAGCAGGTCATACTCGACCCTTCGTGTAGGACACAGGTTGAAGGGGACAGAAGACAGCGCCCAAATACCGGAGCCTGCATGGTTGCCGTCCTCTTTGTCCCGTCCAACAGCGGCGGCTATTTCTTTCTGTCAACCGTCCCGAAGCACTACCAGTCCGAGATGCGAAGAAGAACGGGTATCGGAATGCTCCTGCGTGGTGGGCGGCCGTCGAGAAAAACTCAAACGTCTATTGCCATGCCGAGGACGCCGTCGAGCATGACTTCGAAACTGCCTTGAGGGCGGGCGACCTCTCCTTGCCTTACGTCCGGGTCGCAGAGAGCCGCAGCGGCAGAAAGTTCTACGACGTGCAGGACCGCGACAACCCGCACTCCAACCTCAAGATTGCCGTGTGGGGCTGCTACGGCGACGAGTCGTTTGAAGAGCAACAAAAAGGCCACCCCATCGAACTTTGCACCCAGAGCAGAAAGAGGCCGGGGTGTCAGGACGTCGCAAAGACTCTCAACATAGAGTACTGCACCAGAGAAAAGCTGCAGGAGGAGAGGGGGGTGATAGCGGCATCGAACCAGAGCTACGGGGGTGCCGGTCGCGGACACAGTGACTCCGGCCCTTCCTCCTCTGGCCGCCGTTCCGGCCCTTCTGGTCCTCCGTCCAATCTCCCTTCGAGCAGTATGCGTCCCTCCGGGCGGGGTGGTCGCGGGGCAGACATGTCACAGCTGAGCGGGAAGATGTCGTCGCTCGATGTTTCCCCCCCGAGAAGGGAATCGGCAAGAAAGGAACGCGCTGGGAAAGAAGAGTACTGGACCTGGGACCCAAAGAGGAGGGAATACTACCACATGCACAGAGATGGGACGGTGTCGGTGAGTAGGTCGGGCAGATAAGGACCGGTTGCGGGTATGGAAGTACAACAGTCGTGTTTGGAAACACAGGAAACATGCTATGCCAGTGCGGGCTGGATTCCGCGCATGATGGCGTTACTGTTTCTTCGGTGTGTTTGATCTCGGCTCTGCTCCCTCAGTCATCATGTGGGTGACAGATTTGAGCCAGGCTCAGGTAGCCAACCTCAACTTCACCACCCATAATTAGGTACTCAATTTCAGTTACCGTCTATCATAATGTTCTCACTTACATTCGCTAGAGCCAGGTGTTACCATGCGGCGTCGGTTACCAGGTAGGGTTTGTTCACAGAACTCCATTACAAACTTACACACAAGGGTCCAAGTCGCACCACGCTCGGGGCCTGACTTACTCCCTTACAAACTAAGAACGGCCAAACCCCTGCACATACTCGTTCGTAATATCCGGTGGCGGCCACTTGGTGTGAGAGCCGATATCGGGTATTCATGCCTAGTGCTCGAGTCTGTGGGGTCCCCGGGTCTTTGGTCCCAACGACGGGAAGCGTTCCACGACAGGAGCCAGCGCAGTCCTAGGATCCTTCGTCCGCAGTCAGCTGCCGCAGATTGCCGCATCACATTCAAGCTCGGGGATGGCAGCATGCGGGTGAGGCACGGTCCGTTGGGCATCGAGAGCGGCATGTCCCAACTTTGGCAGCGTTACACAGCCAAGAAGGAAGTACTTCCTTCAATATTGTGTGTTTCCCTCCCCCCTGCTAACGGAGCCCATCCAGCGAGGCATTTCCTGACCGGGCTTCCTTACTAGGAACTCCGAACCCGCCTGCAGCTCGACTAGGGACACCGCCTTGTGCTTCCAAACGTACTGCGTGCCGAAGCGGGAGAGCCCAAGTCGTGTACATCGGGGTGCGTAAACAGCTGCTGTGGCGTTCTAGCGGCTAGGCAAAGTAAGGGCTGGCTTGGAAACGGGCAGACATCTGATTCTAATTCTAACACATGATCCTTCTACGGATGGTGACACATCCCGCGCCTAAGAATTTAAAGAGTTGGCACCCTGTCATATGTGTAACCTAACCATTCAACCCAGTCCGTCTTCGGCCGCTTTCTAAAGCCGAGATTCCATAATTGGAAACCCTGGATTTGGAGATAAAGCAGCACGTCAGTTCAATGTGGGAAAGGGTGTGTCATCCTGGCCGCCGCCTCCCACTTGACTCTCGGGAGGGAGAAACGAATTAATATTCGGCTAGGGCGGCTGTATGCCATTGGTTTGACTGTTTTCTTCCACTCATAGCTGCCCATATCTCCAGCAAGCCAACCCGTGACTTGCTCGTCGCTGATCGCTCCCTCTGTGTTACCGTAAAGACAACGACGCCTCCCATCCCTTGGGACTCGCCTATACATCTGTCTGCCAAAACAGGGCTTCTCGCGTTACACATAAACCTGCACATCCTATTATGCGACACGAATCAGTCCCGAGGCCCTCAGAGATGGCGCTGCTTTGGAGGACGAGCGAGGGAAACGATATTTCTTTGTCCGCTGATTCGCTCTCGGATGCCAGTAAGACAGTCCCAACATTGATTCCGGAAAGGGGCCATCGTCATCGGGTTCCGTGGCACAAAGTTCCAAGAGAAAGGTATGCCACATTATTCGTCAACCGTTCTCAACCACTGACAATGGATAATATCGGTACATGTGATACCGCTAGGAACTCGACCTCCCGGGCATGGTATGATATGCGATATCGGTTGACTGCCGGCCCTATGATGCCATGCATTCACCGGCATGACCCTCAAGTCACCATCCCGCGTGGAGAAGGCCACACCGGTCAACAAGTGTACCCGCGATACCGAGCCGGCGTTTAAAAAAAATGCGGACTACGGCGGCTTCCGCATGCACGTTCTTGGTGAGGACCGTGAACCAAGGCACAGCTGCGAAACCGCAGATGGGGTTGCGAGCTCATTCGGAAACCGGCAACTGGAGCCGACCATCACGGCCTATATCCCGTCATCTCTTAACACTTATCCGGCTAATCACATGCCATCGTGCTCTCAAGGAATTCACACGCCCCCCCCCCCCCCCCCCAACCCTGCTTGTCATCCAAGTTTCAACCTCCGATCCTTCAGCGCCCGTCCCCTTTATGCCCAACGCGCGGAGGCGCGGACGGAGAAAGATGGATTGGGCACACATGGCACCCTCGGCGGCTCTTATGCCGAGCTTGCCATGGACCGCAAGGTCGTGAGACGTTATATCTGCAGTTGATCTCTGTCATTTGTGACAGATCTGTAGGCCACAGGAGCCCAACGCCACGACACAGCACAGCATCAGACATCCCATCTGGCAACTTCCGACAGGCACTGCCGTCACACCATATCCCTTCCCGCCATTCGCCCACCCCGCAACGCACCATGTTCGCCTCACTGCTAGGCGTCCCCAGCCACAGCGGCAGCAGCAGCAGGACACACAAGCACGGCAGCCGGCGCAGCACCAGCAGCACCAGCACCAACGCCAGCCACCACAGCAAGCCGACCAAGCCATCCCGCAGCAGCGTCCAGCGGCCGGTTGCGCCGGGGCCGGTGTCGGCGTCGTTCTTGTTCGTGGTCAACGAGCTGCAGGTGGACTACGAGCCGGCGTCGCCGCAGGACCAGCCGCTGACCGACCAGTGGCTCAACACGATGCCGCCGCAGCACGCGGGTGCCTATGTCGGCGAGCTGGTCGGCACCGTGTTTCGCTACCGGGACGGCGTCGTGGCGCCCGCGCATGGGTATCTCTGGTGGGTGGAAATTCTCGCCCTTCTCCTTCCCCCCTTTCTCCCCCGAAAAAAAAAGGCACAAACGAAGCAGCACCATCCCCTATTTTCCCCTCCGCGCAACCCTCCCAACACCCCCCAGACCACCACCACCACTTTCACTCCCCCCTCCCCCTCCCACCCCAAAACAAAACCCACAACCAACACCCCACCCCCCGCCCTATCCCCCCAAACCCCCTCGAGCTGATGCTGATTGCCACCCCAGGCACCGACCAACCCTAAACACCGAAGGCCGCATCGTGCGCATCAACCCCGCCGGCGTGATCGACGGCTGGCCAGCCGTCTACCGCGCCCAAACCGTCTTTGCCTGCTCCCCCCTGCTCGCCATGATCGTGACCGACGGCGATGCCTCGCTGGGGCACACCTTCCCGCGGCGGATGTGCAGCTGCGCGGGTAAGTATATTAGCAGTGCGGGAGGCGGTGGTGGTGGCAGTGGGGGAGGAGGAGGTGGTGGTAGTGGTTTGTATGAGGACGAGGACGACGAGCGGTGCTCGACGTGGTCGCACCTGCATTTTGTCGGTGGGGACGAGCGGCGCGGGGTGTCGTATGTCAACTCGTACGCGAGCGGGGATCCGTTTGTGGCGGGCGAGGCGCCGTCGTGGGTGCCGGCGCTGGTGCCCGGGGTGTACAGGAATACGCGGCCCGGGGTGGGGCCCTCGCGGGGGCTGTCCGGGGAGCTGCCGATTGTGTTGGCGTTGATGGGGTTTCATGGCCGGCCAGGCCGGGCGAGTGATGTGTTTCAGAGTAGGAAGTGGGAGATGGGGCAGTGGCTCGGTTCGAGTAGGGCGTCAGGCTACCGTGGGTATTTACTCTCACTTTGTTGCGTGCAGCTAATGCCGAGGGCGCCCGGCTGACGAACGTAGTGCCGAAGTCGGGAGAGAGCCCTCGCGGTCTCTTCGTCCAGGTCTGCGCGGACAACTTGGTCGATGGTCTGGAAGACTGCGAGGAGAACAACGTCCCGGTGGAGATCTGGGAGCAGATCTTGCAGGATCTCGAGTACAGAACCGTGTTGGTCCAGGGCTGACTCGGGTTGTGCGATGTCGACTTCAAGCTTCTTTCCATTGTTCCATCCATTGCTGTTCGAAACCTCTGCTCCAAAGCAACTCATCTCTTGTTCTGTTAGCTGGGCCATACGTTGTTGTTTTAGTGCGGGTTTCATCGTTCGACATGCCTCCAACGGCATGATCATCTTTACCTTGCGTGTTCATGACTTACAAACCGGCGCTTGGTGGCTTTTGTTGTATCTCCCTTGTCGATTTTGGCTGTTTCGTGAGACTCTGCAGAGGGGCGGATGGGATGTCACAAATCCATGCAAAACAAACGTTGGAAATGAACGTTCAAGCATTTGCGCCTGATTGTCTGGTCTAATTTAGTCATGTCCCGGCCTCGCTCATTACACCATACGCCACAACAGACCTTTTGCTGTTTCACAACAATCGGTGTCATCTTGCGGCCGCCCGCCGCCGACAAGACTGAGGGGTTGATGTGACCGTAGGGCAGCCGCAACCTCTCCCTTATATCCACCCCCAACCGGCATTCACAATCCCTGCCGCCAACACCTACAACACCCCGGGGCCTTCTGCTCATACGGCATCTGGTAACCTGACGGCAATGTCCCCAGATTGTGTGATGTAGCGCACCCATGGCAGGGAGGGGTATTGGAGCTGTGGTGGGCCTCGTGTTAGCGGCGAGTGCCATTGAGAGGTAAGGGACCTGGCTATAACATACCTTTGGCTCTGTGATCTTGAGATACCGCACCTGGATCCCACTCGTGGTGAAGTAGGGGATCTCAAACTTGACCTGGATGGGCCTCTTCGCACCCTTGCCGGGCGCCCCGATACCGCCCATGCTGCCTCCAAATCCACCAGTCATGCCACCGCCGTGTTCATCATCACCCCGAACGCTGGGCAGGCCTAGCTCAGCGCGCATGAGGAATTCCTTGCCACCCCCAAACTGTTTGATCTTCCACACGATGGCGCTCTGCTCGGGTGCGTAGTGCACCGAGCCGACGTTGGTGCGGAAGCGCGGGGTATCGGCGTCGTCGGGGACGGGGACGACGATCTCGACGTTGTTGGCTGTGCTGCGGCGCTTGAACTGGGCGCGGGCCTTGAGCATGTACTCGATGCGCGACCCGCTGTGGGACTCGACGACACACTCGACCCAGATGAGGGGCTTGACCTGGGTGTTTAGGCGGTACGACATGAGCTCGAACTCGCCGTCGGGCGGGATGAAGCTGATGGTGCGGTCGTTCTCGAAGCGCGACAGGCGCACGCACTGGTGGAACTTTACGTCCTCCATCTCGATGGCCTTGCCGCGCGTGGTTCGCCCCGTCGTCTCGAACATTACCTTGTCGTTGAGCCCTAGGCGCAGCTCAGGCATACCCGACAAGTAACACTTCATTTTGATGGCACCGAGAATCTCGGACCGCAGCACGTTGCCATTGGCCGAGACGAGTAGGTTGAGCGACTCAACCACGTCGAGGAAGACTTCGTTCTTGCGGTAACGGATGCCCTCGGAACGCCATGACACGGCGTTGGTCACGGCGATGGGTGGACGGGCGATCTCGAGCTTGTGGGATTCCTGGGTGATGTATTCCTGTAGGATCTTGGATTCAGTCGTCTGGGGGTAGCCAAAGTCCATCATTTCGTCGAGGAGCTCGTAGATGATGACAAAGTTGTCGCGGATGGATTCCTCCTCAAGTGCCTTGAAGTACTCAGTGAAGACCTCGACAATCTTGTGGAGGAAGAGCAGGATCTCGGCGGCGTTCGTGTTTCGTTTTGTGAGGGCGAGCAGGTACAGATTGTTGTGGCGGATATACAGGTACTGTAGGAGTGCCGAGTTAGCTATGACACCACCATCTCAGTTAAGCCAACCCGGGCCGAGGAGTGGTTACATTGATGCCTTCGTGGGAGAAGCAGGGAGGCACTGCCGAGGACTCTTCTTCGGCTTCGCTAAGGAGGACGGGAAACATCTCGACAGCCGACATGGGGATGTCTCCCCTGTAGTTGCGGGCGAGGAGGGTCTTGCCCTTGAGGTCGAGGAAGAAGACGGCCGACGCCATGGTGGGCGGTTGAAGGGGGCAGCAGCCGGGGGTATCTACGGCGAGGAATCGCGGGTGCCGTCGCACTGAAGTCGCAATGAGGCGTGTTTCGAGGGTTTACTTAGGTAGAAGAGCTAAGGTATCTGCCACTTGGCTGAGGAGGGGTGCTCAGCCTGTGCCCACGCCAATCGGGATTCGGTCGCAGTCGGGAGAGGGAGGTAACGGGAAGCTCCGTGCAGGCTTGCCGTTTCGAAGGATCGAGTCGAAACCCTATGGCGATAAGCAGTCGTCGTCGAGGAACAGATGCAGATACAGTGCCCTCCCTGTCGCTTCCTGGCTTCAGCAACTTACCACAGTGCATGTTCAAGCCCGCTCCAAGTCCATGCAGGGGCTCGTGCACGGGCCTAACCCCACATTGTGGTTCAGCTCCAGAGAATGGAAGGTCCAGCCAGGAACCTTGGTTGTGGGCTCCAAATCGGCGGCAGGCCAAACTTGGCTCCGAAAGTGGAGCACCGGGCACCGAGCCAGCGAGATTTTCTTAGCTCAAAATAAGAATTTTGGCCGTTGGGCTTTTTCTTCCCTTTCCTCTCTCCAACGCGCCCAATAGACAGTGCAGTCCATCGTACGCACAACCGGTGTCCGGCATTCTGCTGGCGCCAACTCGTGTCGTTGTTGATGAAGTCTGCGATTTCGAGGCGCGGAGAGGAATTTCATTGCGGCGCCATAAGAGCCGCCCGAGTATTGTTGTCCTGAAGAGGCGCATATCTTGTTGCTTGGGCAGCGTCAGAGGCGCCGAACATTTTACCAGTCGTGAGACGCGTTTGCCGTGCACATGCATTTGACTTCCATTGCTTCGCCACGTCGGATCTGCGGGTTTGCTGCTTCGCGGCTTCTTACTCGAGTCCCCCATTCCCTCGGATCCCCGAATTGAGGCGGCGGCAGTTTTGGCATGTCTCAACCCATCCACCCCTCCCTTTGAACCCGTCCGAATGCCCCCCAAGATCCCAACGACCAAACCATGATGCAGATTATTTCTTCTCCGTCCCTTGCGGACGGCATGGAGAGCGGAGACGCCGAAATGGACCGGAGCGTCGTGAGAACCACGTGCGTGCTCCTTTAGCCGTGTAAACTTTTACCCGCGAGCGACTGTGCTAAGGCCCGTTATTTGAGACACCCAACACGCCAGTGAACAGAAAACGGAATAGGGAATACGGGTCGAACCCCCGGCATCCATCATCGCATGTGAAGGTGGGCCATGAATGACAAAGCGCTTCGAAAGCCGACTGGCCGAGCCACAGCGGAGAATCTCAGGTTTGATGCTGACATGTGCTTCTCCGACTTTGAACACGGGCAGGAACTGCCGGGCCAGAACCGTGATCAATTGGCGAAAAAAAGACAAACATTTGGAATCACTCGCATGATATGGGGCAGCATGCGTGTGATTTTAGATACATATTTCTAGGTTTCCTGGCACTGCGCCGTCAGCCTGCGAGATAGAGCCATGTGTAAACCGTAAGAAATGTCTTCATGAAGGTCCATCCTGGCCATGGGCCTTTGGGCCCCGCATCCATTTGTGGCAGCGGGGACCCTGAATCCAAGGCTCCAGAAGTCACTGCTCACCCCGAACACCTTGGACTTCAACAACTTGTTTCATAATCTGCCGACGGCAACTAACTACCGAGTTATGGCGGTCCTCCTCACAAATGTATTGGAAAGAAGCAATTCCTTGTGCATCCAACTCGCCCAAGGGCAGCCAGTGAGGTTGTTAAATGGGTTGCCTCGGCGCTGTGGGGTGCTTTTGCGAGAGCGGGCAGGGCGGGGGTTCCAGGTCCAAGCTGTCGAGGTGCGCCTGACCTCACTGTAACATCCCGAGCCAGTGCAGTGGCTCCCCGCCGCGTTGCGCCCCGTCATTGCCATCCAACCATGTGGAAGACCCCCAACCCCGAGACAGCGGGGGCATTTTTGGATGGATTTTCCTGTCTGTTGGCATCTGATCTCATCCCGTCTCGCTGGACGCTTTCCGTCATCCCTCAGCTGACGTTGTCCCACCTGAAAAGACCCAAGAACCCTCGTTTGACAATCATGCCAGCCTCCCCAACACAATAAACGACGTCTGCACATCCGATGCAGTCTTATTCTTAAATATAGCATATTGCGACTTCAAGCCCCGGCACTACTCTGCAGCACAGCATCTGATATCCGTCATCGCCCCTCCTCTGTCTCCTTCTCGGGGCGTTTGATCCGCCGGACGACACCGAACCGAACCTCCCACAGCCGCCGACCAACAACGATTCGCTTTCCAATTTTCAGGACGAGCCCGGCCGCTGCTCGACGATTGGATCACGGGCGACTTCTCGTCGGTCTTAGTCGACGACCGAGGGATTGAATCGGCAACCGAATCGAGCGAACGAGCGATCGAACAAACGCACAACACTGAACTGAGCCCACGGGCGGACGAGACGGTCGGAGAGGATAGTGAATGAAGACGCGATTGGCCGAACTTGCAACACCAATGTCAACTTGGCCCTAATCACCGGCACCGCTGGTTTCTCCCATTCGTGGTCAATAGTAGAAAGATGGAGGAGCAGGGTCGCAATCACATGCTGGCCGCCGAACGCCCGCCGCTGACACAACAATCTGCACCACCGAGAGCGGACACCGGGCCGCACGGGGCCGCAATGCAGCAACCCACCGGCCCAACGGGGTTGCCCGCAGATGCATCAATATCAAACCCATTGTTGCTCTCCCCCGGCCATGACGACGAGCCCAGCACGCGGGGCGACTACTCGGCCCAGCGAAGTGCGCCGGCGTCGCTGCAACTCCCCCCTCTCGCCCTCTCCTTCCCGGCCGACTCAACCACCGAACTCCCTCCTATCCAGCCGTCGCGAGAGCTATCCGCAGGTCCTTCGGCCCACACCCTGCCGCCGCTCTCCTCCGTGACGGGCGCCCACGGCCATGCGCCGCTCCCAAAGCCACCAGACCCAGCACATTCCCCCCCTCAGCAGCCCGGTCCGACGAACCACTGGCCCAGCCTCAACCCTTTTACGACATATTACAAACCGAGCTACCTCGACCCGGTAGAGTCACCGCCGAGTATGTCGTCGGATATGGGCGCTAGCCGTAGCGTGAGCCTGGATGACCCCGACGTCAGGATTGCCGCCGAGGCACTGGGCCAAATGAGAACGGGTGGGTGACTTGACATGACTTTGTTTTGCATGCTTCAATACTGATCCTTTAACTCCCGAACAGAGTGTGCCTCGCCCCGCAAAACATCTAGAGACTACAAGACCGCGAGTCCCTCACCACACAGGAACGGTGACAGGGGTGCTGAACCACTGCTATCGCTCATCACAACGTCCTACCCGCTGCTGGGTACGACCATCGAGGGCGCCGCTTCTGCTTACAACAGTGGCAAGAATTACTCGCCCCACCTCAAGTCCGGTGCCGAGTATGTCGAAAATCTGGTCAAGCCGGCGGTGGAAACGATGGGTCGGAAAACAGGCGTGGAGGGGGGTATGAGGTGGCTCTTTTCGATGCGGGGCCGGAAACAGCGTTCGTCCACGGACATTGAGACGGACGGGCGCGGGAACAGCAAGCGCCGCCGGTCCGACAGGCACGACAAGGGAAAGGAAGCCGCGCGCTCGATACCGAACGATTTCGGCTTCGATGGCGAGGACCGGCGCATGTCAGTCAGCACCGTCGACACGCTGCCGGCCTATGACGACCAGAAATCGCCCGCGTACACCGAAGCTGCCGACGACCAAACGCCGTCACCCCCGGGTTCTTCCCAACAATGGGGCCAGCGGTTCGTCGTCACCACCTCCGGGCTGGGGGTCGCCATGAAACAGGAGAGCATGAAGAGCCTAAAGTACTGCCTCGGCGTGGTGAAGGACACAAACGGGTACCTCAGCGACATCCTCGTCAAGCTCAAGAGCGTCATTGCCGAGTACGACCTCGTATCCCAAGCCAACAGCGGCGAACACAACACAGCAGACGGCGCCCGTCCAACCCCGGCCACAGCAGAAGACCGCAGCCGGCTGATCCAGCGCATGAACGAACTGCGCGACGACCTCTTCCGCGTCATCCACCGCTCGGTACAAACCGTATCCAAATACACGGGCGGCGCGCTCCCCGAGAACGCGCGGAACCTCGTGCACAGCCAGCTGATGAGCCTGCCGGGCCGGTACCAGTTCCACTACATGCGGGAGTCGGCGGAGGGGCGGCGCGGCGACGACGCCGGGCCCGGCGCCCGCACCCGCGCCAGCGCCCACCTCGCCCTGCTCTTCGCCAAGGAGGCGCTCCAGATGATGACCCAGGTGGGGGAGGTCCTCAACAGGACGCTCGTCAGTGCAGAGCAGTGGTGTGAGACGCTGTACAAGGAGAAGAATGACCAGGCGGTGGTGGTGGTGCCGAATGGTGCCGATCGGTCTACGGGGGGTGTGCAGGCTGCTGGTGGTGGTGCGCAACAGGATGTTGACATGTCCGGTTAGGACTGAGGAGGGTTGTGAGGGTGTTTTTGTTTTGGGGGGATGGGTTTGGAGTGATTGAGATGGTTACCTACGGTAGATGGGCGGCCCGGTTGGGGGAAGGAAGGGGAGGGAAAATACCTGATGGGTACCACTTCGGAATACCTTTTCCAATTATACATGCTGGAACGTCTCTTTTCTGTTTTACCATTACGGGAGACATGACCGTTCGACAACAGTCTCACCTACATTCTTTTGTTTCCGTTTGTTTGTCCTGTATCGTTACTAGTACCCCAGATACCAAATGGCATGCCTGATTTTACTTTAGACACCGGTTGCCGGCAGGTTGTGTGTCCCGGGTTTCTTTAACTGGGAGTCCACAAACCACACCACGTCGTTTTCATACACTGATGCTCCTGGGCGTCCATCACCCTGATGGCGGTTTTACTCCATGCAGAGGATTCATTAATACCTCGACACCCACCAGGGCCATGATACACCAGCCCAAAAGCGCGGGAGTCAGGGGCATGCAGATAACACCCCCACGGGTTAGGGTTTCATTGAGCGATCCATTCAAATCAAGTAATGAACCGTCCTTCACTTCCAAGGTTCTTCATCTCCGGCGTCGGTCACCAGAACGGCCTGCCACATGCTATCTCGCCAGACACCCCGTTCAATAAAACCATGGCACGGCGAAATCTACTCGTATGTTTCGACGCCTTTGGGACTCTCTTCCACCCAAAGTTCCCCGTTGCCGAACAATATGCGACTGTCGCACGCCAATGCGGGCTTGATGGGTTTAGTACCGAAGACGTCCAGGCTTCTTTCAAGAAGGCATTCTCGGCGGAATCGAAAGCACATCCGAATTATGGAAAGGCCAGCGGCATGGGTGCTCCGAGATGGTGGACGAATGTAGGATTATGATTAAACTTCATCCCTCGCTCCTCAATGTCCAACACGTAACAGACAGCTGAACTGACACACCACCAGGTAATCACTAAAACCTTCCAACCCCTCGCCGGCAACGGCGTAGACCTACCCAAGGACCTAGCCCCCAAGCTCCTCCACCGCTTCGCCTCGGGTGAGGGATACGCCCTCTCTCCCGGCGTGGCCTCCCTCCTCCGCTCCCTCAAACAATCAGTCCCAGCACCATCCCACCCCCAGATCCCACCCATAGTGGGCGTCATCACCAACTCGGACGACCGCGTCCCATCCATCCTCACCTCCCTCGGCCTACGCGTTCACCCTCTGCGTTTCGGCAGCAACACCAGCCCCGATACTGATACCAACCCGAACACTCCCCAGCAAGAGCAACATGCTTCCGCCTACGACATCGATCTCCACTGCATGTCCTACGACGTCGGCTTCGCCAAGCCCGACCGCCGCATCTTTGACGCGGCTGAGGGTATGGCCGACCAACTGGCTGCCGCTGCTGCTTCTGCTGCTTCCACACGGGGAGGCGGTGGTGGGGTGGTGCTGCCGTGGCTGAAGGTGTATGTGGGTGATGAGTATGGCAAGGATGTTGTCGGGGCGAGGGGGGCCGGGTGGAATGCTATTTTGATTGATCATGGGGGTAGTGGTGAAGGTAAGGAGGGGGGGGAGTTGGAGTGGTTAGGGGATGGGCCGCTAGAGGAAGTGTTTCCGTTGGATGGGCCACCGAGGGCGGTACGTTCTGGGAGCGTGCAGGGGGTGCTGACGTGGTTGGGTAAAGAGGTGAGACGGGGAAAAGGAGAGAGGTATGGGATGTAATCATATCTCGATCTTGGTTACGGTTTATCGTCTAAAGTCTTGATACTCGTCCACCACGTCAACTCGAAGTTATGTACAGACTTCTCTAGCAAACCCGCCCCAACAAAGGGAAGCGGGAGGTAACTATGTACAAGAATAAAACAAACTCGACAGATAGCCCATCCGTCACCCCCCCTTCAGCCCATCCCAGCTTAGAAAGGCGGGTTGGCGTTGGTGAGCAGCTGCTCGAAGTAGGCCTGGAACCACTGGCCGGCCTCGGGCGCGGGCTTGAGGGCGTCGGCCAGGCCGCAGTTGTGGTCGTAGCGGTCAGCGGTGGTGTCGCTGGTGCCGTCGCACTCGCCGCCGGGCTTGATCCAGACGAAGGCGTCGAGGAGGTCGTGGCCGGTCTCGGCCGAGGGGCGCTGGCCGAAGCCAGTGCCGACGGCGTTGCACCAGTGGCCCCACTCGAGTTGACCTGTGCGATGTTAGAACTTGGTTCCATGTGTGATGTGCGGTTAAAGTTAAGGGGGGAAACATACCAGTGGGCTGCTTGCCGCTGCGGCCAGTGTCGGTGATGAAGTGGGCGGGGAAGCCGGCGGCGTTAAGGAGCGGGCTGAAAGCATCGACGTAGTGCTTCTCGTCGTAGTTGGGGTTGGGGCTCGTGTAGGCCGGGGCCGAGGCGACGCTCCAGGCGTTGTAGTTGGCAACGTTGGTGGCGAGACCACGGACGGAAGCCGGCTTGCCAGCGTCATTGTAGATACCGGCGAAGAGGTCAGCAGCGGGCTGGATGTTGGCAGGCCAGCCGAGCCAGCCAGCGTGACCGGCGTCGAGGTACATGGCAACGTTGGGCAGGTCCAGCTGCTTGATGGCGTGCACAGTCAACTCCTTGTAAGTCGAAGCGGCACCAGCGCACTTAGCAACGCCCATGTTGGTGACCATGTTGGCAAGCGAATCGGGCTCGATGACCAGGAGCATGCGGATGTCCGAGTACTGGATGATAAGCTCACGGATCCGGTTGATGTAGGCCTTGTAGTTGGCGGCACCGCCGTCGGCGATCGCCCACTCGCCGTTGGAGGCGGCAGCAGCGCAGTCACGGTCCGGCAAATTATAAACGACGAAGAGCCTGCCGGCGTTAGAAACGCAAGAGAAATGCCGGGGAGAGTTCGAGGAGGAGGAGGAGGAGTTGGGGGGGGGGGGGGGTGGGTTGGAAAAGGGGGGGTGGAGTTTTGGAGTTGGGCGACCAAGTCACGTACCCAGCATACGGCGGGTTGGCACCTGCCTCGTTGGCAGCGCGAATCTGAGAAAGGGTTCCAGAGAACAGAGTGTCGACGGTAACATTGCGGTCCATCCACTGGTAGCTGGGAACCTCGGCAACCTTAGCAGCCTTGGTGGCCATCGCACCGGTCATGCTAGGGATAGCGATGCTGTGCACTTCCGACGAGTAGTAGTCGTTAGCCCACATCTGCACACCCTCGAAAGGGTTGCCAGAGTAGCTGGCCGTGGTCGAAGCACCGCCGGGGATGCTAGTAGGGGAGTTGGTGACCACCGGGGGGGCGGTGGTCGAAGACACCGCACCGCCCTGGGAGGTGCTCGAGCTGCGGCTGCTGGTGCTGGTCGGCTTGGCCGAAGACGAGGTGGTGCGAGGAGTCGTCACCGCGGCGCCGGGAAGGCACTGAGAGTACCAGTCGTTCTGGGCCACGCAAGACGACCCGGAAGCGCAGCAAGTCGCGCCCTGCCAGCCATTGCCGCCACACTGCGACCTATACGTGACCGCATTAGCCAAATAGTCCCCTATCTCGAAACCAGGCTCGTAGCCGAGCTTGGGTGATCTGAATCACGTACCATTGGGAAGCGCAGTTCTGACGCTCCTCGACGAGAGGGGCAGCCAGAGCGGTGGCCGCAAAGGCGGCAGTAAGAAGGAGCTTAGCGGCCATTGTGTGTAGCTACTATCAGACAAAGCAACAAAGCTGTCTTGAATGGCGAATGGGGTGCTGGGCAAGAGCAGAAGACAGGCAGGACGAAGGGCAGCTTTCGTCCTCTTTATGGATTCACTGCTAGCCAAGAATAGTGGCGAGGCACATAAACACGCGGAAGGAGAACAGACGGATCTACGGGAGCATGGACCCGGCGGTAGAGTCCCGGACGGAACTCGACGGAACAGCGCCAGCGCTGGGTGCGATCCCCGACGTGAACTTCCCTACTCGGTATAACCCGCGTCGAGGGCCAAGGCGTCGCCCCAGATACCAAGCGTCAACCGAGCGCACATTATGGGAAAAGCGTCCCGGTAATGCCAGGAGAGGGTCCTTGGCCCAGCGCATCGTCAACGGTCCGGGTGGAGTAGTAGTTGGGGAGAAAGAGGGGCCCGAGAACCGGGACGAGGACGAAGAGTTTGGTTGCACAAAAAAAGCCACAATCTCCGCCAACCAGGTTTTCCTCAAGAGCAGCGTGGTGGAACCGGGTTACGGTCGCCCTCCCTTCATTAACGTGGGGCTGGACCGACGCTGACCAAATCACGGAACTCACGTTCCTGAATATCCATGAATGGAAGAGCGCGGCTCTCCCCTGCGGGGCGCTTGACGAGGACAGGGGGTGATCGAGGGGGGCATGGGGGGCCATGGGGGGGACGGACAGGGGTAGTATGCTGGACGGCTCTCTGCGGCTCTGCCGAGACCAGAGTCACCACACGGAAGACCGGGAAGAGAAGACGCCAAGTTCCGGGACGCCGTTGCATTCTCAGGGCATGCGTGCTTGCTATGGGCGCGGGAATCGGGAGACTGGCTAGGCGTGCCGATTCTTGGAAAATGAGAAAACGCCGCAATCACGCGCTTCCCCCGGCCAGCACCATCCGGGGTCCCAAAGAAGAAGAAGAATCATGACATGACCGGTTCTGGGCGCATCTAGCTTCCGCACGGCCTCTCCGCTTCCCCGCAGAATCCTGGCTTAGTTCGAGTTAAGGGCGCTCGGCGACGGGGGCAGCGCGTTGTTTAACAGTAAAGTTCTTCGTCAGCGCGGAGTATGAGAGCTTATTGCTTGCAAGGCGTTTCTCCTGTTTCAGGTCGGCTTGGCACCGGATATCTCAGTATAGACGTTCACCGTTCATCGAAATGCCAACGCCAGAGCTGCCACCCGCTTGATTCATTTCAAACTACTTTAGTTATTATCACAGCCGTCTATTCTCAGACATTACCGCTTGGGAAACCCTTCTTCATATCCCCTAATTCCCAGCCAGACCCGCGGTCCAGAGTATCCCCCCAAGCAGCTGGCCCATAAACCAGTCATCCTCATATGCCTCGTCAAAGTGGCCAAGCGACGTGTAGTAGCTGCGTCCGCCGTCGAAGGTCTGACACCACGCGATGGGGTGGTCATCCCCATGCACTCCGCCCTTGTACGACTTCTCATCCACGGTCAAGAGCATATCCAGACCCTCGTAAGCCGTCCGCGGGTGCGCCTTGAAGTTGTACCACTCGTCCATCCAGGTGAGTTCCGTTTGCCCCTCCTGCAAATTCTGCGTAGGCTGGTTGGCTCTGTCGTTTTTGGGGCACCTGCACGTCATTATGGGGTGCTCCCGGTTCTGGACCTTGACCCGACCGAGCTGTGGTTCGGGGTGGCTCTCAAAAACGCCACCGATGAGGCTGGCGTACCACTCGGACGAGATCATGGCGTAGCTGGCGCAGTGGACGGCCACGACGCCCCCACCCGAGCGGACAAAGCCCTTCAAGGCATCGAGTTGGGTGTCGTCGAGGACGTCGCCGGAGCACTGTAGCAGGACGATTACGCGGTAGACTGCGAGGGAGGCTAGGGTGAATACGGACGGATCCTCCGTGTCGTCTGCCGTGAACGGATGCTCTCCAGCGCTTGAGGCTGCTGCAAGGCGATGGAGGCCTCGAATACCAGCCGGGATCGACTCGTGCCGGTACAGTACCGTCCGGCTGAAGATGAGGATTTTGAAGGGAGAAGACATGATTGATCACACGGGTGTTGTGTCGTTGCCTGTGGCTATTCGTAGTTTCGTAATTATTAGGTGGAGGAGAGATATGTACGGACTCGAGTAATCTTGTAATGTAGAGCTGCTGCTGGTCTCCGGGCGAAACCACCCGATGGCCACCAGCTGTGCGGGGTAGGGAGTTGGGTGGGACTTGGTTAGTCATATCGCCGGGTTTTGTAAGTCAGGGGAGGTCTATCAATGTGAGGAATGGAAATAAGAACAAGACCGAAAGTAAGTGAGGGGGGATGGGAAAGGGGTGGAAACAGCAATATTGTCGGGAGCCGACAAAGAGAACCATGGGGGATAACCTAGAAAGACAATACGCAATGGAAACCAACGGGGTGGTATTAATAGTAAGAGGGAACAAAGATCAGAGACCCCCTGGCAACCTGAGGCCCTGGTTGCCGGAAACAAAAGAAAGGAACTGAGCAAAAGAGAAATCGACCCAAGAAAAGTACTAAAGAGACCAAATGATAAATAAAAAGGAGAAGTCAAGTTGAAGAAAAGTAAATTAGAAAAGGAGAAATGGCAAAAACAAGAAATAAAGGAAATGAGCCGCGTAAAAGAAAAAAAAAGAAAAAAGAGAAATCGAGTCGAAGAAAAGCAAAAAGTAAAGAAGACATATCAGAAAAATAAAATAAAGGAAAGGGACTAAGTGAAATAGATGAAAGAAAAAAAGAGAAATCGAGTGGAATAAAGTAAATATAGTAAAGTACATCCCTACCTCAGCAAGAATCCATAAAGAGGAAGAGAGCTACCCCTCGTCCTGCCTATCTTCTGCTCTTGCCTAGCACCCGATTTGCCATTCAAGATAGCTTTGTTGCTTTGTGTGAAAGTAGCTACTATCATTGCAGTGCAGCGGTCATCACCTTGAAACCACACACACCACCAACGCTGGTTACGTGCCGTACGTTGTGATGTTAATGTCGCATCATGTATGAGGGAAGAGATGGCCTTAGGAAGCAACCTTCGTTGCTATAGATCCTACGATCGTAAAGTCGATGCGCCTACGCGTGTGCCCCTCTGGGTAGATGGCCGCAGTTACGGTCACCGCGAAAAGGAGTCTCTTCTACGAGTGCTGAAAAAGAAGAACTAGAATTGCTTGCTCCCCCCTTGACCTCTGAGAGGACCGGAGCCTCTGACCAAGTATAAGGACTGCGGATACGGAGAATGCAATGAAGAACCAGAAAAAGGCTTGATGGAAACCCTGCCCCTCTGGTCACCAAGAAGCGCACCGGGTGCCGAAGGTGATAGTTAGCCTACGCGGCCTTTACACTTTTTTAGACCCCTTTTTGACTTTGTTCTCGTGTTGGTTTCATCCCGAGTCACACCCGGTCGGGCATGCTGCCGCGCCCCGGGGAACGGTTGTAGCGCCGATGCTTGGTTTCTCATTCCGGCCCCGTCTTCTTTCAACATCACGAACCTGGAACAGAAGTTGCAATTGAGGGTTTCGGTCCGATCGCGGAATTACAGAACCGCCCCGGTTCAAGAGATGGTAGCTACAGTAGACTTGGTTTAGTTTGCGAGGTTGTGAAGTATATATACAAATTAAGCTATTTATAATACAATAATAGACATATCCTTATCCTCGTCGGACGCGGTAATACTGCCCCATTGTGGGGTCTCCGGGATCTCCTCATCGAAGAGAGAAACCTCGGGCGAAGACAACGGCACGCTGGTTTCTGGTACGGTCGTGTCTTGAGGTGAGGGTGTGAGGCTGGCCTCGGGGGTCTCGCCAGGGGTGTTGCTAGGCGGCGGCGGGTCGAAACGTAAAACGCGGAGGGGAAGTCGTTATCCTCGTTGGAGTCAAGCTCCAGGGGTACCCTAACCGCTGCCAAGGTACCAAAGGGTTAGCATAGGTTTGTACTGTATATAGCCTATAGGTAACGTACATCATGTGGGCGACCTGCGCCTTCACAATGGCGTCTCAGCCTCACCCGCACCCGGAAGTCAAGGCCGTAAAATCGGCAGCCACGGACACGGCAAACATAGGGCGGCACAAATGCCTCCCAGTCGATGTACTCGTCTGGTACCCCAGGGTAAAAGTCGTGGGCTTGTGACGCCCGAAGGGAGGTGGCTCGTGCGGCGCGGTGGATCTGCTCCAGGATCTCATCGTGTACATCATCATCTAATATGCCCTCGTCAGTTTGCCTGGCCTCCGCATCGCCCAAGAGGACAAGATCAAGAACCAACTGAACCAGAGGAGAGCTTGGAGAAGCAACGAAGAGAGTAACACAAATATGCAACCGTCTCAACGGCCCTGGGCGCTAGAACATCGACGACATGCGGAGTGACAACCAGTCCTTCAACACCAGGTATACCGGCAACGGAAGCAGCTTACTGTCAACAGTCAAGCAGGTAACAATCAAGCAATAGCAACAGTCAAGCAGGTAACAGTAAAGCAGCAGCAAACGTCAAGCAGCAGCGGCAATCAAGCAGTAGCAACAGTCAAGCAGTAACAACAGTCAAGCAGTAACAATAGGAAACCAATAACGGTGAGAGCAGCTGGTAGAGATTCCCACCGATGTTTCAACGCCATGATCAGATTGAAGTAACCGCCAAGTAGGCAAGAAAAGAGCAGGCTTCAGAGTTTGACGGATCAAAAAGCGATAACAGAAACAAGAATAGACGCAGGAAGAGCAAGAGCACCAACTGTGAGAGCAATGAACATAAAGATAAAACTTACCTTCGAGAGCGTTTGGGTCCATGGTTCTGAGAACAGGGACGGGGAGCGGCGGAGGTGATGGTGGCGGTGGTGGCGCCGGGCAGTCCGGCCACGCAAAATCGTCGGCTTGAAGGGAGACCGGGGGAGTCAAATCAATGGCCTCGCGGCCAGGGAACCCAGAACCATCCATTTTCGTTAAGGATGGATATCGACAAACAAAAAGAAGAGAAGATCAAGAATTTCACGCAATCGGCCGTGGGAAATTAGTGGGCAGGCAGCTGCATCGCCGCCGTCAAGAAGGGAAGGTGCGACTTAGACGAGGAAGTCGCGACTTAGATGAGGAAGTCGCGACTTAGATGAGGAAGTCGCGACTTAGATGAGGAAGTCGCGACCCCAATCTGGAGCTCACCTCAACCACAACCTCATTCTCGACTTCAATCTCTGCTTCATGAGTAGAATACACTAATAAAACCACTACCTGACATCTATTTGCATCTGGGAGCTTGCTGGGCATCTTGAATCTTACAACTCGCTGCGTTTTTGCTGGTAGATGACGAGCTAAGCCTCACTCACGGGCAATGAACCGCCTTTCCAGTCCCTACATGACCTACCTAGGTACCTTAACCAAGGATAAGGAATGTGCATTCCCGGCTCCTGTAATGAGAAATACCCTGACAAACGACAAATGCAGTTTGAACTGCACGGCGCATTGCCCCCGTCGTGTCCGTGATGCCTGACTGGACGGACATCACCTCCACGCAAAACCTGCTACCATGTACCACTCCTAGATGCCGTCAAATTGGACCGTAGCCTAGAGCTTTCTCTGCATCACGGCCATACACCCTTCCCCTAATTTTATCGAATATATGCCGCAAGCTCAACGCCATAATCAACCTGTTGTACCCTGAAGCGACAGGAGGCGGTCCAAGTTCAAGTTCCCTTGCACGTGGACTACTACTTAATGCGCTGGTACAGGTAACCCGGCCCATCTATAACTACCTACCTTACGCAGATATTTGTTTTACAATTGGAGTCCGGGTTCCGTTAACCCATGGGGTGCGCAGGCAAAGTTGAACGGCTTTCATAACCAAGTCACATCTTTTCTTACCCTCGTCACGGTTTCTTTGTTCAGGTAAAGTTCAACCTGACAACCATTGTTGTTAGACAGGGGAGGCCCAACCGGTGGTCCGCGGAGCCGGGGTTATTCTAAGACAGCGCACGGCACTCCGTCCAAGTAAAGTGCCCAAGGCACGCATGAAGAGAGATGATTCTAATACCAATTACCAGCATTCAGCCATCGCTCACGTCACCCGAGTCATACACCAAATCAAGCCTCCCATCCAGGACACGGTCCACCCCAGCCTTGACTCCCGCACCAAACTCGCGCCCATAAAACATCAAGCCAAGCTCCTGACTAGTAAAAAGACTAGCACGGTCAAGGTTCCCCGACCCGAGCACCGTGTATTCCGAATCCACAACCGTCAATTTCAGATGCGAATGCACCGGCTCTTCGGCCTCAGACGGCGCCAGGCCCGTGGCGGCCTGCGGTTTCGCCTTAAAGTATGAGATCCGGAGGTGTCCAACCCGGCGCCCAGCTTCCAGGTCCGTACCCCCCCCGCCGTGCCTCGCGGGAACCCCATCCACCGCTGCGGCTTTGAGCTGGCGGAAGCGGCGGATAAAGGAGCGGATGCTCCAAGCCGTGGTGGTGCCCGCCGTGACAAGCTGCTCGAGTACCATCATGTTACGGTTTGTCACGATGGTGACATCAATACCCCGCGCGAGGGCGCCGAGGAGGGCGGCGATCACGGCCTCGCAGGTGATGTTGGGGGTTTGAATGTAGATGGACCGTTGGGCCTGCTCGAGGAGTTGGAGCAACGCCGTGTTGAGAGGGGTGTTGGGGGGCATGGGTGAGCCCTGCCAGGGGAATGGGCGGAAGCGTGGGTTGCGGTGGTGTGAAGAGGGGAGGACGAGAGTTGGGATTGGTTCCTGAGATTGGAACTCGGCGCGATGGTGGGCGGTGCTGGGTATCAAGGTGAGGTTTGCTGCGCGGCTGTCGAAGCCTACTTCCCCTGTGTCGCCGGAGAGTGATTGGAAATCTTGAGGTCCCCCCCAAGTCCGCGAGTAGAAAGCAAAGAGCGCCTGAACTGCATCCCCAGTCAACTCCACGCAACCCTCTAGCCAGGGCTCCCAGCTAACGTTACAGCTCGGCACAAGTGCTCGTTGCCTGTCCACAATAACAAACTTGGGATGCATCACGCTAAACGGGAGAAAGAAGAGACTCTTGACTTGAAGGTGGATGCCTCCAGCTTCGAGGAGCGCGGATTCCGGCAAGCCGAGCTTCTTCTGCCATGACGAGGGCGGGTAGACATAGCCATTATGTGATTGTGTGTGCAGCAACTTTTGAAACAAAGATCGCGATGAAAAACATATGTGAACCCGTAATGGGGGGATGGTCGTCGACCCCTGGGATATTGCCCCTTCGATGAGAAGACGGCGATGTGCTGCGAGCTTGGTGAGCGCGTCGCAGAGCGCTGTTAATGTCTTGGACTGTGCCCAGAAACAAGTAACGAGGATAACCTCATGGCGGGCTGACGTGATGGCGGGTAACAGGCTGTCCGTAAGAAGAGAAGCACCGGTGCCCAGTTGGAAGCTTTGAGGTTGGCTGTTGGTCACCACCAGGTTCTGTTCAGACGCGTCATGGAAATCATAACTTGGGATATCGCGATTGGGTGGCGGCAAACTTCCTGCAGAGCTTGAATCGAGCCGCCGAATGAATTCATGAACAAAACTCGGCGGAAAGTTCATGTCGTGACTCTGAAGCCCTCAGGGGGCGGATCAACAAAAGGGGCCGGGGTTCAACAACACAAGAAGCCAAATAGTCGAATGCCGACATCAAGCTCTCGGCTTAGCATGGACCGCATGGCCACCTTTCTGCGGCTGACGCGAGGAGCACGTTTAAGGGTTAGCGGCCGAAGACAAGGATCTTGAACCAGACAAACCCCAGAAGCTGCAGATCTCCCATTCGTCGGATGCAATGCATGTCCCACAGCCACGCGTGCCTGTTAAATAGCGCGGAGCGGCTGCCTTGGCTTTCCCCGTGAAACTCTGCCGCAAATCCCCCCGCCGAGTGTGTGTTTGGGCATTTTCATTCGGCTCAAGCTCCACGGTAGCCGAGTGAACGTCCGACGCGTGCTCGAAGACGGCCTGGGATCATGGCGTACAATGGTGCCCCGTCCTCCGGGACCCCTCCTATTGCCCCTTCGGCCGAGTCGCGGCAATACACCCCTTACCGGCCACCTGGCCAGCAGCAGCCGCAGCAACAACAACCCGGACACCACCTTGGGGGTTCGCATGGCTTTCAACCCCCCCAACAGCCTCAGCACATTTCACAGTACAATTACCAGCCACTACCTCCTCACCAAGCAGCTGACCTCCCGTCCGCTATGGCTACCATGACCATTGATGGTGTAACCCCAGCTCCGCTCCGTTTACAGCGGAAACCGGTGGCCGGTCCCGGTCCTGGTATGCCTTATGCCGGGTCACCGGTTCCACAGACACAGACACCTCAACCTCAAAGTCCGCCATCAGCTTATCCTCAACCTGGGTATTTTCCACTGCCAACTCCAGCCCCCAGCCCGTATGTTGCAAACGCTCAAGCTCACTCGCCTCCACCACAACAATACGGATCTTACTATCCCCCCCAATATCCGGCGTCACCCCCTTTGCAACAATGGCATGGAGCACCAGCCGATACAGCGCCGGGTCAGCCAAACCCCCCTGCTCTTTACGAAATGGAAAGTCCCCCCAACAACTCATCTTTTCATACATCCTCCGCGGTGGGCGACGCGCCACCGATACCCCCTAAGCCAGAGCAACCAGCCCAGACTTTCATTGCCGAGCTGGAGGGATCGGGACCTCTAGAGCACAGCGGCGGACAGAGTGTTGTTGGCGAGGGTTCGCCACCAACGTCAGTGTCGGATCCGAAGCTCAGTCTCCCTCAAGACTCTGAAGTTAGCCAAACTGTTGAACCTGGCTCCGTTAAGGACTCAACCTCGGACACCCCGAGCGAATCTCCCGAATCCAAGCCTCTACAAGACAATCATTCTGAAGGTACAGCTTCAGATCCGCCTCAGCCTCCAGCTGTTGCAGATAGTGAGGGTCTCATTGTTGTGGAAAAGCCCCCGCCGCCTGACCACGAAGGGCTCATCCCGTTTCACGCTGCGCCGGGTTCTATCACAGACAACTCACAGTCAACGCAACAGCCAACGTCGACCTCACCATACCCAGGGCCCGATGACAACGTGGCACACCCATGGCCCTGGCACCCGTCCCTGAGCGGTCCCGGTCACCAACACGCCGCGCCCCTACAGCAGTCCTCTCCATCGCCTGCATCTCCGACCGCCAGCCTCCATTTGCAGCACGGTACACCGGCATCTCATTCCGCACCAGGGCCTTATCAACCCCCAGCGACTGTTACGCCTCCTCCGGCGCCTTTGACACCGTCAACGGCAGGGCATCCTACCTCCCGGCCCCATTCTGCCACGATGCCTACAACTGAGTCTCACTCACCCTCACCCACTCTTCAGGGGTCCCAAACTGGGACGGCAGCAGCCACAAGTCCTCCTCCCCCACCAAACCCCCAGTATGGATCCTTCTCAGTTCCAGCGGCGCCGTCGTACACACCAGCGGCTTTCCCTAGTAAACCCCACACTTTTCCAACCCAGGCTACGCCGTCTCCTCAGGCGTCTACCAGCACACTGCCAGCGTCCAATCCATCGGCCATTCCTTCGACTCCGTCCATCACGAGCTCTCAGCACGGTTTCTCGCCGCCACCCCAGGCGCAGGCATCTAAGCCGACGAGGCATTCCGGAGCAAGTACCAGCTTCGGTGGGTTTGCAAACTCGGTCTTTAGCAAAGACACGGTCAAATGGAGCAAGAAAACGGCCAGCCGGGTTGGTGGCGCCATCAAGACGGCCGCAACCACGGCTCACACCGCTGCCACAAATGCCCAAACTGCGGCTACGCAGGCTGCGGCTGCGCAGGCTGCGGCGTTGCATAGGCAGAAGTCATTTGCCGCTGCCCAAATGAAGGCATCCTGGGGTACCCAAGGAGCGGGGGTGACCCCAAAACCGACGACGACGAGCGGACAAAGTCAGCCCGTTTCAAGTACAGCTGGCGTCCCAACTCCGGCCGTAGTTCCTATCCCCCCAGCCTATGGCCAACAACGGCCCAATCCCGCTCAGATAAATATGAACGCGGCGCCCGGGGGGATGGGGTCTGCCGCACCTCAGGGTCAGGGGCCTCCGGGTTGGTCTTCCGGCGCCGCTCCTGGCCCAAACATGGGCAACGGGGTCGGGGCCGCCGGTATGCCTGCACAAGCCGGCCCAGGACCGCAGCAAGGACCGGCTCCTGCAGTTCCAAGCGCTGGAACCGGAACTGGGCCACAGACCGCACAGTCCTCTCAGCCATCCACCAATATCCCATCCCAAGATACTCCTGAGGGGGTTGGACGGCAAACGCCCAAGCCGGGTACGCCGCAGCAGCCCAATGGACCGGGGCGAACCGAGGGAACCGCCTCGCCAACACCCGCACAAGTACCTGGAGGGCAGTCCATACCCAGCCAGTTCCAGCCCGGTCAGTTCCAGCCAGGTTATGCTGGCCCTAACCCTGCACCTCCCCAAGCAACCGAAGGGCACCCTCCTCAGCCTCCAGCCGTCTTTGCATCACCCGGGTATTATCAGGGGCCAGATGGGGTCGCTACGTATCCGTACGCCTACGGCCAGCACTCCCAAATACCGCCTTCTGGATATGCCAGCCCTCCCGCCCCAAGCCCAGCCACACCAGCGCCGGGGGGTATGGGTCAGCCAGTGGGATGGCAGCCCCCTCAACCGTATCCGCAGCCCGCAAATACGGCTAGCCAGCAACCCATGTGGAACCCTGGAAGCCCTCCCGCGGAGCCGGTTGCCGGTCAAGGACCACCTGCACAACCAACTTATGCCCCGCAGCAGCCATGGAGTCCCGGACCAGGCCAGCCCTGGGCACCACCCTCCTATGCCGGTCCAACCTATGCGCCAAACCCCAACTATCCCCCACAGCCTGCAACAACCTTCCAACCCACCCAATATGAAACACCCTTCGAGCAGCCCCAGTACGCAACACCTCAACCCCCGCAACCACAACCACAACCGCCTACCCACCAACCCGCCCCCTGGCCCGCGCCCAACGCGGCACCCTACTCCGCCCCCGTGCCCGACCCGGCAGCAGCAGCAGGAGCAGCAAACTGGCAGCAACCACCACCACAGCCCGCTCCGCAATGGCACCCACCGGCTCAGCAACAGCAGCAGCAGCAGCAGCAGGGCTGGGGCCCACAGCAGCCTACCTATGCTCAAACAAACACCTATGCCCAGCCTGCGGGGGGATGGGATCCTGCGGGGCAGCAAGGCCAGCAACCGTGGTCTCACCCTCAGTGAGGCACACCTCCTCGTTAGTCTAGGCTGGGGCTGGTGCGGACCCGGGTAGAGTTTGAGGGTGGAGTTGGTGTTTCTGGGGGAAAGGGGGGGGGACTGGACCTGAGGGGTGAGGGGGGGTAACGGGGATGGGAATGGGGAGGATGGATGGGAAGAGGTTGGCGCTGGTCTGTAAGCGGTTTGGAAGGGTCTAGGTCTACACAAGCCGGGGGTATGGCATGGTTGGAAACTCGGGAGAAGGGGGTTGGTTATTTGCATCTTGCCGTTGATCACCCCCCGTTTTCGACTTTGAGATCAGAGGAGTGATGTTGTTTTGGTACACGAAATGGTTCATATATTGTTTTCTGGTCAGCATACCCTGAACGATGAGAAATTTTGATGCCTCTGCTCCCAATCAGTAATGTGCGTGTTGTCAGATGTTGGAATACCGTCGACAAACCTTGGTGAACCCAACCTGAACTTGGCAGAATGTCAGAGAAAGTGAGTAGTAAGGGTTCTGATTAATTACTGCGTTTGCTTAAACAATCATTGACGGAAACGAGTTTGCAATACTTGTGTGTGGGGGGATTCATATAGTACCTACCTGGTAGTTAATCCGCCCAGATTCCGTTGTCATGTCATGAGAAGCCGGCACAACATGAAGCCGCCGGCAGGGTTCTCCAACACATGACATACTAATTGATGCATGCAAGGCCATCACGGCCCTTCAAACGTCGGAAAACGTGGAGAGAAAAGGACCAGGCAGGGTCTCTTCCAACCTCGTCCATCCCACGCCCCCACAACGTTTATTAACCCAGGCCTCCTCCGTCAACGGCGTGCTCACTGGTGTCACTATCTCCGGCGCCCGCATAGTGTTCTCAGGCAATGTCGCTACCAGAACCGTGGGTCCGAGATGTCGTGATCAGTACCCTGCACGGCCAACCTCTGTTCCCCAACGCTGCGTGGGGGCGGCGGCCCAATGATGTCGACCGAACCGCCATGTCGCAATTCTAGCGGAAATGTAGCCATGATCACCGGCATCGACGAGTTGCAATGTGAGCTGCAACGGTGCAGACTGCGGGGTTGTGCAAACCGAGAACCGGATGTTGAGTGAGGGTAGATGATCTTGGTTTGGGATAACCGTCCCCTATTTAAGGGGCGATGTCTCGGACAGAAGATGATCCCCATGATTCAGCCAGTCTTGCGATCAGCTGCTACACACCATTTTATTGTGTGCTTAATCTCTGGCCGCCTATAGGTGTGTAGTTGCTGCAGGATTGTGCAGACCAAGTCCTCTTTGGTCTTCAACCCCCTCGGCCCACGGTACCACCCGAGCCACATACCTCCCTACCCCCTATCCCCACAAAGCTCCGTGCAGCATGTCTGCGGAGGCTACCGGTAACGCACAGGCGCCGGTGCTGGTGAAGGAAGATGATCCAGGGGTGGGTGGCGTCGACACAAAAATAAAGGATGAATCCGAACCCTCCTCAGAACCCTCATCAGGATCCGAGCTGGGGGAGGCCGAATCCGGCACCATCGATGAGAAGGCGCTGCTCCGCAAGCTCGACTGGCGACTACTGCCCGCCGTCGGTGTGCTGTATCTCCTCTCCTTCCTCGACCGCAGCAATGTCGGCAACGCGCGCATCGAGGGTCTCACCGAGGACCTCAACATGACGGGGAACCAGTACCTCACGGGCTTGACCCTGTACTTCATCGGCTACGTTCTCTTCGAAGTGAGTGCTTGCCCTTTCCAACTAGCCATATAACAAGGCTCACACTCCCGTCAGGTACCCTGCAACATTATCTTAAAGAGAACCACGCCTCGGTTTTGGCTGCCCACCCTGACCGTCCTGTGGGGTGTCGTGGCAACCCTGATGGGTATCGTTCAGAACCTGACAGGCTTTTTCATCGCCCGGTTCTTCCTCGGTGTGACCGAGTCCGGGCTCTTTCCCGGAGTGGTGTACTACTTCTCGATGTGGTATCAGAGACGTGAGAGACAGTTCCGCATCTCTTTGTTTTTCGGGGTTGCCGCACTGGCAGGCTCCTTCGGAGGCATCTTGGCCTACGTGAGTGTCTTGGTATGCCAATCCATTAGAGCTGACGTGCTGACACTCCTCCGCGTAGGGAATTGGGCACATGGCTGGCGTTGTGTGGGAGAATGGCTGGCGTTGGATTTTCATTCTCGTGAGTTCTTGCCGGGATGGGCTTAATACCTCGGAATCAACGACTGATGGAACGGATAGGAAGGTATCGCCACCGTGCTAGTGGCCATTGCGGCATACTGGTTCATCCACAACTACCCCGAGACTGCCGAGTTCCTCTCGGAAAAAGAGCGCACTTTCATCCGCAACCGCTTGTCATCGGACAGTGACGCGACCCGCGACGAGCGTTTCACGTGGGAGAACGTCCTTAAAGCTTTGCGTGACCCAAAGAGCTGGTTGTACGGGCTCAGCTTCCACGGCATGAGCCTGCCACTGTATACATTCTCGCTCTTTTTGGTATGTGGCGGCCCAATGTTATCCTACCGGTGATGTGTTAGCTGACATCGATCGCCCATTCCAGCCCACAATCATCAAGGATCTCGGCTACGAAGCCGCCAACGCGCAGCTCCTGACGATCCCCCCGTATGCCTTCGCCTTTCTCACCACCATCGGCGTGGCGATACTCTCTGAGAGAACGGGCCACCGGGCCATCCCCATCATCGGATCGGCACTCTTCGCCATCATCGGGTACATCATCCTCCTGACGAACTCAGACCCCTCCAGCCGGCCGGGCGTCTCGTACCTAGGCACCTTCTTCGCCGCGGGCGGCATCTACCCGGCGACGGCCCTCGCGCTGTCGTGGCCGGCCATCAACGTCTCGGGCCAGACCAAGCGGGCGGTTGCCAACGCGATGCAGATCAGCATCGGAAACTGCGGCGCCGTGATCGGGACCCAGCTGTATCGATCCGGCGACGGCCCGCGATACTTTGTCGGCCACAGCTTTGCTCTCGGCTACCTGGTGGCCGAGATCGTCGTCTCGGTGGTGTTGTATTACTTGCTGAAGAGGGAGAACGAGAGGCGAGAGGCCATCACGCCCGAAGTCCAGGCAGTGGGAGAGTTGGACGATTGGAGCGGCGATGAAGACCCGAGGTGGAGGTTTCAGTACTAGACGGGTTCCAGTCAACCATCATTAAGGGCTAATTAGGTACTGTTGGCTGTAGAGTGGCGATTTGGAACCCCGTAAAATAAAAAGCTAGCCTTGTTTGACCATCCAGCGTCGTTCTTGATGCCCTTTTTTTTAGCACTTTCTTTGTTCGTTTCTTCCCGACTCCCGCCTGATACAAGCCGGGCCCCCTTCTCGCCGTTTTTTGCGATGCGGCGATCACACGATAGCCGGGTTCTGAAGCTCGACATTTCATGCAGATGGATGCCGATCGTGCCCGACGCTCCGGACCGCGGCTTATCCCCCTGGCGGCTCCCATGGGGAAGATCGGCGGTTATCGCGCAATGAACCGGGGAGTGGTCCAGGGCCTTAACGTAGTGGATACCCTCCTCGAACGGGTAGGGTGTTCGCAAGCAACAATTCGCACGTAAATGCACCAGAAACAGCAACATCAAAATACTATCAATTCAAGCCCAAAAAGTCTAAAATAAATGGCATTCGAACGGCCGCATTGCAGATAGTCTAATGCAGACTTCTATAACCCTATCCGACGCCTGCATCGCCCTACTAGAGACTACCTCCACCTAAACCCCTATATTATAGCGCCTATCTCCTCTAAAATATAGTAGGTTCGCGGGTTGGAATCGAAAATCGGTCGTAGCGTGGCGGTTTCGGCTCGGGGTCGTTCGTCTTGTCGGTATTCGTGGTTGTAGTATCGAGGAGAGTCGAAAAATAGTTGTTTGGGAGAGAATTGACAAGTTCTCTTGCTCTAGGAGAGATTGTTGTGATCATCAAATTTGGTGATCAAGTGGGAAATTTGTGGCGTCCGAGGACTCTACCCGTCCGAGGAGGGTATCCACCACGTTATAGGAATACGAATATTTTTCAAGAAAACTTTTAACAGGGAATCATGTCCTTCAAACTCTAAATTGAGTTCAACAAGAGAAGTTTGTTTAACATCGCAGCGTTGGAGAATCGAGAGTATTTCTTTGCCAGTTTTCCGAGTCAACTCGCTGTTACTGATTCAGGGGTAACCAAGAGCGGCTGAGGGAACACTGCAGGTTAGTGAAAGTGCCTTGATTTGAAGCGCAGTGCCACGTTCAGATTTCTGACCAACTCCACCAACCAATTTTGTTTGGCCGCCAGAAATACGAACATGAGATGAACGGGACTCGGGCGGATCCACCAACCAACTCGAGTGCCCGACCAACTCAAGTGTTCGAAAAGTTGGCCAGACACCTTGGCACGGCTGGGGCCGCTCTTCTGCCGGGGTCGGATCTGCGCGAGGAACCCCAGACGCCGAGAAGAGTTTCTCGTTGGACTGTGTAACTGGTGCTCACTAACTCAGAAATAGTCAACGTCAACCTTCTGTCCTTGAAGACTCCGTAGCAAAGCGGATGGCGCCGAGACCTCTGCAAGCCATTTCGTGCGTCTCCACGCGTCTCTGTGACTCTGTCTGGCAGTCTGCGGCAGAAAATGCAGGGTGGCCCTGAGGTTGTCCAATCCGGGAAAGGGATGCAGTTGATCAGGGACCGCCCGGGGACGGGAACGAGTTCCAGATTTGGTGCAACGTGGTTTCGGCGGCATCGCCATTCGTGCAATTTGTCCGAGCCCTGAGGGAGGCAACAGGGCAGGAGGAGGCGGCCAGTCGCGGCATCCAATAGCCCAGACCGTTGAGTTCCCCGTTGGACAGGGTTTGTTTCAAAGAAGCTTCCGCGAGGCCTAGAACGTCCAGGCGCAGCACCTGCAGAACCCCTGGAAATCTCACCTTGAAAGCGAGCCACCGAAGCCCCCTTGTGCTTGGCAGGGGACCGGAGGATGGGGAGGGGAGGTGCCGCCGCCGGGACGCCGCTGGTGGGGGTTCGTGAAAGGATCAGAAATTGAAGACTCTCAAAGCCGGGCCCTTTTTCTTCTCTCTTTTATTCTTTGATGCCGACCACCTGCTGACCTTCTTGGCAGTTGACTTCTTTCATAGCCCTTCGTTTTTCTTCTCTTTTTCTTATTACACTTACACGCCTCTCCGGCTCTCATTCTTCCACTCGTTTTGGTTGCCCTATCCATCCCTGGATTTTGCGGTTTGTTTTAAGAATTCGATACTTCGGCAGCAGCAACCGCCCCCACCACCACTCACTCGTTCCTTTCACTTGCCTTCTTTCCAACAACCGGCGCAGCAAGTCGAACACTAAGCCAGCATGGCCGAAGACGGTCACGTCGCGCCCGGAGCCCCCGCGGCTCATGCGGCCCCGGGAGGAGGTCATGGGCCTACGGAAAACCTCGCCATCAACACGCAGAACATCAAACCAGTGAATGGCAACGGCCCTCTCTTGGAGGAGATCGCGTCCCTGACATCGCCGCGCCTCTACACGCCCAACCCGTTCAGTCGGAAGAACACTTCCTTGGATATTGACGACTATTTCGTACGGATCACTACGCTAGTGTCTTTCCTGTTACATCATGCTGACCCCTAGCTATATAGACCGGTCCCCGCGACATCCAAAAGCACTCGAAATGGCCCATCTTCCTACAAATGCACGGGAGCATTCTTCCTAAGCTGATACTCCCGCTGCTTTCTATCGGGTCGTGGGCGACATGCGTCACATGCATTCACGTGTTGGTCACACCAAGTACGTTTACACTTTGTTCCCCTGACGCACTCCTTTCTGGCCCCCGTAATCGAAACTAACAGTGCCCTCCCAAATAGTCAGCATCGGCAGCGTGCTGCTTACCGTCCTCGGTTTCGTCGTCGGTCTGGGGCTGTCGTTCCGTAGCTCCACAGCATACGAGCGCTATGCCGAAGGGCGCAGGTACTGGTCGCAGGTGATATTGGCGAGCCAGAACCTCGGGCGCGTCTTCTGGGTCCACACCACCGAGCGGACCGACATCCCCGAGGACCAAAAGGAACACCACAAGAGGCGCGACGTGCTGGAGCGGCTGACGGCCATGAACCTGGTCGTGGCCTTCTCGGTGGCGCTCAAGCACCGGCTGCGGTTCGAGCCGTACACCTGCTACGACGACATCGCCAACCTGGTCTCCCACCTCGGCACCTTCGCCCAGGCGGCCACCACCGACGACCAGGACAACGCGCAGCGCGCCTTCAGGCGCCACGGCTTCTTCAAGAGCGTCGGCGAGTACCTGGGCGTCTCCTTCGCCGAGAGCAACCCGCGCAAGGTGGTCAAGAAGGCCGGCCGCCCGCTCGGCAACCTCCCGCTCGAGATCCTCTCCTACCTGGCCAGCTACGCCGACGAGATCTCCACCGACGGACGCCTCCCCATCCCCATGCAGCAGACCGCCGTCTACAGCAACATCTCCCTCCTCAACGACGCGCTCGTCGGCACGGAGCGCGTGCTCAACACCCCGCTCCCGATCGCGTACTCCATCGCCATCGCCCAGATCACATGGGTGTACATCATCGTGCTGCCCTTCCAGCTGCTGGGCACGGTAGGCGACCAGACCTGGATCACGATCCCCGCGACGGTGGTCGCGGCGTACATCATCCTGGGCATCCTCTTCATCGGGCGCGAGATCGAGAACCCGTTCGGGCAGGACGTCAACGACCTCCCGCTCGAGGCGTACTGCGCGCAGATCGCGGCCGAGATGGACGTCATCGCCAGCCGGCCCAAGCCCAAGAGCAGCAGCGAGTGGATGGAGTCGATCGACAACCGCGTGCTGTGGCCGCTGTCGAGCTCGGGCTGGCCCGTGTGGATGAAGCGGAGCGAGGACAAGATCCGCGAGGCGGTCGTGCATAAGGTCGAGGCGACGTTTGTGAGCCAGAAGGGCAAGGAGGCCGTGCTGCAGGGGAAGGCGCCGTCGGAAAAGGGGTATGCCAAGGGGTCGTCGGTGAGTGATGTTTAAGGACTGGATTGGCGTGGCAAGATTGTCGTGGGCGTGGGTATGGGTAATGGAGGGAGGCGGTGGTCGATTCCGTTTTGGGTTGGATGGCGATAAAAATGCATGGAGTGGCGGCGTCAAAACCCTATTTGGCTTCTTTCTGTTTATTTGCCCAAGTTTGACATAATCCCTAGAGCAGTATTTGCATCTTGAAGACAACACATATTCATTAAAAGCTGGTGTCTTCCATGCAGTGACAGAATCACACTGTATCCGACGGCTTTTCGTACCTCGTCTTGAGAAGTAGATAGGTAAACCCATTCAGCCTACTATGGCGACACTGATATTCCTTGGAGCTACTTTTAACTCCACCCCTTGGGCCCCTACCGATATGGCAGACTCCGGTCCAGCTCCCTAATATCCCTCTCCCTCTCATACTCACTAACACTATGCTTGCTCGTCACATGGCTCACCAAGCCCTCCTCCGACCTGCACAGGGTGTCCTGATCGCGGTGCCGGAAACACAAATAACAAGCATACCCGGACCGTTCGCGGTGGCACTTGAATATGAACCGCCTAGTCAACAGGTACGTCCGGACCACGATCGCCTCGGACCCGATATCCGACCCCCTGGAGTACCGCCGATCTTCCCGCGCCGACCCGCGGCCCCGAACGGCCAGCTCTTTCTCTATCCTCCAGGACCGGCACCCGTCCGCGTCGTCTCCCACACCGGCCCCGGCGTCGCACGCGCCGCATACCGCTGATGAGCGGTCCATGGCAATAACGGCTTCTAAAGGGCTGGAGGTTTGCTGCAGCTGTTTGGCGGCGCGACAGAACAGTGGCCCGCCGTTGCTGGGGTGGGTGAGTGCCTTCTGCGGTGGCCGACGATGGCTCCAGGCGGAATCCGTCGAGCGGGCTTGGAGTGATGGGGTGGATGAGATCCGCCTCATGGGGCCTGGAGGTCGCCGTTGAGGAGGGGCTGATTCGAGTAGCCGCTGGTACTGGTCGCGTAGTGCGCGGATGCTGCCCTCGCGAGCAAATTCGGATGTGTTGTAAAGCTTGTTGAGGTCTGGTAATGTCCCGGTGAGGATGGCTTCTTCGAGGAGCTTGATGACGCTGCCTTGGAGGAGGATGATTTGACTCTGGATCTGGTTTTGGGCAACCACTAGAGGTAGATGGTTAGCTGTACGGCATCGATATGGTGGCGGTTGCGAGTAGCAGTCAAGACTTACGGTCACCCTCGGCAAATTTCGGTCCTAGGTTTGCAAAATAGCGGTCGTATTGTTGTTGAACCATGTTGCCGCTCTGCTGTAGCGAATTCCGGAACTCGTTGTCTCCATCGCTAGCCCTGCTACCCTTGGTGCTCTCTTCCTTGATGCGTTCCTTCTCCTCCTCGGCTTCGTTTAGGCGCTGCTCGAGCTCTTTGATTTTCTTATTCTGGCCCCGGTCCAGCTTCTTTTGCCGTCGTTGCTCAATGAGACGGTCGTACAAGTTTATGCTCGTGATGAATGTGCCAGCTACGGTTGAGACGAGGGTTGCGAGGAAGAAGCCTTGCTATGATACGTTAGCGTCACGGCACGGGAGGTTTTGTTTCTTCTACGGGCTCCCTCGGCAACCTCATTACCTTGAGTTTCCCCTCTGAAACCATGTCCGCAGCATTATCCATGTCGAAAACAGATCGATACCAAAGCCTCAGTGGTGATGGGGTAACAATGGAGACGGAATTAAAGGTTGGCACCCCAGTAAATGAACTCTACCGGATAGCTTGGGCTACGATGCTCGGGAATGCAACTTGAATCCTTTAGACGTCTTATAACATTCTGTCGGCTTTCCCCGACAAGACATTTCAGCCAGGGCATTTCGGCTCACACCAAGTGTTTGCCATGACATCATATGCTAGTTGCTGTTTGTTCCTGATTGGTTGCCTCAACCGATTCGGAAAGCCAACATCGATTCGCGATCACCGGCAGGACCCCGAATCTCCATCGAGTTTAGCGGGGGGTTCACAGTCATGGTATCCAATGAATGCAGTTGCGCGACATGGCGCTGTTGGGGCTGGTAATTCGACGTCCTTGAAGACTTGCTCCACCAACCTTCCGTGGTTAAAATCGTTGGATAATGCTGCTCGCGTGAGGGCGGGGATGGCGTGATGTGGTTTATCGGAGGGCCAATCTAGACACTGGAATGAGACTTGTTTTCATTGTACGGCAGTCATTGGTGGTAGGTGGTAGGATAATCAGAAGCTTGCGCTTTTCTTTGGCCCCTCAGTTTTTAATAATCTTGAGCGGAATCGAAGACCGAGTGCAGCCCGAGACAATCCATGGCGGGGAACATTTTTGAGTTGGTGGAGTTGTTGCATGGCCGGTTGTGTGAGAAAGACATGACAGCTGCCACCACCTGGCCTTTCTTCTCACCGCCCAAACCCCCAATGCATCTCCAATTTCCAGACCGCGAATTCTGCCCCTGCCGCCCGCATGAGGACCACTTTTGGCAGGAGTTCCCCCATTTGAAGGGTCTCTCCTATTGAACCCGCTCCACACCTCCGGTCGTGCCATCACCTCCAACCATCGATCGCGACCGTGACTACGACCGTGACCACGACTTTGACTGCGATTGCGTCCTCCTCTTCCACCCCCCACACGCCGTAGCCGCGAAACCCGCCACGATGTTGTCGGGCATCCTTGTCTTCAACCAAAAGGGCGAGAACCTGATCTTCAGGGCCTTCCGCAACGACTGCCGCCCACGACTCGCCGATGTCTTCCGCATTCAAGTCATCAGCAACGCCCAGGTGCGGTCGCCTATCCTGACCCTCGGCAGCACAACCTTTAGCCATGTCAAGCACGAGAACATCTACTTGGTGGCCATCACCAAGAGCAACGCCAATGCCGCTCTGGTCTTCGAGTTCCTGTACCGTCTGATCCAGCTGGGCCGTGGTTACTTTGGGAAGTTCGACGAGGAGGCTGTTAAGAACAACTTTGTCCTGGTTTATGAGCTCCTGGATGGTATGTCAACAAGACCCCGAATCCCCAAGTTGTGGTTTTCGCAACCCTCGCTGACGACCCGTGTCCCCGCCAGAGATCATCGACTTCGGCTACCCCCAGAACACCGAGACCGACACGCTCAAGATGTACATTACGACAGAGGGGGTCAAAACAGAGCGCGCAGCCGAGGACTCGGCCAAGATTACCATGCAGGCGACAGGCGCGCTGTCGTGGCGCAAGGCCGACGTCAAGTACCGCAAGAACGAGGCTTTTGTCGATGTCATTGAGGACGTGAACCTCCTCATGAGCGCAACCGGAGCCGTGTTGCGCGCCGATGTCACCGGCCAGATCATCATGCGCGCCTACCTCAGCGGCACACCCGAGTGCAAGTTCGGCTTGAACGACCGCCTCCTACTCGATAACGACGGGCTGCTGAGCCTCCCCAGCGGTAATAGGATGGGGAGCAAGGCGACAAAGGCGGCTGCGGGCAGTGTCACACTCGAAGACTGCCAGTTCCACCAGTGCGTGAAGCTCGGCAAGTTCGACAGCGACCGCATCATCAGCTTCGTGCCGCCCGACGGCGAGTTCGAGCTGATGCGCTACCGCTCCACCGAGAACGTCAACCTGCCCTTCAAGGTCCACGCCATCGTCAACGAGGTCGGCAAGACAAAGGTCGAGTACAGCATCGGCGTGCGCGCCAACTTCGGCTCCAAGCTCTTCGCCACCAACGTCGTCGTCCGCATCCCCACGCCGCTCAACACCGCACGGATCACCGAGCGCTGCACCCAGGGCAAGGCCAAGTACGAGCCGTCCGAGAACAACATCGTGTGGAAGATCGGCCGCTTCACCGGCCAGAGCGAGTTCGTCCTCAGTGCCGAGGCCGAGTTGACGAGCATGACCAACCAAAAAGCCTGGAGCCGCCCGCCCCTGAGCTTGAACTTCAGCTTGTTGATGTTCACGAGCTCCGGCCTGCTGGTGCGCTACCTCAAGGTGTTCGAGAAGAGCAATTACTCGAGTGTGAAATGGGTGCGGTACATGACGAGAGCTGGGAGTTACGAGATCAGGTGAGTTTCCACCCCAACTCCCCATGGTTGCTGTTCAACCCCCGCTAACTTCACCCCAAGGTTCTGACCGATGTGTGACTGTGTTGTTTCCTTGCATCGAGCGTTGTGTGCGTCTCGGGCACTGCATAGCATTGGCGTCGGGGCGTTCGGTTACTGTAAAAGGAAGAGGTATATGCGGGGTGTTGAGCCTGTCACTAATCATGTTGGCCCGCTCGACCTTGAGGCGCTCGGTGTGATACCCTGTTTGTCTTGGTGTGGTGCGTCGGTGCTGGCCCGAGGAACTCCTCCTCCTTTACCCCTCTCGAATGTTTGCGAAGCCATCGACGGTTCAAGCAGACCGAGGTCGGTCCGATATTCTCAACCCCGTCTCTGTTTTTCTGCGCGCCGCATCCGCCCTGGCCTTGTGTTTATTGCGGCACCTTTACGAATCGAATCTCAATCCGCCGGGTTACGGCATGCATCCCTTGCCGTACGTAGCTCGTTCAGCGATGGTGGCCCGGACCTCGTGTGTGATGGTTCGTTGGTTCCCCGGCGGCATTGCTGTCAGTGGCCTTAGCGCGTGTCGTCGGATCATGAGTCGCAGGCAGAATTCCGGGCGACAAAGGAAGGGTTCGGTCGGCAATCAATCCATGTCAGGTGATACCGGGAATGTTTGCACACATGCAAGGACTTGCATCAATATCGTGATGGTGTTTGCGAGCCTGCATCAATATCACCCCGGCCGAGTGTGCGTTCCCCGCAGTTTATGCAGTTTATGCTGCTCGTGACGAGTTTGACAGCCTCGTCTTCGGCCGAGGGAAACGCATAGGAGGCAGAAGAACGGGGACTACACTAGCATAAAGACTACTTGATTCCCATCCCATCGGGAGGTTGATGATCGGTTCCCCAGCCATCAGCTACCTCACAGCTACCTAGCAGCGAGTTAACTCCTTGCCAAATTGCACTCTTGTATGTTGATCCAACCTCATACTATGATATCCCCCCCGGGTGACACTTGCAGTTGTTGCCGCGACAATCTCCTAACATACAAGAACCAGCGTATCTCCAGACCCTCCAAGTACCCTTCTACAACGGCCAAGCCAAACAACACCATGCGTCTCGCGATCCCTGCTCTCCTCATGACGGCTACGACAACTTACGCGTCAAACCGCTACCCTCATCGCCACATGTTGTATTCTCACGAGCTGTGACAGCAATGGGTCCTGGCTGACGGAGGATGACGGCTGGGGCTACCTCAACTTCAACGAAGGCTGTAGGATTTTGCCCATCCCCGGGTTGGTTGAGTTTTGCATCGATTGGTCAAACAGGAGATCCCACTTCCGATTCAGCGGGCAGGGTAAACGTTGCATGAGGTACCGGTCCGAGGTCCCCGACGACTTCCAATGCAATATCTCGTATTGGTATGATGCTCCTTGCGATTGGTAATGGATTTGTCTCATGAGGTATATTTAAGGAATAAGGAAAGGAAATGGCCCATGTCTTTCTCTTTTCGTTTTTTCTTTTTCTGTTCTTTCTTCCCTTTACTGTTCGAACCATTGAAGGGTTCGGGGCTGTAATGAGTGAGGGACTTCCGAGTCCATAGGGTAGTCGTTCAGAAAGAGAGCAGCAAATTTATATACAAAGGAAACAAACATCGCAAGAACCACACACAACCAACAACGCCGTCGAACAATCTGAACCACCCATCCCGACGGCGAGGGAGTCAACCCAACAGCTCGCTCACCTCCGTCTTCCTCCCATCCACAATATCCTGCACAATCTCCAGATACGTCTCCAACACCCCCTTCGCCTCCTCCGCCGTGAACAACCTCCCATCATAGCCCATCTTCAGCTTATGCCCCCCATCCACATCCTTAAACACCTCAAACATGACCGCATAATTCACGTACATGGTCACCTTGCTCATCGCCATGACAATCCACCGCATATTATCCTGCTCCGCCGGCGCCGGCTCAAACGGCTGGAACAAGAACAGCGTCTTGGCCCCGTACGCCGCGCGATCCACGCCCCCCAGCGCGTGCTTGTAGATATCGCCCAGCGCGACCGACCCGTTCTCCGTCATGGCCCAGAACCCGGACTGCGTATCCTTCAGCAGCGCCTGCACGCTGCTATCAGTCGCGCCAGCACCACCACTGCCACCGCTGTTGATGCGCGCGCGGAAGGGCAAGAAGTTGGCGCACGTCCCGTTGATCAGCTGCGGGTCGTCGAGGTCGACGTTGCGGCCGGTGAGGAGGTAGTCGTAGGTGACGTCGGCGGGGGAGTTGCTGAGCCGCGCGAGCAGGATGCTGTAGGCGGCCTGGAAGACGATGCTGGCGGTCACGCCGGCGGTGCGGGCGTAGGCGTTGACGGGGATGGAGGTGCGGGCGAGCGCGACGGCGCTGACTTTGGGGTGGGCGATGTGCGAGGGGAAGGTGAAGGGGTTGGGGGTGGCGAGGGTGGTTTTCCAGAAGGAGAGCATGGGGTCGCGCAATTCGGGCTGGTTGGTGTACTCGACGAAGGTGCGGAAGGGGGTGGGGGACACGGGCATGGGTTGGCCGTCGCGGAGGGCCGCGAACTGGTCGTCGAAGATGCGCAGTAGTGTGCCGTCGTACATGGCGTGGTCGAGCTTGGTGGCGAGGTCCATGCTGCCGTCAGGGTACCGGAGGACGAGGTAGCGCACGAAGGGCCGGCCGATGGAGAAGCGCTGGTCCCAGTGGTTGAGGATCAGTTTGTTCTTTTCCTCCGAGTCGGCGCCGCTCTGGCAATCGACGACCGCCAGATCCATCACAGGCTCCTTGAGGATGATTTGTACCCAGCTGAGAGGGTCTGCGTCATCCTGCTTCATGTACATGGCGCGCAGGATCTGGTTCGCCTGGGTGAGCCCCCGCGTGAGCTCTATCCAGCGGTCCAGGTCGAAGCCGGTTGGGAGACGGCGCACCGTCATCAGCATCCAGAACTGGTCTTCGGTGTGACCCTGCGTCAAGAACTCCACCTGACCGGGGCCGCAAGGATAGATGTCCTCAATATCGTCATCAGACAGGCCGGATGCCTGCAGCTTGTCTTTAACCAGTTGGTTCACCTCCAGCTTGACCGCCAGGGCGGACGTCATGGGCGCCTTGACCGGCTTGAGTCGCTGGGCCTGTTCCTTGAGGGAGGGATAGGTGACAACGTCGTTGACAGACAGAGACAAGTTGAGGTGGCGGAGCATGCTGCCGAGGTTGATGGCAGCGATCGAGTCACCGCCGTAGTGGTAGAATAGCGCGCTCGGGTCAATAGTCTCTGGCGAAACCTCAAACAACTCGGCCCATGCCCCACGCAGTGTCCTTTCCTCCTCGGTCAACTCCGAGTCATCCACGATCTTCCCGTTTGCCACCGGCGCCGTGCTAGAGTAGCCTGCCATAGTCTTGGGGTCCAGCCCCTCCGCGAGCCCGGCGAGTTGCTTTCGGTTAATCTTGCCAGACGCGAGAAGCGGGAAGTTCTTGAGAGGCAAGAATACCTTGGGCATCATGTAGTGAGCTAGAGACTGGAGCCGGTCGACGATCGTTGCTGGGTCGATGACGGCGGTGGAGTACATGTTACTGCTCCCCACCTCTGCGTCTGGCTTCTCAACGGGTACGTAGTACACCACGATCTGCTTCTTGCGTTGGACTTCGGCCACTCTGACAACGCATGTTTCAATAATGTCGGCTGCCTGGGTCAGGATGGTGTTCTCGATCTCACCGAGCTCGATGCGGAAGCCGTTCAACTTGACCTGGTTGTCCCTTCGGCCGAGACACTCGATCTCCCCGGACGGGAGCCAGCGGGCGTAGTCACCAGTGCGGTAGATTGGTGAACCATCGGCTACCGTTGTGAATGCCTTGGCCGTTAGCTCGGGTCGGTTTAGATAGCCGATAGCAACCTGGTCACCGCCGACGCAGAGCTCGCCCACGGTACCATACGGAACAGGGACCAGCAGCTCTGGGTGGAGAATTGAGGCCCTGACCGCCTTCAACGGGTACCCGACACTCTTCAAGTTGCCGTCGGGCACAACCTTGGACACGGTCATGAGGATTGTGGCCTCAGTGGGTCCTATGTCTTCAGTTAGGACAAATATCATTGGGATTGGGGGGCGAAAAGGGGGAAACGGGGGTCAACAAAGGGTTTTGTAAATCCACACCAACGTACCGTATCCGTTGTACACATCCATCCGTGTCGCCCATACACTGGCAACCTCAGGGGTAATGGGCTCACCACAAACTAGGAGCGCCTTCAGAGTAGGCACCTGTTCGGGAGAGATCAGTTTCGAGATGGTCGGGGTGATCATCAGCTGCTCAACCCCAAACGCGTTAACACAGGCCGCGAGATCCTGCATCAACGTGTCCTGGTCTGCAATGGAGATGGTGCCGCCCGAGCTGAGGACGGTGAAGACGTCGAAATAGGACGCGTCGAAGACGTAGTTCAGGAACCAGAGCACATGCCACCGGTTGTCGATGCTGCAGGCCTCGATCATGCCCTCGGTCGACGCTCCCACCGCGCCGTGGTGCACCTCCACGCCCTTGGGGAGGCCCGTCGACCCGCTCGTGTAAATGACGTACGCGAGATCGTGCACCGAAGGTTCCAGGAGTTCGCCCGCAAACGTGTTTATATCTCCAGTTGTGTCGACGGTGTCGAGATTGATCACTTCACCGGTAAACGACTCAAACACGTCGGCGTGTGTGCTATCAGTGATCGTAATAGTGGCGCCGACGTCCCGTGTGATGAAGTCGTTTCTGTCCCTAGGGTTCTTGGGGTCGAGCGGGGTGAAAGCAGCGCCGGCCTTGAGGACGCCAAACACGGCAACGAGGGTGTTGATGGACTTGCGCATGCAAATAGGGATGATATCTCCCTTCTTGGCCCCCTTGGTTCGCAGGTAACGCGCTAGGCGGTCGACGGCATCACCAAACTGTCCGTAAGACAGCGCGGTTTTGCGTGTGGTGTCTGACAACTCCTGGAGCGCCGTCTTCTCGGGGTACTGGGCGATAATCCTATCGACAAGGGTGACGGCGGTCAGACCAGGCTCGGTAGGACGAACGCTAGACTGGGAATCCAAGAACTTGAGTTCCTCTACTGAGGTTGGAACGATGTCGCCGATGCGGGTATCGGGTCGTTCTAAAAAGACCTTGACGGTCTCGGCCACATTGCCTAGTATTAGAGAGGCTTTAGCATGTGTTAAGCCGGAAAGAAGACGCAATCTCAGGCCGCTCCCGGTCATCGCTTCTGCTTCGAGCATGGTGTGATCAGGTACATAATTCGGCTCGTGAGGCTCACAGGGCACGAGCGGACCGTTTTCACGCGCTGACTCGACCTTATCTGTGTCCTTGATGAGCACGTTGACCAGGGTATCGTAGTGCTTTGCAGTCAAGTTCGCTTCCTTGATGATATTGCGCAACCCAAACTGGGCTTTGGGCGCAATATCCCAGATCTCGTCTTGAATGGTCCTGGCCAAGTCGACAAGGGACGTGTCGGTATCTAGCTGGATACGGAACGGGACCGTGGCAATGGTCGGTCCAGCCATATCGGTAATACCTTGTACAGGCACGTCGCGGCCGGACAGCGTGGCACCAAACAAGACATCATTTCGCCCCGAGTGCATTGAGAGGACAACGGCCCATACGGCATAGATGAGAGAGCCGATCGAGACGTTGTGTGACGCTGCGATGTGTTGAACATCTTGGGCGAGGATCGCCTCTACAACCACGTTCTCTGACGTGGTCTGGCCTAGGACGGTCGGCAGCACGCCGTCGAGCTTGTCCCGCCAAAACTTCTTGAGTTGTTCCTGTTCCGTTGTTTGTGACTTCAGGGTGTGATTCACAAAATCGACGTAGGCGGGCCGTTGTTGAAGCGGCTTTCCGCCCAGCACGTTCGACAAGTCGTCAATAAGGAAGTTGTTGGACCAGTAGTCGAACAGTGCATGGTGCATAGTAACGGCTAGAACGCCGTCCCGAAGACTGGCGAAATGCACAAAGTTGCCGCCTAGTTCCATAGACTGCTTGTCGAGCGCTGAATACTCCCGGGCCGTCATGTGTGGCAAGTTGTCCCACGATAAGGCGGGGACGGTCTTCCTGACCAGTTGGAGGAAGGATGTCTTGTTCAGGATAAAGGTTGTCCGGAGGAGGGGAAGACGCGAGATGAGACTCCCCAGCGCCTTTCGGACTTTCTGGGCCGATATGCCGTTCAAGCGGTAGTAGCGGCGGTAGACATAGGTCGACCCTCCTCGTAGGGAGTCGGCCAAGAAGCTATCCTGTAACGAGGTGGTGGGATATGCGTCTTCGACGTCGTCTCTCTTCCTCGCGCTGGCATTCTGTGGCAGCAACGAGAACTGAGGGACATCTGTGTGGGTCTTCCCTCGTAACACCTTTGCTTTCTCGAGCAAGGCATGCAGGGGTAGTCGAAGGATATCTGCCACGGACACTTCAATGTCGTCCTGATAAGCCTTGGTCGAGGCACGAATAGCGTCCAGAGAAGACCCTCCAAGCTCCTGGAAGGTGCTGTCGCTTGTGGTGATACGTGCGCCAGTCAGCTTTAAGACAGTGGCTAGGATATCACAAAGCTTCCGTGCAGGTTCCGCGAGGTGCGCAGTGCCTTGGTCACGGGAGGTGCCGCTCAATCCTTGGCTGTGACTATCGGTAGAAAAACGCAAAAGTGACTCTCTGTCGAGACGCTGGACGTCTTTTGTGAGTCGCGGGATATCGACCTTGCCGTTGACGTTCAGGGGCAGCTCGGTCTGCAAGAGCCAATAGGTGGGCATCATGTAGCTGGGGATATGTTGGGCCAGCAGCTCCTTGAGCTCGCTCCGTAGGCGCGGCCACTCCAACGCCGATCCTGTTTTAGCAACAATGGCAGCCACTAGAGACTTGCGGCCAGCAATCTCAGAGGCGACGACACTGGAGTTGGAGACATCGGGATGGGTCTGCAAGATGGTGTTGGAATCCCCAGGCTCGACACGCTGTCCGTTGATCTTGACCTGGAAGTCAATCCTGCCGACCATCTCGATAGACCCGTCCTCGTGGGCAACGACCATATCGCCCGTCCGGTACAAACGGCCCGGGCCAAAGGGATTGTCGATAAAAGCCTCGGCCGTCTTTTCCGGGCGGTTGAGGTAATGAAGCGCGAGCTGGTCACCGCCGAGACAGAGCTCACCTGGGACGAGCAGGGGGCTAAGACGGGTTGTACCCGGAACGAGCACAAACGAAGTTGTCGTATCACTCGGGCGGCCAATGTTCTGCGGATTCTGACCGAGTACCATCTCGCGTCTCCAGTTGACTTGGGTGTTCTCACTCAAGCCATAAGCGTTCAGCAGCTCCAGCTCGTTGACCCAAGTCGGGATGAGAGCAGGGTTGATCAGCTCACCGGCAACTGTCATCCGCTTGAGACAGGGGACAGTACCGGGGGTGAGGAGGAGCGCGGTCGAAGGCGTAACGTCAATGACGTTGATCTCCATTTGGTTGATGGTGCGCCCGATGTGGACAGTGAGGTTCTCTTTGCTGGCAAGGCACAAACAGCCTCCCTGCTTGAGAGTCGACCACACCGACCGCTGCGCTGCCGAGAAGACAGGGTTGTGGAAAAGGAGTTGACGAAGGTCAGGCAGCGTCGGGAAGGCTGCCAGACCGGATGTGGCCGAGGAGTGAACCTGGGGAAATAAACGGTTAGCACTGTTGAAACACCACGGGGATGACCGAGCTCGTTGCTTCGGCATTTACTTACGTGAAGCACGCCCTTGGGCTTTCCCGTCGACCCGGATGTGTAAATCACGTAGACGGGGTCACTGGGGTCACAGACCCGGTCAAGGTTTGTGTCTTGGGCTCTAACCGACTCGGCGATGAGCTCCTCGATGACTACCTCTCGGCCCGGGAACCGGCCTGCAGTGGTTTTATCGACAATCACAACTTGGGCTCCAACGTCCTCGATTATGAAGTTGTTTCTCTCCTGCGGCGTGTCGGGATCTATCGTGACATAGGCAGCCCCTGTCTTAAGTATGGCGACCAGGGAAATGATGAGGTTCGCCGATCGCTGGAGGCATACGGGGACAAAGGAGCCCCTACCGACGGGCAGGTGTCGAGCAACCTTGTTGCCGATGCGATTCAGCTCATCGTATGACAGAGGCCGGTTCCCCTCGAACTGCAGGGCAGGGGCGTCGGGCGTAAGGAGAACCTGGCGTTCGAAGAGCTTCTGGACGTTATCGTGAGAAGGAATAGTGAGAGGCATACCCATCTCGAGGATGAGGTCTAGTTCCGGAGCGGAGATTATCTCGATCTCACTGATGAAGAAGTTGGGATGCTTGACCATCTCCGAGAGTGCCATGGTGAGATGATCGAGGACAACCTTGACTTTCTCAACCGGGACCGCCGTGTCGTGCTGCGCAACGATGGATACCGCATGGCTGATCTGCACCGCAATACCCATAGGACGGTTGCTGGGGTCGAAAGCGGCTGGGAGAGCTTCTTCGTCTCCAACAAGAACGGAAAGCTTGAAATCGATTGTCGAAACGGCGTCCAAGAGTTCCGAGCCAGCAAAGAAGGCATGTGTTGCCGACAGCGTGTTGAGACGGTCGGCCTCCTTGATGACCGCAGCTGCAGTGAGCTCGGGGTTCATCTGGAGCCTGAGCGGGTATTCCTGATCAATGTAGCCTATGACTGACTCGTGACCCTTGATGGTTTTGTTTCTTCCCTCGGCTACGAAGGCGATGTCGTGTACCTCGCTTCCCAGGTTGCAATGGCGATCCAGCACCAAACCCAGGGCAGCATACACAACGGCATATTCGGAAACGCCGAGCTGCTTCGCGCATCGTCGGAGGGAGGATCCACTGATGGAGACGGGGCTGGTAGCTCGAGTGGTTTGGGAGATCTGGTGCCGTTCGAGGGGAAACGAGTGAAGGACGAGGTCGGGGAGGGAGCCGAGTGTCTTGTCCCAAAACTGGTTCGCGGACTCCTGGCTGGTCTTTCTCGTGGCTAGGCTCAGGTACTGTGGGAATGTGAGCCTCGGTGGCGGGATCCAACCCGACAATAGAGATAGGAAGTCCCTCCAAAGATGCCCCAACGAGGTGCTATCCGCGACGAGTTGTGGCAGACAGAGGGTAACATGGGGAGCAAAGCTCGCCCATTCGACGACCAGCATCGCGGGCCCCTGGAAGCCAAAGGTGTGGATATGTTCAAAGTTGGCGTCAAAGCCACCCCGTACATTTCTCGGCCGTTTGAAGATGCGGAGGACGAAGTCGTCATTGTTCTTTTCCTTCACGATGGTGGATCGTAGGATATGGTGCTGTTGGGCCAGAGCATGCCACGCTTCATGGAGTTGGTCGAAGCTCTTGACTATGTCGGTGGACAGGTCTAGACGGACGACGGTGGGTCTTTTCGCGACATCGGGGTCACGCCGCAGCTGCTCTTGTTGGACAGGAGTGCATTCGATTTCGGACTCGATCTCATTGCTGTCTGAGGCCCACCGTCCTCCCGCGTCGGTATCCGTGTCGATGCCGCGTAGGGTCGAAAGTGCCCTAGTGACTTGCTTGAACGTGATGTGGAGGGACCTGGCCTGCTTCAACGCCTTGGTAGCCCCGTGGGGCTGTTTGGCGATGTCCAACCAGCCATCATCAACAGGCTGATCGATCATAGTCATGCTGGACGGTGGTGATGAAGGGGGAGTAGCCAGAAACGCATGCTTGCTTTCTTGCCCCAGAGGGTTGCGCATTGTGAATAGATAGAACACGGTTCGCGTAGGAAGAAGAGTGGTTACAACATGGGCCAGATATCAGACCAAAGAGTGGCGTTCAACTGGATGTAAAATGACATGAGGCGTGTCACTGTCGCCTATTCCACGGATTTATATGGGATACGTCTCATTTCTCATCTCGGGGATCCATACGGCGCCGAGTCACACTTTACGAGGGATCTGACACTGAATCCGGGTCTGCCTATCGAGGATTTGTTCTCTTCTCGGACCAGTCTTCCCACCTCTGGCGTCGTCGTTGGTAGCCTAAACGGCTTCTACTACTACTACGCACCCAGCACCAACACATTCGGGTTCAAGTCAGGATAACGCATGTACTTGGAAGTCTACATGGATACTGAAGCGTTGGATGTATTCATGTTTAGATCCTACGTACGACATCAAGGACTTTGGAATCCCAGTTTCTACTTCCAACCTCCAACCTCAACGAAACTTGGAGACCTGAGGTTGAATCTCGACCCAGCCATGAATTCCTCGGCTCGGCCCGAAAGAAATCCTGCCGGCTAACACCGATTCCCTTTACGGGCTTCAACCCGTTTAGGTACCGATCAAGGAAAAGTCCTGTGACATGAAGGGCGAATTCAAGGATATAGCTCCTTCAGAGACGCAGTGTTACATCCAAGCTGACTGGTATCTACTCGAAGAGGGAATCTGCAGCCCTGCGGCTCAGCTGTTAAACACAACGGTCCTGCAGTTACTGCATCTTGGCTTTTCGCGGGCCGGCCCTCTCCAAATCAGGCATGTGGCAGTCGAGGAGCATGTTTCATAGACTTCCCCAATCATGCACTTGCCAGATCGTGGACTTCAAGGTTTACACGGGTGAGTTTCTCGCTGTAAGATGTCGACATAGGGAGCCAATGGCCCCATGCTCACTTCTCCTACCCACTTCAGCCTGAAATGGTGTACTGGGATTGTCAATCCCTAAACGGAAACGTGCTCCCGCGATGGGAATTCAAGGGAAGCATGGACGCATTCTGCGGACCGGACCGGACATGGCGATGCATGCTCGGCGCCCGGCTGGGGAATTTGGCCAAGCTGGAATAGCCCGAGCATCTCGAGACAGGAACACCTCATTCTACCAGATTCACTCTCGGCGACATAATGGAATTGAGAAGATATACGGCTTCGAGGCTCTATGACCCAACTATAAGTATCCTGTCCTCAGCAGTTGTAAGTGATCTCAACCTCATCACTCTCAAGTCATCAACTCAAGTCATCAACTCAACAAGCCTTCTATCATCTATTCTCTGCAAATACAACTGTCGCTGCGCCTCAGCCACAGATTATCATATCATCACACTTTAAGATTATCCCGTGTTATCAAACCATCGCCCAACATGCTCGGCAGCATTCTTCCCTTCGACGAGGAGAAGGTGGACCGCGTCAGTGACTACTGCGAGAAGCGCTCCCTCAACATCCCTGATACCCTTGCCGACCACTGGGAGTGGACCCGCACCCGCTTCCCCGATGCCGACAAGATGTCGAGCTGCCTCCAGGGCTCGTGGATGATCTTCACTGCCAGAGACCGCAAGCCGAAGCGGAGTACGTACACTTACCTCTTTCTGTTCATCCCGTCTCATCCCGTCTCTACACGGGGACATGCATGAACCCCCCCACTCCCCCACACGCTTGTTCCGCCACGCGGCAGCGGAATGGCACGACCCGGAACCAGGCTAATGCTCCGTGCCTTACTCAGTCCTGGAGATTGGTTGCTACTCTGGCTACAGCGCACTGGCCTGGTACGAGGGTACCAAGGACACCAAGGCCGAGATTGTGACGCTGGAGTACAGCCCCAAGATGATCGCCGCCTCCCGCGAAGCCTTTGCCAAGTACGGGGTTGAGGACCGCGTCACCCTGATCGAGGGCCCCGCGGAGAAGACGCTCAAAACCTTGACGGGCGAGTTCGACCTCATCTTCGTCGACGCCAACAAGGACGGCTACGCCGGATACGTCAAGACGATCCTGGACCAGAAGCTCCTCTCTCCCAACGGCGTCATCCTCTGCGACAACGGTACGCTCCCCACTCCCCCTCGCATCTGGTAACTCCATTGCTAACAAAAACAGTCTTTGCCCGCGGCCTTTCGATTGGTCCGGACTGCGCCCCGTGGCTCAACGACCACGTGCGCCCTTACTGGCTCAGCTGCGGCGAGGCACTGGAACAGTTCAACTCTGGCCTGGTGCAGGACTCCCGCGTTGACGTGCTGCTGCTGCCCCTGTTCGACGGTGTCACCCAGATTCGGTGGAGGGACCAGGTCAAGGCTTAAGCAGGTCTAAGTCCGCCGGCGGTTGCATCCGTGCTACTTAGGTACTCACCCTTCGGGGGGGTGACAACGCCGCAGCGGTGTGTGTTGCTTGATGCAAGTCTATGTACATACATACAAGTAGCTTGGCCAATGCGGGGGAACGGTGCCACTTAGATGCAGCTGCAGATACGCATTCGGTAGAAACAACGGCTATTCAGCCGGGCAATGGGATAGGCATAAATAAGCGAAATCCTTGTGCAACGGCTGTTCTGAACCTTGTTTGAGCCGCCTGCGAGGCCCTAACTCCGAGTGGATAGTCGCACCCCTTCGGACATCGCCGCTCACTCACCTCGGGAGAGGAATACGGGACGTCCCGCTTCCTTGTTCGGAAAAGGTCAAGACCGGGCAACCACCGAGGCCAGATTTGGCACTACCCATGCACCTCCTTTTAAGGATCGTGCAGCACCACCGATGCAAGTGTTCGGAGATCCCAGGACAAACCAGGAAATTCTGCACGCAATCGATCTTGCCGCGGGCATGCGGGTACACGCTTGCTTCTTTAGGGGGTGGAAGAATACGGGACAGACACGATGGGAAATGTGCTTTACGGTCCAACCTTGACTCGGAGACTTCATTAGCGAGTATATACATGCCATTTCAACACAAAGGATGCCTCGATAACCCGCCCCAACCATCCCTCTGCCTCGCCCGAGCCAATCACCACCCCCAAAGCACCGCTTACGCACCCTTGGTCACTCTCGGTCTCTCTCGGCTTCACCGCTGCACGGACTTCCTCGGTCCCCTCCCCTCCGTCCAAGATGGCGCAATCCCTGGTATACACCACCTCCGCCACCCCTGGCACGACCACTCCGCCCTCCCTGCTCGTCAGCCACGCCATCCCCTCGGTCTCCTCGGTCTCGGCCTCAACCGCCGCCGATCCCTCCTCGTCCTCCTCCGGCTCCGAAGAAGGAGCAGGCCAAGTCCTCGTCCGCTTCCTCGCCGCGCCCGTCAACCGCGTCGACCTAATGGTCCTCGCCGGCCGCTACCCCATCCAACCCAAACACACAGCCCCCCTCCCAGACGGCACCTCCCACCCCATCCCGGGCTTCGACGGCTGCGGCGTCATCACCACCTCCACCACTCCCTTGTTCACCCCCGGCGACCTGGTCATCCCACGGGATCTCGGCCTCGGCACGTGGCGCACGCACGCCGTCCTCGCCGCGAGCGCGCTAGTCAAGCTCCCCGGCGGAGTGGACCCGATCGACGCGGCGCTGATCCGGTCGGGCGCGCTGATCGCGCGGCTGCTGCTGGAGAACGTCACGCCGCTGCGGGAGGGCGACTGCGTGATCGCGTCAGCGGGCACGAGTGGGGTAAGCCAGTTTTTGGTGCAGCTGGCGAGGAAGCGCGGGGTGCGTGTTGTGTTGGTGGTGCGTGATCGGGATGAGGCGGTGTTGGCGGGCGTCAAGGCGGAGTTGCTTGCCTTGGGTGCGGATGCCGTGCTGAGTGAGTCCGAGCTGGAGGCGGAGCTGGAGGTTAGGGCGTCGAAGACTCCGAATGGGACGGCTGTGACCGGACTGCTGCCAAAGGAGCCCATTGTGCTTGCGCTCGACAGCGTCTTCGGTCACGTTGGGCAGCTGCTGGCGTCAGCACTGGCGCCGGGTGGCAAGTTCGTGCTCGTGGGTCTGCTTGCCGGTCCATCCGCGAGTGTGACGGTGACGACAGAGCATTTGTTCACCCGCCAGCTGAGCTTCCTGCCGTTCCGAGGGTCGGAACACCTCAAGCGGATGGGCAGTGTCCGCGCTGAACAGTTCATATACGAGACGGCGCGCATGTTTATCGATGGCACGCTAAAGCGTCCCACGGTGAAAGTTGTGGATTGGGGCAAGGCGGGTGAGGGAGAAGTTGAGGAGGCGCTGAAAACGGCGGTTCAGATGGCGGGTGGTAAGGAGGTTGGACATGTCAAGACGGTGTGGAAGTTGAATTAAGCGTAATGGATGGTTGAACAAAGATCGGCTGCAAGATACGAAGGATGCAAGATCAGTGAGATGCGAGATACTTACCTAGGTAGGTAGGTATTAGGTACCTAGCTGAGACTTAGTTCCTAAGTACTGATACACGTAGGCTGCAAAGTGAATCACATCTTATCACGTTACACTGCAGGCCTAGCTCGATGTTGAACTCTTCACTCCATTAAATTGATTATTAAATGCAAACAAGTTCTACATTCTGACCTGGCCTGAACGAATAATGAATGGACGAGAATCGCCGAGATATCTCAAGATCATGAAGCCTTTTCACTGCACCTTGTCTGTCAATCTACAAACAGAGGTATTCTTCCAGACTCCCCATTTGATGCATTGTATAGTTGTCCTATTATCCTTCCAAACCATCACTACTTTAAGCAGCAATGGCAACGATATCGCCAAACATCTTCCGTTTCTATGTATCGCAGTCAGCATCATTCTGATAGACCCGGCTGGAACGGGAGGGACATACCGTGAACAGGGCGGAAAGCACCAAGCTGAAGGCAGCAGCGACGTAAACGGGGATGAACACCTTGCGGAGGGCGGCCACGATGGCATCGGTGGCAGCTGAGCGGATCTCGGCGGACAAGGAGCTGAGATACTCGCCGCTAGTGCCGGAGATGGCCATCTGGAGCTGCTCACGCGAGGCACTGGGCAAGACGGCGGCGAGGTTGGCAATGGCGTCGTTGACAAAGACAGCGCCGGAGATGGCGAGACCCAATGCGATACCAGCCAGTTGCGCCAACATCATGAAGCTGATGGCATAGGCCATGTCCTCAGGGGGGGTGACGGCTTGGATGACGGCATAACCGGCCTGGATGAAGCAACCGGTGCCGATACCGACCAGGACCTCGAAACCGTAGATCTGACCCTCTGGGGTTTCGGTGGAGATGCGAGCTAGATAGCGGACCATTAGTACTATTCCTTAGGATTCTTTGGGGTAGAAGGTAGCACATACACAGCATGACACCGCCAACCAAGGTGAGGACGCTTCCGAAGATGTACCACGGCTGGAAGTAGCCGAAGCGAGCCATGAGATGCCCGTTGGCGAGAATGGCGGCGCTCAGCACGAAGATGAGCGGGAGCAACCGAACGGCGGCTGTGATGGCGCTGTCACCGCGGGTGAACTGGAAGTAGAGCGGCACGTAGTAGATGGGGACGAAGCCGGCCGTGTTGACAGCGGCGGCGCAGCAGAACAGGAGGACCGCGTTCCAGTTTCTCATGAACTGGATGGGGAAGATGCGCCCTGTCAAGCTCGTGAAGATGGTGTAGGTTTGTTGGATACCAAAGGAGATGAAGAGGACGAAGGACACGACGAAGAGCGCAATGATCTGTCCGCTGTTCCAGGGATACAGAGCACCGCCGAGGTTGGTGGCCATGATCAGCGTGACAATAGCGCCCATGCTCAGCACGGTGCCGACGATGTCGAACTCGCGCATCAGAGTCAGAGACTTGGTGCCCCGGCGCGGCTTGAAAGACGGGATCCAGAGGAGGTAAACCGGGGCGCACACTCCAGCAACGCAGAGGTTGATGTAGAAGGCCCACCGCCAGGTAGCCGGCGACTCGACAAAGGCGCCACCGACCACAGGTCCCAGAACTGTGCCGATACCCCAAACCAGGCCGACGAAGCTGAGGTAGCCCGGGCGCTCGCGGTCGGAAGTGTTGACGGACAGCAGAGTCATGACACCGAGGTACATGCCGTTACCACCCATACCAGCGAGGACACGCCCGATGATGAGGGCATCCATGTTGGGGGCAGCTCCACAGAGGGCCGAACCAATGTTGAAGAGGAGGGCTGACAGGATGTACAGCCATTTCGCATCGAACAAGCCAAACAGTCTGCCAAAAGGGAGCACGACCGCCGCACCACCGAGAAGGAATCTAGACGCGAGATAGACCTGGTTAGAAATGGTCCTCCCATAATCCCTTGGAAGGGGCATACACACCCAACAGACAGCCACGGCAGCTTCAACGCGTCACCGAAAGCATTGACGACGGCGGGTGTGATATCGGCCACCACGGTGTTGTCCAAAGAGTAAAGGAAGATGCTGGACAGAATTGCAATCACGACCAAGACCCACTGCATACGTCCATCGAGGTCAGTAAGAATTTAGATGCGCCACCCCACGTCGGATAGCTCTTACCACAACACCGTGAATTTGTCTCGGGGATACTTCTTCAGCATCACCGGACTCGTTGCCCGTGTCTGTGGGCACACCCGATTCGAGCTTGGAGTCTGAGTTGTTGTCGTTTGAGGAATCCTGGGGTTTCTCCCCAATGGATGTCGTGCCGGAGGACATGATAGGGGCGGTCGACCCGAGGGTCTCTAGGCGTCGAAGTTGGTCTGCTGGATGGTGGGTAGGTGGGAAGATGGGATGGGGATTTCAAGATTCACAAGGCGGCCGCTAAGAGCTTGGCTAGCTGGTTTCAGATCCCAATGCCGGGTGGGAGGTGTTCAATGTTTGCAACTCGAGAGAGGCAAGCTGCCGTGGATGGGGATGAAGATGTAAGTAAAAAAAAAGGAGACGGCACTTGGGGGAGAAAGTGGCCAACAAAGCAAATGGATCTGCAAATCTCGACCGCGTTGAAACCCAAACTCCTTTGCAAATCAGTTTTGGGCTTAGAAATCGGCCTTTGGGCATCTGTTGAGGAAGGAAAAAAAACCCGAGAGCTCGAGTGACGGCCGATAGTTGCTGTGCCTGTTCGCAATGAGACAGGGTCAAGCTTACCCACATTCCCAAAGAGGCAATCGAAGCTTATTCAAACAAACTGCATCAGGTAATCAAGCGCCAAGGCACAAGTTGGACCCCTGAATCGTCAAACATGTCTTTATTCCTTCGAACCTTAGTAATACTCCCAGATCTGTCTCTGCCCAACGATGCAAGAGGATGGGACTGTTGCAAATCTTTCATTTATCACCCAGGAGGATTCCCACAATAAATTTGAATGGGCCAAAACAGTCATTCTAACTCTGAGCGCCCCCAATACAACTTAATGTGTTAATAATCTAGCCCTCAATCCCGCGTAACGACCGTCTTCAAGTGGTCTTCCAATCCCGGAATCTCACCGTCCAAATCGATGCGCAATCCCTTCGTGATTCGCGCAATGAGGGCATAGACACCCAGCACAATGTAGACCTCAACCAGCTCCTCCACCGTCATCAGCGTCTTCGCCTTCTTGACCGTCTCCTCGGTGTTGGTATAAGTGACAAGCTGCTCATCCACCAGCTGCAGAATAGCCCTGTCCCGCTCCGTGAAGACAGCCTCCTCCGCCAGCGCCTCAGCACCCCCACCGGCGCTGCGCTTGAGCGCGGCAAACTTCTCCTCGGGCATGCCGTTGATGCGGGCGACGGGGGCGTTGACGTCCCACTCGTACTCGGCGTCGAGGGCGGCCGAGATGCGGAGGACGACGAGCTGCCAGTCGAGCAAGGGGAGGATGCGGCGGGTGCCGTCGAAGAAGTTGGCGTAGACGCTCATGAGCCGCGGGAAGGACCCGTGCGAGTGCCCGAGCAGGTAGAAGATGTTGCGCCGGTAGGGCAGGTGCGTGATGGCCGCTGCGACCTCGGCCGGGACGGCTTCGAGGTCGACGTACGGCACCAGGCAGTTTTGGGTCTTGGTAGGGGCAGACATGGGAGGCAATCTTCTGTGCAGTTCTGAACTTCTGAATCAAGGTTCTCGAGTTATTGTGGTTTAATTATGGTGCCCTTTGAGGCATCTCGTACGGGCTTTTGTACATGTGTGTAGCTAGCTATGTGGTAGTCACTAGGAATCCTCGTCGTGACTTTACGTACCCGAGAGTTCCTAGTCGAGTATCATGAGCATAATGGGTAGCCCATACCTACTTACACTGACTGCCATAACCCGTTTTTGGGTTTTCAGGTTGCCTTATAATCCAAGAACGTCTTGGGCCTGCCGAGTCCATTGCCGGTATCTTGTGCAGTTGCCGCCGGAAGTTCATCCTGTGCCCTATACCTGTTTTGGGTTCCGAGCATATTTCCGTTTTGGGCCTTTGGGAAGATGGTTTCTCAGCAGCAAGATTAGAAATCTGTAACATTTTGGGGCGGTACAAAGGTACATTGAGTTCGGACACTATTCCCAATTTGGGTCCCCGAGAGAATTGCCGTTTTAGGAAAGTCAGGGGTTTTCCTTACCCCTGACTTTGCATCCGTGAAAGACCCACCACCCATCTCGCCACCTCACCAATGACATTGACTTCCGCATCCGGCGCGATCTGATCGATCGTGGGTGGGTTTATGCCGAAGATCCATGTTCGGGCCTGGGGGTAACACTGGGGAAGCACTTGAAGCAGTGGGACCGAGGTCCGATGGTGAGACTCCGACCGTTGAGATCTTTTTCGCCCTTTTTTAACCTTTTCGATTTCTGCCGGACTCTGCCACCATGCAGCAGGTACCCCAGCTCGCCGAGATGCTACAAATGGAGCGCCACCTTCCTAGTTTCTCCCGCTCGTGCAGGCGTGCAGCCTGATACCTGCTTTGAAAGTACAACTACTCGTACAGTAACTACCCAGGTAGTGACTACTGCATGCGGTAGATGTGCCCGGGCTGGTTTGCTTCCCTTTGGAAAGAGCGGGGAGATCTCGGTCAAGAAGGCGAAAGGGTGGCTTACGGTTTGTAGAGTGGTTAGACCGGAGCCTAGCGCTGGTGAGAACAGGACCTACGTAATTTCTGACCGTGATATAACTACGATCAAGCTGCCTGTAGCAAATGAGACACATGCTGATAAATTCGAGACTAATGCTTCGTTGTTGCTGTTATCGTCTCGGTTAACGGAGCCGACCATCGAATCAGATACCTGACCCAAACCCACCCACCCCCAATGAATAACGCTACCGTCACCGGTAACAGCGGCCTGGCCGACCAGCTCGGTGTGCTCGAGCTGGGCTGGAGCTGGGTGCAGTTCCACCCCTGGACGACCCTCCTGGCGCTGCTCATCACCAACCTCACCTGGACCAAGTACCGCACAGGTCTGCGCCACATCCCCGGCCCGTGGCTGGCCAGTTTCTCTAGCCTGTGGAAACTGCGGGCAACATGGAACCAGAACATGCACCGTGAGAACGTGCGTGTGCATGAAGATTATGGCCCCATCGTGCGCATCGGGCCCAATCACGTCTCCGTGTCGGATCCCGAGAGCATGCAGACCATCTACGGCATCAAGAACGTCTATCGCAAGGTGAGCATGGAACCTTAGCCCGGATTAGACTTTGGCTAATGCTGCTGTCAGAGTGCTTTCTTCCCCCTGGCGGAGGCCGTCTACCGGGGCAAGTTCCTGCCCACGCTGTTCACCACGCAGAGCAATGAGTACCACGCCAAACTGAAGCGCGGTTCGGCCCGTGCCTTCTCCATGGACGTCGTGGTCGGCCTCGAGGAGTACTGCAACAAGTGCATCAAGGTGCTGGTGCAGCGGTTGCGCGAGGTGTCAGACGGCGGCAAGAACCCCGTCAACCCCGTGGCCTGGATGCAGTACTTTGCCTTTGACGTCCTCGGCGAGATCAACTTCTCCAAGGATCTCGGCTTCCTCGAGTCGGGCACCGACAAGGACAACATCATCGCTGCCATCGGCGGCATCCTTGGTTACGTCTCTTTCGTAAGGCACCCGTTTATGCCCCCCGAGCCAGACTTGCCAGAGACAGAGAGCTGACTACAGTGTTCAGATCGGCCAAATCCCCTACATGCACAAGTTCCTCCTGGGCAACCCCTTCCTGGCCAAGATCCCCGCGGTCGAGAAATCCAACCAGGTCCTCCAATTCTCTCTCCAGCAGATCGAGGACCGACAGCGCAACCCGGTGCCGCGCAAGGACATCCTGAACCAGCTGCTCGACACGCACCGCAACGACCCAGAGTCCCTCTCCCTGGACGAAGTCATCGCCATCACCACGACCAACGTGATCGCGGGCTCCGACACCACGGCCGTCTCCCTCTCCTCCGTAATCTACTACCTCAGCAAGTACCCCGAAGCACGCCAGCGCCTCCTCGACGAGATGACGCACGCGCAGCAGCACGGCCTGGCCTCCAACCCGATCACGTACGCAGAGGCGATCAAGCTGCCGTACCTATCGGCGGTGATCAACGAGGCGATGCGGATCCACCCGGCGACGGGCTTCATCCTGGAGCGGCTGGTCCCCAAGGGAGGGGTGACGCTGCACGGCGTGTACCTGCCCGAGAACACGGTCGTGGGCGTCAACTCGTGGGTGCTGCACCGCAACAAGGATGTCTTTGGGGAGGATGTCCACTCGTTCCGCCCCGAGCGCTGGATCGATGGTGATGAGGCTAGGATCAAGGAGATGAAGCGGAACTTGTTCACGGTAAGATTCCCCTACCATACCCCTTTTTGGCATCATGCCGGCCGGCTACTGGGAGTGGTATCATCAGATGGTCTAACTAGGCAAACAGTTCGGCGCCGGCCCCCGCGGTTGCATTGGCAAGAACATCTCCATTCTCGAGATGTGGAAGGTCGTCTTCGAGCTGTACCGCAACTTTGACATCAGCCTGGCCAGTGATAAGGAGTGGACCGTGAACGGTACTTGGTTCACTGCGCAGAGCAACGTGGCGGCGATCTTCAAGCCGAAGAGCCAGTGAGGGGCGCGGGAAAGGAGCATGTAACCAGATTGGGAATCCGAAATGGGGTCTTGTTACACAATATTTAGCCGACATGGCCGTGTCACAGTGCCAACGCGAGGGGGCATTGAAGAGATTGGGGGCCAAATGTTGTGACCTGCTTCGGTTGGTGGGAGAATGCTGGCTTCCGTAGGACAAGACCTGCAGATAGGACAAAGTTGACCGAATGAATGAATGAATGGATGTCTTGCAACCTTGAGGTTTTCAAGTTCGGAACCACTAAATGTTGATCTTTGACCAGATGTGCTAATGTACAGCAATCTACGTAGTCTAGAAGAGAGCCGTAGGGGCGTGAGGGTCGAGTTCCATCCAAGTATATACACAGCTAAACGCCCCCCTTCAAACGCCTTCCTCTTCGTGTTTTCGTCACCCGCTCACTCACTCACTCACCCAATCGACAATGCTTGAAAGACAATACGTAAGGCCCCTTCAATATCCCCCCCGGCCTTCGAAAGGCGTACCATCATCGACTTGACCTTTGACTGGCGGGCCTGGTTCGCCACCGTCTGGCTGGTCCGCTCGACTCGCAAAAGGAGTTTCTGGAAATTCCTAATCTGGAGCCGCAAGAGCACGCGGATCATGTGAACCTGCTCTTCGTCGGAGTACTGGTTTCGGAACTCGTCCGAGAACATTAATGGGTTGCAGGCGGCCGTGTTGGCGGCACGGCCCGAGGAGCTGCAGAAGAGCTGAGCCGGCAACGGGCCGGAGCCAACTGCCGCGGTTGGGGGCTGCGTTGTGGAGTGGAGAGAATGGTGTGACGAGTGGGAGTCGGGTGACTGCGATGACGCCGAGTGGCTGCTGGCGTCGCTGTTTTGGCCGGTAAGGATGGCGCTCGCGCTCTTGACGCGCTTGTGGATGCACTCGAACATCTCGGTCAGCCGGTCGCAGAGGATGAGGCGCACCGTGTGGATGGTCGACAGGTCAAGACACTTTGGGCAGTCCAGGGGTTTGCAGCACTGGAAAACGAGCCATTTCTGGAGTTGCAGGACCTGGTCCAGTGACATGGTCGTGATGTGGAACTCGTCATCGTCGAGCTGCTGCACGACGCGGACGAGGTCGCTCAGGCACGAGCATGGCGGTGAGCCGGACCGATTCGGATTTGGCTGGGATGGGACACCCGACAAGGCCCAAGATTGGGCCGGAGATAGCGGCCCAGCGTCCAGCGCAAGCATGCTCGGTAATTCCTGGGCAGTCGTTTCGGGGGCCGTTTGGGACTGTGCTTGTGTGACGGAGCACTTTCCTTGGGCGGCCAAGGCGCCAGATAAGTAGGATCCCAGGGCGTCGTAGGGTGGCTCTTGGGGGGACTTGTTCGGTTGATAGCCCGAACTTTCACTGCTTCCGCTATGGAGAGAAGTTACGCTCGGCCGAACCCCGACAGGGGCACCGTCTTGGCCAAGATCGTCTATATCGATGTCTAACCCATCAATGACGTCTGCAGCCGCGGCAGTTGTCAGCTTCATCGCCCAGGCCTGACACGCCTGGTCCGCCCGATCCGCGTGGTCCACCGGGTCCACCCCAAAGGGAAAAACTCACAGTCGAAGAAGTCGCCCTCCAGCGTATCAACGCCGACCGGGGCTATCGGGCTTGTGACACCCGTCTGCTGCTGCTGCTGCTGCGCCTGTTGTTGCTGCTGCTGCTGATGCTGCTGCTGTTGTTGGTGTTGTTGTTGTTGCTGCTGCAACCCAGATGAGGAATCTAGGGTCGGCCCGTCCGCCCCATCCCCCGATGAGGTGGAGTCGCGGGAGAGATCGCCCTGCTGCTGGGTCACACTCACAGGCCCCTCCGACAGTTTCTGCCACTCGAGTCTGGAGGAACTGCTAGGCCGTGACGAATGCGTGCGGTGGTCGTCCTGGCTGCCACTATTCCCCGGAAAGACGCATTCGACTAATCTGGCTCTGCAGCGGTCACAGTTGCGGGGGCTGCCAGTGCACCGTAGCTACGGGGGGGCCAGAATGCAATCGTTAGATGCCCAGTGAGTGACAACGAGGATGTTGTGGGTTAGGGAGTTGGGTGTTTTCGGGTGACAAATGGGAGGATTACCTAGAATGGACTTACCTTTTTCGTCTGACACGCGACACAGGCTGGGCGTCGGGTAGGACGGACGCGATTTTTCACACCGTTGGGGCCCGCGTTGCGTCGCACGACCTGCTCCATCCCTCCTCCCGCCTCATTTTGCGCTCCTGATGTCCGGAGTGTAATAAACATGGCGCCGACCGTTGCCAACCTCTCAAAAATATCTCGGGTTCTCAATCCGGATCCGACTCAGACTCGCGGGGAAAAAAAAGGGGGTGAGTGTCACGGGTGAAAGTAACACACACGGACTTCGGAATCTGCAGAGGTTCGTCGCTAGCACTGTCTCGTCTCACATGCCCCGCACGTATGTACAAGCTTTTAGGGCTGGATGGGGGTTTTAACAAGTTGGTTGGGGGCGGCGAAAATAAGCCGGATGAATATGAATGTACAGGTACGGGCGTCTCAGGGCCGATTCCGTCATCGCCGAGCACTGGAGGAAGCGCCCTTACTTGGATCGACGGGAGGGAAAGTGAGGGCAAGCAGGGAGGGGGGGCCGGGGTTAGCGATGTGTGTGAAGGGTGTGAAGGGCGTGAAGGGGGAAAAAAGGGGAGCGGCATGGCCTCCATGTCGGCTCCCGCCCCGCTCTTGTACGAGACACCCCGGAGACACCCCTGGCTTGTGGTCACGACACGACCGGCTCAAGGCACCAACTGGTCACCGTCAGTGGCTTGTCACGCTTTGTGCCCATCCATCCTACTTTGTGGGGCGAGCGGGGGGCTTGCAGATAAATGAAACGGCCTCCGTCCCCCGTCCAATGATCTGTCCAAAAACTACCGCGGTCTCGATGCGCACTGTCAGGCGCCACTGGAATGCAGAAGGAGCCCTGAAACCCGTGAGCCCTGATTACAGATAGCGGCGTTAAGTGACTGATGAGTGGTATTTAGTCGTCCTCCTCGCAACTGCTCGCAACTCAGAAGCCAGAGTCCGACGTGTCGACCAGGGCTTTACAGTCTGCAAAGTGGCCTAGGCTCTGCCCCCGGAGGTTTTTTTACACCACGTCACTAATCTCTGCGTATGTTGTGCATTCATACCCGACATCCTGCGGACGGAGTGGTGGTACTGTCGTATCGCCGACGGCATCCTGCCGAACTCGATGATATTATTCCCTGCATCATTTCTGCACTCCTCTTCCTACTAATTCCGGATTTCTTAAGCCCGCAGCCGGCACGAGTCTTATGTCGTGTCTGGGATTCTTGGCTTCGGGCAACCTATGTAGCTCCCGGGCCCGATCTTCAAGTCGTTCCGTCATAAATCGACCTTCCGTATGGAGGAAAGCAGAACCGGTAAGCAAGCACATCACCTTGGCAGCCAGGGCAGCTTGCCGATGGCTCGTCCCGAAGGCTGTGAATCCCTTGCTCGAGAAATAATACGAAGATGCGAGTTGAGAAAACTGGGCCCGAACTGAGCACAGATCTGTAGGTCGGGACTCACCAACCGCGAAGACTTTATACTTGCTTGGCTTGGATCCCTGACCACAGATTAGACAAGCTAGTCGGCCCGTGGATCTTCTCACGTGCGGCTACGCCATACACATGCATCATAATGATCAGCAGAAGGATTTCGACAATCTGCAAGACATCGGATAACTCGTGCGTGGCCAGGTTATATAGCCAGCGTTGGCCGGAGCCACCGGAATATCGTGTGACACACGGTCAGGTTGATTGGTGCAGACCCCGAGTTATATATCAACGGATGCTAAGTGATCCGAACTACTAACGTGTCATCAAAACGGAGACTGACCGGACCGTAGACGAGAACTGGCATGACAGACCTGATGGTTTTCGCCTGACTCGGCTTCGCGTGTTCAATAGCGACTTCAGCGCTACAGGAAACGCCTCCAGAATTTGAATCCATGACAAAGCATGTTTAATGGTGGATGGTAGCGGTATCGTATCCCGCTTCCTGGAGCTGGCAGGTAAGGGAAAGAAAAGATATGGCGAGGCCTACATATAGCCTCGATAGGCAACCTCATCTCAGCCGTAAAGTGGATATTCTGCTCACGACCTACCAATGTATACCCCCCCGCCTTGGGACTTTCGTATGCCAACCTTTTTGCCCTTTGGCTAACCTGATATCCGTTAACCGTAGCAGCAAAGGAACAACTGTCATCGGCCCCACCGTTCCTTGATCAAATCCGCCGCCTTCTCCGCCACGGCATACACAGTCCCCTGCAGCCCACCAGCCGGGATGAGCGGCATGATACTTGCATCAACCACGCGCAGCCCGCGGACGCCGTACACAGTGAGGTCCGGCGCGACACAGCCGCCCAGCCGCTCTGGCATCATAGCGCACGTGCCGGACGGATGGGCCAACGACGGCCGAAGGAGGGCATGATTTGTCGTCAGCTCCCTCAAGATCTCGTCGTCGGTCTGGAACTGCGGGCCGGGCGCAACCTCGGACGGCTCGAGGCGCGCCAGCGCGGGGTTCCGCCAGAAGGCGCGCAGGCGTCGGAGGATGGCGACAGTGTTCTCGCTGTCGACCGGGTTCATGAAGGTGTGGAAGGTGACGATGGGCAAGCCGTTCGGGTCGGCCGGGTTTAGCGTGACGGTGCCGCGTGAGAGTGGCTTGTACAGTGATGCTGCTGCGCCGCCGCTGCCGGCGATGGACCACATGGTGATGGCGGCCGACGAGCTGTTCAGTTGCCGCGCCAGGATGGCTCGCTGCGCTTCGAAACCACGCAGCAACTTGACGGACTCTCCATAAACGGAGGGAAGGTATGAGGCTGGCTTCTGTGCCAGAAGTCGCGCGACGAGCGCCGCTGCCGCCGTTGGTGATTCGAGCTGAGGACGGGTAAAGTACAAGATGGTAGTGGCGGTAGAAGCAGCGATGGGACCTGTCTTGTTGGTGAAGTACTCCTCCCACACGGTCTCGTTATACGTCGCATTGTTCGTGATGCTGCCTGAGTTTGGAAACGACTGGTTTACCAGGGCATACGTTATGAAGATAGTCGGGTGGTCTTGGAAGTTTGCCCCAACTGCCGGCATATCCTTCTTAACCTCAACCCCCGCAGCGTTGAGCACAGCAGCCGGGCCAATCCCACTCGCCTGAAGCAGCTGCGGCGTCATCAGAGCACCAGCGGCGAGGATAACCTCCTTTTTGGCATATACGTTACGTGTTGTGTTGTCAAGCCGCGAGACAATTCGTATCCCATTTGCTCTTAGCACCTCTCCAGGCGTAAAGAGGATCTCGGTTGCGGTGTGTCCCCGGAGCAAATGCAGATTCGTGCGTGTGGCATTGACGGTGTCGTAGTAAGCCTTCCGTGCCGTGGATCGGGTCATATCTCGCGCGTCGATGTTTGATGGGTTCCAGTACGCGCCAGCACCAGTTCCCAGGTTTGACCCTCCACCAGTGACGATACCGGGTTCGCTTCGCAAGGCATCCCAAAAGGTCGCCACGTCAGGGTACTGGAAGTTGGGGATGTGGAGATGCAGTGGGCCGTTGCCGTAAGCCGACGGATCCCAGGTGATATTCCACCGCGCAGTAGCCTCTGGACTGGGGGGGATGAATGTGGTACTCTTGAAGAAGTAGGGGAACAAGCCGTCCCAGCCCCAGCCCGGGTTCCCGAGTGCTTCCCAACCATCATAGTCGGCTTTGCTGCCGCGGTTGTAACCCATGCCGTTGACGACGGAGCCGCCGCCCACCACGGCGGCGGCAGCCACCGAGTAAGTCAGGTTGTTTAGCTTTTCATCAGGGGCGGACGGGACACGCATCAGGACGCTCGTATCAAGCTGGTTTGCGTAATAGGGGATAATGGCCTGCGGCTTATTGTCAAAGTCGCCCCGCTCAATGATAAGCACAGAAGCTTCCATCGAGGACTCCTGTTAGTCGAACTCTATGCCAATTGAGTGGAAGCGTGGACCCAGAACCCCGAGAAATGGGATAACATACTCCGGCGGTCTTGCGTCAACCGATTCGCAACCACCAATCCGGATATACCTCCCCCGACAACGATGAAGTCGTACGCGTCGTCACCGTCCGAGGGCTGGCTGTTGGCCGCGGAGTTGCCCGTAGCTGAGCCGACGGCGACGACGCCTACAAGGTAAATAGCTGCGACAATTTTGGTCCACATGACGATCAGCGGCTTTTTGGAGGAGCGAATACAGACTTTGCATTACAGTCAACAACACTTCGAGTTGGAATGGGCGAGTGTCGGGTTTTATGCTCGCATCACTCCCATTTGTAAATGAAACTCAATCAATATTTGGCGTTGACATATGTTACACAAATCTGCATCGAGCAAGCCTTTAACTAATAATAGTCCCAAACTTTCACGGCACATCTGCCAATTGGACCGAGAGCGTGGTTGAACGACTGCATCATGCGGAGAAGCAAAGAGTATTAGACCGACGGGACGAATGAGATTGGCACATCGCACTTCACTCGACCAAATCACGAGGAGCTGAGGTCCCCGCAACTTCCATAGTTAAGGAATCGTCATGCGTGTAAGCACACCAAGCGGGGAACATATTCCATAATAGATGGATTCCCAGTGTCTCTTCTGCGTTGATGGGTGCTGGTCGTACGTATCATGGATGCGTTGTTAAATCTACACACAGCAAAGCACCGGCCGGCCTTCAAGCTTGCATTCGGGTGGCAGTTATAGGAAGAGGTAATCGGTGATGTTGAATAATTACCGGCAAAGCAACAAAATAGGGCTTAACTGGTGCTAATACAAAACTTGAACTTCAAAGTCTCTATCTCATCCCCAAGGCCTCAACCTGCCCAACCCCGTTACTGGTGACTACTTAATGGCCTCGCCGTCCGACGATGGGGTTGAAGTAACGGAACTTATTATCGCGGTCATATTTCGCCTTCAGGCCGCGAAGCCTTCTCAGGCGCCAGGACTCGTGACCGTACTTTTCCTCGAGAGTCTCGAAGCCGTTGGCGTAGTTGACGTAGGCATTGACGGGCCGGGTTGGCTGACCGCCGTTCCACTGATCCCGGACCTCCTTCGCCCATTCCCAGGCGGCCCTCTCCAGCGCCGGGTTGTTGGGAGGCACGACTGCGTCGAAAAGCATCAGGTGGTGGTCGGCACGGAAAGGGTACGCCGAGTCGGCCGGGTTCTGGGCGCCAACGGCCTCGGTAGAGTAACCCTCGTGAAGAATGCCACAGCCTACGGCAAGTTCGGGCTCAGTGGTGATACGTCGCTGGAATCCGTCAAAGATCTGGCGCTCGGCCGTGATGTTGTACAGCTGCAAGCCCGCTGTCGTCGTGATTCGGATGTTGCCCGGCAAGCAAATGAAGTCATCCTCGGCGGTTTGCTGAGCCTTGGCTACTAGAGTGTAGGGAATGTCACCGGATTCCTCGTAGGCGGACTCGATGGCGTCGAATCGCGCTAAGTGCTTGTTGGCCTCCGCGGCAGTTCCACGGTAGGCAAATGTCCACCAGATGATGGGCTCATCGGTCGTGATGCTGGCGTTCACCAAGAAGTTTCCGAAGTTGGTGGTCATGTTGACCGGAGTATTGCCCTTGTCGTGGAAGTCATTGAGAGCGCTGAACACGGCCTCGAGCTTGTCGCCACGCCAAAGGTAATTGTGATAGTGCCATGTGTCCGGGCCTCGTGGGAAAATGTTCAGCTCTGCGCTTGTGACGATGCCAAAGTTATGGCCCGCTCCCTTCATCCCCCATAGGAGATCGCTGTGGCTTGTTGCGTTGACTCGAATGGCTGAGCCATTCCCTAGAACGACATTGAGCTGGCGGATGTTGTCGCTGATCATTCCGTAAGGACCTTCATGGCGTCCGTGGCCGCCCCCGAGGCCGGCACCAAGCAAACCGACGCACTCGCAAGAGCCGGTCGTGGTCACGTAACCAAGGTCCCAAAGCTGCTTCGTGACCGGGCCGCCGCGGGCACCTCCTCCGAACCAGGCCGACTTCCCATCGGGCTGGATGTCAATGTTGTCGAGAGCTTCCATCCTGATCTGGATACCGTTAAAAGTCCCCAGACTGTTCGGGTTTCCATGGCCGCCGTTTATGGCCAAGAACGCGATGCTGTTCTCATTGCAGTATTTGACCTTGGGGTACACGTAGTTAGTTAAACAGAACTTCAAGATATCGCCGAATAAGGAGCAAGTTTGTGGGGTCTTTGGGCTGGGGGGGCACTTACAATGATGGAAACATCGGATTCCTCGCCGGGCACGACGACGACTTGGATCTGAGGCACAGCAAACATGTTCCATCTTGCTATGGCCTCCGGATAGCGGTCATCGCCCGGCCCGAAGATGACAATGGAGTCGGACGCCAGTTCACCAAGCTCACGCTGGACTAGAGCGCTGTCCAAGTTGTGGCGGGTCCTGGGCTGTCTTTCAAAGTATCGAGGAATGCTGGCGGCGTCCACCAAGGTGCCCAAGGCAGCCAGACTCCAGAAGAGTGACACAAGGCTCCTCATCTTGGCGTTCCTGCGAGAGACAACGTGGGAAAAACGTGGATGGCACGGGATGGCAACGTGTAAGTGAAACCTGCAGTTGCGTTGCAGCGAATAAATCAACTCACGGATGCAGTACAACTCAATATGCACTGATCTACACGCAAACATGTCATCTATTTCTACCATAGCCCCGGCATAACCGTTCTCCGTCCGCACGAGAAGCTGACAATGTGTTTCCTCCAGCTGGAGAAGCGTGAAAGCTGGGCTTGTGGAACATGCAGCTGAAAAAGCCTCGTCGCCTCGTCTCGTTGTTAGACGAGAGGTGGTGCAGAATGGAGGGTTCGCCTCACTCGAGCGTCGGCTTGGCTTCGGCCGACGACCTTTCGGCCGACCGACGCTGCCTGGTGGTCTACCACAACGCCGGCTTGGAGGATTACGATTCCGTGGCGTTGGACTGTAGCGAGGCATTGTCGGGCGCCCGGAGTCAGAAGTTCGGGAGAGGCCGTTTTCAGCCGTGCTTGGTAACAAGACTGGCTATGAGAGGACATCTCATTACTCAGGGGTCATGTCTTCTTCGGCTCGCTCTGCCGTAGCGCCAATTCCGCGGAGCAATAAACCCCCGTCGATTCATGCAAGCCACAGAATGAGAATACCAATCAATGGAATTGAGGGCGTTGCTAGGATAATTTTAGTTCTTTGACACTCACCATAAGCGTTTGACACGTTGCGCTCGTGTTTTGACTCTACGGACGGACATCTCGAAAACAGGACTCCCGTCGGCATCACCTACACCACCAAATCCAGCTCACCATGTCGTTGTCCTTTGAGCGCGTTGCCTCAGCCCTGGACGGGGACTGGATCACAAGCCCCGTTCTCGTTGCGCTGGCCGCCGTCCCCTTCGCGTTGTACTGCCTGTACCAATGGCTCCTGCCAAAGCCGATCCCAGGCATCGCGTACAACCCGGAGGCGACAAGAACCCTTTTTGGCGACGCTCCCGCCATGATCAAAGAGGTCAGCGTGACAGGCGAGTTCCGCGTGTGGTGCGCCAAGGAGATGAAGAAGATGAACTCGCCCATCTGCCAGATCTTCATCCGCCCCTTCTCCCAGCCATGGATTCTCCTGGCCGATTACCGCGAGGCCAGAGATATCCTGACGCGCCGGAAGGAGTTTGACAAGTCGTCCTTTCTGTCGGACGGTATGGCATGCATGGGGGCATTTCACGGCATTTACATGACGGGCGACAAGTTCAAGTCCAACCGCCAGCTCATCCAGGATCTCATGACCACCAGCTTTCTGGACAAACACGTTGGCCCGGCCGTTCATAACAAGGGGCTGGAGTTGATCCGGCTCTTCGAGATGAAAATGGATTTGGCAAAAGGGCGGCCGTTCAGTGTCAAGAAGGATTTTGAATATGCCTCTCTCGACGTGATGCTCGAGTTCGCCTTTGGCAAGAACTGGGTACACACGGCAATGGGCCAGCAACTGGAGCTCGTACGCAACCTGGCGCCTTCTGATGTGGAGCTCGATGCCTCGGTGGATCAACCCGTCACGTTCCCACTCGCGACCATCGTCGACTTCCTGCACTCGGTCTATGAGGCCCCTGAGATTGTCGAGAAGACCATCAACGCGCTCATGCCAAAGCTTCAGACGTGGTGGTGGTCAAAACAGTCGTGGTACACGAAGATCTTTGACGACAAGGAGCGTGCCATGAAGGAACAAATCGCCATCGGCTTGAAGAACTTCCAGGCTGGACACGTCGAGACGGGCGTGGAACACATGTTGATGCGCGAAGCAGCCAGAGCCGAGAAGGAAGGCCGGCAGCCAGAGTTTGATAGCCAAGTGTTTCGGGATGAGGTGAGGCTCTTACGTTGAACGCGTATATGCTTCTGTATCATCGTGTGCTAACGATACGTGCGCAGCTGTTCGGCGACATTGTCGGAGGCCATCACACGACCAGCGGAGCCATGATGTGGCTGACAAAATACCTCACTGACTTGCCTCACATCCAAACGAAGCTCCGCGCGGTACTTTACGACACACTTTCGGCGGCGAGGAGCGAGAACCGGTTGTTCACCTTCCAGGAGATCCGCTATGCCAAACTGCCATACCTAGACGCGGTGATCGAAGAGATGTTGCGTATCAACGCAGTGCCGGTCACACGGGAAGCCCTTTGCGACACGACGATCCTGGGGTGCCCGATCAAAAAAGGGACTCAGGTTTTCCTCATGTCCAACGGCCCGGGCTTCTTGGGGCCTTCTCTCACTGTTGACGACTCAAAACGGAGCGAAACATCGCGGGCAGCCAAACTCAACGCCGGGTGGGACGAGACGCGGGACTTGTCGCTCTTCGAGCCGGAGCGTTGGCTCGTCCGGAGAAACAAAGGCGAGGGTGTGTTGGCGGAGGATGTCGACTTTGACGCCGGGGCAGGGCCGCAACTGGTCTTTGGCTTGGGGCCGCGTGGTTGCTGGGGAAGGCGACTGGCTCACATGGAAATGAGGACCATTATGGCCATGCTGGTGTGGAACTTCCAGTTCTCGAAGTGTCCCCCACCTATTTCAAGTCACGCCGGACTTGAAGGGATTGCCCGTGTTCCGCAGCAATGTTATGTGAGGATCACCGCCATTTAATTCAGATAATGTGGCTATGGCCACAAGACTTCTTGGAGATGCTCGGAATAATAAACATTTGTTGTTCGACATTGGATCTACAGTATTTAGCGATTTGGGATCTGTGGAATGCAATAGACATCCATCTTGGTCCCTTGACTAGCCGTGGAAACCACTTAGGTAGGTAGGTACCTTGCAATAGAGACAAATAGTCGGTGTCAGAGGTAAAAGAATATGGAGCGAGCTTGGTAGGTAAGCATTGGCACAGAGGTACCTAATTGTTGTCGAAATGTTCAGAGGCGTTGTTTACCAGGAGATCGGGCTCAACAAAACATAGCCGCATACTAACGAACAAAAAGACCTTGTAATTTCCACGACCTAGGAATGGCCGGTAAGCGGCGTCTAGATATCTCATGGCCCCCTTAATCGGCCATACCCGAAGCGCTGAGCAGTTTCCGGTTACTCTCGTGCCAGATGGCTGCGCCTTGAGCGCCGAACCCGACCCCAACCTCGTCGCTGAGAGACCCATCCGGCTTTGTCTGCTCCAGAGCCGTGAAGAACTTGTCGATGTACTCGCCGAGCGGCATGGGCTGCACGGCCTTGTCCTCGCCTCCCTGGAGCGCATCCGTCTGCACCCGATGTGCCGCGTTTAACGGCGTGTCGACATACGGCGGTACGACCTCGACCACGTTCATGTTCTTGTTACCGGTGGAATCTAACTGCATCCGTAGGATCTTGGTAAAAGAGGCAATGCCTGCCTTGGATGGGCAGTATGCCGGGTAGAATGGCACCGGAAAGTACGCCAACGATGAGCTCGTGAGGAAGAGATTGGTCTTGACGCCGGACTGGGCGAGGTCGAAGAGGTGCGAGGCAAAAGCCTGAGAGATCAAGATGGGTGCAGTGAGGTTGGTCGTCAGTTCTCGGATGACCTCGGCGTCGGCGGTGGGTTGCTGGAAGATGTCGTAGTAGCTTTGTGTTCCGGCATTGATGAAGACGGTGTCGAGTTTGGGGAAAGCAGTCAGAATCCTCTTAACTTCGCTCTGCAATTTGTCGAGGTGCGTCACATCCCACTAGTTGGTAAAAGGAGTCGTGCTGTTAGTGCTTGGGACAGGACGAAGATGGGGAATTGTCCCGTTGAGCGTACCACACGGAAGCCGACTCCCGGAAGATCCCGTGCCAACTGGGTTAAGTACTCTCTATCCTCTTCGCGTCCGGTGACAATGATCTTCTTGCCCAAGCCATGGAATCGACGGGCTACAGCCTCCCCAATGCCACCCCCGGCCCCGATGATCAAAATGGTATGTATTCTAGCAGACATGGTGTTGGAAAGCTTGGATTTGAGCAAGGCCAACAAGGGTCTAGAAAATACCAATGACGGCCTGGAAGTTCGCAGTACGACAAAACGATATTAAACACGTATGGGGGGGACGGGGACGGGATTCGCCCCACCATCCTGCGCATGCCTCGACGTTGCAGTGCAGCAGCTGAGCCGATATGGTTTCCGAATTCGATACATTCCGAGTCATCGGCCGAGACGTCCTGGTCTCGGGCGGCGGCCCCCATCGACTCGGCCTGGAGGACTTTTGATATTTAAACTTTCTCTGACGAATCAAATCCGCCGGGTTGAGTCTTGGCCGTCGAGGACCCGGGTCATCATTCCTCGCAGGGGGGAGGTTGGCACATGGGTCGGAACGGAAGCATCCACAAAGGTCGCGTATGGGTGCAGGTTCTTTTGTCACCAGAGGGCATACATGGATAGGTACACAATACAACCGGAAACAGACAGCACAAGCAGAGATCGGAATGCAAATTAAGATTTGACACGGTACCAATCCTATTCTCTGACAGCACAATGCTCAAGATCTCTTCAGGTAAACCTCGAGAAGTCCAAGCGGGCCGTTGTCAAAGACATTGCGGATCTCGTATCTGCGATCCGCTTCCTTCAGCAGCGTCTCAAACTCGGCCCGCGTGCGTTGCTTGGCACCGCAGTTGACCAGCATGACCATGTCCACCTGCCGCACGACACGCTCCTGGTGGCGTGGCCAGGTGCCCGGCTCGGGGATGATGATATCGTTGATGAGCAGGGGGGTGTCTGGGCTGGATTTCAGCAGCCCGGGGACAAACGACTTGAAAATGGTGACCACGTCCTTGTCAGCCCAGTTGTGCGTGCATTGGCGGATCAAGAAAGCCGCAGCGTTTTCGACCGGCTGGGGGTCGAAGAAGCTGTGTTGAGAATACTTGACGCGGCCCCGAAGTTCACCAGCAAGCGAGCTTTTGCCCTCGTCAAGCATGTCGGCGTTCGAGTCTTGCACAATGAAGTTCAGGTTCGGATACATCTGGTATTGTTGTGATTAGGGACGACTGAGACGGTTGTTCGCCTGCCCACTGGGCTTGGGGCTCGGCTTACCTGGGCCAGACTCTTGGAAATGTGACCGTTGCCGCCACCGCAGTCGACGACAGTACCCTTGAGCTCAGACCAGTTGAAACCATCTTGAAGCAGGAAATCGAGATGGCGGTCCATCTGTCTCAGACCGGCCATGGCTTTCGCGAACCGGCGGGCTTTATCGGGGTTGTTCTTGTAGAACTCAAAGATCCCAACGCCATGACGCGTGACGAAAGGGTTGAGATTTTGGTGCGCCTCGTAGGGGTGCGCCTTGAAAGTGATGTTGCAATCGGCAGCCGCCTTCAGCATCTCATCGAGCGAGTAGTGCACCACACTCCGCAGCTCCTCGTCCTGCTGCATCAAAAGAGAGGCGGAGCTGTGGGAGATGACTCGAGGACGATGTTCATCGAAGATGCGGTACGTCATGAGCTGGCGAACAACACGACCGGTGCGATCAACGTCAAGCCCGGCCTTCTTGGCCAAGTCGTCGAGAGGGATTTCTCCATGAGCCGGCACCAACTGGAAAAATTTGAAGTCAAGCGCGACCTGAAGGGCGCCGAGGTCATAGCCGGTGCAACAAAACTCCCGCAGCCACTTCCGGGGGCCGTCGATGAGACGTTGGAGATCTTCCAAATTGGTCTTGAGAGCAGCGTGAATAGTGCGATATTCCGGAGTGTTGGGTGGATCCTGGGAGTCAAGAGCGAAGCTGGGAGCGTCGAGGTTGTTGGCCTGGATGTATGTCGTCATATTCTGGGTGAGCTCGAGAATGTTCTGAGCCAGACCCAAGAGGGACGCGGTAGAGTGGGCTTGCCCGTTGGCCATGGTAACTGTAAGTGACTGAAGTCGTGTGGAGATAGTTTGGTAACGTGTGAGGATCTAGCGCGGTACTGTATCTATGATGTCTTGGTTCGAAGGGACGACGAGGAGACGACAAGATAAACTACAAGTACACGGAACCCTCTGAGCCGGATGTACTTGAGCCCGGCGCTGACATTGCAATGCTATCAATGCGGACCGTCCAATCACGACCCGCATTTCGAACGGCCCGGTGCCTTCAACGGCATCGGGCAGAGATATCGGCATGGACATCGTCATACCGGTAGACAATTGACGGCGATTGACCCGGTTGGCGTGTCGGGCATGGTCCCATCGGGGGAGTCCTATCGGGGCGAGTTCGTCAGGGTGGTGTCCTCAACATGGGCATTTCAACACGGTGGCGTAAGCAAGGGGTGTCGGCCGATGGCCTCGGCCCCCTTTCTGCCGGTTCGCGCCGTCGCGGCCGATATCTGGCATATCCGAAGAGGTAATGCATGCAGCATGGTCTTGGCATAGCACAACCGACGTGCCTGTGCATTCTACTATCTCGGTTTGTAAGCGCTAGCGAATAGCTTAGGAGTTGGGACTAGGTGTATCAGGCATGGATAGTGTGTAGTGGGCATGTTAGGGAGACGTGAAATGACATATTACCAGCTGCCCGTGTTGATCGGCACACATGAAGTGCCTGCCTCGATAACTGTTGCCGTGGCATCGCAAGCACTGAGAACGTGATAATACCTACCTACCCACTCAAACAACGATTCAACATTGTTTTGATCCAGTGAAGCAACCCGAGTCCGCCATGGCTTCAACCTCACCGACTGGCCAGCATGAGCCCGTGGCCATTGTGGGCATGGGTATGTCTCCCGATCCCAACCTCCAGCAGCACAGAGGTTTGATAGTTGACATCCTTGAACAGCTTGCCGTTGGCCCGGTGGTTCTCACGATGCTACAACATTCTGGGAGTTTCTTCGTAATAAGGTAGACGGCTGGAAGGAGTTTGATGAGCCTCGCTTCTCCTCCCAAGGCTTTCATCATGCCAATCCCGATCGCCCAGGAGGCTTCGCAATGAAGGGTGCATTCCTTGCTGAGCAGGACGCCCGCCTGTTTGACCATGCCTTTTTTGGTATGACGCAGCTTGAGGTGGAAACGATGGATCCCTCGCAGCGGAAGTTGCTCGAGGTGGCATACGAGGCGATAGAAAATGCTGGGGAGACATGGGAGAGTGTCTCGGGGTCTCGGACCGGCGTCTTCGTCGGCAACTTCTGCCTGGATCACTGGATGATACAGTCCCGCGACTGGGACAACCCGAGACCCTATGCCTTTGTGGGCGCCGGTACCAGCATTCTGGCAAATCGTATCAGCTACATATTCAATCTTCAAGGGCCAAGGTACGTCGGGCACACTGCGTCACTACAAGGATGGAGCGAGCCTGCTGATCAGTTAAACCTCGAATAGCCTGACGGTTGACACGGCCTGCTCATCTTCCATGTACGCCCTGCATCTGGCAGTCAACGCAATCCGCGCCGGTGACTGTGACTCCGCCATTGTTGCATCAGCAAACTGGGTCGCGGACCCCGGCGTCCAGATTGCGCTCGACAAGCTCGGCGCGCTGTCTGCTTCGTCCAGATGTCACACCTTCGATGCCAGAGCCGAAGGTTATGCGCGAGGAGAGGGATACGGTGCCATTTACTTAAAGCGGCCATCACTGGCCATCGACGACCAGTCACCGATCCGGGCGATGATAAGGGGTACTGCCATCAACTCCAATGGCCGGACCGGTGGAATAACACGCCCGAGTGCCAGCGGCCAAGAAGCCGTCATCCGCGAAGCGTATCGGCATGCTGGCAATCTCCCTTTCAACGACACGAGCTACTTTGAGTGCCACGGTACCGGCACGTATGTTGGAGATCCAATCGAGGTGGCCGCTGTGGGTAGAGTATTCGGCTCAGTCAGAGCTGCCGATGACCCGTTGCTTGTCGGCTCCGTCAAGAGTAATGTCGGCCATGGAGAAGGTGCCAGCGCCCTGGCATCCATAATGAAGGTGGTCCTCGCCCTTGAGAAAGGCGCAATTCCCCCCATCTTCGATCTCAGGACAAAAAACCCAAACATCGACTTCGACGCCGCCAAGGTCCAACCGGTGACAGAGCTCACCCCTTGGCCAGAGAACCGATTACAACGAGCCAGCATAAATTCTTTCGGCTACGGCGGAGCCAATGCCCACTGTATCATCGACCATGTCAACAACGTTCTACCGGACTACGTAGCCCCCGGGGTCTTCAAGAGCACGGCCAAGGGTGCAACCAACAGCACGAGCAACGGTGCCACTAACGGCGTCACCAACGGGAACGGAAACGGCATCCACAATGGCACTAGCACAACAAATGGACAAGGCAACGGCACCACCCATGGTGACCAGAACGGACAGCCGTCAGGTCAGCACCACCCAATCGTCAAGAGCCCCCGCTTGAATGCCACCCCCGGCGCAGCGACCCGTCAACTAGTCCTTCTGCCCCTGTCAGCCCACAATAAACAGTCCCTCAAACTCAACGTCGAGGCACTGTCCACGGTGCTCCCCAAGGCGTCTCTGGCAGACATCGCGTACACGCTCGGGGCCAGGCGCTCGAGACTTGCCCAGCGAGCTTTCTGCATTGTCGACAAGGATGACGTCGTCTCGAGTCTTCTAGCTGTCGCCGAGAGCCAACCTGTACGAGCACCCCTGAATACTTCCAACCTCGGATTCATCTTCACCGGCCAGGGAGCGCAGTGGCACGGTATGGGGGCCGAGCTGTTCGAGTACCGTGTATTCCGCACCACAATCGACTTCCTAGACTTCGTGCTCGGCACACTCCCGAATGCCCCTTCTTGGTCTCTGCGCAGCATTCTCTCCGGCAGCGGCGATCCGGCGTTGACGCAGACGGCTGAAGTCTCCCAAGCTGCGTGCACGGCCGTGCAGATCGGTCTTGTTGATCTCCTGGCTTCATGGTCCGTCCGCCCCTCGGGCGTTGCTGGGCATTCGTCAGGTGAAATGGCAGCGGCATACGCGGCTGGCCGCATCACAGCTGCAGAAGCTATCACAGCCGCTTACCTGCGTGGCCAAGCGGTGTCCAAGAACGAGAAAACCGGCGCCATGTTGGCCGTCGGCTTAGGATACCAAGAGGCATCCAAGTACCTGGACGGCCGAGAGGAAGAAGTAAAGGTGGCCGCTATCAACTCTCCCGGAAGCGTCACCCTGTCGGGAGAGGAGAGCGCCATCGACGAGATCTCAGCGCTCATGACAACGGACAGCATCTTCAACAGGAAGCTGAAAACCGGGGGTAATGCGTACCATTCCCATCACATGAGACCCATTGGACGCCAATACGTCGACATGCTCAACCAGGGAATCGATCACATCCGAGAGCTCGGGCTCGCATCTGCCGATCAGCGGTACCCGGAGACTTTGTGGGTTTCGTCAGTCACACCCATCAAGAACACCGCCAATATCAACGACATGGCGGCATACTGGAGAGCCAACCTCGAGTCTCCAGTGCGCTTTTCCCAAGCCGTCGAAGGCCTCGTAGCCACCGCAGATGTGCCGATTCACGCCCTCGTGGAGATCGGGCCTCACCCGGCACTCAAGAGCGTTCTTGACCAGATCTTGAAGGCGAGCGGCGTGACCGTGGGGTATGCTTCGACACTGAAGCGGCAGGAAGATGCCCGGGTGTCTGTGTTGCAACTTGCCGGGACCTTGTTTACGCTGAACGCCCCCATTGACCTCGCCGCTGTGAATGCAGTTGACGACGCGAACGGGACTGGTCTGCAGCATGGCAGCACTTGCCCCGAACTGCCACCCTACCAGTACACATATGGGGGTCTAAACTATCACGAGAGCCGGGCCAGTAAGGAGTATCGATACCGGTCGGTCCTCCGACACGATCTCCTGGGCTCCAAGGTGGTGGGCACCGCAAAGCTACGACCTCAGTGGCGCAACATCCTCCGCATGAAGGACGTCCCGTGGTTGGCCGACCATCGTCTCGTGCCCGATGCAGTCCTTCCCGGTGCGGCATACATAACGATGGCGGTGGAGGCCGCATCGCGGATCTACAACGAGTTCCCCGAGCCGCTGAACATCGAAGGCTTCTCCCTCCGCGATGTGGCAATTAACAGGAGCTTGACAATCCCGGAGGACGATTACGGTGTTGAGGTTTTGACGAGCGTGGAACTCGTTGAGGCCACGGCCCAGTCACCGGCATGGGCGACATTCTCCATCAGCTCGGTACGGCACAACAACGACGAATGGACCGAGCATTGCACCGGCCGCGTCAAGGTCGAGATTAGCCATACCGACGGTGAGCGTGGAGAACAACAGAAGCAGGCCGTCCTCCCCGCTGCCTCACGCGCTGTCGATGCCCGTGCCTGGTGCAAGAAGTTCTTGGAGGTTGGATTGGGCTACGGCCCGGCCTTCCAACCCTTGTCCGACATCCGTGCCGATGCAGCGTCAAACCTGGCCGTAGCAACAGTCAACCTGCACACGACATCACTCAAAGAGGGCGAGTCGCACTACCCTTTGCATCCGGCCTCGCTGGACGGCATGATTCAACTGGGGTTGGTTGCGTGCCACGGAGGCCGTCCCAGCGAGGCCACCACGGCCTTTGTGCCTGTCCAGCTTTCTCGCCTGTACCTCGCCAATAACATCGACGATGTGGCTGCAGATGCATGCACTGGCGTTGCCCGCGGAGAAAGACGTGGTGTCCGTGGCGCTAGGCTCGACTTTCAGTTACTCGGACCCGCCGGGGAGGTCCTGCTCCAAGCCGACTCCCTCCGCTGCATCAGCTACTCGAGTGCAGCCAAGTCCATCGACAGGACTTTCAGCAGCCCATTCACACGTCTTGTTTGGAAGCCGGATATCCGCTCGTTAAGCAACCACCAGGCTCGCCAGATGTATCCGCCTCCCAAGGCAAACGTGGACAAGTCTCCGTCCTGGGGAGTCACGAATAAGCTGGCACACTTCGTGGTTCTCAGCGTGTACGAGCGTTTCGGGAAGCTGGAAGACCAACCCAAACCTTCGGGCGATGTCGGCCACTTCTTCGACTGGATCAAGAGGAAGGGCCAAAACGATCATTCCGAGCTGATGAAGGAGGCGAGAGAGCTGGCTGCCAAGGGCCTCCTTCTCCAAAAGATTGACGAGTTGGCCCGCCAGGCCCCTGACGTGGAGGAGGTTAAGATTTCGAAGCTGCTCCACGACAACATGGACGACATTCTGTACGAGCGCAGAACTGGGATGGACGTCATCATCGGCGAGGGCCTGCTCACGCCTTTGTACCAATCCGGTCTGTTAATGACGGGCATCTACCCGCAGCTGCACCATGTGCTGTCTGGCCTTTCCCACGCAAACCCCAACCTCCGCGTTCTCGAAATCGGAGGCGGCACCGGCGGCGCTACCCGCATTGCGATGAAGGCCTTCAACGGCCCTAATGGCATCAAGGCCTACCGGGACTACACCTTTACCGATATCTCGGCCGGGTTCCTGTCTGGAGCCCGTGAATCCATGGCTGGCTTCCGCGATATGAACTTTTCCGTTTTCGACATCGAGGGGGATCCTGTTGACCAGGGGTACGTCGAGGAGACCTACGATCTCATCATCGCATGCCAGGTCCTCCATGCCACATCGAACATGCATAGAACGCTCAGAAACTGTCGACGACTTCTCAAACCTGGAGGCAATATCGTCTTGGTGGAGACCAACCAGAACTTCATCGTACCTGGTGTCGTGGTGGGCACGTTCACCGGGTACTGGGCCGGCATCCCGGATGGTCGTGTTGATGCCCCTTTCCAAAGCTTGCCCGCCTGGGATCGCTCACTCCGGGATGTCGGCTTCTCGGGCCTGGACGTGGTGCTGGATGACTTTCCGGAGCCGCATAATACGACCTCGGTGATCATCTCCACGGCTACGCGACCCGAGGTGACAGGCTCAACCGCATCATCAGCCGCCGTCCATGTGCTCTACAGCGGCAGAACGGCTCCGGCCTTGGTCAACCACATCTCCAACGAGCTGGGTCGGCGAGGGGTGGCTGCCAAAGCAAACCCATTGAGCAACGCCTCAGAGGAAGTTGCTCCGGGAGCGCGCGTGGTTGCGTTGTTTGATGACAATCATCTTTTGACCAACGGTAACGAGGACGAGTTGAAGACCTTCCAACACCTAGCACGGAATGCCGCTACTTTCGTTGCTCTTACCAGCTGCGGTTCGGTCAAAGGCGGCAACCCAGACGGCGCCCTAATCCCTGGCCTTCTACGTGTCATCCAGAACGAGAACCCTGCTACGCAATACTTGTCGATCGACATCGACGCCGATAGCTTTGCTGTACCGGAGAATGAAGGCAAAGATTTCGCTCGCTGCGTCGTCGACCAGGAGACCGAGCTGAACCGGGCCAACCCAGGGGGCTACCACGACCCCGAGGGGAACCCGGCCGATCGCGAGTTCAGCTGGCACGGTGGTTGCCTGCAGGTCAGTCGTCATGTACCCGATGCAGGCTTCCACTCGCAGCGCGGGGTGGATAGCCGAAACAGAAAACCGGAGCTGCTACCGCTCGGCAGTCAGGGTGCGGTGCGAGCCACCTTTGAGACACCCGGTGTGGTCAACTCGTTGTGCTTTACGCGCTATGAGGAGCTCCTACAGCCGCTGCCGGCGAACTTTGTGGACGTTGCCGTTGCGGCCGTTGGCCTAAACGCGCATGACTTGGACCACTGGGCCGGCCGCGTCGATGGCGATAGCCTGTCCTCTGAATTCTCAGGCGTTGTCTCCGCGGTGGGTGCTACCGTGGACGGCATCAAGGTCGGCGACCGCGTATATGGCCTCGGTAAAGGCTCCTTCAGCAATTACACACGCGTACCAGCCGCGTTCGTGTGCAAGCTCCAGCCGACTGACGACATGGTCGAGATGGCTTCCATGCCAATGACATACGCGACGGCGGTATATGTGTTTGATCACGTTTTACGCCTCAGAAAGGGACAGGCGGTCTTGATCCAGGCCGGCGCAAAAGATGTTGGCCTGGCATCCATCAATCTTGCAAAGGCAAAAGGAGCTCATGTTTTCGCCACGGCCCAAACCGCAGAAGAGGCCAGCTTCCTGATCGACAAATTGGCCCTGCCAGCGTCACATGTCATCACCGCAGCTAACCTGACGTCCCTTCAACGTGCCGCGCAACTCACAAACAAGGGGACGTTTGATATCATTGTCAACACTGCTCCCGGCGAACTATCGGACTCCTTCCGGCAACTGTTGGCGCCTCTAGGCCAACTTGTTGACGTTGGCCGGCGCGATACACAGTCCGCTCCAGCGATTGGGAGTTTGGAAAGGCTCCCGCACAACGCTTCTTACTCCTCGGTCGATCCCATGGTTGTTCTCGACGCTGACCCGACGCTGGGTGCGGAGCTGATGCAGACCGTCGACAGCTACCGCCGCCAAGGTCTTGTTGGACCGATCCAGCGAACTACGGCCGTTGATATTGCCGAACTATCGGCTGCGGCGGTTGGCACTCTCTCCGACGTGGCCGGGAAGCTTATCGTGAGCTTCCAGAACCCCGAGAGCGTCGTCAGGATGATTCCATCGGCACCCGCAGCCCGCTTCGACCCTGGATCGTGCTACGTCGTCGTCGGAGCCCTGGGTGGCTTGGGGCAGTCCTTAATGCGATGGATGGGTGATAGGGGTGCGACTAATATCGCGCTTCTTTCTCGACGTGATGTTTCCACCGTTTCTGGCGCCAGCGAGCTGGTTGAATCTCTAGCCAGGCGCGGTATCCAGGTCGACTCCTTTGTCTGCGACATCAGCAAGAAGGACCAAGTCACTCGCGTCATCCAGGAGGTCTCTTCGACACGTCCCATCAAAGGCGTTGTGCACGCCGCTGTTTCCTACCTAGACCTGACGTTCGACAAGATCACCTCAGAGAGGTGGAACGAGGGTCTGTCAGCTAAGGTGGAGGGAACCAAGAATCTCCACGAGGCGACGCTGTCCATGCCCCTCGACTTCTTCGTCATGACCACCTCCACCTTGTCGGTTTATGCATTTGCCACACAAGGCGCATACACAGCGGCCAATAACTTCCAGGATGCCTTCGCGCGGTACCGTCGACAGCAGGGCCTGCCGGCATCGACGGCCTCGTTCAGTTTGATCCGGGAGGTCACCACAGTCGGCACAAACGACCTCACCGTCGACCTCTTTGAGCGTAACAAGACGGTGACGATTGGCGAGTCTCAGTTCCTGGCCTTGTTCGAGCCGGCCTTCCTGAACAACAGGACGGTGGAGGAAAATGCTGATTCCGAAGCGCAATGGTCCGGACACCATGACGACCCGCTGTCCGCCGCAAATCTCCATACCTACCTGGACCCCACGGGCATGATGGCTAGAAAGCGTGAAGAGCTCGCAAACGACATGCCCTCGTCGGGCACTGCACCACGCTGGTACAGCGACGCGCGGGTGTCTCTGATGATGCGTGCCTTCTTGGACGCGCAACGTCAGTCCGCCGAACTAGAAGGTTCGGCGGCTGATGAAGGAGGATTCAAGAACACTGCCGCCTCCCTTCGCAAGGAGTTTGAGGCTGCTGTTCGCGAGGGAGCCGCTGGGCGAGCATCCACACTCTCAATCGTGGAGTCGGCCATCACCAACGCGGTGCCTGAGATGTTGTTTGTCGATGTGGAGAGCATCGACCCGGCGAAGTCCGTGGCGGACCTTGGTGTGGATAGTCTCATCGCCGCTGAGCTGCGGAATTGGTTCCTTCAGGCGCTTGGAACCAACATCAGCATGTTGGACCTCCTTGATCCGAGTGTGAGTATCAGTACACGGGCTGCCAGTATCACCGATGCGGCTCTGGGTGCAGCAGTGTAAGGGGCACCAGAATGGTTTTATGGCTCTTTAACTTTGTTTGCACTCTCTTTTCTTCCACTTTTTTCCTTGGGCTTTTCCTACTGCAGGATATCGAGAATACGAAGTATGTAAAACATGAATGTTATGAAATTATTAAAATAGAAACAGCGAAACAGCAGGGTATGTGAAAGTCCCCATGATCCCGGGTCCCGTTGCATGGATGTATTCTCTTGTAGCGCATATTATCCTAGTTATTAGACCACTCTACCTGAGAACCGAAAGTAACTGAGACCTTTAAGTCGGGATTAACACGCCCCTGTGTGTCTATTCATAATGTCTTGCATGCAGGCCCGAGTTGTCAAATCTTAATAAAACAAACATCACCATCTCTTTAATACACCGGCGTCGAGGCATCAGGTTTATTTGCGACAGTTTATCTGCGAACAATTACACTACCCCCTAAACGCAACCTCTCCATGACCACCAAGTCACAGCGGCTTCTGTGCAACGCATACAACTCTTGGGACGCAGAGGGCAGCTCCGGCCACTGACTCATTATACGCGTCTTCGACGATGCGAAAGTACTTGGAACCTGCCTCCGTCTTTCCAAGCTTCACCAAGCCCTCGGCAAATTCCTCCGCAGTGAGGAGATGCTGCTCATTAAACGCTCTCGCCAGCTCCAGAGGATCTTCGATGAAGTCAGCCCTGGCGTCCTGGAAGCCCTCCTCGGCAAGGAACTCAGGCAGTCGGACAGTCCAGTCATGCCTGCCATCCGCCCATGACCAATCCCGGAGCTGATCCAGGGCGGGTGTTTGCCGTTTCGGATCCAGCTTCTTCACCGTCATGTGCACCGTGTCGAGCTCGTCCCACTGCAGGTATCCGCCAGGCTTCAAGAGCTTGCGAAGGTTCCGGATGATGGCACGGGGGTTCTTGGACTCGACGACCAGAACAAGGAGTCTCGTGTGGACAAGGTCGTACTTGCCGACAAGATCATCCGGGATGTCGTCAAATATGTTCCAGTGCCGCATCTGGACGTTGGGTGGCAGCCATTTCTGAGGAGGGGACTGAAGTAGATTGTAATCCAGACCGTCCAGTTGTGCTTCCGGCAGCTGCCGCGCGGTGTCGATGAGCCAGATGCCGGTTCCAGCTGCCACGTCGGCGATGACGGCGGTTTTGGGCAGCGCGGCGGAGATAGAAGGGTGGATGTTGAACTTCAGCGCATCTTTCCAGAGGTAGAACTGGAGATTGAGACGGCTGGCGGCAGCGTGACTGCGGTCCCGGGCCAAAATGTACCCATGACCGTTGGTCAAGCTCCAGTCACTGGCTGTGGCGGGTTCTGCCCCCATTGTTTGAGGTTTTGAGCGGTATTCTCGAATCCCCCGGCGGAAAAGGACGAGGTAGTCTCAACTTGGGTGGGGCATTGCAAGGCAAGCGTCAATTTCTTCGTCACAGGTTTGTTTGCTATCTACTTATGACAAGTGGTTGGTTGTTGTTTGGTTGAGCTGCATCGTCATGTTTCCAGGATGCATGAAGTTCGAGTCCCATTCCCGACAAGTACCCTTGTGCCAATCGGCCGATATACTGAAACCAAGGCACGTGCCCAAAGTTCCCTCTTCATTTATCGGGCATCCTATCGGGCGTCGGCTGTGGCTTGGAAGAGCCCCCCTCGCTTCGAGCCCGACCCGTCCAATGACAACTCAACTTGGCCGTTGGACTCGGGCCGTGTGAACGTCCATGCTCTTGCACGTCTCTCTCTGCAACCTTTGTGCCAACCGACCGCCCGAGGTTGACCAATCACACAAGCTTATAAATCGTGGACAGTCTTGATCAATTTGTTGTGTGGGTCGACTATGGCCGTTGGTAGGTTGCCTGGCTTACAAATTCGAAAGGACTGAGCGTGGTGCAAACAAACAGCAAGAACCAAGAACTTAGTATAGGTGTATAATAAAGGAACGGATTTGAAGATATCGACTCTCTCCAACACCCTTCAATGACCAAGCAAACACAGCACATCACACCATCATCCACATTCACACATTAAACTTACAATGACTTCAGTCCTCATCACTGGCGCTTCTCGGGGCTTCGGGCTTGCCCTGGCTCGTGAGCTTGCTTCTCGTCCAGCCTCCAGCATTGGCAAGATCTTTGCGACAGCACGCGGTGATTCCGCTGCCTTAAACGAGCTCGCCCAGAAGCTCCCTGACCGGGTTGTCCTCGTTCAGCTTGATGTTACCAACCAAGACTCCATCAAGAAAGCAGCAGCCGAAGTCCAAACGAAGCTCGGCGGCAAGGGGCTGGACGTTCTGATCAACAATGCCGGAGTGTGCCAATATGTGTCTGGGGGCGTCCCGACAATGTGAGCTTCCCACCTCGCAAGATGACTTGATATCGACCGTTTCTAAACTCATCTTAGGGATAACCTCGAGGAGAGCTTCACCATCAATGTCCTCGGCGTTCATTGGGTCACCCGTGAGTTCCTGCCACTACTAAAGAAGGGCAGCCTCAAGAAGGTTGCCAACATGTAAGCCGAGACGCCCCCTACATTGCCCGTTTCGAGCGCTAACAGTGGCCAAGCTCAACCACCATGGGCTCCATTACCCTGGCTGGAGCGGCGGCCGCCCTCCCGGCGCCCGCCTACAAGATCTCGAAGGCGGCTATGAACGCGCTTACCGTTCAGTACGCTCTTGAGTTCGAAAAGGAAGGCTTTTCCTTCATCGCCCTCTGCCCCGGCGTATGTCCTCCCCCTTTCCCCCTTCAACGAGATTCATTGCTGACGCCAGGTGTTTAGTGGTTGAAAACCGATCTGGGAGGCGGCGACATGGCCGACTTGACTGCCGAGGAGGGGGCCAAGGCTTCATTGGACATTCTCTTCAAAGAGGGCCAGGTGTACAACGGTCAGCTTCCAAAGGTTTTTGTAAAGGGCTGGGAGCATCCCCAGGAGGGACGGTGGAACGTTTATGACGGGACCAACGCTCCGTGGTAGTCTGTGTCTCTACACCTCGAGCCTCCCATTGTCCACGGACCACAGGCCACAGCTGTACCGAGATTATGCTCGTGCGAAATAAAAAAAGGTTTCTCAACACAACGTAGTACCAAGTATCGGCTGTTTTCTTCCCTGCCCTCAAGTTAACCTCGGTTGCATCGCAAACCTGTCTGACCGGGCATACATGTAACAAGCGAGAGGAATGTAATCCTTGACGCATCCGAACCGCTGTGGGCTAACTTTACACCGTTATCAACGGTCTTACCAGGTACCTACTTCACTTTGTTAGACCCCATAGGTAGTTTGACGCGCGTCCTCATTTGTAACAAGGAACCTCAACAACAACGCCACCGACACCACCACTGCAACAAAGCAAGGTCGAAGCTGAAAGTCTCCAGTTTTACACGCGCGAGCACTGTGGCTCGGAGACCCACAATCACGACACCTTGGTGCTCGGCGCATCTGATTCCCTTGGCCATGTCCAGCGCTGTTCATACCCCCCCCGTGCTGAGCCTGCGTGCTCTTCTCCCTGCTGCCATGGCCTGAGTATCTGTGAAAGCTCCACACCGGTTCCCTTCCTCTCGCTCTCGCCTCTCTACCTCCCGCGAAACCCGGCTCTATTCAGCAGACAGGGACGTAATGTCAAGACACATATTGCAAGTATCCCACAGCTCGTAAAACTGGCAAATTAGTCATAAACTAGTGCCCGTTGTTGAAACGCTGATTTCCATGTCTTGCGGAAGCCTTAGTAACCTGGAAGTTATATGGGGTCCGTAACGGGTCTCGACGATTATTTGGTCGCACTGGAGTGCAAGTGCCGACCTATACAATTAGCGAGGTGGCTCGCTAACGAACCTGTCGACTGAAACCTTAAGGTTGGATGGGGTGTGAGAGATGTGCCGGCATCTAAAGGACAAGGGTGGAGTTCTTGCAGTAACTGATCACCGGCTAGAGCTCTACGATTGTCGTGTCCGGCGAGAAGTAGAAGTCGGTATTTGGCCACGGAGTATTGCCGGACGGATCAAACATCTCTTCCATTCATCGTAAACGGTGTTAGTTATCGGTCTCAGGTTTGCCAACCTGGGTTCGCCTGCTGAATGAACTGCGACTTCTGCAAGACACACCCGACGTAAAGAAGCTTCGGTGACCCTTGGCTATGAACATTACGTTGACTACTAAGGTACCACATCGCCAAAGCACCTGAGGTACCTATTACTGACGGTCTACCTTTCTAGTGCAAAATATCCAAAAACACACCACACCTACCAAGGTTGGAAGCAATTGGGTACCTAGGTAAGCCCGAAAAGGAAACGGGGGGGCCAAAGATTCACCCTCTAATCTCAAAATATACATTGGTGCTTTACCCAGCTAGTATGGTATTAGTTCCTCATCCTTCTATCGAAATTGTCACCTAAAGGATGACGATGCCGGTATTATCTCGTCATTCGTCTTCGTAGCCTTGAAGACAAGCTGCGCAGAAATAGAAAAGACCGAGCTAACTAAGACGCAAACTCGCCGGTGAACGGCCTAGTTGAGTTAGGGGTGCTAATGTGCTAATGCCGTGTACATAATAAGCCTGCACGGCCAGGCGGTCCGGCTTTCGGGAAGAAGGGAGAAGCCGTGATCGATTTTCGTTGTGTTGCAGTCATCGTGGGGTGCACTAAGAAGCCCGAGCCTGTGCGACACGTGTCCGTGGAGGACAGATTAATGTTTGGCAGACTCTGTTGGAAATCCAACAGCCAGAGTAACAGTACTTCTAAACAGGGGTCTAAATGTAGTGCGACAGAGGTCACTGTACAGAGGGCATCCGAATCAACCGTAATCGTATTGTCTGAAGAACTTGTATGTATCTAGAACAAACGGAGGGCCTCCTGCACCCCCTGAAAACTCTGTACCCGGGCGTCAATTGTAGGCCCGGTAACCTCTATGTTGTTGACCCGCCGTACCGTAACCTCCAGCCACTATCCACCACACGTTTTATACAACATACCCCCCCAGATACGGGTATATTACAGCCGTATCTAAACCTTTAGCGATGTAGCTATTGTAAACCCTTTAGCGGTCAGTCTGATACCCGGGGCCTTTGCTAGCCCCCGGTAAAGCTGGGGTCTCCTTTCCTTTACTAGCCCCCGGTGAACGGGTTGCCGAGAAGGTTTGCCGGCCCCCGGTGAAGCTGGGGTCTCCTTTCCTTAAGGAGTAGCGATAGAAGCTACCCCTTTACGTTTACCCGGAACTTTCTCCGAGGAAGCTTCCGACTCCCTACCGCTCCGTTGCGGTAGATCTTAATAAAGGTAGTGTTGTTCCCGGCCTTCGGCTCTAACGGTACCGCCAGTTCTCGAAGGTGTCGGCGGAGACCCTACTATAGCGGTAGGTTCGGCTAAACCCCCTCTACTATAGTGGTAGATTCGGCTAAACCCCCCCCCTGCTATAGTAGTAGATTTGGCTAGACCCCCTGCTGTTATAGCGATAGGTTCGGCTGGACCCCCCGGCTGTAGTAGTAGGTTCGGCCTTGTAACTACTGTTAGCAGCTAGCTATCCTCAGCGGCTAGCTGCTGTAGGTAGTTAACCCTCCTAGCTAGTTCGGTTAACTAGTCGGCTATAGAGGTTAACTAGACCTAGCTAGTCTTAAAAACGCTTAAAGGCTTTGTTACTAAGGGCCTTTGTTAAACTATCGGCAATTATCTCTGTGCTCTTAACGTATATAACGCTGATCTTCTATTGTTGATACTCCTAGTAGATCTAGTAGTTGTAGATATTGATATAATGTAAGTTAGTTTTAAGAGCGGCTGTCTCTATAGTAACTAGACGGATCGTTTACTTATTATTGTACTGAATTATAATATAATCGTCCTTTAGAACAACCCCTAGTTCGTTTAATAGTCTGCTTATAAAGAGGGCCTCTTTTATTGCTTATAAGAGGGTAAGAAGTTCGGCTTCGGTTATTAATGTAGTTACTGTATCCTACTTGCTAGCGTACTATCCGATTAGCCCGCCGAACAGCTTTATAGTATATCCTTAACTACTTTTACAATCGAGGGTATTGTTAGTAAATAATATATTGCTAGTAGTAGTATAGATATCCTTTCCCTCGAATTGAAGGACCTAGTAGATAGTTTCAATAAGATACTATAGTACCCTATCTACAGCCCTCTAATATCAGTATCTAGAATTCGTTATAAAATATACTAGTCTGGAGATAGTAAATACAACGTTAGGGCGGGTAATAACTACTATATAGAGGATAGAACCGATCTTATATATGTATCTAGTAATGTCGGCTCAGGTAACAATCTCTTCTAAAGGTATTAGCTCGTTAGTTCCGATAGGAGTTTGTAAGAGAGGGGCTAACTCGGCCAGTTAGGCGATCTTTGTAATGTATACCGCCTAGGAGAGCCAGATCTTCCGTACAGCTCTATCCCGAATAATCTCTATCCCTAGGAACTATTAGAGGTTGTATCCTCCTGTTAGTTTATATTATAAGCCCAATTGGACTATTGTTTTAAGAGCTTCCTCTTTTCTCTTCTTCGAATATATAACAATAATATTATCAATATAGAAGAAGATAATGATTCCTCTTTGCTTGAACGTATATATCTTATATAATACTGGCTCGAATCCTAGTTCTTTAAGTAATCGGGATAGCGTTCGTTACTATAGAAGAGGCGATCTTTATAATCTATAGAGGGCTTTCTTTAACTTAAGAACTAAGTATAGCTTCTAATAGCCCGGGGGCCCTTATATATAGACGTCTTTATCCAAGTCGGCATTTATAAATGTATTAACGGCATTATACTACTGTCACGGATTAGGCCCAACGCGGTCTTGGCCTGCGGGATGCGGGACGTCCCGGCCAATCATTTAAGGGTCCAACGGCCAATCGTTGCGACAAGTGAAAGCGCTCCCGACGCTCCCTCTCGAGGAAGGGAGCACGGGGAGCACTCGCCGCACTCACTGCTCACGACGCTCCCATCGCTCCTCGGGAGCATAGGGAGCAGAGGGATCAACACGTTAGATAGCAGTATATAGTCACTCGTTCTGGAGAGCTCTGGGAGTTCTCCAGTTAGCAATCACAACTACAGTTCGCTACAAGATCGAGAGCCTACTGTTGAGACAAGTCTTTGTTGTGCACCTTTTGGCTGCACCGAACCTAAGCACCCTTGAGAGAATACCTTCGACCGATACTGAACCCTAACAGGACGGGTCCAGAGACAGGTTCGTCACACGTTGCTAACTCCCTTTGATCTGTTACAGTTCAGGCTCGAAGGTAAAACGACATGGCAACTCAACCGACGCCGGGCCAGATCACGGCCGCGCTTCAGAGAGTCACCGAACGACTCGATGAAACTGAAGAAGAGCTTGCGAAGACCAAGGCCAGCAACGCGGCATTGGCAGCCCGACTTGAGGCGACCGAGGTCCACACCAAGGACCCGGCCAAGACGAAGGTCAAATTGGAGCAACCCGAGAAATACGGGGGCGACCAGGAAGCCTTGCCAGGTTGGATCACGGAGATGCGGAACTATCTCGACCACAACTCGCACCAGTTCGCCACTGAGGAATCCAAGACCAGATACGCCGCCACCCGACTCAAGGACAAGGCACTCAAGTGGTTCACGGGAACACTGAGTGATTTCCTCGGCGGAGCAATCCACAAACCCTTCACCAAAAAGGTCTTCGAGAACTACTCCGAGTTCGAGAACGAGATTCAGAAGGTGTTCGGCGACAAGGACGAGAAGTTGCACGCCCAGGAACGGCTAGGACGGCTGAAGCAGACTAGGTCAGCCACCGCCTACGCCACGATTTTCCGACAAGACTCCATGAAGGCAGAGATAGACGACGAGGGGCTGATGCACCTGTTCTACGGAGGGCTGAAGGAGGAGGTCAAGGACGAGCTCTACAAGGAGAGCCGACCCGACACGCTCGACGAGTACATCGCCATGGCTGTCAAGATTGACGACCGACAGTTCGCCCGCAAACAACAGAAGAAGGGCAGCGAGATTCAGCGATCCCCAGGCTACCACAAGCCCAACGACAAAAAGAAACGCCAGCACCAGAGCACGTCATACGGCACGCACTCGGGACCCATGGACGTCAGCGCTGCCCAGGCACAGTGGGCAGGAAAGAGAGATGGTGCCAA